TTGAATCAGCAATCTTCCCATCAAAATATCGCTGGATATCACCTTCCACATTTGTAGCATCGCCGAATGGATATCTATACGTCATTGATAACAATGGAGCTTTGATATCGGAACCCTTAAGAGCATTATCAAGTGGAGCAAGATAAGTTGTTTTGAATTCGTCAGAAGTCATCTCCTTAAAGTCTGCTGTAGTCATTAGATTAGTTACAAAGTTAAGGAGCGGTATGGATGCCCTTGTTTCAACCGATACTGACGCATCGCTTTTGGGTACTATCCGCTCTATTTTGTCAAGAGTAAACTCTTCTTCTGGTATATCGTTGTGGATTCTCAATAAATGAGTGTCCAAAAAGACTCTGGCATTTTGGTCATTGTCATTCTGTACCTTTGTAAAAAGTGCTGGGTTGATCCTGATGCACTCACTGGCAGGATCATCGAAAGCTATTTCCTTGCTCTCTTCCCCTGAGAAGTACATACATGGCATAATACGTTAGAGAGTTATCTATACTTTTTTTTTGATTTGAGATTGATTTATCTTGTCCTGTACATAGATCAAAATATCTAATGCTCTGTTTATGACCTTTTCATTTAGACCCAGCCTTTTCAAATTAATCCTTCGTGGAGCTTGAAAGTTGAATCTCTTCACTTGCTTCATCAAATATTACCTCATCGAAGAATTTCACTCTTCGCCATTTCCTCTGCTTCCCCAACTATTGATTTTGGTGCTATGTCGTTAGGGATCTTATCTTCTTCCTGGCTATCTTAATATTCATAATCAATTCGATCGGTCGATGTTGATTATGTAATTATATAATCCTAGTGATCAAATCTCTTAATATGAAAGACGTTGTTCTACCCACGAAAATGGCAATATTCTCTGCAGAACATATACAGTATACTAAATAGGGGAATCACTTTGCTTAATTCAAATCATATTATTCATCTACTTCAAATTGACAAGTTGAATAATGGAACACAGCTTGTATACCAGTTTTTGGGACGTGCGACATGAAAGTAGGTGAGGTTACTTAAGCGATAGCACCAACTTTCTCAAAATAGCAATTCCCACTGATTGCGGAAACATTTTCTGTAATCTGTTTTAGCAGACTTTTCTATATGGTTTGTCTTTAAAGTCAAAAGAAGTGGGTTTAATGTATAAGTACCTTCATTGATCTATAGAATGACAATGCTGTGAATCAACAAGCTGGTTAGCAACAATGTCGTCAGCTGCCTTTGGTCTATTAATCATTACGATTGTGTTTGTTTTCGTTTCCCGAACGCTCTTGCAGCAAAAAACGTCAAAAAGGCATCCAAAGGATGCTTTAGGGAAAACATCAATTTTTGATATTCAGCCCGTGAGGGATGATTTTGATTGGAAAAAGGAAGAAGTTGCTCAATACAGGGTTTTCAAAGATGGCCCGTATACTATGAAATTAGGTCTAGAGAAATGTACTTATAGTGGATTGTTACTTATTGATCTGATGTACTTGAAACTAACAAATACAAAAATCAAAATAATCGAGAATCATGGCTCAAAAGTTATGGGTATTGATGAACTTGGTATCGATCCAATGAATGAGTGCTATGAAACTTGCATTAACATTTTATTGAAAAAGTATCCTAAATACTTTTTCATAGACGCTCAAGATCCAACAAAGTTTATTAATCAAATACGTAATGAATCTTTCCCCCTTGATCCGTCCCTGTTTAAAGGAACTGAAGTAATTGAAGTGCTTTCGAGGAATATCCAGGAGGATTTTTTTGTTTTTTTACCTGAAAATCCTGATGGGACTGGAGAACATGTTTTGAGAGCGGGAGTTTTTGCATGTTCACCTGGTGTTGATTTTAGGGATAAAATTAGTAATAATTTAACTGGGATTCATGAACCTGTGCCTTACTATAAGGATAATCTTCAGTTTAGTATGAATAAGTTTTTCTCAAGAATTAAGGTTGGTCAATGCTTTCAAAGGAAAAATTGGCATATGCAAGCCAATAATAATTTTTATGATCCATACGTTCCATTTTCAGAGCCCAAGTTTATTGATGCCCAATCGGCTAACTTTGATGAGTTCAGTTTTAGATATGAAAGACAAACATTCACTAGGCTCCCAAAAACTGGTGCTTTCTTTGCGACTATAAGAACATTCTTAACTCCTTTATCTCTGGTAAGGAATGAAGGAAGGGCCATGGAATTGGTTGGTGCTATAAATGGTATGGATGATACCTATGGCGCTTATAGGTTGCGTCATGAATGGGGAATGCCAGCCGTGGCTTTTCTTAAAGGTGAAACTGATGGAATCACTCCAAGTATTATGAGTAGAGAGGAATTGAAAAGAAGATTCTGTCCTATGTAGTGGAGATATGATACTTTTACTCATTATGTTTTTTTTTGTACTCAATTTATATATTCATTTATATATTAAAGGGCTTAATAAAAGGTAACTATGCTTATACTCTTAGCAGTCATATTCAAGAACTCTTAAGTGGAACCCATGCTCATTTTGCTTAAGTATTACAAAACAGAAAAAGATTCAAATCGGAGAAGTCAAGCAGAAACGCCTAGTTCACGAATCCACTTATGACGTTGGTCTAATCAAATATATATTAATTACACTTGTTCTAAATAAATGTTGGAATCTTGTCCCAATCCCAAGGATCATTAAATCTCAAGTCCCTATTTAATCCGTTAATTTCAGAAATTTCGTCGTCAGATAAAGTAAATGCATTCACTTCTAAATTTTCTGCCAATCTTTTAATGCTGCTAGATTTTGGGATAACTGCAATTTCTCTTTGCGTTGACCATCTTAATAAAATACTCCCGGGTGATTTGTTGTGATTTTTTGCAATATCATTTACAGTTGGGTGTCTCAATAAAGAATCAATGTGCTTGACAACCTCAATATCGGTACCATATGACTGAAAACCAAATGAAGAATAGGCGGTAACTTGTATTCCGACTGATTTACAGTATTCAATGAGCCTTGGTTGAGACAAATATGGATGATGTTCAATTTGAAGAATTTGAGGTTTGATCTTACATTGTCTCAATAAATCTTGAAGTAAAGCACCATTGAAATTTGAAATCCCGATTGATTTAACAAGTCCTTCCTTAACTAAATCCTCCATGGCTCGCCAAGTTTCAATAATAGGAACATCTTCGTAGCGCCAATTATCTCCATCTCCACAATAGTTTAATGGTGGGTAAATCTCCTCGATAGGAACATGTTTCTGACATATAGGGAAATGCATGTATAAGACATCCAAATAGTCAATTTTCAAATCTTCAAGGATTTTTAAGCAGGCAGGTTTAACATTCTCTTTAGCATGGAAACTATTCCATAGTTTTGATACGATCGTTAGTTCTTCTCTCTTAACAATGTCTTCCTCAATTGCTCTTTTAATACCTTCTCCAACTTCTTCTTCATTTTCGTAATCCTGTGCCCCATCAAACAATCTATAGCCTACCTTGATTGCATTGTAAATTAATTCAGCACAATACAGCCTTGGAATTTGCCAACATCCTAAGCCAATTTGTGGAATCTCATTACCATTATTTAATCTGAATACCCCAGGCCCAGTCATCTTGGATAATATTTGGGTGCAAAAAAAAAAAACCAAAAAAGGAGAAAATAGAATTCTATTTAAATGCAATTTGATATTCTTTCTCCCATTGTATGCATATTCCGCAGTGGTGGACCAACTTTCCGATTTGATGCAAAAATAAGCTATAGAGGTGACAAATATGCCCAAAACAGTTCATATGAAATAATTGAATTGATATCATATCGTGTATTAACTATGTATTAAAATTCCTTTAAGTCATATACCACTTAAGTGGGTATCAAGGCAATCCCAGATCCGGACCAATGTTTAGTTTTCATGATTCCCTCGAACGACGCACCTGTTTCCCAGCTCTGAGTTAATATATTATTCATCACTTCAACGTTAGCCATTTTTGACATACTATAGTGGAAAGATAAGAATTCCTTAAATAGTACTCTTTGATGCATCTTTCTTGACTCTAATCCGAGTGTGAAAACGGGCCACGCCATTTGGAGTTTTAATTCAACTAATTCCAAATCCTTATAGGAATCAATAAACTCAAAAATGTACCCAGTTATCACTTCCTGTTTTAGGTCGTCGTCCTTAAATTGTTTTAATTTTTCTATCACTGTTAAACCCGCTAGAGCCCAACAATTAGCAGCTTTCAATTTGTAAAGATAGCTCTTATCTTTTGCACATGTAAGATAAGACCTATAATTTAATAGGGACTTAGTTATCCTATCTACCTCAAATTTAGTCGCAGCTTTTCCATTTTTGGAACAGTACCTCAAATTAGAGATATCAACCAACCTAGAAAATATTTTACCAGGGCATCCACTTATTGTTTCAATAATATTATTACCCTCATTGTCTGTAGCAGAAAACAATCGTTTATTGGAGAATACTTTTCTAGGTGGAAATGATACAAGAGAGCATAAGGTATCAAACCAAGCAAAGGTAACCATTAGGTATTTTGCCTTTTCCACTGATCCTATTATAAAAGAAAACTCATAATCATTCCCAATTCTTGAAATCAATTCAAAAAAAAATTCTAACAAGCCTGATCGACCTGAATCCAAAATTGAGAACATAATCTGTGAATGAATAAGTATTAGAATAGAGAGTAAATTTTTTTTTTAATCTTGGGAGGAAGTTCTTTAATATTCGCCATAATTGTAGAAATCATCTGATTACCAGAAAGTGAAGTGACATTGTATTTATCCGATGATAGTATAAAGTTAATAAGCGAATCCATTGCTTTGCTATTATACATTGACCCTTTCATATAAAGCTCTTCGGACTCTTTGTCATTCAATAATCTTAAATGAACAGCCGAAAGAGATAAAATACAATCAACAGCTAGATTATCTTCACAAAATTGAAAAATCAAAGTTGGAAAATGTGAAATTTTCGAATTATCAAAAAATGGAAGTAAATTTTTAAAGACTGAAAAAATAGTTAGTATATAAAAAACTTCATTGATTAGTATCAGAAAGTAAAACAATACTTACAATGATCCACAAAATAATCTCGTTCAGATAACAGAACTTCTCTAGGAATAGATATTTGCTCAAGTTCTACTCCAAAAAATGGATTAATTTTTATGTTCTCCAGTGAATCATCTGCTCTTATTATAAGCTGCCTATGTATATCAGAATCTTCAAGTATCTTGTTATTAGCATCTTCGATATTCTGTTGTATAGAGACAGTATGAGAAATTGGATTTGATAGCTCCGAAATTTGAGTAATTGTGGAGTCTATCTTGTCCATATTGATAAAGTTGAACTCAGTCTCAGGGTCTTGATAAACAAACTCAAACGGTTTAGGGTCTATAATAGAGACCCTAGTATTCAGACGTGTCTTCTTTTTTGCATGCAGATTTGAATCTTGATTTCTTGTACCTATTGGTTTCATTATGGATGAGTATCTCCCTTCATTTCTGGCTGATAAACTCTCATTCAACCTAGGTCTTCCTCGAAATCCAGCAGCGAAAGATTTCACCCTTTTGTCATCAACATCAAATGACAATTTGATCCCGTATCCTAAACATTTACGTCCAGCGTTTGTACAATTCTTACAAGCAGGTTTTGTTTCATCACACTTTCTATGTCTTTTTATTATATTAATGTTAATAAAGCTTCTTATTTTTGAATGAAAAAACTAAAGAATAATATCATACCTTTCTTTGCAAGTCCAGCATCCATTTCTGGAACGAGTTATCTTGAACATCGTGAATGAAAACAGTATTAAAAAAATTCAAAGGAAAAGAAATACTTTCACTTCCCATCTTTTCATTATCTTTGATGTTCTGTATCTGCAAAAAAATGGTTCAAAATGGAAAGTTGGTACTACATGCGTGCGAAAACCGTCTAGTTTAAGATAAGATAAAGATAACAATAACACATAGAGGTGAGAGACTTTTTTGCAGCCTTCGCTTGATCTGAATCTACTGTTATCTTTTTCATTCAATTATTAATGATAGCTAATTGCTATGCTGGTTAAATAGGCTTCTTTATATATAAGTTTGATTCCTTCTCTTTCTGTTTCGAATTGCAAAAAAACATTTTGTAACCTCAATCAAAGTATAATTATTAAAACTTAAATGATTTCACGCCAGGAAGTTATCGAAAAAAAAAGTATTATAGTTTCTGAGTTCAGGAGCGATGAGGAGTCAGATACTCAAGATTTTGTTGATAGTAACGATGCCTTGCAAGCAACAAATATCAAGTCGGAACTACCAAAGAAATTTTCACTTTTATCTTCTATCGGACATGGTTTCAATATAACTAATAGTTGGATAGGTTATTTATCTTCATTTGCAATTAGTTTAACATATGGTGGTCCAAGATTGGTTATATTTTCCTTGATTATTGGTGTTGTGTTTCAGTGGATAATTGTAGCTGGTTTGGCAGAAATTGCTAGTACATATGTTACGTCTGGAGGTCAATACCATTACGTTTATTTGATGGCACCAAAAAAAACTAGAAGGTTTGCATCTTTTATTACAGGCTGGATGTCATCAATTGGATGGATGATTGAACTTGTTTCAGCCGTGGCGGTAAGTGCTAATGGATTAATTGGAGTAATTTTGTTTTGGGCTCCGAGCTTTGAATTGAATTCTTGGAAAACATATCTCATTTATTTAGCATCTATGATCGTAAGTGTTCTTCCACTTGTTCTTTTCCCTAAAAATTTACCCCAGGTTACAACATTTACTTTATTTTTCTCCTTGTTAGGATGTGTGATTACTTTCATCGTTTGCTTGTCAATGCAAACTCATAATCTGGCTTCCTTTGTTTTCAATAACGCAGGAATGACGGAATATTCATCAGGATGGAATGCTGGTCCTGCCTGGTTGTTAGGTAGCTGCAATGCTATGTATGCGTTTATTGGAGTTGATTCTGCCACTCATATTGCTGAAGAGGTAGTGGTCACCAAATCTGTTAATCCTGGAAATATTGTGCCTTTGACAATGAATGCTACTCTAATTATAGGATTCATGAGCGTTTTCCCTTTGATGATAGCACTTCTTTTCGGAATGACAGACATAGATGCAGTTTTAAGCTCTTCTTGTCCAAGCTTGGAATTGTTTTATCAAAACACTAACAATAAAGCTGTGGCTACTTTTTTACAAGTCTGGTTGACTATTGTTCTTTTCTGTGCTTCCATCGGGGGGTGGGTTACTAACTCAAGATTAACTTACGTATTGGCCCGTGATAATGCTATGCCATTTTCAAAGTATTTTCAGGTTATTGATTCTAAAATGCAACTTCCTTTCAGAGCCATTATCTTTGCTGGTGTGTTTGTAACTTTATATGGTTTACTATACTTTGCAAGCACCACTGCCTTCAATTCTATTATCTCCTCATCAGTATTAGGTCTTAACATTTCCTACGTTATACCCCAAGGTCTTTATTTATTTAGAGGTCGCAAGTTCAACATTGCTAGAGTTTTTGATCTTGGCCCCATTGCTGGACCAATAATTAATATTGCTGCCCTTGGATTAATTGTGGTGATTGGAGTATTTGATTGTTTCCCATATTCCTTACCAGTTACTGCTAGTGGTATGAATTATGTTGCACCTGTGTTAATTGGGTTGTTTGTTATTTTGATTTTATTGTGGTTTCTTCTTGGTAAAGGTTTTGCCGGGCCAGAAGTTGATCTGAAAAAACTCAATGCACTTAACAAAAATTGTATAGAAAGTGAGCAATTAGCTCATGAAGGTAAAGGAAGATTCCTTTGGTTCTTTTGGATATAATAGTCTTGCTATTATAATCAAAGTATTTCTAGTATTTTTTATAACAACTGTATAGGAGACATATTCAAATTTAAATTTAAATTTATCTTTTCTTATCTACTTTTGTATATGAATCATTTTTTACATCAAATCTCACATATTTCCTCATGTTATATGTATCAGTGTCTTAGCAGCTCATCGGAGTTAATTTTGGGTATGTCTAACAATTGAAGTGAAAACAATCAAAATAATTTACTATTTAATAACTCTATTTAATCAGACAAAACATATATGTACTAATTTATTAATCAAAAAAAAGTAAGAGAAAAAGTTGATTAAAATAAACAGAAATAACTTATTTACATCTTGCAACAGTCAGAATTATCAACTTTCTTTGAACGGTTTACAATAGGATTTGAACGAGGAACACTTAAGGCAGGATTCTTATCAAAAAATCCACTAGGACGTAATTCCAAAGACAACATATCGACTGGCATTACTGGGAAGTCTTCTGGTCTTGGAATATGAGTAAGAGAAAAAGTGTGCCACAATACGCAATCATCATTTTCGATATCTTCATTTCTTGCGGCCCAAATACCCAATCCGCTATCATGTGTACTTTGATTAGTATACTCACCAGCAGCGTATAATTCACCGTCATTATATTTGGTTACCCAAAATGGCTTGGTACAGTATCTTCCTCTTTGAACATTATAGGAACCAGGCTTCATTAACATCATTTGAGATGTGATGTGCCATAACCTATAACCAATTGGCTTCAAAGAAGTTTTGTTCAATACATTGGGATTAGTCATTTTAAAATATCTCCCAGTTTCAAGATTGAAATCAAATGCACCAGGACTCTTAACAGTTTGTGGTTTCGCAACAAAACAAACACCAAATGGATCTTTAAATTTATCAACATTTTCATCTGAAGGAACCACGTCTTCAAATACGATGGAATTATTAGTATAGCTATCCATTGCTGGATCAATACGTAAGTTGAAAATATGTTGGTGATTATGAGCTTGTATTGCAGTGCCAAGTCTTGTAGCAAAGGGAAGCAACGCATCCTTTTTCGATGGAACGGTTGATAAAATACCAGTGGCCCTAACTTCAAGTCTAATATTAGCAGCTTGATCAAAGTAATACATAAGAATATATTCATAGTTCGAAACAGTTGCTATAGTTTGAATAACAAGTTCTCTTTTTCTTACAATTGATGAAACTTGTGGAGCACGGTAATTTGTATGTTTCCACTGAATACCATTATCGACTTCATGCATGCAAATCACATTCTTCAATTTGACAGGTTCACCAACACTATTAGTGATAGCACCATCAAAATATTTGATGAAACCTAAGCAATCGCAGCCTAAACCTAATGAATTAGCATTACTGCCAAATCCAGAATCGCCTAAATCATAAACTTGTTTTCTATGAAATGGAGAACGTGGGTCACCATACGGAACTGTCATCTCATTTAATGCAAGTCTATAAAAAATAGAACGACCATCAAATCTAATATTATAGAATACCAACCCTTCTCTTGGATTCCAACCTACTCTAAATTTCCAATTCTGCCAACTAACTTCATTTTGGTTAGTGCTAAAGGATGGGCCTTCAAATTGTTCAATTAATAAAGGTTTAAGATCTTTAGAGATGTTTTGAGCACCAAGTCCAGTAGCTGAGTATTCATTTTTGGTTAAACCCTTGAACGGAGCAATGTTTGATCCTCGATCAATTGGATCGATATCAAGAGGAAGACTTTGAATACAAACTAATGCTTTGGATTCTGCATCGAATATCGGTGCAATTGGTAAAGGACAAGCATAATAGTTGAATTCAGGATCATCAGAAAATGAAGCATACATATAACATTGAAATAAACGACGGGTTTCATTTGGGCTATCAGTTCCGTAAATCCAAGGATCATTAATAATTTGGACATCTGGTGGTAATTTCAATTTCTTGATGGCATCTTTCACTTTTTCATTGTTATTGCAAACATTTTCTATTTCAATTTGTTCATCAGGATCAGTAGGAGGCTGAACGCCATTGATATTCGATGACTCTTCTAAATTTCCAGAACTGATATTAACTATAGCTTCAACGAATTGCCTTGCTTTAAGTTTATGAAACTTAACTTTAATTCTTCGATCAGGAAATCTTGAAGGTTGGATACCCTTCAACTCGTCTTCCAATATAGGAACCATCTCCAGCTTTTTAACTTCCAAAATATCGACACTCTTAAACCTTAAGGGTCCCACATCAGAAAAATGGGATTTCACAATTGAAGTAGCCTTTCTAATTTCTTGAGCATTGATAGGATCAAATGGATGAATCATTTTGTTAAAGTTATTTTTGGTTCTAAAAAAATTGATGGGGTTCGACAACCGCTTCAACTTTCGATCATATTAATACAATATTGGTGACCTGTTGCTGGAAATGATATGGCTAGGCTAATGAATCAAAGCTGCAACATTTTCCTATCTTTTACAATCCCAATAAGTGCAAGTCTATCCGCGACCCAAATAGGAAAAAAAGAAAAGAAATAGAGGTTTCCGTAAATTCGAGAAGATCTTAAGAGGTCCATTGATAGCGTATTGATATCAGTTCAATTGTGGTTGTAGCTTCCAATTTCACTTCGACTTTACCGTGTTTCTGTATTCTTCAGCTTCCCAAAAAGTGGAACTAGGTATCATTAAACTTCGCCATTACGTAAGTGCGAGACTGTTATAAATGTACTACTTTTCCAACTTGTTTAATCGACCATTCTTTGAGTACCAATGTGGACAGTAGATTCATTAAATATGACGTGAAATAGCCCATTGAGACTACTTCATAGTGCTAAAATAGGTCCTGATCGATAGTAAATAAAGCTTATAAATCAGCTAGGGACAAAGATTGTGATATCCTACTTTATCACATCAGCCTTTCAAAGTAAGATGTCCTTTAGTTACTCCTGTATTCTGAGACTCTACGCTTATTTTTTCCAGGTCTATCATCTTAAAAAATTACCCAATAACTATCTTTTATATCTGTGTTATGAGAAAACATATCCTCTTTGTCTTTGTTTTTGATTATCGTGTTCCTCCTGATTGCTTCTGTGTATACTCCTTCCAAAAGTTTCGTCCAAAGACACAAAATCTCTTCTTTTGCATTTTTCCTTCCTCTTATGAGGAAATTGATAACGTTATGACATATTCCTGAGTAACGAACTTCCTCAAGTCGAAATTGGATTGTCGCATAGACCTCATTTGGGCATCAGTACCTCTTCTTCTATATTTTTAGATTTATGCATTAATTGACTATGAATTCCGCCCTTCAAGCAACCCTTAAAAGTTCTCTAAAACCCTCACATGAAAGTCTATTATGAAGTGTGATTATTTCATAAATACTGATTTTATAAGTATTCAGATACTTACAACGATTTTACTATAGTTCGTAAATATATTTCTCTGAGACTATTGAGGTTATTTGTGCGGTTCTAATGATCTGTCAGTAAGCCAGCTTGACTATTTTGCGCCCTTTTCTTTTTTGGTGGTTCATCATCGCTGATATCTAATTCCTCGCCCTCCGATGAATCCTCAAAACTATCTTCTTCCCCAATTCCTGGCATGGCTTCTGTGTAATATTTGACGGCATAAGGAAATAAATCGTCTGTAATTAATCTCGCTACGTCTTCACCATTTCTGAACTCCTTACCAGGCTTTTTCCCTGTCCAAGCGAACCATGCAAAGAACGACTTCATTCCTAGTCTATACTGCTTTTTCTGTTCCTTGGAAAGTTCTCCTGCTTTAGTCTGTTCTTTTATGAGTCTAGGGTTGATGCTATCAAGCTCTTTGGGCCAATTGACATCCACCGGTTCCAGGTATAGCATTTCTTCACCTTCTTCAATAGATGTCTTAAACTCCTTCGTAATGGTCTGATCTTGAATCAATTCGTTGTCTTTGAAGCTAAGGGTTATGGAATAGTCTCGATAGTGGCTGATGTCATCACTATCAGCTACATTGTAATGAACATATATGTCATTAATTGCTTCTAGGTACTTAAGATCATCAATTCCAAGGTATTCTGAAAAATCATCATTTTCTGCTAATACGATGTACCAAAACTTGGGAATATTCCTTAATATTGAACGTCTTTTGGCATAAATCTCTTGTGTCTTTCTAATCCTATATATCTCTGCATCTTTTTCTGCCTCATCCATCTCTTTTTCACAACCCGCAAGTTCTACCAAACATTTTTCCAACAATTCACTCTGCTTGTCGGTGACATCCTCCTTATTATTTTTCATTTCCATCTACCTGAATTGTGGACCAAATCTTTTGATATCTCTACTCGTTAAGCTCATTACTTTTTCTTTTTTTTTGCACTGTGAATTTAGTTGTTTAGTGCTACATCAGGATAATCACGCTTTCTACTAAAAGTACCTTATTCTATCAGTGAATAATTGTGGATTTCGGCTGTGGTGCCTTCATTAAGAGCTCAGAGTTAGATCTGAAGCGGGATATTTCATCTTATAAGCGCCCTTATGATGTTACAAGCAAACGAGGTTATCTCCAAAACTTTATTAACCATTGATCAATACAAGGGAAATTTGAAGTCGTTCAAACATGCAATTTCAGAGGGGGAATATGCTCCAACAAACGATGTGTTTTCGAGGCTTTTGCTATGGAAAGTATGCTTGATAACAGACAGTTTAAATATTCAAAATTGGGAATCTACATTAAGTCAATCTAGAGTGATCTACCACCAGCTTGCGAAGCAACATGATATGATAATCCCATGGTGGAAATTGAGTCCCGATAGTGCATTTTATCAAAGTAAAGAGGTTTCTAGAGCATCCAGCGTCAAAAGGGCTAGGTCGGTGAGAAGAACTGCAAGCTTGAAAAAGAGTAGCTTGCGTAAAAGTATTGACGTGGCAGATCCACTCCAAAGTTTAAGTTTGTCACCCAGCAGTTCTACTAAAGGTCGTTCAACTAGCTCTATTTCAGAGAGCGATGAGGAGTTGCTTGACACAATAATATTAGATGTAGAAAGATTATTTCCAGGGGAAGAATTTTATCATTCTCCGAATCAGAATGCATTAACATCTAAACGACAAATAATAAGCATTTTGTACGTTTGGTCAAAATGCAACCCGCATGTCAGGTACAAGCAAGGATTTCATGAAATATTAGGGTTGATATATTATAATTTGCATAAAGAATCAGTAGTAATTCCAAGTTCAAATACGTTATCAAAGACGGATTTCAGCATTTTAAATTTATTTGATTTACATTATTTATGTCATGATGCTTTTACTATTTTCAACAAGTTCATGCTTCAAAGTGGTATTATTTCAAGTTTTTACGAAAATGAAGACGTATTGTGGAAGTCTATTGAATCGTTTAATGTATACTTGATGAAAGTGGACCAATTGATACATTATAATTTAATTAGCAAATTAAAGCTAGAATCACAACTTTGGATCATACGTTACTTAAGGTTGCTTCTTTTACGAGAATTCGGCAACGACTTAAAAGAGATTAACTTAATTTGGGATAAATTAATTACAATTCAACCAAAACATCATAATGAAGACCCTATCAAGGCAATTCCGGACATCGTTATATTTATGATTATTGTTCTTTTAATACGATTAAAGTCTGAGCTTATAGTTTGCGATTTCGGCGAAAGCTTATCGCTCTTGTTGCACTATCCGACTCTTCTGAAATCTAGCTCGCTGTCCAAACAAGATTTTTCTAAAGGTTTAGTCTCGGATGCTCTTGCTTTATATGAAATTAGAAACGATGATCTCAAGTTGTATGAATATGGTATCAAGTTGAATGCTAAGTTCAATCCAAATCTCAAGATCACGATGAGTTTTAATGGTTCAAGAACTAAAGAAGGACAACTGAATAACTCTTCTCCCAGGCCATCCATTGACACCAGGGCTGAACAGTTGAAATTTGAAAAGTATAGATTAGAAATGAGATTGAAAAAGAAAGCCCAGCAGCTGCTATCAAGGTCTTCATAATATTATCATGATAATTTTACGTCGTTTATATGCCTTAAATACATAAAAATCCTAAATTTCACGTTTTTCAACATGTGCACTAACTATGTATTTGAACTTTTCATAATATTATTTTCAAAATAGGAAAATCAAAAGAACTCTTTTCGACAAGAAAAGCTATTGAGTTATGGGGAAACGGAAATCATCTGCAAAACCTCAAAAGAAGATTAAGCAAAAGCTTGAAACTACATTTTCTTGCCTATTTTGTAATCATGAAAAATCAGTTGTTTGTACATTAGATAAGAAGAACTCGTTGGGAGAGCTACACTGTAAAATATGCGGGCAAACTTTCCAGACGTCGATAAATTCTTTGTCCCAACCTGTTGATATATATTCAGACTGGATTGATGCGTGTGAGGATCTTGCAGAAGAGGCTGAAGCCAACGGTGGTTTTATTGAGGACGAAGGGAATGCCGATGAGTATAGTGACGACGACTTTGATGACAATAACAAGATAGAACAAAGTATTGGGCCCGAAGAGGAAGAAGAGTACTGAAACATGATGAATAGCTATTCAAAGAAATTGAATTACCTTAAGTAATTATTGCAACATATATTAAATTAAAAGTCTATAAGAATTGAAAGTTTTCATAAGTGATTTATAAATTGGTAAGATTATTTAATACATGATCAATCGTCTTATTGACTTCCTCTGAACTATCTGACGTGTCAGCTTCTTTTGTAATTTTTTTGTCCAAATCTTTGATATCGTCAAGATTTGTATTCGTTTGAGTATCGCTGCTGCCGCTCGCTTCGTCTTTAGAAGAAGGTGAAGCATCATTATGTTGCGTTGAAAGTGCAACCAATTGCTGTAATCTTGCTTTTAAGAAGTCCATGTCCAAGCCAACATCAGCAGAAGCTTGCAGTTCTTTTCCGTGTTTAGCATGCATATTGAAAATCCCTTCCAATGAAACACCTTTGTCTCTCAAATGCCTTAAGTATGCAATCATTTTGTCTAAATCACTGAAATCTGTGTTTAAAACTCGCTCTCGAATCTCTTCTCCTGATAAATCAGCTGATCCAACCTCATCGTCAGCCTTAGCATGAGCACTAGGAAGATGGTAGTCTCTGAGTTTCAGTAATCTCAACATAGATCCCTCCTGTTTATCAAGTGAGCTTAGGCTGGTTTTAGAGCTTGATTTGGAGAGCGTTTGATGGGACTTACTAGGAGTAAAGTTGGAAGCTTCCGCAATTTCATTTGAATCAGAGCTCTTGAAATACTTATTTTTTTCATCCTCTGATAAACTTAAATTCGTGGGAAATGTGAATGAATTCTTATCGCAAAGAGATGGATCAATGAGCTGTAGTCCTCTCTCAATTGATGAATTAATGAAAAACAACCTTATCAAGGTTTCCTTTCCCTCGATGTTCAACTCATTTTTCAATTGCAACTTAAGTAATTCATTGACAGTTTCTTTCAATTCTTGGCGAATTTTGTTGACCATCGATATGAAAGAGGAAACTTCGGGAGAATTCAAATCCAACTTGTGCTGTGCTTTCATGGCAAGGATCCTATCAAGATGGTCTGTCAAAGATGGAGCTTCCGAATTTTCATCTTGTTTATTTGGCTCTTGCTTCTTCGACGCGTAGAGCATCCTTTCCATATTCCTCATGGTATATAATCCACTTCTTTCTTTGATGAAATCCGGTAAATCGTCATAGTCGCAGTCTAATGCAATTAAAGTATTCGAATTTTTAAGCCCTTGATTTAGGGCAGATGCTGAAACTAAATCCAACTTATTTCCTAGTAAAGACAAGTAGCCCAAGTGTCTACAAAAGGGAATAATCTCAGCAATCGAGATCAAAGACTTCAGCCCAAAATTGTTATTTTCCAAGTGAAGTCTTATTAATAAAGGAAACATAGGAAATTTGGACGTGAAGTATGTTATTGTATTAAGCTCTTCTTCACTTGCTTCTTCTGATTCAGCATTTTCTGAAGAAGGTTTCTTATCGGTGTTGAAAAGTTGCATGTTGTTGGATAAGTCGAGATATTTGAGTGATGGAAATTTCATTAATATTGTTTCAAAGACTTCCTTAAAAGGCTCTGAAAATCTTAAATTGCATGAGTTCAAACTGAAAAAAGCCAAAGATGATTTAGACAACTTAGTTTCAAAATGATGAGACTTTTTCATATCTAGTAGAACCTTCATGTATTCCAAAGACAGGAAATCGTTATATCCTAAATCTAAGCCCCTTGCGAAATCTTTCATTAACCAATGTCTTACTATTTCTAGTTGCTTTACAGAAAGATTACTGTAAGCCAAACCTAATCTGTTAGTTTTTATCAGTAATGCTAATTTAATGAGCTTCTCAAATGTTGGTATATGGTCGATACAACATCCTGTCAAAATAAGTTCTTCTATACCTCCCCTAGCAACGATAGTAGCAGTGAAAAGTGCCCAATCCATGTCAGTCCTATTGTCTAAGTTGCTTTTCATTCGATCAACCTCTTCAGCTTTTTTGTCTGACTCTTTCTTCTTCTTTCTTTTCAAATTCACGGATAATGATGGGCACTGTGTAATGTCAAGTCTATTCAATACACGATTCCTCGATAAGAACCAACATAATAGCGCCCATCCTTCGTGATCTATGGGAGTATTTCTTAAACTTAATTTTTCAAGCTGTTTTTTGGCACACATAGCAGATAACAAAATTTTGAATTGCTTCAAAGAAAGGTTCACACCATCCAAAGATATACATATAATTGGTGCTATCCTTAAAAAATCTGCAAATGATTGAATTTCTATCATCGTTGGATTTGGGTTCTTGAGTTGTAACATAGGTATTGGAGCCATCGAACCTTTCGGAATTTGTTTGAGTATAGCTGGAATAGGAAGAATCTCTCTAAGATGACAGCATCTTGTATACATTAAGTCTAGCGCCATTTTCTCGACCGGAAGAGCATACCCCGTTCTTTGATGATGAACCATTGGCTTGTCAATTGCAAACAGTTTCGCATGTTTGTCAATAGCATTTTCCTCGTCTTCCTTATCGATAGGGGCTTCTTCCATGTCAGGGGCGGTCTCCATTTCTTGGCCCAAATCTCCTTCTTTCAACTCTTTTTCTTCTTCTGGACTCACAAGCCCTAAGGCACCACTACCACCAACTACAATCCCCCCTCCTTTACCCATAAGCGACCTCTTAACAAGAACTTTTTCCTCTTCTGTGAGAGGTCTAACTTTGATCGTTCCGTTAGTTAACACTTCAACATTCCCTTTTCTTGGTTTTCTTGCTGGAATCTGTTGAGGTGGATCAATCAAAAAAGTCAGAGAGTGAAATGCAACTCTTTTCAAATTTTTTGCGTTCTGTAACTTTGGTAATGGTTCTACACTGCATTCTGAGTCTGTTGAGCCAGTTGCTGAGTCAACTGAGTCTCTTGTTTTCTCTCGAGGTGGTGCAGTCACGCTGCTTCGTCTTCTTAAAAAAGAGCTGATTTTTCCAGATTTGGCACCCTCTCCAGCGCATTGCTCAGATTGGTACTTCAGTAACTCTTGCTCATGTCTTTCAAGCGATTCAGGATTAATCGATGATCTTCGGGAACCTCTAGAGGGATCCGATTGACCGTAGAACTTTATATATTGCTCTAATGTTTCATCATCTGTATTAGATCCTGATGCTGGTGTTGATGCTACTCTAGATAGCTTGTTTCTATCACTTTCTTTGGTTCTCTTATTTTCTGAAGCGGGGTACCTATCAACAATATTGCTCGCGGTCTTTCTGAGTCTTAAGTCGTAATTCTCCTTAAATAATGGTTTCTCTGATGGAGGAGGAGGTTGGTCGTTCTCTTCAAATAGTTTGTGACTAATCTTTTCTTTAATCTTGGAAAAAAACCCTCCAGAGTTACTACCACTACTTCCAATACTTGAAGCACTATTCCTACGTCCGTAAGATGCATCCTGTGGCCTTTGAGGGATGTGGTTTACAGCTGAAGATGAGTCTGCAGTTCTGGGTAGTTCTTCGTCTTCTGTCTCATGTTCCTCTCTAATTGATTCTATAACTGGCCTTGAGTTACGGCCCTTAATGTCATCCCTCCCCGCCAGTGGTCCTTTACTTGACTGATAACCTTCTTTCTCTCCACCTTCTGAAATAGTTCCCTCATCCTTCTCACCTTTTTGCTTCGCTGCATGGGTCTTAGCTTCCGTGGTTTTAGGGTGCTTCTTTTCAATTGCATTTTCTTTATCCCCTTGATCCTCATGTTCCTTATCTTTCTCCTTTCCTTTGTCGTTTTCATCAGATTTTCTTCTCTCCTTAGAATCGACAGCTACGCTTGGATCTCTGAGAAACCAATCGACATCGGTATTTCTAACACCCTCCAAATTCTTATCCTTTTCCAATATATTTCGAATTGCACTAAGATCAAAGCTTTTCTTATGGTTGGTATCACGTTGCGAGAGGCCCTCCTCTGCTTGACCTCTCTCTTCGTTTGTCATTGTTAGCTTCTTTTAATATTGATCTCTTGAAAAAAGAATATCAATTATGTTCCACTAGATGTATTAATACATCTACAATTTAACAGTTCTATCGATAAATAGCTTTATTACTGGCTGTTACTGTATAGACAATAATTGCTCGAGCACTATCAGCTGATAATTTTTTTCGGAGCTAACGAGTTATCTCCAGAAGCTGGCTGGTACCAATATATCCGAATAGTTTTTTAATGTTATTTGAAACCTTTAGAATAAAATTACAATATTTTCAAATGAACTAAGTTCAGTTCTTACTTAGTCAAGCTTACTGGCTTACTGGCTTTGCGAGCTGTTCCACAGTTATTAATCTTGCAGAATTTTAGTCCAGAAGCTGCACCTGTGCCGCAACCATCCGGTACCAGACGCTTTGAAAGTATTACTTAATTATTACATCATCAACCGAGTCAATGACCTTTGAAAGTATCTAGAAATCATAGAAGGTGCTGTAGCCTGCAAAATTGTCTATCAGAGACACAGGTTTTAACTAGTTATAAATTAAAGCACTTTCTTGATATTTGATAATTTAAAGAAATCGAATCAAATAATGAGAGAAAGAGGAAGATAGCATATGTATTTTACCAGTAACGCTTCCGTGACTGCTACGTTAGTGTTCTTTTTTTTTATTCTCTGTGTATAATTTTAAACTTATTTTTCTAGTATTATTACTATTTTATGCAAAATTATCAATTTGCATCCACTACTTGCCAAGGTATTATCAGTTTTATCAAAAGAGTTTACTGCCTAACAAAAATTACATTTTGCAAGCAATACTATCAAATATGTCTAGAGACATTGGAAATAATTCCTTCCTTGTACGAACTGTTGGAAGCTTTCCTTACTCAACCCGCCTTATCCCGGTGTTTCAGATCATATTTCGAACTCATAAGGAGTCTATTGTGTCATGTTTCAGAAATTGGCAGATTTGTTTCAGAAATAACTCCTTCCACACGACCATATAAGTCTAAGTGAAAGAGTACATAGAAGTGGGCACTTTCTCGGTGTTTCAGTTATTCCCATAAACTGATCCTTTTGACACAATTGCAAATTGAGTTCATTATTATCAATATTTAATGTGGGCCATGGGTGCTTTTGTATTTTATTTCGATTTAGAATGAGAGAACTAGGTGCGTAAAAGGTATGGCAGCTCATAAGAAGTTAAGTGGTCATTCTAAGACTCGTAAAGTGATTTTCAACATATCTCAGAGCTTTGAAGTGGTGGAAATTTTAGGAGAAGGAGCTTACGGTATTGTCTGCCTGGCGATTCACAAGCCAACAGGAATAAAGGTAGCTATCAAAAAGATTGAGCCATTTGAGAAGCCCTTATTCAGCTTAAGAACTTTAAGGGAAATTATGTTGCTTGACAAGTTCAGGAAGCATGAGAATATTATTTCGTTATATGATGTACAAAAGCCATTGAACTTCGAGAGCTTCAATGAAGTATACTTGATCCAAGAATACATGCCAAGTGATCTCCACAAGATAATTGCTACACAGAGTCTTACTGATGATCATATACAATATTTCATATATCAGATCTTGAGAGGATTAAAGTTAATCCATAGTGCCAATGTTATTCACAGGGATTTAAAGCCATCAAATATTTTGGTTAATGGAAACTGCGATTTGAAAATATGTGACTTTGGATTAGCAAGGCTAGATACTTCTGCGGAGAAACTTGGAAAATTGGATAGGGCTCCAGAAATTTCTATGCTTACAGAATACGTGGCGACGAGATGGTACAGGGCACCGGAAATAATGTTATCGTCGTCGCAATATACGACTTCGATTGACTTATGGTCCGTTGGGTGCATTTTAGCTGAACTTTTCACTTGCTCTCCTTTATTTCCCGGACGAGATTACAGGCACCAGCTAATATTAATATTTCAATTACTCGGAACCCCAACTGGATCTGACTTGAGCAGTGTAAAATCTCATAGAGCTAGAGACTATATCAGAACATTACCATTTTATGAGCCGTTGGATCTCAAGGCAACATTTAATAGCCACCCTAATAGAATGAGAAGATTTAAAGGTGAGGCAATAAATCCTTTGGGTTTGGATTTATTGGAAAAATTGTTAGTGTTTGACCCTAAGAAGCGTATTAGCGTTGAAGAAGCATTACATCATCCTTATCTATTGACATACCACGATCCTAGCGATGAGCCTTTTACTAGTCCGATATCATGTGATGAGTTTGAGTTCGATAAAAGAAAAGACCAGCTAAATGTATTGGAATTGAAAAGAGTCCTATACAATAAAATCATGAATCATAAAAATTAGTCCATATCAGTCTAGCTTACTATCTAGATGTATACAAAAAGACGTTCCAGGCATATGCATTGAGTAGTAGTATTTAGTTTCTCGTCCCAAACCAAATCAAAATAAGTATCTAAAATCTGGCGCTATCTTAGAGCCATCATTACCTTTACCTAACTCCTTTTCCCAATTCATTGTTCCAAGAGTAATACGCTTGTTCAAAGTTAATATCCTTATCCTTAATAGCACAGCACACATGATCGCTAACAAGATAAAAGCACAATTACAAACAAAAGCAGTTAAGTACCTAGGACCTGAGGAGGATGGATATAAGAAAGCGTTCCAAATTGAAGTTGAATTTGAAAGACAGTTCATTAAGGAAAGACCAATTGCTCTCTTCAACGGTGGTCGAGGGGCGCAATTTGACAACCAAGACAAGATGGTCGTGAAAGAGCAATACAAAGATGGAATCATTATGCACATAGCGAAGTATCTTGCTCCAACATTGAGCGTGGACGCCGATATTATGAATGAAGCAAGTGATATGCATAATGGAATCACGACGTGAAAGAACCTTTCACCAGTAGCGTCCGCATGTCTTGCCCAAATGTAGGTTGCAATCACTGCAATAATATAAGGGGGAGCAGTCAAACACAAGGTTGTTGTCCTGTTGAAATTCAACGTCTCCACTACTGAAGGGAAGAAGTTAGTAACACCACATGCAGCCACAAGAAAGAATAAAATACCTGAACACAACCAAATTTTGAGATCGCTAAGAGCCAACTTAAGAGCACCTAAATAAGTCTCCTGGTTTTCAGAGTCTGAGTCATCTTGTCCAACTTCTGCACGGAGTTTCCACATCACAAGATCTTTCTCTTGTTGGGACAAAAATTTAGTATTAGAAGGCATATCTGGTAATATGAAGTAAGCAAAAGGTACAGATCCAACAGTTATCGCACCTTCCACGATAAACAACCATCTCCATCCTCTAAGGTTATGTAATAAGTCCATTCCATCTAAAATACCTGCGGCGATTAAACCTGAAAATGCACTGCTGACCAAACTACCGCTGTACAATATCGAATTTCTAAACGAAAGCTCTTTACGAGTATACCAACAAGAAAGATAGTAAAGACAGCTTCCAAAGAATCCAGCCTCAACCCACCCTAAAAGGAAACGGACCACTACCAAACCTGCGTAACTTTGGACAGCACCTGTACAAGTGGAAATAATACCCCACACAGTCATGATGACACTGATAAATAAAGAAGGTTTCCCTAACTTATTCAAAATCATGTTGGCAGGTATTTGCATCACAATATAACCCACGAATAAGATCGAAATACATGTTTGATATTCTGTTCCTTTCAACCCTAATTCATCTTCCAACCCACCTAATCTGGCACTAGCAATATTGTTCCTATCCAAATAATTTAAAATATAGATATAAACAAGCATAGGCAAAATTCTAAGGTCAATCTTCCACTTTGTCTTTTTTTCTAAAGCTGCAAACTCTTCAGGTGTAAGGTCTCTCAAAGACTCAGGAAGTTCGAGATTTTTCTGAAGCTCAGTAGGAAGCTTGGTAAGGTCATTTTCCAGAGTAAGTGCTTCTTTCAACTCGATCTCCTTTTCACCATCGATAACACCCTCGACATGAACTGCTTCCGTCTTTTCTTTATTATCTGTTTCCATCTTTGCTACTAATGGACTTTTTTTTTTGGATTTGAATGGATTTGCAGCCTTAAATATCCTGAGCATTTTCACCACACGAATTCATAAAAAATACTGCCAACAAATATCTGCATACCAATAGACTTAGAGACCCACCCCGGATGTCCTTGCACTTAACTGTAAGACGCCTTTGCCCTTCTAACTAGATGATCTAAGCTAGCTACTTAGCTGCACCGCAAAAGTGTAATCGCGACTTCTTAATACGGGTTAACGCACGGCAAAAGCCTTCCGTCATGCACGACACTATTGTTTTAAGAGTTTGTTCCGGATATCCCCCACGTCTCCATAAAAAAGCAAGTTTCATTTGCATCGTTTAGTTTTGGAAAGGTATCCCCCCCATGGGAATCTCTCCACGAGTACTTACTGTAGTGTCATTAGCATGATTGCTTGACCACTATCAGTGGGGTAATGTGGGGCAAAGGGATAGCTTAGGATGTAATCTCAAGAAATCGCTGAGTATTATTTGCATGGCTGCATTCAACAAGATATTTTTGAGTTCAACATGTAAGTGGGGGCGCATATGTACGTGGGGTCTTGCTTCATGTCCGTTTATTACATAAACAAAAGACAAAAACTCATGTCGTAATAAGATGTCGTGAGTGTGGCGACTGTGCGACATTATACCGGTGAGGCTACTCCAGGCAGATTAGAAACTCATTTAGGTTCTTGGAATCATAGCGCTTGATCTTTGACAGGGATTTGAGTGAGGAATGTACAATAATAAGGATATTGCTCCCGAAGAGGATCATGAAGACAGTGATATGGTGGATGCATATAGGGCCGAAGATGTTGAAGAAACTACAAATGGCATAGAAAGGCAAGAGCAGAATATTGAAGCTTCTGATAATGATTCTGAAGATGAGTCTTTGCGAAGAATGTCCGAGCAAGCAAGACGAAGGAGAAATTTTGGAGAAGCTATAGAGCGGGAAACAGAACTGGAAGACTTCGATGAGGGTACCATGGATCCTGCTGATTTCTTGAGGAGACTACTTCGGGCCAGGTCTAGTACCAGAAGCGCCGAGGCGCCAGATGATGACAACGAAGATGACGATGGCGATGATGGAAGAAGTGATGATCCAAGATCAGGATTTTTAAGGGCTCTTGGTGCGTTATCATCTGAGCGCCCTGGTGAGCCTGAAAGGGGTCAAGGATTTGTGGATGTAATGCAAAGATTGATGGGGGGTGGCGTTTTATTTGGGGGACGAGAAAATAGTGAAATGGAGGGACTTATAAATAATTTGAACCAAAGAGAAGACACATTTATAATTTTGGAAACATTGAATGAGCTCTCAGAAAGGTTGTTGATGATGAATGGCATTACTGCAGAACGAGTGATTCCGGCAAATAAGCTTGCTAAGAGCTTGATAAATATCATGGAAGACCCACAGTTAGCTGAAGAGCTTGAATTACACTTAGTGGCTTGTAGATGCCTATACAACTTTCTTGAAGTAAATCAAGATTTCATTCACGATGCATTAAATAATGGCGCAGTTGAGGTGTTGTGCGGAAAACTATTAGAGATAAGCTTTATTGATTTAACAGAACAAGCCTTACAAACACTTGAAATGATTTCTCGTGATCCTATCTCTCATAATCAAATTATCATTAATAACGGATTAAAGGCTTGCTTACAATATTTGGACTTTTTGACAATTCATGCCCAAAGAAAGTGTATGATCATTGTTGCAAATGCATGCTCCAGCATAAGGATATCTAATTTTGAGTTGGTGAGAGAGGTATTTGATAATCTTTCAGATTTCGTCAGAATGCATAATGACTCCGTTGTGGCGGAGAATGGATGGCTTGCTATATCTCGGATTATAATGAGCTTCAAAATGAAACCAGAGTTTATGGAACAGCTTTTTGATGGAAAGGATTCATTATTGAAAGAGCTTACTGAAATTATTTACGTTAGTTGCAATAAATCCCAAAATTCCGATGATACATCCAAGACTCCGCTAAGCTACGGAACATGCATCAGTCTCATAAAGTCCTTGATTGTCCTAGTAAGTGTCAGCGTGAAAATATCAAGGATACTATTAGAATCTTGCTCAATAGGAGACCTTATAGTAAAATCTTTGAATAAATATTCAAGAGCTCCACATATTGATGAACCGATTGAGACAATTACCTCGAAATCATCGATTGATAATATTTTAATCGAAGCATTAATGGCTGCTCCAAAGGAACTTCTTTCACAGCTTTTAACTTTGATTGGATATTTATTACCCATAGCATATGATTCGACCGATATTCAACTTTTTCAAAAATACGAATCTTATGAGGAGAAAGAGCAAGTAAATTCTGATCGAATTAAACTTTGTAGAGATATAATTCCAGATTCTTATTGGAAATTCGTGAACGAAGTTTGGTCTTTGTTGATAAATAGTTTTCAAGCTACTATGGATTACGAAATAAGGAGAAAGGTGTTGGTAAATTTATTGAGAATTATATCGTTCAGCAAAGAACTGGACTTCAGGAAGATTCATGGCGTTGAGATGGTGACCGGTCTCTTAGCATCAGTAGTACACCAAAGTAGGTCTAGTTTGAGCAAATTCTCGAACGCGGAGGAAGATATCGATATGCAAGATAGTGACGCAGATCAACTTGAAGAGGAAGGTGTAGATACTGACTTCGGGTCTTCCGGACTTGATAACGACTTGGAGGAAGAAATGAATTCACTTGAGGATGAACACGAAGATGTGGATAGTGTGTTCGAAGACGATGATCAGGAAATAGGAGGAGACCTGGAAGATGATGTCAATAATGTCGATTCTGATGGTGATGCAGTAAGTGGGTTTGAAAACGCAGATCGTGACGATACAAGTAATGAAGAAGGTCAAAATAAAGAGAGGAACCTCAATCGCCGGATTAGAATCGATGGGCATAGGAAACCTTACGAGCCAGAAGAAGATACAGTAATGATGAATTCAAAAAAGTTGCTATTAAGTACATTCTTGTTATCACAGAATTTATTGAGAAAGGCTCCTAATTTATTTGTCAAAGATTTTGAAAGGGAAGGTTTAATCAATGACACATTTACTATACTAAGTCAATTAAAAGGATCCTTAAAGGATCTTGATGTAGAAGATCTTGGAGGTTTCTCAAATATACATGGCAATAAGTTTACGGATCTAGAGGTTACAAAGGATGCTTTCTCTAGATTTTCTAGCAGGAGACTTTGCTCTGAAATCAAGAATGTTGGCTCCAGAATTGAGAACCTTTATATCGATTTGAAGGCATCTGATATACCAAGTAACATTCCAGAGAACATGAAACTTTTGAACGAAGTAAAAACAACTCTTAATGACAAAAATGCTATTGCTGAATACGATTACGAAGGCTGGAAGTCAATGTGGATAAAATTGAAAACATTATTGATCGGTGATGGATCTGATTTCCATATATCAAGTTTTGAGCTCATAACATCTGGAATTATTGATGTGTTAGCTGATCTTTTTACTTCGGATGACAATGATTTTGGGTTTGAATTCAGTGAGTGCTATAAGGCTTTCGTTTCGACTTTTTTTGTGAACACTCAAAAAGATTCATCAGTTTCCCATTTGGTGAAAAAGCTTCAAGAAGCTTTGACGAGATCAGAATCTTTTCAAATAATATCATCTGGTGGCCCTACATCTATATTTCCTAGATTTCAACGAGAAAAGAGCCAAACTGCAGCTATGGCTGGACAAGTAAAATTAAGAGTTATATCTGAAGACACCAAGATGGATAAGATTCCAGATAGCATCGAGAATATGGTCCTCTCTGTTCACGCAATCGCTACTTTTAAGTCAGTTGAGACATTTTTACAGCAAAGAATCAAATTCCTTGAGGGTTGGGATGATGGCAGTGATAATGAGAATATTAATACGCTGGAAGATGAGGCTCCTCTGGAAGAACAAAAAGACGCTATAATTCAACAAGGATTTGAAATTGAGTTTTTAATTAATGGTGAGGTAATTCCTAACGAGACTACGATTTATGGAGCGGTTTATAAATATTTGCAAGGAAACTCAGATAATACTGTCGACTCTTCGCAGATTTGGTCTAAGATTCACAACGTTAATTTTAGAAAGGTTCTGCCATCGAGTTCAAAGGAGCCAAAACCGCTTTCTTACAATTTGAGCGTAAATGGCAGTGAATTAGACATATATGATAAGACCACTTCCAGTATATTAAACCTTTTGAAAATTTTGTTCGAAATGAATGCTTTTGTGAAAAGTAATTTAAGCTATGGAGATAGCATTTCCAACGATTTATTCATGAACTGGAAATTGACAGTGAAATTTAACAGACAGCTCGAGGAACCTTTGGTCGTTGCAAGTGGGACATTACCGAGTTGGAGTATTCACATTACCAAAAATTATTCATTTTTATTCCCGCTTGATACTCGTATTTTTTTCATGCAGTCTACTTCTTTTGGATATTCAAGATTGATACATCAGTGGCAGCTTAGAACTAGTCAAGAGAATGAAGATCTTAATCAAAACAATGGAAATGGACCAAATAACTATGGTCTTCAACTAGGTCGCCCTACTCGTCATAAGGTAAGGCTTTCAAGAAAGATGATATTGCAGAGCGCACTTAAAGTATTGAATATGTATGGCTCCACACCAGGAATACTTGAAATAGAGTATTTTGATGAAGTGGGCTCTGGTCTTGGTCCTACATTAGAGTTTTATGCTACCGTTTCGAAAGAATTTGCGAAGAAGAGGTTGAAATTATGGAGAGATCTTGATACTACGAACAAGGACGATGAGGATTATGTGACATCGAAAACAGGTTTATTTCCTGCACCTCTCGATAAGAACCAGGCAAGCCTGGAAAATGGCCGAAAAGTAATGTATTTTTTCAATTCGCTTGGTAAGTTCATTGCTAGAGCTTTATTGGATTCTAGAATCATAGATTTTAATTTCAACCCAGTTTTTTTGAAGCTAGTGCAGTTTCTTAACCAAAAGGGTTCGAATAAGTCGCCATCCAAAGAGCTCAAAAAGATTGCAAATTTACCATGCTTAAGATTGGTCGATCCTGAGTTAGCCAACTCCCTTGAACATTTATTGAAATACATCAAGCAATTCTCTCATGTAGAGGAGAGCCAGCGCAAAAATATAGAAATTGATGGTGCTACTTTGGAGGACCTTTCTCTCAGTTTCGTACTCCCGGGATATCCAGAATACAATTTGATTCCAAAAGGTGAGGATATACCCGTCACTGTTGATAATGTTGAGCAATTCGTAAGCAAGGTTTTAGAGGCAACTTTGTATACCGGTATTCTTCATCAAACAAAAGCATTTATGGAAGGATTTTCAAAGGTTTTCCCTATCAAGTCATTAGCTATATTTTCAGCAGAGGAACTAGTGAAACTATTTGGTAGTGCCGAAGAAGATTGGTCATTTGAGACCTTAAATGCAGCCATTTTTGCCAACCATGGCTACACTAAAGATTCCGAAGCAATCAAGCATCTCATTAGTATTCTAGTAGACTTTGATAAAGTTGAGAGAAGTTTCTTTTTACAATTTTTGACTGGTGCACCCAAATTGCCAATTGGAGGGTTCAAGGCTTTGAGACCGGAGCTCACCGTTGTGAGGAAACAACCTGAAGACAATTTGAAGGATGATGATTATTTGCCAAGCGTTATGACGTGTGCAAACTACCTTAAACTCCCGAATTATTCTTCACAAGTTCTCATGAAGGAACGCTTATTGCAAGCAATTCATGAAGGGGCTGGTGCATTTCTCTTATCTTGAAAATTATATAGTGTTTCTATTACTTGTTCCGTCCCTTTATAAATATACGTTAAAATAAGTAAAGAGACTATCTTTTTCTGAGAAAGTGTTTGTGCGCAAAACATCGATTCTGAACGAACTGTAATATATTATAGTCCATTATCGAACATAATGTCCTCAAGCATTAAATTGAACCTGATTGTCTCTTCCTTAGTTAGCTCAGCACCTCCTGGGGAATTGAATGATGTTGGAAAAGACATATCTACGATTTTATCGTCGGAAACTTCGACCATTGGTAGATCATTAGAAGAATTTGTTAACGAACACGGAGCAATTTTCTCTCATAAATATATCGCTTCAAAATATAATAAGGATCCGAATTCTACAAAGTATATTGATTACATTGGAAAGAAGTTGTTTAATATTGATATATCGAAACAATTGGCTATTGATGTTGAAGATTATGAACCGCTGGTCACTTACCCTTTATATTTCAATGACTTGGTCAACTTAATGGAATCTTACGGTGAGGATCATTATCCATCAAGCTACGCATTTACAATAATACCGGGCGATTGTGAAGTGAAGATAGTTATTATTGGACAGAAATTAAACCAGCAAAATTATTATACTGGAGAATGGATGTCAGTCTACACAGTTAAAGATGGCTCCCTCGAAGGGTCTATTACGCTCAATATTCATTATTTTGAAGAAGGGAATGTACGCATGAAATTCAAAGATGATGTAAAAGAATCTTTAAGTGAATTAAATGCTAGTTCAATTCTCAATTTAATTAACGCAACAGAGAACAAGCTCACGCTTTCAATAGTAAAGAATTTTAACGAACTCAATCAGAAGTCATTCAAGAATCTCAGAAGGCTTTTACCAGTTACCAGATCCAAGATTAATTGGGGGAAAGCTATTGGTAATTACAGATTGGGTTCTGATGTCGTTAACCAGTAAATAATTAAATATGTATAACCTTCACTTCTTTCAGTATTTTTAAAGTACAAAGTATAGTCGAAAAAACTAAACTCCCTTTGGTCCATTTCGTTTTCTCTTGATCCTATCGTTCCCCTCGATCATCTCAATTTATAAAGCATCCAAAGTACAATGAATCCGATTAATATTACGCCAACAACTTTTGATAAACTAGCATTCCTTCTAAGCACGTTTCGAAGGTCGCCACCCGTTCTTCTCACCTGCTGCATCATTTGACCAAAGTTATCGTTCAAGCTATCTATTATCAGATTTTCCAGCAGAATGGCGCCATGAATATCATTATCAACAGTGCTTCTAAACTGGTGAAGCGTTTGAGCTAATTGATCAAACCTTTGATTGTTCAGCTGCTCCCTCAGAGCATAAAGTGAATCAGTCATGCTGAATTTAGCGATAAGTAGTTATTCGCTGGTTGTAATTAATATTTATATTACAGAACGCACCTTTAAAGATTAATACTACAGAATCGCGCAATCTTAAAACTTCACAAATACGTAATTGATATTTACGATTACTATAAATTGTTAACATCGGGAAACCTATTAACATTCAGGAATTGATCATTAGTTGGAGGATTTCCAGAATAATTTGGCGGTATTCCTGTATGACTAGGAATAGAAGATTGCCGTCTTTGATTGAAAGAGGTCGGCGGTGGCTGATGGGGCATATAGTAATCTCCTGAGGGAGCTTGAGGAGGATGCATGTTTATGGAACCGTTACCAAATCCAGAACCAGTAGGCTGCTGTTGCAAATATTGTTGCAGATTTGTAGGGGGGTATGGGTGGACGTTCTGATGAGCACCGTAGGACTGTTCTCTACCACTACTGTTCATATTTCCATTGTCTCTGGAAAAAGTTGGATAAGGCGGAGCAGTTGGCATGCTTGTTCGACGATTTACTCTCTGCGTAATCAGCTGATCAGCCAACTCATTATAAAGTTTCATTTCATTGTTAAGTTGATAATTTAATGCCATAAGCTCTTCCTTTCGAACACTGTACTTGTCTATGAACTTACCCAAGCTAGGTCTCAAAGGAATTATCTCATTGTACAAAGACGTTATTTCATCCTCATTAGAATTGGAGTTAGATGATAATAATGCTAGCAAATGATCTACCTTTCTCAGATCAACCGAAAGAATTGTATCTTCTGTCTCTAGCTCTTGATTCAATTCTTTCTCACTCTTAGCAACTATTGGGGTTACATAATTTAAAGGGAAAATTCCAACTTTACCATTCGGTAAAGAGCCTCTCCACCAGTCGCGATACACAGATTCTATTACGGTTATCACATCGCCTTTTCTAAAGGATAATTCGTCTGGTTCGTAGGACACTAAATCATATAAGGCACGAACCTTAGATACACTAGTTATAGTTTTTGCATTATCATCATCGTCATCTTTATTAGTTCTACCCGCACCAGCCTTTTGCGATACAATGGGCTGTTTTACAGCCTCTTCAGTAGATGGCAAGGGCTTATCTCTCAAGTAACTCTTTTTAATGGAGTTTTCCCTCTCGTATTCTTGTAAAGACATCTGAAGCACCCTTTGGAGGTCATCCTCTTCCTTCATTTTGTCTTCTTTTGAAATCTCCATCTTAGCTGGCTTGTTTGGAGCCGGGCCTGCCTTTCCCTGAAGCATGAACTGAGAGTAGTCTCTCTTAATTTCATTATAAGCATCAGTCATGGGCTTCAAGGAAGGGTCGTTCTTGAATGACTGATATAACTGCTCAATGACTTCACAGATTCTGCACTTAACTGTGCGATGCAATTTCTTATCTCCAAGTTTCTTAATTAATGTACCTTGAACGAATGACTTCGTGGCTATTTGCTGTCTCATTCTCGAGCCACAATTCTCTGCTATAGCAACTAGTAATGATAAGGATCTCAATATGACATTAGCATCTTTAACGGATAATCTCTGCGATACGTAATTGATTGCTTGTTGCGTCCTTTCTTCAGGATTAGCTGATATTTGATCGCAAACATCAAGAATATATTGCCAGTTGTCCGCCGTTAATGTTTCATCTGTAGCTTTCTTTATCAAGTGCTCTAAATCAGAAGAACTGGACTTCGAAGCGAACATGCTGCAATTTCTAAGTTATAATAATGAGTCGTATGATATCACAAATCATTTTGCCTTCCCCTTTTTTCAAGGTCATCCTGCATTCAAAGTTTTTTCTGTTCTTTTTTGTTTTTTCGTTAAAGAAGGCTTTCCCAGGAATCAATATTGTAAATTCAAATATAATAATTCAAGAAAAGCAAGCTGTTTTGAGCTTTTTGACTACGTACATAGTATTATTGGTTATGACCAGCAAAGAAAGCTCACCTCCAGGAACACCAGAACAAAATTTTACTAATAAGGAACGTAGTTCCTCAATGGGAAACATTGCAGTTGGAGATACTAGCCCTTCTTTGTCAACGATGAGAAGATCAAAACGTGAGAGAAAGAGATCTGATGCCAGATTACATACATTGTCGAAGGATGCCAGTTCAGATTCTGCTATTTTCGAAAAGATTGTAGTTGGTTTCAAAGAATTGAGCTATAGACAGACCTGGCTTAAGCCACTACTAGTTTTGGTCGCGTCAACTTTCGTATATTTAAGCTCTGGGAAAGACACAACGATTCATAAAATATTAGAAGCTATGATAAGACCATCGTATCATATCGAAGGGACAGATCAGTACGGTAAAGGTGTGAATGATTTCTTTTTTGTTGGTTACTATGCAATTTTTTTCACATTCTTAAGAGAATTTTTAATGTGCTGCTTTCTTAAACCTCTTGCATCTTACTTTTCAATAACCAAAAAGGGGAAGGTGAGTAGATTTATGGAGCAGACATATGCGATGTTCTATTATGGCCTTGTGGGTCCGTTTGGTTTATGGATCATGTCTAGGTTACCTCTTTGGTTCTTTAATACTAGACAGTTTTACGAGAACTATCCACACAAGACGCATGATATATATTTCAAGATCTATTACTTGGGGCAAGCAGCATTTTGGGTTCAACAATCCGTTGTTTTAATCTTGCAATTGGAAAAGCCTCGGAAAGATTTCAAAGAGCTAGTTTTACATCACATTATTACAATTGCTTTAATTTGGACTTCGTATAGATTTCACTTTACTTGGATCGGTTTAGCTGTCTATATTACTATGGATGTGTCTGATTTCTTTTTAGCGACATCAAAGACACTAAACTATTTGGATTCACCTATCCAGGGTCCTTTCTTTGTCATTTTTGTTGGTATTTGGATATATTTGAGACACTATCTCAACTTGCGTATATTGTGGTCAGTTTTGACTGAATTTAGAAGTGTCGGCGAGTGGGATTTGAACTGGGATACCCAGCAATATAAGTGCTGGATATCCCAACCCATAACTTTCTTTTTAATCAGTGCTTTGCAACTTGTCAATATGTATTGGTTATTCTTAATCTTCCGTATTCTTTACAGATATGTGTATGGTGGCGTTACGAAAGATGAGCGTAGTGATGATGAAGAATCAGATTCAGAATCCAGTGAAGATGACGAGGTGAGTAAGAAGAATATTTGAGCCAGCTGAGATCAATCATGCAGTTGGTGTAACTCTTCGAATTCGTATCAATTTATATACTACATAGAATGATGATTAATATTTGACAATATCAATATACAGGATTGACCGTAACTGAAGTGGTGAATTTTAAATCAGTAAACTATCTTGAAGAAGATTATGCCTATTACGATTTCGTCCTACGACTTATTAACATACCATGAAGAAGAAGTATTTGAAGATGCAGAAGTGAGAAGATTTGTCTTGAACCATGGAGCGGAAATATTTGAATTGCCTCGATTCGAAAGTAAGAGAACCTCGTTACAGGAAAAGTCTTTCGTACCTGCAACTTTGATCTGTGATTCGGAGACGCTAGAGCAATCAATGGCAGAGCCGTGGGATTTGGAAGATCCGAAATTTAAAGAATACTTCGAGCTTCAGAAAAGACATAAGGAAGACTTTCTACTTGAAATCCAGTCTAAGGGTATTACATTAACGAGCGATAGAGAACGGGTTCAAAAAGAGGGCCAAGCTCTAACTAATTTAAAACATATCAACTACTAAATTGAAGAAGCAAAATTACGGAACTTGCAAGTATATAGTCTATTTACAATTTGAGCTCTATTTATTAGTTATTAACATGCTTAAAATGTAGCTCTGTTATCATGAGATGGCTTCCTTGAAAACATCTTGGAGTTCGCTCCTTTTGAACTTTGATATTCCCCAATGACTTTTAATCTGGATCTCAATCCATCCTCCGCAGATCTTGAAAGAATCCCCAACATCATTGAAGAAACTCTCATCGAATCATCGTTAGATGGAATAGGATAAGTCAACAAAGACGGCTCCATATCGGTATCGCATAGGCCAATGGTTGGTACCCTCAGTTTTATGCATTCATTTATGCAATTTCTGTTTTCAACTGGATTTAGTAAAACTACCAAGTCAGGTTTTACTAGTCTCTCTTTGAGCTCACCCAGTAAAATACGATTCGTTGGAGTATTCGACATATCAACTTCGACAACTTTTTCACCACCAATTTGTTTCGTTACTTCCGTGAAATTGGTGATAGTTCCAGGAATCCATCTTCTAGAGACATAGTACCCACGACATCTCGAAGCTGCCTCCTCTAATGCACGATGCTGCTCCCAGTGTCTAGAGGTACCAACGAATAAAATAATACCACCTTTTTCACTAACACCTTTTATAACTTGGCAAGCCCTCTTAAGAGCCGACAAGGTTTCATTCAAATCTATCAAGTGAATGCCATCGTACTCACCGTATATAAAAGGTTGAGTCGTGGGTCTCCACATGGCCTTTGCATGACCCATATGACAACCAGCAGCTAGTAATGTGGATATGGAAGTATCGCAGATACTCGTTGGATTACGAACTTCATTTCTTGGCTGATAAATATTATTCAAAGAGGAACCCAATGAGCCGGTGAGGCGAGAATGTGCTAACTGTCTCAAATAGAGCTCCTGGTCAGAATAAGGTTTATAGTCTGGAGTAGGTTTTAAGTTAGGGAACTGGTTAGTGAATGAATTCGAAGCCGTTGACTTTATTTCTTTCTGTACAGCCGAATTTTCATTTGATTCACTTTCACTTTTCTTGATAGATTCAGGAGAAGAGCTTGCCCACGGGCTATTTGCAATCTCACTTTGAGGCAACTTCATATTACTAAGCATGAACTCTTCTAGTTCCTCATCTAATTGTTTAACTTTACTCTGATTAGCAATTGAGTCTAAATCTCGTTGAAGTGATTGTAATCTTGATTCGATTAGATCTGAGGGTGCTTTATTTAATTTATCGATTAAATCTCTACTCTTAGCCCTCAACTCATACAAAGCTTTAGCCTTTGCTGCTATCTCTTCCTCTCTTGCGAGAGCGTCAGCTATAGCCTTTTCACGAAGCTCTCTTTGAGTTAATTCTACCTTCTCCGTTTTTTCGCCTGAAATAGTGGTAGAAAATTGCTTTCTCCACCACGAGCGATGAGGCACAGAACCCCTATTTATATGTTTGATTCCCTTGGAGCTGTACATCTTTTTCCTACCTTCGGTGCTTGATAATTCCTCAAACAATATGTACCGTACCTATGGACTAAGTCCAAATGAATATTTTTCATTTTTCTGTTCGCACGACTTCTAAAGCAGCATTCATTAGCACGACCTTAAAGTCTATCACTAATTCACTCTATTATGTATACTTCTGATGATACAATACAAATATGAGTTGAAAACATTTCAAGAATTTTCTTATTTCATATTAGACATCACCGAGGGTATAGATGATACAATAAAGGTTGCTTATTTGATTATTGCTGATCCAAATCTAATTAATGCCCGTTTAGAATATAAGAATGCTAGCATTGGGAAAATCAACAGAACCTGCGAAATTAGGGTCATATTGATCGAGAATATTAACGAATTAAAGCTGTTGATAAGCTCAAAATTTTCTGGTTTAAATCTGTCCAAGTATGCGCCGAAATCTCTGAGTTCAAAAGTAGTGGGCATTTACGGTGTGTTCGACTACTTTATGAAACAAGGAGATTTAGCGCTCGAAGAAGACGTACAGCTGGATGTCTTTGAGAATAGCACTGTTGATAGATTTTTGAAGGCAGAGGAGTATTCAGGGAAAACAGTGAACTATATCTGCTATCTTTTACATCGATTGACAAATATTAATTATGAAGTTTTTCTATCTGAACCAGATGTAATGGCGACGGGCAAATATATACCTTCTCTATGGAATAAAAGAATCCCCAATTTATGGACGATGAATCCAGACCAGTATTGCAAGAAGTTCGAGAAAATAAGTGATCAATTTATTAGTAATAATAAAATAAAGAAATCTGTAAGGGGGACTGAAGAAAAGGAAGGGTTAGCAAAGGAAAAGAAAGAATCCAAGGGTAATCTAGTTCCTTTAGGACTAATACTATCTAAATGGGTCAGTCTTTAGCCGATCTCTTATTACATCGATTTTAGATATTTATAATTATGGAAGTTTTCGTAACCTCATCCATCAAGTTTTAATATTTCAAACAGCCCTGTGAGGTTTTGCAACTTATTTCGCTTCTTCGATTTTAGATTCCTGAGCACCCTCGTCTTCAGCAGCAGCATCATCAGCATCGTCGTCACCTTCAAGACCTGCACCTGCTTGTCCCAATTGGCTCGCTAAAGAACTAATATCAAAGTTACCTCCTGGGCCACCGGCACCACCAGCACCACCCATACTTTGCATCAATTGAGAGAAATCTAAGCCTCCAGCGCCACCTGGACCACCAGCACCGCCAAGACCACCAGGACCGCCAGGACCACCAGGACCACCAGGACCACCAAAGCCGCCACCCATGTTCATCATATTGGCCATGTCATCATCTTCAGCTGCTTGTTCATCTTGTTCATCTTCGTCCACCCATTTGTCGAAATCAGTTTTGATGTAATGTAACTTCAACTTTTCTTTCGTTAATCTTGGCCAGAATTCGGCCTTCTTGTTCTTCTTCCTCAATAAAAAGAAAATGTGGGACCCGTTCGAAGTGTTTTTATGAGAATTCTCTGGATCAATCTCATCATAAAAGTCAATGGCCAACTCATAGTGTACATCAGAGTCTGAAGAATCAGCAGAAAGTTTCAAACTTGTGGAGTTCAAATCAATCTTAGCATTTTTAGGATCAAGAACTTCGATTGTCAAATAAATCACATTTTTCGAAGCATCATCAGCACTAGAGCGCTGAGCCCATAAGACAGTAGGTGTAACGGTAGACATCTCGATTAATTACTACTATAGTCTATATATCCTTTAGATTTTCGAATTGTAATACGAACTATTCTAGTTAAATATTTCTATCCGGAGCTTTGATTCTCGAATATTCTAAAGAACACCAAGTACCAGGATCACGTGTATTTAAATTGATTTAGACTTATACACCACCGTAGTGGATTTCGATAAGAAGGAAATAGAAAATTAATGCGGTGTTTTCAGAGCTAAGCAGAGTCAATGACTTGAAGAAATTCATAGTAGAAAGCTATGATTTGAAGATGCGAATCAAAAGGTATATGTTCATCTACTCCGTGCGCATTTGTATCAACAGTAGCAACGAGTCCAGGTCTATATCTGTAAATGTGATCAGTTAGATCCCAATAATGCTGTGTATCAGTGTTACCTGTAGCAATACCTGGAGCGACTACGACCTTTTTATCTTTAAACTTCTTTGGCATACTATCGCGTGCTACTTCTTCATAGACATGTCTAATTGTACCAGCTAACAATTTCCAGTGCTCATCATTTATGGGCGTTAAAGGCGCTGGAGACAATGGCCAATCTATTTTAACAGTGAAAAACCCATTTTTTGTTTTACGCTTAATCTCTGTGCCATCATAAATGACTCCAAGATTATGCTTCTTCGCTATGAACAAAATATTAGCCAAATCTTTAGCAAGCGTTGCATTGACAGTGCTCTCTATAGCGATCCTATGATTGACAACAATTTCCACATATTCTGGTAATGCATTTGATTTTGCACCACCATGAACTATATCGACTGCTTGGGTGGTCCCAATAAGAGCTCTGGTAGTCTTCGACTTAGTCAAGTAGTCTACAGCAATTTCATTTGACTTATTATCATAGCCAGATCTAAGAATCGCGGTTTTCGTTTTCAGGTCTAAGGATTTGGAATGGATTGCAACACACTGATATTCATGAAAAGTAGGATTCAATGGCGAGAAAATGGGTGGAAAAGGATTAGACTCTATTCTATTAATCAATTTGGCCATGATACCGATTGAAGTATGATCAGGGGGTACCGAAGAATGCCCACCTGGTGTATTTAGACCGACTATTAAATTTAACAAACCCTTTTCACCAGTACCAGGCAAGGCAAGAACGACTCCTTCTTGTTCGACAATACTTTGACCACCTTCATCGATAACTGCATAGAAAGAATTCTTCCCATACCTTTCCAGAAGAAAATTTCCAATCGATTTAGCTCCTCGTTCTCCACCAATTTCTTCATCAAAACCAAAACCATATATAATGGTTCTCTTAGGCTTAAATCCATCTTTGATTAACTCTTCTGCAGCCTCTAACAATCCAATCAACAAGTTTTTGCAGTCAGCAGATCCACGGCCCCATAATGATTTACCATCATAAACACCTTCGTAAGGAGGATAAGTCCAATCTTTGATGGTGGCATCTTGGGTTGGGACAACATCCTGATGTGCTGCTAAAAGAATTGGTTCCGAGGATTCGTCCTCACCTTTCCAGGTAATAACCAAACCCCATTCATTGACTCTCTCAACTGTAGCATGTTGCCATAAGAGCGGAAAAGAGTTTGCAAGAAATTCGTAAAAGGGGGAAAACTTCTTTTCCCAAAAATTGGGGTCATCTTCGACGAGTGGACTATCATCGAACACATCAGTTTTTATTCTAACTGCTCCTGAGAGCTTCTTGGCCGATGCTTTTCTAAATTCTTCGTCATTTAAAATTTTGATTAAGGTCTTATTATCCTGATAATATGATATAGGTCTCACAATCTCTGCGTAAGGACATACGCTAGTCAAAAGGTCGCTTTTACTTTCATATTTCTCATTGTCTGATAGAAAGAACTTAGATCTCAACAGGACATATATAAATATTACAATTGAAATGAATGAAAATGCTCTCAAGATTGATTTTTGAGCTCTTGCTTGCCCTGTGTGTTCGTTTATTTTATGTTGTCCTTTTTCCTCCATTTCAATGTCAGAATGCCTTATAATTGAAGTTGAGTTTAAAGTTGACCTTACATGGAATTGCTCGATATCGTGTATCACGAGTTTTTCTTAGCAATCAATTTGGGGTGAAAGCGACCTTCAAGATACTTGGAGAATAGAAAAAGATCAATTGTTTTTGCTGAAACCTCAATGATCTCAAAGCTCCCTTTAGAGATTCAAGTCAAATTACTAGCCATTGTTCCTTTTAGTTCTTTGAAATTAGTCAATTCCCATTTTTATATTCTTTACAACGACTTATTTTACGATAAAATAATAAATGCCTTCGGCGAAGAAAGTATAAGACTTATTATTAAAGTACTACCTTGGTTGAAAACTTATATAAAAACCTTGGATGCGTTTAGGTTCGGGTGCAGAAACATTATAGCTTCAAGACTTAAATTGAGAGATACAGATGAGTTCGAAAGTGATCTCCAAGACGTTTGTTCAAGCGATAGCGGCTACCTTAATTGCATGTATGTGAAAGATTCGTGGAGGTACATTTATTCATTGTTGAGAAATAAAAGGCTTTTCGCTGAATACTCTGATTATAAGATAGATGAACCAATTAACTACGTCTATAACCATTTTGTTGAGATCAATAGAACATACTTACTTTCATATGTGAAATCTTTGTGGCTTGCTCCAGGAACATACAACCTAAATATTGGATTAGTTATTAAACACGGAAGTGGGTTAGGGACTACGAAATTTGAGATAAAGTACGAAAATGACTCTGGAGAACAATCCACGCAATCATTCTACCCACCTACAAATATCAACGATATCCTTCCTAAACGTCAGTTTTGTTTTTTGAAAATTGCAGAATTTGACGTTCCTCCTACTAAAAATCACGACCAAAATATTCCCAATAAATTGAGAAAAGTAGAACTTGTCATGGAAGAAATAGGTTTATATCTTAAATCTGGTTTCAGAATTTTCTTCATTGATGTATCACAGCCTTCACTACTTTTTAATGATTATGACTTGCTCTATTACGCAGTTAATGAGACTGATTATAGGTATTTTATCAACATTCCACTCAAGAATTTTTATAAGGCTTTGAATTTTGTTCAGGAGAGCCCCGATGGTTATGGAGAGGGTGACCCAAAGGAAATCTGGGATCAATATGATCATACATTCTTGCAGGATTATCCTTCCAATAATAGCAAGCCATCAGGCAATAAGAACCGGCAAGAAAATTCAAGGTTGACGAAATATGCAAATTTTTTTTTCAACAATAAGTTTAAGAAGAGATTTTTCAAGTTTAATACAGTCTACCAAAGAAGGCAATTTGTGAATCGATTCGGTGATTTTGAACTCGACTGGGACGAGTATGAAGAACACTCTCATAGCGATGACGTCTCGCCTATCAGCAATGATCATATGAGCGGTGGACTCGAAAAGTCAAAAACTAAACACAAGAGTTGTTCCTACGACTGTCAAGGTCTTAAATGGAAAATTCCCATAATAGGTGAACTTTAATAATAGTCGGTACTCCTGTATACATACATAATGTAGTATCAATTATCTAAGATCAGATATCGCGAACACCAATAGATCAGTCACTGTGTAGTCTGCCCATTCTAAATCGATCATGGAGTTGAGGAAGGAGGAAGGCGAAGACAACATATTGAACGAACGGCATTTTTTGCCTACTAGCTTGGCAAGGAATCCTTCATCGGATCTGAAGATGGAGGACATGCTGACTCTAAGCGAAATTGAGACTTCAACAGCAGCTAGAGACATAGATGCAATTGAAGAACATATGCCAACCCCTAATGCATTCGAAGCTGGTTCTTCTATGGGAAATAATTCAAGAAATGCATCTCTAGGTGAGGAAGAATCTGATGAGGAGGATGCCAGGTCATCTCATGAGTTCAATAATAAACGAATTGTTCTACAAAGGTTCACGATATATAACTCCTTGAAGACTATGTACATCGTTGGAAGTAATGCGAAAGAGAACTTGTTTAGAGTTCTTGAGGTGGGCCAGGATCCGGGCGAACCAGATGCACTTTTAATAATTGAAGACAAGAGCTACTTTTACACTAGAAAAGATATGATTGAACTTATAAATGAATTGAATGATTCGATAGAAGGCGGGATTCATAAGATATCTAGAGGATATGGTCTTTTAGGTTTTATCAAATTTACAAAAGGGTATTACTTGAGCATTATTACGAAGTGCAGTCAGGTTGCTATTTTAGGAGGTCATTATGTTTATCACGTTGATGAAACTAAATTAATTCCTTTAGACGTCAATTATAGGAAGCCTGAAAAGTATAGCGATGAGGAAAAGCTTCTATCTATATTCAAGTACTTGGACTTGGGAAAGACTTTTTATTTCAGTTACACCTATGACATAACAAATACATTGCAAACGAATTTTTTGAGAAATAAAAAGCTTGCAACAGAATACCAGTTCATGAGTCGTCGCGATTATACATTCAAAGGGCATGCCGACCAATCCAATATATTTGAACTAAATGACCGATTTGTATGGAATAATCTTTTATTGGAGCCTATTTTAAAAAATAATGAGGTAGCTATTTACGAGTGGTTTCAGCCAATCATTCATGGATTCATTGATCAAGCAAATATTTCAATCTACGGTAAAAAGATTTTCATCACACTAATTGCTAGACGGTCCCACCATTTTGCTGGTCCACGGTTTTTGAAAAGAGGTGTAAACGACGAAGGGAACGTAGCCAATGAAGTTGAGACGGAGCAAATAGTTTCCGACATGTTGGTGACGCCCTTTCATGATCCAAAATACGGCTTTTACAACAATCCAAGGTACACAAGTTTTGTTCAGCATAGAGGCTCTATTCCCTTATATTGGACTCAGGATTTAAACCGTCTACCAAAACCACCTATTGAAATTAATCTTTCAGATCCATTTTACCAAAGCTCAGGACTTCATTTTAATAATCTTTTTGAACGATACGGGTCACCTATTATAATATTAAACTTAATAAAAGCGAAAGAAAGACAGCCAAGAGAGCTGAAATTAAATCAAAGTTTTTCCAATTGTATCAATTACTTAAATCAATTTTTACCTGAGCGGCATAAATTACAATTCAATTGCTTCGATATGTCCAAAAACTCGAAGAAAAATTTGGATGTAATTGGCCCTTTAAAAACAATAGCCTCTTCTTCGATTAAACAAATCGGCTTTTTCCACAACGGAACTGATATAGCATCCACCAAAATTCAGAAAGGTATTATCAGAACCAATTGCATAGATTGCCTTGATAGAACAAATGCTGCGCAGTTCATAACTTGCAAAGAAGCCTTGTCTCACCAATTAGTAAGTCTTGGCCTTATTTCAGAGTCTCAAACACTTGATTACGATTCCGATTTAATAAACATTTTAACTGAAATGTTTCACGATCATGGAGATACCATTGCTGTCCAATACGGGGGATCGAATTTAGTCAATACTATGGATTCATATCGTCGAATAAATCAGTGGTCATCGCATACGAGAGATATTTTGAATAGCATCAAAAGGATATATTCCAATTCATTCATGGATCTGATAAGACAGGAAGCTATCAATCTATTCCTAGGGAATTACGTTTATGATTTCATGAAACCAAAGTTATGGGAATTGCAAAACGATTTTTATTTGCACAATAAAAATTTCATCAAAGATGTTCGCTTTAAACTTAGCTATATTCATTGGTATAACGAAAACTACTTATCTGATCGCAGAGCATCGTTGGCCTTGATAGCGCAAAGGTTTGCGAGTGTTGCCCTTGGTCAAAAGAAGCTTGAACCATATCCTGACTATAACGACAACTGGTACAATGAGAGCTACGTTCCTCGAAGGTTTCAATCCTTAAGTGAGCTCTTTCAGTTCAATATGAACTCGAATGCTAGATATTTTCCATCAAATATTGACAACAGCAGAGACAAAAACTTTGACTACAGTCCATTTGAATCGCGAAATCCTTTGGTACAGAAGCAGGCAGCATCGTCTTCTGAGCAACAATCCTCACAAAACGGAAAATCAAATATAGAGTATCTTGAAAATATCTGCAACGGCAATGATACTTTAAGTCAATATGACGAGAAACAGGACCATAGTGACCTTCCTGAAGATCGCCATATTGTGTCTGAGTTAAAACATGATCATCACTTTCCTCTTGAATACACATATGGACCTAATTACAAAAAGTTGGCAAATTCAAGGAGGCTTAAAAACTTTTTAGCTGAAAAAATTGAAAAATTGGGTTACAGTGCTAAAGCACATAGCAGAGACGTTATTGCTAAATCAGAAGAACCATATTCATCCCAAAGTGAACAAAACATTTCAACACCGTCATCTGTTCTGCTCCCAAATAAGACCCATGAAGAATTTCTACTCGATCTCAAAGTAAGTGAAAAGAATCGTGATATCTATGCTTCAAACATAAGATTTACCCAACTATTGCCAACATTAGAGGCTACAGAGCAGTACAAATTTCAAACAGAATCATCAATACCAAGAGACAGAGAATGTATACTGTACGAGCTGTCTTCGGGATTAGCTCTAATTACAAAGGTAAGCCATACAGATGAACGTCTCGAGCTGCTTTCTACTGATAGCCGTAAACACGTTGATCCAAATGACATTCATATTTATGCACGTTATCTAGGTATAGAAGATGAAGTGGGCTTAGCTACAGAAGATAACTATTTCAAATAAATAAAATCTTTTATAATACAATCTACAATTTAACATAACCTTCTATCTCATAATATCACTTCCTCTTATCAGTCTTACAAAACTAAATCGACTCATGCTTCAATAAAGCATTTCAATAAATATCCCCTTCGATTGTATATCTCTTCAAAGCGAAGTGAAGAAATAAAGATTACAATTAATATCAAACGATTTGTAGTAATGATGCAATGACAGAAGAGGAATGAAATATCAAAATATGTTGCATTAGAAAGCAATAGTACAAGTAGATAGAACATGAGTAGTGAAGAGACAATTTTAGAACTCAATCAAAACTAAAATTCCAATTTAACAGAGTTATCAATCTTTAAAAAGTGGTAATTACAGTGTTAATTAGAGCGGAACTAGTTATCCTCAAAAAGACAATACAGGTATATGTAAAAAATTATGAAGATACAGTAAGTCACATAACATCTGACCGACAGAGACGTCAAAAGAGATTAGAAAATCGAGTGACTTAATGAACTTGAGAAGAATGAATAGTGTGACACCTCATACTAGATCTAGAACTCCTCAGATATTCGAGTAGAGTAAGATATCCAGCTCAAGTGGACATCAATTATACACATCATTTTGAAATATCAGTAGACTTACATTTATAATCAAAGCGTTTAGATGACAATCAATTAGGGACTCGAAGTTAAAATATTGCTCAGAGACAACTTTTTGAAAAGTTAATACAGTAGCAGAGTCAACGTAAATTGCTAGGAAAAAAATCTATCTATGTAGTTACTAATAACTGAAATACCCTTCAAACATCATTGAGGAAGACTCACTTTGCTATTATTAATCTAAATTGCAAAAGTCCATTTAAGAAAAAATCGAATAATAGGTACTAATTCTAACATACATTTAGAAAACCATTATCTATATGAAGAGATTCGAGATACTTTTATTAAATATTGATGATGTCCTTACAAATAATAAACTTTAATCATCTACAAGATGCTTAACCCTCTGTTCGATAAATCCTTAGTCAAAGCGAATGTCTTTATTCGAAATTGAAATTATTCCCGATTAATTAAAAACTCTAAATTTAAATTTACAATAAGAAATTTGGTTATTTCATGGCATATTTTTGAAGCGAAAACTAGTAGTGTGAACTGAGTGACTAAATGAAATTATATAATTTCTTCACACCCTCACAGTTTTTCCCTTAATAAACCACCATTAATCTTTTCGAACTCTGTGCGCCTTCGCAGTAATGTAAGAGAGAACCTATTAGTCTTTTGATCATTGTCTATTATTTTCGTAAATTGTTTGCGGCTAAAGGTTATATATAAAAATGAGTTTTACAATGTGTTATTAATCGATGCAAAAATTTTTGATATGGAGGATACACTGATACTGATGGGTCTCGGTCCTGTTAGTTTTGGAGTATGAGCTGATTCATTTCAATCTTCGATGTCTTTTTTCGGTGAGAGTTGGTTATCAAATAAAGAATTAGTATCCAAGTTAATGCTAAAGCTTTCTTTAACCTTGACAATAATGTGATTGCAAAATACTTACAAGCTATATACTAAATCTGAACTACAGTAATTTTACCATACTAATTTTTGCCTGCCTTTGATGTATCGTCATGAATAATGCCTAATCTTTTATCCCAGCATTCATAATAGTAGTTTGATTTTCTCCTTTCGCTTGGATTTTCTTCCTTCGGTTGATGAGCTGATTTAAATTATATATGCTATTATTTTATTATATACAAGTTTATCTTAGAGTTTAGATTTTTTAATTTTTTTTTTTTTTTTTTTTTGGTCGGCACGTTTGTCGTCCGACAAATTTTATTCGTATATACAGGTTTGAATAGAAAATTACTTATGGAACGGCGTGGTCTCTCTGTGCTGATGTACAATCTTAAAAACAGATTGAATAGCTAGTATATTCGTTGCCATGGCCAACAATACTTCCTCGAAGGTGAACTATCCGTAAGTTTCCAATTCAATAATCATGTCGGAACTTTCTCCTAACTTTTTTTTTTTAGTTTTTGGTATGGGGGTGCGGCTAGTATGATAGCATGTACTGTAACTCACCCCTTAGATTTGGCTAAAGTTCGATTACAGACAGCTTCAATTCCTGGTCAATCATTGGTCTCGATGATTTATCAGATAATAACTAAGGAAGGATTCTTCAAGATTTACTCAGGACTTACAGCATCGTTATTGAGGCAAGCCACTTATTCAACAACTAGATTCGGAATATACGAGTTCTTAAAAGAAGAGTATACAACCTCTTTCAAGAAGCAACCAAGTACTTCGGTGCTATTACCTATGTCAATGTTGGCAGGTGCTTTGGGAGGGTTGGTTGGAAATCCTTCTGATGTTGTGAACATTAGAATGCAAAATGATTCTACTTTGCCAACTGAACACAGAAGAAATTACAGAAACGCACTAGATGGAATTTTCCGCATCATTAAGGAAGAGAAAGTTCTGTCATTATTTCGAGGTTTACTTCCCAATCTTGTGCGAGGTGTTTTAATGACTGCCTCCCAAGTAGTCACTTATGACTTGGCTAAGAAATTGTTGGTAGAAACGATCCATTTCGATCCCTCTAAGAAATCTACACATTTTAGTGCATCTTTACTTGCTGGGCTCGTCGCCACTACTGTATGTTCTCCTGCTGACGTAGTAAAAACTAGAATCATGAATGCCAAAGGAGCAAATCAAGGAAGTGCACTGTCCATCTTGTTGCATGCAGTCAGAACAGAGGGTATAGGTTTCATGTTTAGAGGCTGGTTACCATCGTTTATTAGATTAGGACCACACACAATTGTCACTTTCCTAGCCTTGGAGCAGCTTCGGAAATTTAGAATTGGAATGTCTATTTAGATTATTCACGCACGTAAGAAGTGCCACCGTAAAGCGAAGGGTGTGGAAAGTTAATTATAGATTTTTAGCATTTATAGATTATTTGAGTTAGAATACGCATATACTTTACTACGATTTCTTCTAGTTGAACAGCTTTTTAAACTATATGTATTGATCTCACTATAGTCCAAACATAATATGTAGCATTTCATGAAAAATTTTTGCTGGGAAGCTCATACCTTAATATTATCCAACTCCGCCTTTTCAAAGGCTTCTTTCTCTGCCTCTAAAATATAAGGAATTAAATAATGCTTATCTTCTTCAGGTTTCACAGCTTTATTTGCTGGTAACAAATGATGGGATAATGAGCATTGATGAGCTGTAATGAATCTAAAGTTCCTTGCATAGATCTCATCTTCCGGAAGTCTTGAGATAGCCTTTTGCATGATGGGAGATTCTTCACTGATTAAATCGTCGAACCTTATATTGTTAGTATTGCAATGTTTTTAATGAATTGTTTCCTAGCTTTTTACTTACTTCAAACCCATTTCCCTGTAGCCTGCGTAGGAGACAAACGTCTTGGCAATTGGGACGACTACCTTCGACAATGTCGGTCTAGATAATATGAAATCAGCTACCTTAACAATAGATGTGACAGATGCCATTATGATATTACCTATTTTTTAATGTTAATAAAAGATGTAAAAAGGCAATTTCGATAATAAAGAGAAAAACTATAAAGTATTTGTGTTATTTTTATTGGTTCTTTTCTAGACTTCCTAATTTGGTAATATATCGAATATAACATAATGAGAAAGAGAGTTCGATTAATAGTGATACTCAGTAGCATCTTCGCCTGAAGTATTTGGGAAACCTACTTGTTCAAGTATTGCCTCTGGTCCATCTTCTTTAATCATATTAAAAAGTTCCTCATTTTTGCACAAAAAAAGGCCTATCGCTCCACATGAGTTAATTCCTAGTTCCTTATATTTCCCACATGACCTCGGAACCAACATCATATACTTTGTGGTCATCAAAAAGTTATACGATATACTCTTCGCATTATTTTCTCTAAGTACAGTTAAAGTCCTTTGAAGTAGAAAGGAGAAATACATTCCAATATCTTCTTCATCCATGTCATTGAGGTCACTCGGTAGCTTTGCCACAAAATGGGCAAAGGGAAGGTCAGGACTCTGCAATGGCTCCATTCCTGCTTTCGGAACGTGTGTGTCACTAGCATCTGCTAGCATTTCAGGAAATGGTATAAAATCATTCTCTGGAAAAGTCATAAATTGAATATGTTTGTGGGGCTGGGACGCTCCGCTTTCGTCTCCACAATTGTAAAATGAAAACCATTTTCTTTGAGAATCTAATGTTTTAAGCTTTAATAATATTTTGAGAATTGCAAAGAGCTCTTGTGGCATCAATGGGGTGTTTTGAGACATAAATGTTTTAGTCACAAGCATAAAATGATATGGAATAACAGGAAACTTATTAAACAAAATTTTGAATTCACCGTCATTTCCGAAAGTATCTTCAATGGTGAGTTCTGGCTCAGGCTTTGCAAATGGATCCTTTTCCTTTGTTCCTTTCTCTGGTCTATGCATCAAGGATTTTAACAAAGTCAACTGAAAATCAATTGTTGAGTTGTGTATTCTCCTATGAATTATTTCATTCTCTGCAAGATCACCATTAAACTGAATAATACCCGCGTTTAAAGCTTTGTCATATTTCTGGTGCAAGTTTTCTATAAAATTCTGTGATAACTCATACATTAGAAATCTGAATAAGAAAAGTAGTTATCTGTAATTTATTCGAAATTATCTATACAAATTTTACTAATCACGTGATTAAAGCTACCTTCTTTTAAGCCAGCTAATATACCTTGAAGGACGCTTCTTCGTTCGAACTTCGAGACTGTCAGAGCTGCCCAGAGCCGAGCCTTTCGAGAATGTAGGAGTAAAGTCCTGTAGTATTGTGGAAAATGATTTCGACTTCTTATGACCTTCACTTTTGTTCGCTATTTGATGAGTTATATTTGTTGGCTCAGTAGAATCGGGGCTAATCTGTCGTAAAGATTTAACCAACAAAGATTCCTCCTGAAAGCTGAAATTACCGGTCGAAAGCTGCGTGGAATCATCTTCAGACCTTTGCAATGTATAATCAGATATGCCGCCCTGTACATTATCTTTCGACAATACAGGCAGTTTTGTCCCATTGCCCATTTCATCGTCTTGCTTAAAGGTCGAATTTGTCATTGAACACGCTTCGTCATCTGATCTACTTATAATGATACAGGGAGCGGGAGCCTCTGAATTTTCGGGATACAGATCTCCCGTCACTGCTAAGGTAGTCTTCGGTAAGTTCAGATCGTCTTGGACCGTCAGAGTAGAATAATCTGTCAACTGATAAGTACCACTTGTCGATATAACAGTCGAAGATATGACACTTACTGGACTCGTGGTAGTACTCTTGCGATTACTCGTGACAGATACCTGATGATTCTTGGATTGTATGCTTGTAGGCAGGTTTCCATCTTTATCCGTATAGTTAAATTCAAATGATTCAGTCTGCATTGGTTTCTTGTTTGATGATTCAAGTTCGCTGGCGATACTTTGCATTTGCATACCGGGTTTTATTATATTATCTCCATGATGGGTAGACTTCAAAATTGGAGAATTCGATTTTGGTAAACCAGAATCTATTATTGTTATCTCCAGGTTCTTTAAACTGGAACTGCAGCTATTGGATGTAGTATTTGCAGATTCCGATGATTTCTCTTCCTCCAGAGTTCTTGTTTCGGTATTCATACCGGCATAAGGAAGAATCACTTCTCCGAGTTTGGAAGGGTTGAGGATTTGATTTCGCTTCAGATGAGATTTCAAGCTAGGCAAACTCGAGGAATGTCCTAAAGACTTCGTATCTTTGATGCTAGAATTGATAGAACCTGATCTTACAATATTTATACTCTCAGAGCTAGATATTTTCAAAGCATTGGATATCTTGTAAGATTGGTCATAAAAAGACTGATATCTGTTAGCCTTAGCTCCAGATCGCTTGCTACTTGAATAGGGAGTGCCATTATAGGTTGCACTAGGACCAGACTCCCTGGATGAATTCGAAAGACACTTTTCAATCATATTATTGTTATTCTGATATCTGTTGTTATTCAAATAAGTGCTTGACGAATTAGCTGATGAGTTTGAATATAGTCCTTTTAAAGCAACTTGAGGATTAGTGAACAGCTCTGCTTCCTGATCAGATCCTAGAAATTCAAGATCGGATTCTTCTTCTTCATCCTCTTCTGTCGAACAGGAAACTTGCTCTTGGATTGTCTGGTGGAGTAAGTTATTAGGGGGGACTGAAAGGGGGGAAGAAGAAAAAGGACCAGAGCTTAATCTCGAGAAAGGTGACGCAAGAAAATCATCATCTAGTGTGAAATCAGGTGCCAGCTCCGTTCGCTTGTGTGATTTGTCCCTTTGTCCTGTCTGATGGCTGCTGAAATGGTTACCAATATGTAAATTACTCTCTAATATTTCATCAAGATCTATTACTGCATCTGGCACGTTGTCGTTATTCATGGTTGTTTCTTCGGTTAAAAAAAATCTTGTGCTAGGTGTATTATGAGCTGAAGAAGATCTTTTATGATTCAATTTTATTGGAGAGTTCAAACCGTAAGAAGAATTTGCGCATCGTGGAGGTGAGGTGTAGTTGCGTGGCGAAAAGTCAGTCGGTAGTTCTGGAGTCTTTGTGGGAAATAGAAACTCGTCATCTACCGGACGATTAGTAAAATCTTCTTTGTTGTTGAACTGAAAATGCTTATCCAATTCTGAATGTTCAACATCTCTGGTTGAGCATGGTACTGAGGAAGAACCAGATGTAGACGGCGGTGAAAATAAACCTAAGCCCATAATATCAAAATCACCGGATATTGCCGCCGACCTCCTATGCCTATGTCTCTTACCCATCGAAGGAGTCTTTTGAAGAGAGTGTTGCGAAGCTGACATACTTCTGAGGTTCCTCTCGAAAGTAAAGCAAACAGATTAATAAAAAAAAATTGATCAGAGCTAAAACTTCGTCTCAGATATACTTAACTCCTACTTCGTCTTCTATTTCCTCTTCTTCTTCTCAAATAATGAATAAAAATGTTCAACCCCTTCTATCTTCCGGTTATCCCTCTAAAAATAAAATACAGTGGTTTGAAATGCAGTAAAGAATGGACGCTAACTAAAATAGTAGCTTGAATTATGTTGCCCCGTCAGATAGTTCCTGCTATCACTGTGCAGTGGTAGAAATCTTGTTATTAAGCTATAAAGGGCCCGTTCTTAAAAAAAGTAAATTAGCAATATTTCTTATCCTGTCTGAGAGGAAAAGACAAAAAAAAAAAAAAAAAAAAAAAAATTTTCCCTGATTAGGTGAGTTCGTGGTTATTCTCGTGGGTTAAAGTATCACATTCATGAGTCTTCAAACCCACTAGGGATATCAAATGACATTTCGATCTATTACAGCCTAGGTTTATCTACTATAAATTTAATAAGCTTTGTTAATGTAGTTTTAATTATACGCGTTTGCTATAAATAAATATGCTTTTGATGTGAAACGTAGATTTATTTCTTTCTGTGTTTTTTAGCTATTCTTCTAAGGGCTCTTTGCTCATTTTTAAGAACACCGTCAACCATCTTATATTTACCCTTGACACCCTTTGGCCTTCCACTTAATCCTCTGTTTCCGCCCTTAGCGACTACAACTGTAGTCTTAGGCCTTTGTTTCTGCTTTTTCGTCAATTTCTTCATTAACTTCTGAATTTCCTCGGCCTTATCCCTCTCACTTCTTGATGAATCTTCATTAATAGTATCGGACTTCTTCTTTAGCTTCTCAAGTCTCCTTAAAGCTCTCATTTTCTTACGACCTTGAGCTTCAAGAACCTTCTTGATAGGGCGCGCGTTCAATTGTTTCTGCTTCTCTAATATGGCATGCGCTGCTTCTTTGGTTATGGGTTTCGTGATCTTAGAATGCCTGTTCTCGTCTTCAAGAAACCAGTCCGGCAAATTTTCTTTATCTCTAAACGAATATCTATTGATACCTTCTTCTATCAAATCCTTCTTGCTCATCTTACCGAGAGCAACTTGGTGAGCTAGTGTCATCGCCTCTACCGTTGCAAGATCGGCTTTTTCCTTCTCAGTGAGCTTCTTTTCGTTTCCGAAGGTAGCGTCATCGTTCAAATCTGAATCATCATGATGTTCCCGATCTTTTATTGCAGGGACAACCTCAAAGTCAGTATCGCTACTTGAGTCTTCGGAGAAGTTAAGTGAATTGACTTCGTTGAAACTTTTATTTTCAGCTGTCTTGACATCCTCTTTATTTTTTTTCTCTTGAATAGCCGATAATAACGAGCTGTCATCGAATTCATTGAAGATTGAATCTGATGCAAAGAAGGCTTGTGCACTCTTTGTCAACCCGTCTTCAGTTTTCTTTTCCGCAATTAAAGACGAGATGTATTCATCGTCATCTGAATCCGATTCATCGTCCACTTCAAATTTCTCGTCGTCGGATTGTTCTTCATCAGATTTAATTCCTTCCCAAGTACCTTCATCTTCATTACTTCTTGCCAACTTCGCTCTGTAATTTGCGTCCTTTTCTGCTCTTTTTTGTTTATAAGAGTCATACATATCATCCAATTGTGCTTCTAATTCATCAATCTCATCAGCTGATTCCATTTCTTCGTCATCTCCTATATGAATTTCGTTATCTTGAGCTACTTCCTCATCGTTGAAGATCATTCTCTTCTTACCCTTCGATAAGGCAGCTAATTGACCTGTTTTATCTGCTGTTTTCAAGTTAAACAAAGAATCTGCACCAATTTGAGCAGCATCAAGACCAATATTCATGTCTGTCAACATATTCATCTGATTTCTGTATACTTCCTTTTGTTTCTTCTCGTTTGATTGCTTCTTGAGCCTTCTAGCTTTTTGCTTTTGCTTATCTGTAAGCTCTTGCAATTCCTTGTCTATTTCCTGATCTTCTGTCAATGGCTCAACTTCAACCTCCGACTTCAACAAGTCTTTTTCGTCATCCAATCCAAGTAACTCTCTTGCCTGTTTCCTAAATTTTAAAATTAGCTTGAATTCTTTCTTACCGAGTACTTTCAAATCTCTCATGCATTCTAATAATTCTTCAGAAAAAAGTCTCAGTTTCTTTAAAATCTTCCATTCTTTTTCGTCCTCCTCGGGTTCTGATAATTTATTAAGAGTACCTAACACATTGATAGGATCCTCATTTCGTATAAACTCAAGAATCGGCATTGCATGAAATAATAAATAATCTCCTTCATTATAACCTTCCCTTTGTCTCCTACTCTTAGCTGGGTTGAAAACTTTAGCCTCGTTATTGACTTTCGTTGCTTCTACTTCTTCAAAGACCACTTTCGGATCCAATAGCCTAGGATCTAGCTTCTTTGGAGCTTTGAATCCTTTGCAAACGACGAAAATTTCAGCTGAAACATTTCTCGAAGCTGGAGGTTTAGTGGCTTCTACTTTATCGAAAAGCTGTTGAAAGACCCACATCAAGTTATTGTAATCTCTTGATCTAAAGATTTTAGTGACAAATGTTCCACCTTTCGTTAAGTTCTCCACAGCTAACTTCAAAGCCTGTAAAGTCAACTGAGATTGAGTAAATGCATCTTGTACCCATCCCAATCCAACATTAGGAGCACCATCATGTAACACTGTATCTGCCTTCCATGTCTTCATATGACCCCTAAGTTTAGATCTGCAATCCTCAGTGGTGATATCAGATTGAAACGTTATACAGTTTGGTAGTGGCTTAATAGGAACAATATCGACACCAATTATTAATGAATTAATGGGACACAAGTTTGCTGCTACTTGACACCATGATCCGGGAGCAGCACATAAATCTATAACGACCTTTGACTTCTCCAAAAAGTGACCATACTTTTCATTAATTTGTATTATCTTAAAAGACGAACGAGCCCTATATCCTTTTTCTTTAGCCAAGTAGTAGTAACGGTCCAAACGACCTTTACTGTTTTTCTTTTGCACTCTACCCATTCCGTTTATGTGCTTTATTATCTGGCCCTTTCTTCTAAACTAAAAAATGAGATGAGTAGAAATAATTTTTTTTTTAGGTCTTTTTTCTTTTTTTTTTTGATTGGGCAAAACCAAGCGACTGCAAATTTAAATGTATCCAGTAATCATTTACGTTCAACCAAAGGTGGGCATTCAGTTAGTTTCAAGAAAATGAAGTCTCAGTAAGCCTCTTTGAAATTTTTCATTACAATGCATCTGATTCTTTGAATCTAAGTCAAGCATACAAGTAAATGATTTACATTATTGCTAAAATTGCATATTTTTTAAGAAAATGTATATAAACTAAAATTATCATCATTTTAATTTTAGTTAAATGCTCCTATATATTTAAAGATCCCACTGTTTCAATTCATTTACATCAGCCTTAACGTCAATAAGATTATAATCAATTAAATTGATATTACTCTCATTACAAAGTACGCATTCCTTAAGTAATATGTCATCAAGCTCATTTCTATTCAACGAAGATGGACTTCGCTTGAAAGTCTCAAATATACTTTTGAATTTGTAGTTGATGCCTAGATAAAACTTTATTAAGCAGCTCTTATGAAAATTATGGTGACAATTTTTGAAACAAATAAAATTCTTCGACACCAATAAGTTGTTACAAAGCTTACAGGGTTCCCCAGGCTCTATTATGGTTAGCAATTTCCCTTTCTCCTCTATGGTTTGGCCAATATAAATCTGGTGTTTCAATTTCAGTGAAATTTGAAGTGACTCATTCATTTCCATTGAAAGTTGTCCAATTTTACTATTATAGTCATTCAATGATTTGACAATCTCATGTTGAAAGTTATTAATATTAATCGATTCCGGGAATAAAGGTAGCAAGTCCTTTAATGTCAAATAATTTATATCTGAGGAATTTAGAAGAAAAGTCAATACTCTATTAAGCTCTTTCAGTCGATAATTAGATTTCTTTGATTCTACATCGACACCAGCAATTTCTTCACTTACTTTTTCGATAGATGTACCATTTTTGTTGCTTGATTCCTCTTTCCCATTTATTTCTGGCTCTTCTTTCCCGGTTTGAGGTTTTCCCAATATTATATCAAAAGACTTACCAGCATAAGCTCCTTCAATCAAGTATTTAGCGAACATTAGCCAAAGCTTTTTCTTATTTCCAAAACTTTCCTCATCAAGCTTAATTTTGCCAATATATCTACTGTCAAAATCGTCTTCTTGATTTCCATTTCTTTCGTCACTTAAATACTTATTATAACTTCTCAAAACAAACTCACCTAGCTGTACTAAGTCATTATCTAATGCAAGCTTAAGGGCCTGTTCAAATTGAGCCATATCATTAATAAGTACAAGTATTGCAGGCTGGAAATGATTGTATCGTAAACACAACCTCAATATAAGATTTGAGTCATAGAGCAAGTCTTTCTTAGGAAATTCCAATTTAGCAAAATTAAAGAACTTATTGATATGCTTGTTGGCAATTTTTTTTGAAATACTATCCGTTGCCGGGTATGTGATTAGCATAGAGAGGTAACAATTGTTAACATAACTGTTATTAATTCCTTTTTCGTGAATGAGTTTCAGCAAAAAGTAGATCGTTTCATTATTGCTCAAGGAAATACTGCTGCTATTCTTATTATACGTGAAGATAGCTGGGAGTAACTTCTCATAGTCAAGTGAGTTGAACTTCAACCAAGCATTAACTGTAGCCTTCGGGGAGTTGATAAGTAGCACAGTCGATACCTTATATATAATATCACTAGTCGTATCGTTAGTGTATATGCGAATCATAGTCTTTATGGCTTCTGGCCACTGCTCCAAGTTAATATAGTAATTTAATATAAACTCGAAATCGCCAATCAACTCTGCATAGTAAATCAACTTTGGATAGTAGTACAATTCTTCTATGATGCTATATATCGTTTTTTTGTCAAGGATCTTGTAGTTGGATTTCAAAAAACTCATAAACTGGTTATTCAAGTCTGCGAGGGTTGACTTTTTGTATTCCACCGATGATTTTGGCTCATCCATAAGTTTGTGTTCAACTTCATTTTGTAATCGGTACATTACTCTTAGCATTCTTTCAATGATCCAACTGGACAAAATTATAATTCTTATCCTATTTTTCTCAACATCCCGGGCAATCTTGAACTTCACCAACAAATACTCTATTAACAATTTATCAGAAATTATACCACCTTTAGCATTCGCATCTGAGCTCTGTAAATTAAGAAGCATCAAGCAAACTTTTTCAAACGGCTCTGACAGATGAGCTAAAGTTTTAATTCCTTTGATCTGAAGATTCGTCAGATCACGACTCAAAGTATCTTCTATAAGACCTAAAGCGAATCCACCTCGCTGAAGATAGTCGTATCCTTGCTTTATCAATACCATATCTTTTTGAAAACTAGTACCCTTTTTCTCAAGACATTTTAGGGCTTCATCATATTTACCCATTACGTAGTAATTGTACCAAACAGATACAGATTCATTTTCAATGACTAGCTCATAGATATCAGAATTTGAATAAACCCAATATGTTTTTGCCTTATAATCAGCCGTAATCGCCAATACAGAAATATCAGTGCCTAACAAATCGTTGAGATTCAAGGTGATTTCCTTTTTTGATAATTTGTTCATCACTAAAAGTTTGTTACGTTTATCATTAAGAGCTATGATATGATGATCACTTATGACGATGCTGCCAGATATTTGCTCAGTGACGTTTAATTTTTCCGTCTTGGACAATAAAATTTCAGGATCATTAGTATAAATTTCCTTTGATTTCAAAAATGTAAAGAGATATTCCTGTCCATTCGATTCAAAAACCGAAGGACCATCAGATGACGACAAATCTAAAGACTTGGGAGTGGTCTTAAAGACTCTAGTTAACTCTGAATATGAGGTATCAAAGCAGTCCCAAAAGTGAACAGAGCTATCAGAAAACAAAACAATTTGCGAATTGTTATTGCAGAAAGCTAAGCCCGATATGTTGTGCAATTTCTTATAAACCTGTTTCACATACTTATCATCCCTCTTGTTCTCTTGTCCAGCAGAAGTGTGGGATTTTATCATTGCCAAATAAATAGAATCTTCAGTTGCAAGCAAAAAATCGCCAGTAGTAGCCCCATCATGGTTATCAAAAAATGCAATAAACTTCACAGATAATCCTTTTAGCCTAGGTAAGGGTTTAAGTTCACGATATGAATCGTGTAGATAATAATAATTGTTTTCGTAGGTTTGAACAATTAAATGTAATCCACTAGGATGTAACCAGCATTTCGTTATTTCTTCAGATGTTCCCGTAACATTTACTTTGTATACTTCGGTCGGGTTGTCCAATTTGATCTTGTAAATAATTCGTTTAGAAATTAGGTACATCACATTAGACCTCACTAGTAACTGCTTTAAGGTGTAGTCAAGACTAAATTGAAGCTGAACCTGTTCAATATGAAACAGAGGCTGCTGGTTCCCCTCTTGTGACAGCTTCAAATCATTCCCTACAATTGGGTAACTGTCATTCTTATTCTCGTCATTTTGACCCATTGATAAATCAAAGTCCAAGAATTCTTGTAAGATAAAATTTGGTTTATAATATTTGGCTCAAGTTATCGCTAGCGAGATTAAGTTGAGAGTAATGCATATTGTGAAGAGGTAAAAACCACAGAGTTAAATAAAGATTACTTTAAACGGAGATATAAGTGATGATGATCCCAATTAGAGATATATAAATTCATTAGCTTCCGCCATTACGTAGCTTCGGTCATGGCCATAATGTGTTTCTTTCTCCTATTATTCTGCTGAGCCTTTCAATAAAAGTCACGAAATTAGTCAGATGCAGTCCTGTAATGCTGGTATCGTTATCCTCAGCGAAACCTGGTTCAATAACATTTACTAAATTGTAGTATTGCTAATAGGAATAAGACTGAAATCGTACACTATGAACGTGATCAAGCTTCAAAAGAAATTCCCAGTATTGGATCAGTCAGATTTATTCAATATTATCGAAGATTTTAGGTCAATTGATTTAGATGACAAGGGTTGGGTCGAGAAATTGGATGTTTATAATTCCATTTCCAAAAAAGGTGACTATACATACGATGAAGCCAGAGAAACCTTGAAAAATGTCGATGTTGATGCTTCTGGTCATGTGGAGTTAGATGACTACGTTGAATTGATTGCTAAGCTCAAAGAATCGGCGTCTGAAGCAAATAGTGGAGCTGCAGGAGTACAGCTGCCTGCTGGATCACTGTCTATTGGGGTAGCACCAGTTGCAACGGCTAACACGGCCCACAAGTCATATTTTTCTGGTAAGACATCTGGTACTACGCATACGATTAATGATGAAGAGAGGATTGAGTTCACGAGACACATCAATTCAGTATTGACCGGAGATCCTGATATTGGCAATAGATTACCATTTGATACAGAGACATTTCAAATATTCGATGAATGTAGAGATGGTTTAGTGTTATCGAAATTGATCAACGATTCAGTTCCAGACACCATCGATACTAGGGTGTTGAACTTACCCACTAAAAAACCTTTAAACAACTTTCAAATGAACGAAAATGCAAACATAGTCATTAACTCAGCCAAGGCTATTGGATGTGTCGTCGTTAACGTTCATTCAGACGATATTATAGATGGAAAGGAACACTTGATTCTTGGTCTTATCTGGCAAATAATAAGAAGAGGGTTGTTATCAAAAGTCGATATTAATTTCCATCCTGAATTGTACCGTTTATTGGAGGAGGACGAAACACTTGAGCAGTTCTTGAGGTTACCACCTGAGCAAATATTGTTACGTTGGTTTAATTACCATTTGAAAAATGCCGGGTCTCAAAGAAGAGTAACGAATTTCTCTAAGGACGTAAGCGATGGTGAAAATTACACTGTTTTGTTACATCAATTACAACCAGAACATTGCGACTTAGGGCCATTATCAACTACGGATTTGATTAGGAGGGCTGAGCAGGTCTTGAATAATGCAGAAAAAATTGGTTGTAGAAAATATTTGACTCCTACTTCCCTTGTTTCAGGGAACCCCAAGTTAAATTTAGCCTTTGTTGCTCATCTATTCAATACTTATCCCGGTTTGGATCCAATTGAAGAAGACGAAAAACCAGAGATTGAAGATTTCGATGCCGAAGGAGAGAGGGAAGCAAGAGTCTTCACTTTATGGCTTAACTCTCTTGATGTTGACCCACCTATAATTTCATTGTTTGAGGATTTAAAAGATGGTTTGATACTTTTGCAAGCCTTCGACAAAGTAATGCCGGGATCTGTATCTTTCAAGCACGTGAACAAGAGACCTCCAGGAGGTGCGGATGTGTCTCGCTTTAAGGCTCTAGAAAATACAAACTATGCTGTTGAGATTGGTAAGGCCAACAAATTCTCCTTAGTTGGGATTGAAGGATCTGATATTGTGGATGGTAATAAATTGTTAACTTTGGGTCTCGTATGGCAGTTGATGAGAAGAAATATCTCTAATACTTTGGCGTCTTTGAGTGACTCTAAGCATAATATTTCAGACTCGGATATATTGAAGTGGGCTAACAGTATGATTACTAAGGGAGGTAATACTGGTACAGTTAGGTCTTTCAAAGATCATTCTTTGTCATCGGGTGTATTCTTGCTTGACGTTTTACACGGATTAAAACCTGGTTACGTTGATTATGACTTAGTGTTCCAAGGTGACAATTTATCAGAGGAAGAAAAGTATGCAAACGCTAAACTTGCCATTTCAATTGCCAGAAAATTAGGTGCTTTGATTTGGTTAGTTCCAGAGGATATCAACGAGGTAAGGAGCAGATTAATCTTATCTTTTGTTGGTAGTTTGATGTGTGTTGCAGAAAATTTGTAATTCTAGGTTTTCATCCTTCTTCTTTTTTAATTTTATTTTGTATGTTCTTATTGGTGATTTATATCTTCACATCTCTAGTTTGTTGCGCAACTAACCCACTGGTAAGAGGTTTTTGATGTACTTAAATTATATAGAAGGTTCCTTCGTATAAAAATTCAATAATTTATGTCTTTTATACCTGCATACAAAATTTGAATCTAGTCACAAATTGTTGAGCCAATGACGTTCTAAAGAATCTGATCAACACTATTCTGTCTACTTATTAAAAGCTTTTTAAGCAAGAGAAAAATGTCTAGTCCCATTTTACCCTTCACAGAGGCAAATTCAAAGAGGGTAGCTTCTCTATTTAGGAGGGCCTTGAGAACAGCGTTTGACAACAATACTAAGTTCGATGCTTACAGAACAGAGACAATAAAGATAAGACATGCATTTGAATCGAATAAGGACATCACCGATCCAACTGACTTAGACGTTGTTTTCACGAAGGCTGAAGCCAAATTGAATGAATGGAAGTCACCGGACCCTTATATTCCACCGCTTAGACCAGGTGGTACCAAATATCAAAGAAACATACCAAAACCAAATGAAGAATGTGTTCCTGGTGATTGGTAGACTTTAGCATCAGTATAAACACTTCGTTCATATTATTTGGATAATCTATTAGTGACGTAGCATGAGGCTGTGACTTTTTATCGATGAGGCAAGCAGCACAAATTTATCATCTTAGCTACCACTGATTTACCGAAAACTATGGCCGATCCAATACTGAGCTATTTTCATCTCTCTATGTTCATGTATAGTCTAACTGATAAATAAATGCACTTTAGATATTTCTGGGGGAAGACAAACCGTTTAAGATATCTAATACGCTCGTTATCAACTGGGAAGCGTTCCCCTATCAAGCATCTTGCTACTTTCTCTTTCTGAATATGGCTTTCTTCTTTTATTCAGCATGCATCAACGATATATAAATCATCGAAATTTACAGTCGAATGTAAAGATTATACGCACAAGTAGCGTTTGCAGCATTTTACTTTTGTATTTTTTTTTTTATTAGATTGATAAGTTATTGTCTCTCAGAAATAGGCTACAGCTAAAGAATGAGATTCGTAGAAATGGTATTAGGAATCCCCAAGATCTGGATGGATTTATTAATTTCTTGCCTTGCTTCATTGAACCTTAAAATTTTGAATTCAACTAGTCTAAGGTTGGGTTTGGGAAAAAATGATGAACACTCGAAATACTTGATTGAAGCTACTGATAATACATCTGATAATGACTTTGACTCCCAAGGTGAGACATCTGAAATGATCCTAGATGACACTTCAGGCTATTTTATGCTCCAACCAGAAGAGTTGCTAAAGAATCGTGAATTTCTACTTCATAACAATAACAACCTTGTGAGACAAATTTCCCAGGAAGCTTGGGACAAGATTGCTTTTCCGGCAGAGGTTTTGGACTTATTATTTGCTAAATTTATTGCCATTTTTTCTATTCTATTGTTTTCTTTAGGATTGGGATTTTCATTATCATTGTTGTTTAGATGGCTACAACCCGAAGGTAATATTAAGTGTAATAAGAGAAGAGCGAAGAATGAAGTAGCAACACATATTCAAAGTGAATTAGATCATAGAGTTGACTGTGATGTAAATCTACGGGGAATAAGTCTAAGATCTGAGAATACGTCCAAAAACAATCAGAAGTACACAACACCCCATAACGAAAGCCAAGCATCTAATGCTGCAGAGTACTCGGATACTACAGTAGAAATTAGAAGCACTCCGTTTTTCCATGACCATATTCCTGAGTTTCCAAGGTCAGTTTTGAGGGACATAACGAATATGAGGGATTCTCAAAAAATTAAAAGTTGCAAAAAAAATGAGAAGTTTTTATCCCAAATTGTGCCATTTACCACAAGAAACAATTCTAATGACGAAAACTTTATTCAAGGCGATTTCTCCTCATTAAGAGTCCCAGATATGAACTCCGACTTGGAAATTATGATTGCAGGAATTTGTGTGTCAAATATTCGACCAAAAACTCAGACTCGAAGCGTGTCGTCATATATAGACCAAAGTCAAAATTTGCATAGAATCAACTACAGTAAACCTAATTCAAGCATATCTGATGAGTTGAAAAGGAATCCTTTACTGACATCAGATCTACTTACCGAACCAGCAGCTCGTTTACAGAATGTTGATGCTGAATCGAGGGAAAATGTGTATAATGATACCAGAGAAGACTCAGCTGGTGAGACAGAAAATTCACAGCATCATTCATATACTAAGAAGAAAAGTACGAAAAGAGATATTTACGTAAATGATATCTCTCTCAACAAGACAGAGGACTTAAACAGGGATCAGCAACCTGAGATATCAGTCTTCGCAACCCACCCGTTAACAAAAGAAAACCAACCAATTGAAATATTGCATTTGAGTTCGAATAAAGAGAATCAGGTGGAGCACAACGCGAACACATCAATAAGTAAGAATAATCGAAATTTGGAAGAGCCTGTTTCAAAATTTGTCCTCAATAAACAAATTCTCAAATTGTTAGAAGACGAATGTTCTAAATCAAGCGAATACTTTGACAACGAACCGCAAAATGCTATAAATTTTGCTGAACTCGATGATTATTTAACCTCAATGATTGAAGACTTCGATAGATCAGATTCGCTCGTTGAAAATCGAATTGAGGAGCAGCTTGAAAGTATCAAGAGAGAAGACGAGAATCTGTTCAGTATAATCATTATATTCAGATTCATATTATCTAACGATGTCAAAGATGATCAGATAGCTTTGAAAGAGATCTTTAGGATGCACAAATATTTGACAGGTCAGTACATGCCTGATTTCCTCAAGATGATTAACAAAGACAAGCAATCATTCACAAAGTCACTTTTATTATTAATTCGTGATTACTTAACTTTCTTAGAATCAAATGAAGTGTCAGCTTTAGAATATAAGGTTTATCTTAAATCTTTGCTTAATCTTTTAGGTCTCGATGACAAAATGAACAGTATGCTATCAGAATGTTTGTATGAAATCGTTATTGCTTTAGACACCAGAATGCTTGAGAGAATTTTTTTTCCAATAGTTGAGGAAATTAAAAATGAAAGATTCGATTATAAAACGTACGAGGTACTAATGGGATGTCTAAAATATTATCTTTGTTTCAATAAAGTAATAGTGACTGAGCAACTCATTGACCATCCTGAGGAGAACAAAATCAAAACCTGTGGCTATCAAATCATTTTACATGTAAATCAATTGATTGCCAAGATAGTTGAGCATATAAAAGCTCCCAGAATAACAAGGATATTTCATTCAGATCATAAAAGATTGAAGATTCCTGCGTCGCACAATTCTTTGATACAGGAACTAACTGACACCTATCTTGTCATTGTTGAGGTTTTCATTAATAATGACAAAGTTCCCCCTTCAATACAATATGAGTTGCTTACAACCTTTATAACACAAACGTACAAACAAATTCAAATTTTAGTCGAAACAGATACGAGAGTTTTAGATCCTCCAATATTACGAGAGTTACAAATCAGTTATGATATTAAATGAGAAAATCAGTCACGTGCCAAACCGTGAATTTTTTTTTAATTTTTCTCAGATGAGCTGCAACTACGACCAAAATAGCGTCTTCCTTTTTTATTTTTGGAAGCTAGTCATATCCTTTAAAGATGCCTAGGTCCAAACGCTCTAAGCTTGTTACCTTAGCTCAATCAGAGAAAAAGGGGAAGGAAAACAAAACGAGAATCTTTGACGAGACGAGAGCTGCTTTAGATGAGTATCATTACGTATGGATATTGAGATTAAACGATGTTAGAACACCAGTCTTACAAGATATTAGGTCAGATTGGACTGGATCAAAGTTGCTACTTGGGAAAAGAAGAGTATTAGAAAAGGCCTTAGGTGACACTCCAGAGGAAGAATATAAGGATGATTTGCATAAATTTTCAAAACTCTGCTCTGGTGTCCCCGGTCTATTGTTCACGAATGAAGATCCTGAAACTGTTATAAACTATTTCAATGCTTACATTAAACAGGACTATTCGAGAGCCAAGACGAAGGCTCCTTTAGATTTCACAGTGCCCGAAGGAATTATATATTCAAGAGGCGGCCAAGTTCCAATTGAAGATGATATTCCAATGGCTCATTCTTTGGAAGAAACGCTTAGGAATAAGTTTAAAATGCCGACACGAATCAAAGCAGGAAAGATTATACTTGATCAACCGTACACTGTTTGTAACAAAGGCGATATATTAGATGTTAGACAAGCATTGATTTTGAAGCAGTTTGGTGTTGCAGCATCTGAATTTAAAGTCAAAGTAACTGCTCAATACAATACCAAAACTGCCGAAATAACCAAATACGAAGAAGATTCCTCTTAAAGAATCTGTCATATAAGATGGTTTAATGTGATAATTATTGATTGTATCATATCACAATTCACTCGTAGCTTAGGCGAAAATATTTGTCGCTCAGTTTATAGATTTGCAATTAAGAATACATTAATGAGATAGGATTCACCTACTGATATTTTACATAAGTGTAACGAATATTATACACTCTATAACTCTGCTTCAACTTCATCTGTTGCCGGGACTCTAGTCTGCACGAAGAATAACTTGGCATTTCCTTGTCCGATATTTTTAAAGCCATATATGTTTGCATTTGGTATTTCAAACGAGCAACCTCTTGTAACCACAAATTTATCATTGTTCATCATTACTTCGATCAAACCCTTTACAACATGAAAGTCAAAAATGCAGTCACCCGAATTTCTCAAACTTTTGAATCCTTCAAAAGGAAATTCCAACAATCCACAAGCAGTAACATCTCTATTATAATTGAATAACGTCGCAACTTTAAAATTATCAATGTCATTACCATCCTTGTTAGGCGCTTCTTGAAAAGAACCACCATTCGGGGCCCATGCTATAGTTCTTTCGACCTTAATTTCATTTTCAGGATCTTCGTAAACTTCGAGATTAAGCGTTTTATCTTGAAACCATTCCGAACCACTTATTTCAGGATCAGATTCATAATCGTAAATTTCTTTCTGAGATTTCTTTGCTATCTTACGAGTTCTAGATCTCAGCCTTGATCTCCTTGTGGTAGGTGGGCTCAGCTTTTCAACTTCTGGTATATGAACAACTTCCTTAATTTCTTGTAGCGGAATATTTTTGATATCTGTGGCTAGAGTAGTGTCAGGATCCACTTCGTTGTCCTTTGCGCGAGAATATACAATTCTTTCATTTCTCCAATAAGCTAACGGAGCGATCCTAGTTCTCTTAGATCTTCTTAAACCATCTGGAGGAGGCGATGGCAATGGCGAAGGCTTGGTATTAATTTCTCTTATACGGCCAGGTTTTCTTCCAGATCGCTTTTTGTCCGTAGGAGGGGGAGACAATAGTTCACTAGAATCCCCAGTAATAGCTACTTCCTCCTCAGATTCATCATCCAGCGACACAACTCTTTTCGAGGGTCTTCGTCTCTTAGTTGCCCCTAGGGCCATATTTTTGGTAAGGGACGACACGCTACGTCGATTTACCGCTTCACTAGGAATTTTTGAACCTACTTCCTCACCCATATCCTGATCTATTACTCTATCTTTCATTGGCGAGAGATCTACTGGTGACAACTCCATGTAAATATCATCGAAGTCGTTCAAATCATTATTACTGTATCCATTATTGTCGTTATCATTAACCTCGTCATTTCTTCTCAGACTTAATATCTCTTCTTCATCTCTCTCAATAAATGTACCTTGTATTTCTTGGTTTCCTTTGTTATGTTCTGGCAATGGTGATCTTAATGGAGATTTCTTATTCTTCCTCGCGGCGTATTTCGAAATGGAAATAGGAGACAAATCAAACTTAGACGCTTCAGCATCTGTAAAGTTTATCTTCCTAGCAACGTTGTTTATATTATCATGCAGAGTACTCGTTTCCTTCTGATCATCATCGTTTCTTACATCCTCTTCAATATCTTCCTCATCCTCCTCGAAAAACTCATCAATATCTTCCATGTCATATTTATCCCTTCTCAAATTTTTACGAGGCCTAATATGAGTCTTTCGGGACTCACTACCAAGAAGTAATAGGTCCATCTCACTTTTCTATCTCTCTTCCTGGTCCAGAGCCCTTTTAGCTACCGATCCTTATTAATAACTAACTTACCGTATAAACAAATAGATTACAAAGTGATGATCACACAAAAACGCGATATCCTCGACTCCCGTAGATAAAAGTACGTAATGCATATAAAATAAACCACCAAATTTATAGAAATGAATAATCGATGGATAGATCGTCCTTCAATGAAAGTTTGCAAGTAATTACGATCCCATCAGTATAGGTTATATAAATTAAAAAAATTGGGATTGCAGAGCATACCGATACATCTCTGCAAGCTAAACCAGCGATAGTTCTATAACCATGGTAACCTAACGCTAGACTCAACGCGTTTGGGAATATATACTCCTGTCTCATTCCATAAACCCCTCGATGACAACACATTCTCATTACTGAAACCAACCCTTGTTGTGAAACAGCGATGAAAGACAGAATTTGCGGGATGACATGAGTTATCGAGATCCTGTTTGACGATTTGCTTTCGTCATTAAACGGAATCGATAAGTCAAAGAGCCTTTTTGTTGCACAATTACAGAACAATGTATCACTTCTAAAGAGTCCCAAACGCTTACTGGTAGAGACTAATAGGAAATCCATATCCTCTTCATCTTTAAGTTGGAGGCGATATTTTTTATCATTGAGAGATTTAAACTTATTTCTGCTAAAAAGCTTTTGACCAGTCTTAAGTACTCCTTTGTGTATACGCCTATAATCATCATCGACTGTTGTGAGCTTTGCAGACTTAAATAAATATTCTTGGTGCTGAATAGAAGAGCTGGCAAGACTAACGACTGGGGCTTCAAAAAATTGCCAGCATGCTCCTAGTCCCAAATGACTCGACTCTAAAGGATCATACAAGCTATCGAGTATTGTCGACTCGTTTATGATATGTTCAATTTCCTGCTCTTCATTTATCCAAGGATCACCTACCATTGCCCTCAAAGATTGAACATTTTTGAAATATTTTGAATTCAAAGGCTTACTTGTCCAGCAATCTTCGCCTAGAAGGGTCCTATTAACTACTACTGGCCGTGAAAATGCAATTCTTTTGAACCACCTTATTCTGGCTTCTTCATTCAATTCTTCACGATTTTCCATTTGCTCCATTGTTGGATCCACATAAAATGTTTTCTCTCTTTTAAAATACTCATATTCATCCTTGTTAACAGGACCTTGATTTACTTTGAACCTGAATTTGAAGACTATCAACTCTCCTGAGATTGATGCACAAGCAATTTTGACACAATGAGTCCCATCATCTAAGATTTCATAATTCAAAAAAGAAACTTCAGGTATATTGTGTAATATTTGATGGGTCTTCAAATGATAAAATCTCTCATCTTGCTGGTGATAATAGAAAAGAGTAACGCTCTGGGAATTATCTGATGCAACTATAAGATTATGTTGCGTCTCATGCTTATCTCTGTAACTTAAAAAATCTAAACCCCACAATGAAGCTTCTAGCTTAATTTTGAAATCTGGTTTAATTTTCAAGCCATAGAAATTCTCTTCTAATCCAGATCCACCACCTAAGTGACTCATATAAGGACATGCTGTCTTACGTGAATTAAACTTATTCATGTATGCAGTTATGGTTTCAGAAAACCAGATCATCAACATTCCATCATCAAGACAAGCGCCAAGTATTTGCTTTCCCAAGAAATTGTCATACACATTTAGAAAATTAATTGTATGAGGAAAATATGGCCAAGTTGAAATCAAACGATCAGTAGTTGATGTCAACGACGGCCTTGTATCAAATCTTAGAGCCATTTTGTTATTAGGTATCTGCGTAACACTATTGAATCCGAAAAAGAAAATTTCAGAATTTGAACCCATTACCAAATAATCATTGCCTTGGGGATCTTTAATAATAGTTGAAAGATTATTCTTATATTTTCGAATGCTCTCTAGATGGAACAACTTACGGATTCCCAATGATTCCAAATTGATTAGATCTCTGAACTTACTTCCGGGTGGTGCTTTCACGATTCTTGAAGGATCAGAGTTCTCAATTGTAGTCAAATTTGGATTGAATGGATCATACAAACCGCCATTGGTATCATGATCCTTCGAAAATATCTCTGACTGTGTTTTGGAATCATGAAATTCCCATTCTGCATAAGCCGCTTGACTGTGGGGAGGAAATTTATCGTTCTTAGATAAGGATAGTTCACTATTGATAACTTTAATTCTGTTTTTGGAGTTATTAGAATACCTTCTGTCTTCAAAATTGTTACCAGAAATGTATTCTGAATTCCTATCAATGATCAATTCTTCTTCACCACTTTCAGATTCAAAATCTGAATTGCCCATCGTCTGAAAGCTGTATCTTCGATCAATGTAGAACGCATCCGCATCCATGTTGTCATCATTTCTAGTAATCCGAAAGAAATCAATGTTTTCATGGTCATTATCGGCATCGAACACTGCCAAATCAGAGTCTGATCCAGACTCCGAATTTATCATCTCATCATCATCACTAGAAGGAAACAAATTATACTGTCTTCTTAATTCCCTGGAAGACGGAGGATTTACTTCCTCCTCAGTCTTATTCACTCTATTAACTCCACGATACCGTAGAAATCTTTCAAATAGATCTTCAATTGGTAAATTTTCATTGACAAGATCCATATTTAAAGGATATTTATAAACAAGGTACTTTAGGTGAGCTCATATTGTGGCTCCAAAAAAATAGTTACAAAATATCATGACTTTTTGATAATTTTCATTTTTGCTTTGTCAGTTTCTACGACAGTTTGCCCTTCAAAGAACAATCGCCATATTAAAAAATGGGAGAAGATAAGCATCATGCTGACTATGCAAATTATAAATCTGGACTGAGCAAGGAAGAGGTACTAGAAAGTGTCGTAGAAAGTTATAAGGCATTATCTTCAGATACTGATAATTGGGTAGCGAATTTATCCAATTGCTCTTCGTTAATATGGCATGGATACCATTCATTGAAAATACCAGTTAACTGGAGTGGATTTTACGTATTACTTAATGAAAGGGAATTAATATTAGGTCCATTTCAGGGTAAAGTAGCTTGCCAGTTGATCAAATTTGGGAAAGGTGTCTGTGGGACCGCAGCTAGTTCACAAGAAACCCAATTGGTTCCTGATGTGGAACGGTACCCAGGTCATATTGCTTGTGATGGAGATACCAAGAGCGAGATTGTGGTACCATTGATAAAAGATGGGAAAACGATAGGTGTCTTAGACATCGATTGCCTAGCAACCGGAGGCTTTGATGAAACTGATAAGAAATACTTAGAGCAATTAGCAGATTTAATAATTTCAACTTGTACTTTTTGATACAAAATTTGATTTTAAAATGAAGCTAAACACATAAAATAAGAACCTTTTTATATAAGCAAAAGAGAAATAAAAGAAAAAAATTAATATTCATCCTTTTGGCGAAATAAAAAATAAAAAAGCACATTAGTCACAGTAAATTATACAACGTTTATTTGTTTAAAGAAACCTCTGCTCTTCTTTGTTCTTCTCTTTCTAGATTGTGGTATAGTAAGTCTTTCGCTTTTTCCACAGCGTGTGAGGTCCCCGATATTGTAAATGTTCTTTCAGTTTTTCCTTCCTCTTCGTCACTTATACCAATTGTAGCACCACTTACTTTCCTTACTCCCTGAATCCTAGAGCCATTCCTTCCAATTAAAGCTCCGACTATATCATTCGGAAAACTGATGGAAGTTGTAACAACATGGGACTTCTTGAGATTCCTGACACCGGTACCTCTAGGGACATAGTATGTTGTATTAACGACACTAGAGAAGTCTTCAATTAAACATCTTGATATAACCCTTAACGCATCGTATAAATTATCCACAGTTCCTTGTAACTCTACTAACCTCTCATTTGACCCTGGCAAAAATGATTTGGAAGCGATCATTGAGACGTTATATATAGATTGAATTTGTTGTATTCTCGCCCCCTTTGCACCGATCAATGTACCCATCTGACTATTTGGTATTAATAATCTTAAAATCGTAGTTTCGCCCTCAACGCAAGGACTTGATGACAACTGTTTTAAAGGGAAATAATTGTAAGGTTCGAAAGTCGAGTTACACAACGCTTGAGCGAAGTAACTAAGAGCCTTTGCTGCATCATCAAGTGTTCCACTAACAGTCAAGATTCGTTCATGGGATCCAGGCTGCAATTTTGATATGCCAGCCTTAGTATGGGTCTCTTCCCTGATTGAGTCAATCACTTGTCCACTTTGCCCAATTAAACATCCCGACTCTTTTGCACTTACCAACACTCTATAATTCAACAATGCAGCTGCATTTCTGTCATCATCTATGGCAGGTAGCGTTGTAGATCGGTCTGTATTTTCTGGCGATGAATCGTCCTTCGGAGCTGAATTAGACGTTGAGGGCTCCGAAGTGAACTTAGTATCAAATAAGGATTCCGTCATAGCTACAGATGAACAATCCCAAATATTATTCTGAATTTGATGCCTTTTTTAATGGATAATTATTTCCCTATTATTGTTCCAGTTAATAAGTTGCTAGCAGAAGAGTCCCACTGGCCAAAGTAGTCGTCAAAATTCGATGCAAAAAAAATTTGATGATTACATAATCGTACTTTTAACATCAGATTGTTAGATAGAGGACTACAGAGCAATAGCCTTCACTGATAGATCAGTGAGGACGAGGTAGGCTACTGATGAACAAAGTTCAATATCTGTTTAATCTGGATATTGTATTAGTGTTAATAAAAAAAAAGCTGGTCCATCAACTGAGAAGGAGGGGAGTGCTCAGATAAGCCAAGCTTTTAGTTCGGTGTAAGACGAAAGCTTTAAAAATCAAACGTTGAAGAGTCTTGAGCATTGAGAATATAGAGAGAAGCAGCATAAGAGCATATGATTCATCTTTGAAATCGTCTTACTTTTTTAAGAAAGCTGAAAGAAACACAAATAAAGCGCACTTAATGATAACTCCGATGGGTTGAATTACTGCAATGCACTGGAGGCTGCAACGTTTTGCGACTCGAAGACGTGGCAAAATGTCTTCGGTAACAGATAGACAAGGTGGTTGCAAAATTCCTGGAAATAGCTTCTAAAGTCTTTAAAAACTCAGTCTCTGAGACTTGCGAGGGATGTTTATTATGTCAATGGGCTCCTATAATGTTGAAATAGTGTCAAATAGAATTCGATTGCTTGTATATGCCCCACGACATTTATAGTACTCGTAGGATTTTGATGCGAACTACTTAAAAAAAGAAAAATCACTTGAGGATCGAAAAGCAAACTTCTCTCGAAAAGACAATGAGCAACGCGAGTTATCCATCACTAGATTCCTTGGGCTACTTGGACAAGTTGTCTTACACATTACCGTATAAATTATACTCAAATGACATAGTACCCGAGCCCATTATTCTACCTTTATTCATCGTTGGCACATCGGTGACGTGTGTCGTAATAGGGTCATTTTCAACATTGGGCAGACCAAGAAACGGCCAAGAGGCCAATTTGGATAAGGGAGAGATGTGGGATCCTACAGATAATGACGGATCCCCATATACTATTACAACTAACTCAGAACTTGAGTCATTGGGAACGCAGTCAATGGAGCTCAAACACGCATTCATTATACCTGTGATCGGAGGTGCTGTACTTTTGGGATTGAAAACTGCTTTGGAGAAATGGGATAAGATATCATTGAATAAATGGTTAAATTGGTACATGTTGGTGAACGGGCTAGGGCCCGTTTATTCCACCCTCTCTTACTTGTTAGCTTGGGCTTCGAGGAAAGGTACTCATGTATTTGGTCTGAACTCCCTGGCATTGTTCAAAAGGTACAGATTAACGATAGCTGAAGACAAAGATTTTTTTCCATTAGGTAGCGTTGACTATATTGATGAGCAAACTATCAATCAAGAGAAGGATATTAAAGAGCGAACCGAGATGTATGAAAAGTTAAAAAAACATTTGAAGAAAAATGATGTCAAGGTGTTGCTGGCAAACTCAGTAGAGCCTAAGCAACAAAAAGCAAATCTCATCTTCGACCTTAAGATATTGATTGCTGCCCCGCTAGCTTTATTAATCATCTACGCGTTCTATAAACATAACCCAATTTTGAATCTGAGCTATCCTTTTGCTGACACCAATTGGATAGCCCTGAACGTGTTTGGCGTCTCGTTCTCCATATTTGGCGTAAGCATGATTAGATTGACTAATTTCAAGATCGCATTCGCACTCATGTCTTTATTGTTCTTGTATGATATCTACTTCGTATTTGGCTCTACGGCAATGGTCTCTGTTGCTACCGGCCTCAAGATTCCTATCAAACTCATGTTCCCAGGTAGACCGAAGACCTCAGACTACTGGGAAACTGGAATGAGCATTCTTGGCTTGGGTGACATAGTCGTACCTGGTGCGGCTGTGGCTTTATGTTTACGTTACGATCTCTACAACTATCATTCTAAGCTGTTAAGGTCTTATCATCAGCTCCTGCCTTTCCCCAAAACCTATTTCATCACGTCCGTGGTATCTTACGCAATCGGCCTTATCTTGACTTTGTTAGCTCTCAATGTTTACAAAATGTCTCAGCCTGCTTTGTTGTATATAGTTCCTTGTGTTATCCTTGGTATTGTTAGTATTAGCGTTCTTCGAGGCGAATTTAGCAACCTTATGCACTACGGGGAAGATATTACCGCGTTTGACGATGCGCGGCCACTGCTAAGTGATGCCACTACTTCTCGACAAGCCGATGACACCGAAGAAGACTTAGATTATGAATACGAGGAGGTCGATGACTCTTACGACGAATGGGAAAGACGAGTGGAGATAAAGAGACTGCGTTTCGAAGGTTCGTATGATCCTGATGCCATCGATCTTTACAATCCGGTTGTCTACGAATTTGGTGACACTGACGATGAGGATGATGACACATTTTTAATACAATCGGAATCTGACAGCGATGATTTCTTGAGCGATGATGCGGTTTCTGAACCCGATATAGCTATTCTTAGGGGTGACATCGATGTCAATCCCCACGAATGGTACAGCGACGAAGATAACAGTTACGGAAGTTGAATTGCGCTGATAACCTGCATAAGCTTATCAGTTCCATCAAAACACTTACCCTAACGAAAATTTCACCTTTTAAAAGAACGCAACTCTTTTATAGTAGAATATATAAATAACAGTAACTCCACAAAACACAGTAATTGTAAATTATTTAAATGGAGAAACCGCGTGGCAAAAGCAAGACATTCATCGTATAGGAACAATATGAAAAGAAAGCTAGATGAAACAAAGTCAGCAAAGCGATTAAAGTTTGAACGAGAGATATTTTCGAAGTCAATAAAGGACATTGAGGAGATGATATCAGAAGAGGACGCTTACCATAGTATCAAAGCCTTAAGGAAAGCACACAATTCATCGTTGCGAGCAAGTTCGACAAAACCAAAAGCGGAGGATGGAAGCGGGGTGCCGCTTGCTTCAACGGCGAAGATAGAGGACGGCAGCAGCCAGTATGTGCCCCTAATTCATTCGAGAGAGCACCCTGAGTACGATTACGATTGCGTTAACATCTCATTCTTGAGCAGCGAGGACAAGAAGCCTAAGTGTCAATCTACAGTTAACATGGGCGGGATCCCAAGATACACTGAACCCAGGCTCAAGCGCAGTTTAGTACCAATTTTACCTAGTCAAACTGGCTCGAAATTTGCTGGTATGTTTGATTTCGACTTAAAAGAGGATGTTAAGGATCTTCCACGAAAGATAAATCTAGAAAAGGATCTCAAGCTCATGGATCAGCTTGTCTCATTAAACTCTCGTCTACACTTTCTGCATTATATATAATTTAAAGATTAATAAAATCATCTGATTGGTTCATAAAAATCGTAACTCCTATTAAAATTTAGCCAGTGACGAGGAGCGAATGACACAGTGCCATCCGATCCTTATCACAGCAATCTGTAACCACTTCTATACCATCGAAGAAGAATATGATAAAATCACGTGACACGAATAATTTTGGGTGAATAAAAAATTATATTCTCGACGGGCTAGAATCAAAAGAATAATTGATCAAGTTCACAAGTCACCATTTGGAGCATCAAGCCTGAGTAGTAGCTGAAAGTTTAGCATGGTGTTAGCAGATTTGGGTAGTCGCTTGCGAGGCGCTTTATCAAGCGTTGAAACAGGCTCAGAAACTGAAATTCAACTGATGATAAAAGATATATGCACAGCGTTACTAGAGTCTGATGTCAATGTCAAGCTCGTGGCGAGGTTGAGAGATAACATAAAAACCAGAATGGCTTCTGAAATAAACGAGAATGAAGCTTCAAGCAATAAAAGGAAGAAGTTGCAGAAAATTGTGTTCGACGAATTATGTTCCTTAGTGGATTCGCATGAAGAGCCCCCGAAGCCAAAAAAGATATCACAGCAGAAGTCAAAGACAGTCAAAGGCAAGCGGAAAATTGTAAGTAATGATGAAGGATCTCATATCATCATGTTTGTCGGTTTGCAAGGTGCAGGTAAAACTACATCTTGTACTAAATTGGCAGTCTATTATAAAAAGAGAGGTTATAAAGTGGGTCTCGTATGCGCTGATACATTCAGAGCTGGTGCATTTGATCAACTAAAACAAAATGCTATAAAATCTTCGATCCCGTTTTATGGTTCTTACGTTGAAACTGATCCTGTCAAAGTTGCATATGAAGGTGTGCAAAAGTTTAAGCAAGAGAGGTTTGATATTATCATTGTAGATACATCGGGTAGACACAAGCAAGAGCAATCATTGTTTGATGAGATGATCCAGATATCTGAAATGATTCAACCTACCCAAACTATCATGGTTATGGATGGGTCCATTGGTCAAGCGGCAGAGAGCCAGGCTAAAGCATTTAAGGAGAGCTCAAATTTCGGTTCTATTATTTTGACTAAAATGGATGGTCATGCGAGAGGAGGTGGTGCAATCTCTGCTGTTGCTGCAACGCACACTCCGATTGTTTTCATTGGAACAGGTGAGCATGTAGGTGACTTGGAAATTTTTAAACCTTCTTCGTTTATTTCGAAATTATTAGGGATTGGTGATATTCAATCGTTAATAGAACATGTCCAGTCGTTGAACTTACAGGATGATGCTTCTCATAAAAAAACCATGGAGAATATAAAGGAAGGGAAATTTACGCTCAGAGATTTTCAAACTCAAATGAATAATTTCCTCAAAATGGGCCCCTTAACTAACATTGCTTCCATGATACCTGGTATGTCGAGTATAATGTCACAAGTTGGAGAGGAAGAAACGTCCAAGAAAATCAAAAATATGATTTACATCATGGATTCTATGACTACTAAAGAATTAGATAGTGATGGCAGAATTTTCATAAAGGAACCGGAAAGAATAATTAGAGTGGCGAGAGGCGCAGGATGCTCCGCCGTAGAAGTTGAAATGGTCTTGCAACAGCAAAGGATGATGAGTACTATGGCAGTAAATGCTAAGAACATGCAAGCAAACAACCCTGCTGCTGGTAATCCAAACATGCAAAGAATGATGCAACAAGCTCAACTGAATCCTAATTTCATGCAACAAGCAATGCAAATGCTTGGAGGAGGAAATGCTGGAAGTGGAGGTATGCCTGATATGTCTTCTATGATGAATAACCCTGGAATGATGCAACAAGCCCAGCAAATGATGAGGCTGAATCCAGGAATGATGCAGCAGGCGCAACAAATGATGCAGAACCCTGGAATGATGCAGAAACTTATGAGTCAATTTGGTGGTGGAATGGGACCTTAATCATGGCTACTCTTAGCGTTCATTTGAATATATACAAGTATATAATGTGGATCGATTAACAGTTACGACCACAAGTTGATTGCCTGTAAATTTCGTGTAATAATCTATACAATTAACGTACATAATCCTTTCATCACGCATTTTTTAGCGATAAAATTCAGGCCTCGACGTATTCAAGCCATATTCTTTTAAAGCATTGCTCAAATCTTCCATGGTCAACACAATTTTACCTTGCTGATTTCCAGCATTGCTGCTATTATGACTTGGCTGTTGCTGGTCTCCCCCATTAGCAGCATTAGAGCCAGCCCCAGTAATCAGCTGTTGGTTAGCATATTGCTGACCCTGTAAGAGCTGTTTCGCTCTTACTTGAGGATTCGAAGAATTGTAGACTGATGATGCACTGCGGATCCTAGAATATTCATATGCGTCCTGAGCAATGTCCAGCACAAATTTTTGAGTTGCTAGCGCTAATAGCCTCTTTATCTTGATATCTGAGCTTTCGAACCCATTTTTTGCTAAATAATAGTCGGTGACAGCATCAGGTATAATTGGAGCAAACTCGCTATCCATCATATCAAGAACTTCTTTCAATGTCTTATCCTTTCGGGTGAGTTCAGGGAAATCTGGAAGTGCTGATAGATTGATACTTTCTCTACCATTATCCTGTGGGGCATCTGTCGTAGTAGATTCTTGCTGCTCATTTATTTCACTATTGTCCTCATCCATCTCATTTTCTTCTATTTCTTTATCGAAATTAATTTGTTGGTCATCACTCATCGTCTCAGTTTATAGTACAGCTCAAGATTTTCTCTTGAAAATCTATTTATTATAAGTAATTTAACCTTTAATCTTGCTTCAAAGCGTTAGCGATAATGTTTAAAGATTAATGAGAATTTACTATACAGCGCGAAATATTAAGGTAAAATTTAATCTCATTTACAACAATAAAGAAACGCTTAGGAGATAAACTGGAGGGGAATAATAGATGAAGCAGGAACTTCATAATCCATATGATTCCGCAACATTTGGAAATTCACTCCTGTTACGGGTAGATGGAGCCATTGGGGCCATGTCTTTATCGCCCAATGGTAGAGATGCGGTCTTAGCAGGACGAAGAGGTCTCTTCATAATTGACCTAGACGATCCTTTTACGACACCAAGATGGCTTCATCATATAACCTCTTGGGAAGTTGCAGATGTTCAGTGGTCGCCTCATCATGCTGTAAAGCCATCTTGGTGTATATCCACATCAAACCAAAAGGCTTTACTTTGGGATTTGGCGCGGCCGTCAAACAATGCGATTGTAAATGTGCTACACCAGCATACGAGAGCTATCACGGATATCAATTTTCATCCTTCAGATCCAGAGATCCTTTCAACATGTTCTATTGATACGTTTGTGTTAGGCTGGGATATGAGGACTCCACGGAAACCGGTCATGAAGTGGGCAGAATGGAGAGCTGGTGCTACACAAGTCAAATGGAACCATGAAAATCCTTTTGAAATTGCGTCGAGTCACGATAATAACTTTTACATATGGGACACTAGGAAAGGTGCGTTACCTGTTTTGAAGATCAATGCGGCACATAATGGAAAGATCAACGGGATTGACTTTAGCAATGGCTTATCTAACATCATTACGTGCTCTAACGACAAGAAAGTGAAATTTTGGAATCTCAAGAGTGATATTGTTGATAAGATTTCTAAGAGAGTTTCTTTTTTCGAGAATATGGATACGAATGAAGGTGCTGTTCAGCCTAGTGTTGTCGTCAATACTGACTTTCCGGTAGCTAGAGCGAGGTCTTTACCTTTTGGTAAGGATAAATCGTGTGGAATCATGCCATTGAGAGGTGGTGACAATGCAATTCACATTGTAAATTATGATGCCGCCTATAAAGCTGCGCTTACCTCTAGAGAGGGCCAAGAGATAGAGTGTGATTCGATATATACATTCAAGGGGCATAAGGGTGCAATAAAAGATTTCCTTTGGAGGACTAGGCATGAGACTTATGAAGGCATTAGTGATAAGCAAAAATGGAAAGAATTTCAGCTTGTTACTTGGTCATCTCAAGACTTTGACTTGAAATTATGGCCCCATGATGATGATTTGTATAAGAGTGTTAACTACAATCCATCTTATCAAAGAATACTAGATGTATTTTCAAACGGTGACCTGGGAAATGATGATAATAGTGATGTTCAATCTTTTGAGACAGAAGAGTTAAAGAACGATAAAAATACCCTGTATAATTACCAAACTTATTGCGTGGAGCCGCCCGTTACTATCGATGATTTGAAGAAAAAATGCAATGGAGATATATTATCTTCGTTAGTATTATATAGAATATATGAACGTCAAAAACAAAGTGGAAATACTGCGAGCCAACTTAACCATCTCGATTGGATCTCGGGGGTAAGAATTGGACATTCAGGTAACACATCACGAAAAGATGGTATAGATGAACAGGATGGACCATCTAACCTTGGGGAAGAGGTCAGTATAGTTGGTCATAAGTTCCCTAAGATCAGATTTGAGAAGATCTCGGTTTCTACTGGCGAACTTGTTATTAGTTTGAGAGGTCCAGTTAGCGAACAAAATATATTGGAGAAAGTAGCAACTTCAACAACGGACAATGATGAAACTGAAGCCAATACTACCATTGAAAGAGAGAATTCTAAAGATCAAGGGCCACCGAAGACAGAGAATTCACTAAGCCAATCGGTCACTTTGGTTAGCCAAGATGGAAAAAGTCACGACGGGGACAATTCTTTATCATTATCCAGCAATAATCTAAGTGCTGCCAATGAGGAAAGTACCGCAGAACAGAAATTAGTTTTCATTAGAATGGAGATCAAGTTTCCCAGAAATTATCCTTTTGGAGAAGATGAGTTACATGCAAGGCTGAGGAGACTTCTGAAATTGAAGAAACAGACAGCCGTAAGGTTTCATATTGAAGAAACTCACGAATTGACTGCCTCAATCAAGAACGAAATGCTTAAGAATTTGAACGAAATTGCTAGCTTTTTCACAGCTAAACATCACACTTATTGCTTGGAACCGTGTCTCCGATACTTGATGGGAGAAAAAATAGAAATGTCTGACCTGATTTTGTTGGACACGTCTCAAGATGTTACTAGAAATGGAGAAGAAGTTGTAGAGAACATTGAAAAAGTAGGTTGGGCGGATGATTTGGTTGGGGAGCATGATCCGATAAGAATGAAAGATGATTCCTCTGGAGAAGAGGATGTTGATGTTTTTGCTGACTTAATCCCAGCGGCAAATGATCCAGAAATAATAAATAGCTCCGAGAGCCTCAATTACACTAAAAATGAAAGTCAAGAAACTTCAGGTTTATTACAGCCCTCAGAATTTGCTGACTTAGAAAACGAGTATACCCAACAAAGACCTTATTTCGATTCCACGCCTCTTCCAAAAGGATGCGGTGCATGTTGGTCAGCAACTGGTAAACTAGTTTGCTTTTTCTTTCCCAAAATTGCAAATGAAGAAAGCAAAGAGCTTCAAGAATTAAGCAATTTAAATTTTACCGATGGAGGGTTTAGTTTGAAGCAACATGGCTCTCGTAGTCACCATAAACGCCCTCAACGTCTAAATAGTGGCCAGTCTGGATCCATTATTTCTTCCACCGATAAATCGGACTCGGAGATCAGCGAGGAGGTTAATGATTCTGACACAGAGAACGAGTCGGATGACGCAAGATCAGATACATCGTCAGATGACAGTTTCGTTGATGACTTAGATGAAATGTTCCAAGAAGATTTAACTATTCGGCCACGAGTTCCTGGGTTATTCAAAGCTTCTTTGGGTCTCGGGAACAGGTATGCTTCCTATAACAGATTGAATAAATTCACGAGTCAAGGTGAAACGGGATCTAATGCGATATCTTCTGGACGAGCGGAAAGCTCTCATGGACTTAAAAAGAAAAAGAGTAGAGGAACTTCAAAAAATAAGAACATTGTCGGTATTTTTGACTATAGATATCTTATTCCTGTGAAATACGAACTAGCTCGTGAGTATAGGGTGTTAGGAGATGCTCCCGAGGCATTAGCGAGGTACAATAGCGAAGTTGCTTCAAGATATGGTTATAGAGAAATCAGCGAAGTTTGGAAGTTGTTAGAAATGGTATTGACGAAGGACATTGATGTTTATAGTCTCAATGAATCAGCGTACAGAGGCAATAACCATCAAAATATAGCTGAGAATAATGATGTGGAGGCATTGAATCAACTTGTACGTAGCTCCAATATCGTTCAACAGGCGTTGCAGAATAATACCTACAGAATATATTGGGGGACTCACCCTTTTGGGCATACTTGGTTAATAAAGGAAATTTTCAGGTATTTTGAACTCAATGGTAACATACAGATGCTTGCTATGCTATCGTGTATTTTATATGAGAATTCTCAAAACGTCAAGAAAAATCCTTCGGACCTATTTAAGATACCTATTCACACCCCTTATCAAGTGCCTCCACCTCCCCCCTCTGCCGTTGCAATGCATCAGTTCAATGAGAATAACCAGCACAACGTAATATCAAACCAACATGAACGGTATGGGCTCTCTCATCGAGATTCAATCACTACGGATCGAAAGTCTTCAACTTATATCAATAACCCACCACTATCGATTACGAAAAGGGATCCTTTGAATTCGACACCTCCATATGCCAATTCAATTACATCTTCTGTTGAAGTTTCCAGCTTGAAAGATCTTTCACCCGAACCCAACAGTATGATATCCAAAAGTAGTCAAAGCTTCGTGTTACTGCCCATGAATGAATACCTTGCAAATAATGAACTGTTTAAAGATAACAACGGATTAAGTGCAAAGCTGAGGTACTCTATAAGAAGGAGCTCCAAAAAACAACAGCAAGATTCGAAAAGGACAAAATCAAACCAGCTATCTACAAATCTGTTCTCTAAAAGTAAGGGCAAGGTTGGACAACCACCTATCATTACACTTGATATGATGAATACCGAAGATTTAGATTTATTTGATGACGTTTACTCATCATCATTACTCGACTCTCAAGATGATGAAAAGGTAAGAAGATACCGCGAAGCATACTCACAGATTTTGTTCTTATGGGGATTTCCGATTAACAGAATAAAAATATTGAAATTCAACTATCCAGACTCAGATGGCTGTAAAGAAAGGTCATTATTTGACGAGCACAAAAGTTTATTTGGCTTTAGAAATAGAGGCAAGGCTCTAAGTAATCAACAAATGGTAACAACATGTACATCTGTTATAACTGCTAAATTTAATGTGTGGAATACGAGCAAGCAAAAGTCATTCAAATATTGTAACTTATGTAATTTGATGGTCACTAAAAATTTTACAGTATGTACAAATTGTGAGCATATTTTACATTCTCATTGTGCCTTTGAGTGGTGGCCAAATGCAAATGAAGACGAGACTAGTCAATACTGTCCTAGTGGTTGTGGCTGCAGATGTTTAGATCATATGATCTAAGATTTTTTAAGATGCATATAACTGTATATAGTTCAAGCTAAGGTTGTCTAGTGGATACAATTTGATTCTTCAATTTATCATCCCATTCTTTGCAAAGCTCCTCGAAATAATGCACAACATCCTCAGCGCCGGTAGCATCGATCTCTTCTCTGGCAAGATATTCTCTTCCTAGTCTATCACTTTGAGAACATATTTTATAAGACTGATCTTCATCATTAAAAGCACAGGATATTGGAGCATTCGCTGCAGTATAGCCGGATATATTATGGTATCTTGATCCTAGGAGACGGGCGATATAAAAAAGAAGAATCATTCCATAGTATGTAAAAAAATTTAAAAACTGGAAGAACGAAAAACTTGTGAAAATTCCAGGATGAACAACGTATTCTTTAATACCATACTGAGCATTGAATTTCTTGTAAGTTCCAATATGCAATAAATCCACTAATCGCTTAGAGCCCTCGTAGGGCTCAGGCGATCTTAAAAGTTGCAAATCCAGGAATGAAAGATATTTAGGATTAGCCATGATAGAAGATATCCATATAACTTTGCCTCCTTTGAGTAAGTCCTTACATTTATGGACCAAATAGAAGGGACCAAACACATTAGCTTGAAACACCAAACCTAGACCATCAGACGATTTGACTCCAACGCGTTGAGTTTTATAGGTTGGGTTAGTGACTCCCTCCACAGGGTTCTTAAAGATCTCGACGAATGCCTGGGGCCAATTAATTCCAGAATAAACCCCCTGCGCAGCATTTATAAACAAATAATCTATACGACTATATTTTTTATTCAACTCATAAAACGTCGACAAAACTGAAACCATATCCGAAAAATCAACTAAAATATAATCGAACTCCAATTTTCCAATTCTATCACCATGATACTTTATGAAATGATTGTTTATTGTCTCTATAACTTGTTTAGCTTTTGGTAACGTTCTTGACGTAACAATCAAGGTCAAGTGATCAGAAGCAGGTATCTTTTCTAGTAATCGATACGCAATATTTATCCCTAAATTTGATGTCGTACCAGTTATAAGAGCGATTTTCGAATCAACATTGACGTTCATATTTTTAATTTATTACTCTCCGTTGTGATTATCATTCGTCAAAAGTATAAAAGTATTATATCGTATATTTGTCGTAAAGAAAGAGTCGCGAAACAACATCAATGATGTAAAAAAAAAAAAGTTATAAAATATCGACAACTGCAGGATTCGAACCTGCGCGGGCAAAGCCCAAAAGATTTCTAATCTTTCTCCTTAACCACTCGGACAAGTTGCCTGTTTACTTTTTTTGTAAATGATCTGTCTTATAAGTATGTACTCTTAAGAATTTAAAGACCATGGTCATAAGATAATTACTTCATCCTTTTTTCCCAAACAGCATTTTTCCAAATGTAATAAAATAACAAAATTGAAGCTTGATCTTTTGATAGAAGTGAGATTATCACTGTCACAGAAGCTTTATGGAGCTAAGAAAATAGCAAGAAGTAAAGCGAACAAAAGAAATGAAGTTTAAGATATAGCCACGTTATCTTGAAACGTGATACCTTTACAAAGGAATTGTGTCTAATATGAGAAACTCAATGAATGCCGATGATGTTGAAGTAAGAAAGCCGCAAAATAATTCTCAAAAAGATAACCGGAAACAAAACGAATCTTCCGAGACTCTCTCAGTCTACGCATTTCTTGTATTGGCACTGGTCCAGTACAGCTTAAGGTTCACAAAATATGAAGAATGCTCTCAGATGTACAAATGCAAGGTTATCACCTTCAGTAGAGCTTAGGATCTACAATAGAAGCGGATAGTAGTAAAGTATTCTTGCTTAGAGTACCCAGTTATTAACATGAATCACGTAACTACGACAATAGCTCTTAAATGACCCTAGGAATAATCTACCCTTACATCTACTTCGAATAACAAAAAGATTACGTTGAAACAATATCCCATTGTTAATCCCATCTCATCGTGTATTATTCAATTTTTTTCTCTATGAAAGCAGTAATGTAATAGTAAAGCTGGTAACAGAAAGTCAAATTAACAAAAATATTTTAATTATTTGTCGATCAAACTATTGAGCCGTTGAATGGCATAGACACCCTCAAAGAAATTCATTATTATCCAAATCAACTTCTTATTTAATGGAACTCGATATTTGTTAAGTTTTGGAAGTGTGACGAATACAATCTCGAGAAGGTGAATCGAGTATAATGTAGAAAAAAGTAGACTCGCATAAGTCTCTAAAGTAATTGCGCCTTTCACCAAGAATTCTGGAGCCTTGGATGCCAAAAAGGCAAGGCCCTGATTATTTGTGATTGCCGATCTGAGAAGTAATGGGTCCTGAACTTCTGATATTAGCAATACAAAAAGCACGTACATAAAGATATCTTTGGAACCTGGAAAGAGCACTTTTGTAATCTTTTTATGAGAATATCCTCGTCTATTAGCAGCATACTTCGCCATTGCAACCAATTTTGCCTTAATATCCTTAAAGGAATTAACGGGAATGCTTTCATTTTCAATTGCTTCATCCCAGCTAATGACAAGAGTTTGAGGCATTCCAGCAACATCCTGATATACAAGACTCATCAACGATACATCAATGTCACCGATCTTGACTGTGGACTCCTTTATCAATGCAGGTTTGACATTTCCATAAACCACCACGTAATCTTCTAAGGACATCTGATGGTTCTTGTTCATATGCAGAATAATCTTCTGGCTATGATCGGTCATTTTCTTAAAACAATCTTTACTAACTATTCCTCAACCTATTTCTCAATGGTAGCGATACTTCTATCTAGCATAGGAAAAGATCTTTCGAAATATCTTTTCCGATATTTACCTGTGATTTTAACAACTACCGCGAATCCCAACTCAAATCACATTTCAGAAACGCTATTGGCATGTGAAAGAGGAGAGCAATCCTGGATTGTTTTAGCATAGTTCTTGCTCCATTTTATACCCAAGACTCGAGACTTAGGGAGCAAAGGAAGAAGCATTTGAATAGAATTATACTGAATGATACTAAAAAAAAAAAAATGATTCTGCCCAGGATCGAACTGGGGACGTTCTGCGTGTTAAGCAGATGCCATAACCAACTAGACCACAGAACCATTCTTCAAATTTTTTAGGGATCAGTCGTATAAGTACACAAAATGTGAATAGAGTTGCAAAAACCGCCCTGAAACAGTGTTGTAAAATTATATAAGGGCGAGATACTCCCAATAGTAGAAGATTACATTCTACTAGGGATTCTCAGTAGTAGCACACTATACATAATCTTAGACTAGTCAAGTATTCATTAGGAATCACCTAAATACGATAGTAACCCTTTAAAACAACTATTTAGAACTCCCTATAAACCTCACAAATTTTGTTATGGATCAGTCTTATAGGTATATGGGATACAAGAGTGTTGCAATAGCGTTGCAAAATTATATAAAAAGCGAGAATGTCGTCTCAAGATAGAATAGTATGCTAAAGTAGGGAGTCTAGATAGCACTAGGTAACATATAGGTCTAGAGCAGTGAAGTATTCTTTAATAATTTCCTGAGCACGGAAGTGACAGAGTGAGAACAAAGTTCCCCAAACTCTTACCAGCTTCATGTACCAAGCGCAGTTCTATAAGATTGATTTTTTTTTAGCGCAAAATCAAAAATTCAAGACTTGGTTATTTCCTAAGCTACTGATCCTTATGGTTTTCTACCTACTTAAATAAAGCTCTTTGTTACGTGCCTCAACGCACTTGCAACATCTTAGTTACTAATCAAGTGATATTCTGGTGCCTATCAACTTAAGCTTTAGGGATCAATAGCCTACAAATATGAACCGTAGCATATTCGAGATTGTTCAGTAGCATTGTGTGACTGACGTGAAAAGGCTATCCATAAAAAAATCGGGGCGAGCTGGGAATTGAACCCAGGGCCTCTCGCATGCTTGATCGTGAATACACACTACCCAAAGCGAGAATCATACCACTAGACCACACGCCCTAATTTTAGTTTAAAATTTCTTCTAGCTAAACATAAGGTTGCTATCTTAATATTAATAAAATTATGCTTATATTAGTTACTAAGTATTAATCTATTTATTTTTAACTGATGCAAATAAATCTTCCACTTCATTCTGGACTTCATCAAGAGCTCTCAGCTCTGATCTGACTGAACAATACCAGATCAATCCATTTATTACCCCGGTAATACCAGCGAATACAGTAACAAACAACAATAAAACGGAAAGGAAAGGAATTTGGGATGAAACAAAACCTATCACAACATGCATTGCAACCACAAATGCCATTGAAGTAATGAAATAGATCTTTCTCCAGCTAGCCTGGAAAGGAATTGTATACGTTCTGTATTCCTCTATCTCCGAAATCAATTGCTTATACACGGTAAGCTTTTCTAAGTTGCCACAATGAAATTTTTCACGGAACTCATCTTTGTTACAAATTCTAAGATTCACTGAATATGCAAAGTGGTCTGAAAAAGAACAATTATAGGGTTCTGGAAGCCTTTCGAAGAACTTAACCGCTGCAGAAATGGGTGCTAACATCTTGGGATCAATCAATGCGTAGTCTAATCTGCAAGCCTCCCACCGTTTCCTTTTCGATCTCCAAGTATTAAGTTGAGAGTCACAAGTAATACCACCTAATGTGACCTGATCTGTTGGGTTCATGCTAGCTATCTCTTCGTTTGAAAATGTTTCTTTACTGCATTCTTTCCAAGAATCCATCAAGCCACCTTCGACTCTAAACAATTCATACGGTAAAGAACCTGGCTTCGAATTCAAATCTCCAACCTGAATTACGGCATACCCTGATCTCTTCAAAATTTTTATTATTCTAGTTATATCCCATGCTTGGCATGCTCTATGACATGAGTAGCTGTTGTCGCCCACACCATAAGGTGCATGCATATGAGAGTTCATCACAGCTACTGGTGTAGCACCTAGACGATGTGGTTTTAACAACGTAACGGCAACACTTTTCCCTACGAACCAATCTCCCCTATAGAATGCAGATGGTCTCCCATTGATAGGAAACCTATATAAGAATGTTTCTTCGATTGGTATTTTTGATAACAATGCTAAACCTGGCCCCGTAACAATCCCTGACTTGAATAATCTTCTGTAAGGATACAAGTTCTTACAACTCTCTTCAATGGTATCCCAATCTTCTTGGCACCATACCTCCTGTAACGCCACTATATCAAACTCATCACCTGGGGATGGATTAGAAAGCCTTTCTGCGAGAGCTTGGAATCTTTCCCGACGAAATTTTGAAATGTACTTTAGACCCCAGGTATTAAAGGTCAAAAGCTTTATTATATCTTTTGGGTCTATATCCATCTTCATGCCACTAGGTGGCTTCACTGACGTATTACTCATATTAGACAGTGTGCGCTAAGTAGTCTTATATTTAACAAAAAGAGACATCGCGAACATTTATGTAAACAAAAAGTAAACCATTATTTGAAAAAACAAACTAAAGATTATAAGAGTGTATAGTATCATAAGTAAGATGAATCAACTTGCCTTCGAGGAGTTTGGAGATTTGCAAGAGCAAATGCAAGACTTCTCATCTAGAGTTGAGCAGTATTTAAGTCAAAAGAGAGGTAGTCTAATTGAACACAAACAAAATCATTATATCAAACTAAATGAATTGAGGTCACAAGAACAGAAACTACAAGCAGAAATAAATGAAAATAAGACTAAAGAAGAAAATTTGAAGCTGACGATAAAGCAGTCTTTGGAGTCATTACAGTTACAACAAATAAAAGTAGATGAATTGAAGCACAAGCAGAGTGAGCTCTTGGATCATAAGAATCATTTAGATAAGGACATAGAGCAGCTAAGGAAAGAAATGCTGGAGATCGAAAGCGACCTCGCCAAGAGCGAGGATAATTTAGCCAGGCAGCTAAAGAGAGACTATCCTGAACTAGTCAAGTTTGAAGTGTACTTGGGTTTGAGAATCGAAGTAATAGATATTGACATCATAAAGTTTGTATTTACAAATATCGACTCTAATGATTTTGAGAGACAATTTTGGTTTGAGCTTCACATAAAGGAAGACACCTTTCAGATTAAAAACCCAAATCCTAGTTTACAACCTGAAACAGTATCATCGCTTGAGTCTGAATTCAAGAAACATAAGGAATTCGTAAAGTTTCTAAAGTCGGTACGAAACAAGTTTAAAGACTTGATATGACAAGAATGACGTTCCAAATTTTGTATTATAGTTTTCAATATACCCTGGAGATAAGGCCAAATCGAGCATGCTTTTTATATGAGTGATGTTACAGTTATAATTCATTTAGCTGTCGATATCGCATATTAGAACCAGACTAGAACTCTCAGTTCTAATTTTATAACTTCCATATTTCAAATGTACAATAGAATATCATTACTACTCTGGTTTAGACGTCCATAGTGATTATAGACATGCTTAATACAACCTTTGAGATTGTGTTCAATGCGATATAATGAATTGCCACAAATAAAATAGTTTTAACTAAAAATTTTTGCCGTAGAGAAAATAAACATAACAGGAACAAGAACACAATGAAGGCTGACAAATATATAGAAGTAATAGAATCAATTCACCCAATCGAATCGGATTACGAATCTGAGGACGACATCCTAAGCATTCCACAACGCAGAGAATCAATTGCAGATGCCAAAAAAGAAAGCGCTATGGCACTAGATAGTGCTACAGAAGGAAACAGAGATACACCATTTTGGTTAGTACTCATTGGGAAAAGCGAATCTGATGAAAAAATGGAATCCGAGCTGCAAACTCTGTATTGGGATATTATTTATGTAGTCATACTTGGCTTGAGCTTCGTAGTGTTGCTTGTGGCATTACACACTCTTATTCTGGACCTTCGTCCCAAAGATGAGTAAGCAAAACCAATGAAACCGAATTCGGCACAAGAACGAAACTAACTTTTTTTTAGATCTTCGGGGAGAGTAATTAGTTGTTTAATGACAGACCTTGCTAGTCTCTCTTCTAGCGATAGGTTTATAGTTACTCAATATTTGGCACGTAATGGAGCAGAAGCCATCGATCTAGAGTAGCTATGAACTCTTGACCTCATTAGTCATTCTCGTCCTGATCAGAATACGAACAGCTGAAATACAGCCGCGCACAACTAAAGCTATTTACGAGATACTGACTCATTTTACGAACGGCAAGGAGTAATATAAAAGCACAGTGAAAGTAAGCTAGAATAAAGCTAATGTTAAAAAGTATATCTAACAATGTCAGATAAACTTACTAGAAAGAATTCGATAAATTCTACCCAAACAGGGTCTTATTCGATTGCTTCTTCAATAAGCAGTATCGGATCTAAGACGATTTTAAAGGCTAAAAGCAAGCTACAGAGTTTCAAGACGGGGCCCTCAAAAGATGATTCGGAGGATTCTCCTGCTGCAAAAGAAGCGAGTCTACCTAAGTTGACTTCAGAAAGAGACAAAGCGACTGTATACCTTTCACTTCGTTAATTTAAAAGCTGGGCTTTTGTATTTAAAATAGTTGCATTAAGTAGAATACAAGCATTATAAACTGCCTAAATATGTAAGTCACCTCTCATCTTTAATGTTCTACAACGATCGAAATTAACTAGCCCATTTCATTAAGTTAAGTGTGAATTACTTATATGCAAATTGCAATTTTTGACCGGAATTTGTAATTTAAGAAAGAATAAGGAAAGCAAGACTTTCTAGAAGAAATGTTTTAAGAGCGGGAAAATGCAAGTTAATAATATTTTTATGTATCTCAACTAAAAGTATTTGCTAATTAATAATGTTCTAGTGCATTTTAACTAAAAATAGCTGATCCAAGGTTTTTTGCCTTTTGGGTGCAAATGCGCTTATGTAATAAATGTAGATTTTCTGATTATTAGATACGAATAACCTGAAGTCAATTTGAGTACCACGGCAGTAGTGTTTTTGATATATTTTCAGCTGCATCGTTTCCATATTAATCTATTGTTACTATGAAATGGAAGAAGAGAGGAAAATTTCAAGAACCATGAAGAACGCAGCTAGGAATTCGGACACAGGGAAAACAGACTAACTGAAAAATACATCTAATGAAACAAATTCTGAGCTATGGTATTAGAATACAGGGTCCATTATGGATATATGAGATACCTGTGGAGAGATATGAGTTGAATGATGGTAGCATTTTTAATTAGAAATCAAATCTTTTGCCAAACGGGGTTACCCGGAATTATAATCACATCATTTTCATCTACGTGTTCATCAACATTTCAATGAAATATACTACAAGATAAAACATAAAGCACTTAGAAAGATATGATTAATATAGCCATAGGTTTGTACATATTTGCATCGCTTACTTCGTTGGTTTCAGCTAGTCTCTTTGATTTTATTAATCATCAGTTTGGTCACCAACAACAGCAGCAAGACCCGCTTGACTATGAAAACTCGGTCTTAAATGCTGCTTGCGATAAATTCGTGTGTCCGGAGACTTCAATTTGCGTTGATGAGCCTAAGTTCTGCCCTTGTCCCTTTCCAAGTTCGCAACTCAGATGTTTTTTGCCAAATGGGCAGCATATTTGCATTTCAAAACCTGCCGGAGAAATCAGTGCCAATTACAGAGACCCTAAAACAAATTGGAAAATTGACGCAAAGGATGATGATATAAGAGACTGTGGATGGGTCAATCGGGCAGTCAAGGGCCTTGTTTAAGTAATTCATACCGTCATAAGAGCATTCCGTAAAACGGCATTCAGAGCTTAAGTATACTGGCCAGCATAAAATATGAGGGATAGCATTTAAGAACAAGCTAATACATTTGTCAAGGGCAGTTGCACGTCCAAGTGCTGATACAGTCACTCTTTTGAGCCTTATGACAGAATAAAAAGTATGACTGATAGTCTTGAGACCATTCTAGATTTTGCGTGGGAAACTTGTACCACCTTCAGGACTTGGAATCTGTTATCCATTGGGCTCATAAGAGACCAAGGGACCTTCGAAAATTCTCGGATTCGAAGCAGTTCGTTTCTACAATTACTAGAGGGCAGCTTTGTAAAATTCGTACAGAATGGGAAAAAAGAACAATTCTCTACTCCGAAAATTGATAAGACAAAAGATAGAAAAATAATTCATGGTTTGCAAAGTCTGGGTCTCTTTTAGCTCTCAGGAATGATTTGAGGCTCACCGAGGACTCACCTGATATTCACTTGTCTCTTATTTATCATTTCAGTAAACATAATATCACGTGCCGATAAATAGTGAAAAATTTCCTCATTGACTCACATAAGCGTAACTTATTGTAGATCTATTGGATAATAAGATTGGGTGAAAAATTATTCTAGTTAGTGCACTCTAGTAGTAAAAGCTAAAATCGTTAAGGAAGTTTCTTGATACAATCTACATTTAGAGGATGTTGACGGCAAGAAAGGTGTTAAGGGCAGATCGAGTTGCTCTGAACTTGAGAAGTTTAGCTACTTTAACGAAACCAAAATTTGATTTTGAGGTGCCTAGTGAATATGAAAGTAGAACTCCACCCTATGGGAAGTTGATTGAGAAGTTATCTTTAGTAAAGAAGATCTTTGGCGGTAAGCCTTTGACTTTGGCGGAGAAAATTTTATATTCTCATTTGGTAGACCCAGAAGACAGCTTGGGCTCGAGTTTAGGTCAACTTTCGAATGTTAGAGGGACTGAATACTTAAAGCTCAACCCAGACAGAGTCGCAATGCAAGACGCATCAGCACAGATGGCTTTGTTACAATTTATGACCTGTGGAATGGCATCTACAGTAGTACCAGGATCTATTCATTGTGACCACTTAATCGTGGGGAAAGATGGAGCAGAAGAAGATTTGACAAAATCTATTGCTACGAACAAGGAGGTTTTTGATTTCTTGCAGAGCTGTGGTGAGAGATATGGCATTCAATTCTGGGGACCAGGTTCTGGTATTATTCATCAGATTGTCCTTGAAAATTTCTCTGTTCCTGGTTTAATGATGTTGGGAACGGATTCGCACACTCCTAATGCTGGTGGCCTTGGTGCTATTGCCATCGGTGTTGGTGGTGCTGATGCTGTGGATGCATTAACGGGAACACCTTGGGAGTTGAAAGCTCCTAAGATTTTAGGTGTACATTTAACGGGTCAATTGAGTGGCTGGTCTTCGCCAAAGGATGTCATTACATATTTGGCAGGTGTATTAACCGTAAGAGGTGGAACTGGCTATATCGTTGAATATTTCGGTGAGGGTGTAAAAACTTTAAGTTGTACAGGGATGGCCACTATTTGCAATATGGGAGCAGAGATCGGTGCTACGACTTCTACTTTCCCTTATCAAGAAGCTCATAAAAGATATTTGGTCGAGACAAACAGAGGACCAATTTCAGAGGCAGCTGATATAGCGAACAATGAATTCAATTACTTGAGAGCAGATGAAGGTGCGGAATATGACCAGGTAATCGAGATTAACTTGAGTAATTTAGAACCTCATGTCAATGGTCCTTTTACTCCTGACTTATCGACACCGATTTCGAAATTCGGTGAGACAGCAAACTCGAATGGATGGCCCTCGAATGTGTCTGCTGGTTTAATAGGTTCGTGTACCAATTCTTCTTATCAAGATATGTCCCGTGCTGTCTCAATCATCAAGCAGGCCGAAGCTGTTGGATTGAAGCCAAAGATTCCCTTTTTTGTAACCCCTGGGTCAGAACAAATTAGAGCTACGATAGAGAGAGATGGTTTAATCGATACTTTTGAAAAGAATGGCGCTGTTGTATTGGCAAATGCTTGTGGTCCCTGTATTGGTCAATGGGATAGAGAGGACGTTTCCAAAACCTCTTCTGAAACTAATGCGATTTTTACTTCCTTCAATAGAAACTTCAGAGCAAGAAATGATGGAAACAGAAATACAATGAACTTCTTGACCTCTCCTGATATGGTTACTGCTATGATCTACTCTGGCAAAATGAACTACAACCCAATTACTGACAGTATAGAATTAGATAATGGTGAAAAATTTAGATTTGATCCTCCCCAAGGTGATGAATTACCTGAACATGGTTTCATCAAGGGCCGAGAACAATTTTATCCTGATCCTAATCCACAGCCAAAAGCTGATGTTAATGTTAATGTTTCTCCAGAATCTGATAGGTTACAATTGTTGGATCCATTTAAGGCCTGGTCAGGAGAGGAGTTATCAACAACTGTTTTACTCAAGGTAGAAGGAAAGTGCACAACCGATCATATTTCTGCTGCCGGAGCTTGGTTGAAATACAAAGGACATTTGGAAAATATATCTTATAATACATTGATTGGTGCTGTTAATAAAGAAACTGGCGAGGTTAACAAAGCTTACGATTTAGATGGAACAGCTTATGGCATCCCAGAATTGATGATGAAGTGGAAGGAAGAAAAGAGGCCCTGGGTGGTAGTTGCTGAGCACAACTATGGAGAAGGTTCTGCCAGAGAACATGCGGCTTTGTCTCCTAGGTTCTTGGGTGGATCAATAATCTTAGTTAAATCGTTCGCAAGAATTCACGAAACTAACTTGAAAAAACAAGGAATGTTACCTTTGACGTTTGCTAATGAAAATGATTATGATCGCATATCTTCGGGAGACGTCTTAACTACAAAAAACTTGAAGGAGTTAGTAGATAAAGATGGCGAGAATGGGGGAACCTTGACAGTGGAAGTGAAGAAAAGAGATGGAACTACCTTTGATATTATTTGTAAGCACACTATGTCTAAGGACCAAATTGCGTTTTTTAAAGACGGCTCTGCAATCAACCACATTGGCAATTTAAGAAGAAAGGAAGAGAATCTCTCTTGAAATTTTGGATCAAAAGGCAGTAGAAATTACATGGATAAAAGATGCTAGTTCATTTAGACTCAAGCTGTGTATATATACGTGAATTATTAGATAAATGACTGTGTATTAGATTTAATCCAAGATACTTAATCTGTGACTGAATTTTATTACCTAATTGTATTTATGATGAGAGTATTATACTTTATTTATAATAAATTGAAGTAATCTAAAAAGAGGATGAAATATCAATAAACCTCTGACCAAGAGCTTCGTTTATGAGAAGGGATACAAATAAAACTCAAGCATCAATCAAATCATGAGATTTATCAGCATCAGCGTCTTCATCATCATCATCATCGTCGTCTTGATCTCTTTCTCTCTCATAAAATTCATCCAAAATTTTTGGAGAAATTCTATTTAATAATTCCTTAGGATATATTCTCAAAAGTGACCACGCTTGGTCCAAAGATTCAAAAATACTTCTATTTTCATAAGCACCTTGAGCGATGAAGTTCTTTTCGAACTTCTCTAAAAATTCTAAGGATAACTTATCTTCAACCGACAAAGCATCTTCACCGACGACTGCCTTCATAGCGGCCGCATCTCTACCAATGGCATACTTAGCATACAACTGGTTGGAAACGTCACCGTGATCCTTTCTTGTCATACCCTCACCAATAGCTGACTTCATTAAACGACTCAAAGATGGCAAGACATTGATCGGGGGATAAATACCTTTGTTGTACAATTGTCTATCAATTGAGATTTGACCTTCAGTAATATAACCAGTCAAATCTGGAATTGGATGAGTAATATCATCGTTAGGCATGGTTAAAATAGGGATTTGAGTGATAGAACCATTTCTACCTTCCACTCTACCGGCTCTTTCGTAGATTGTAGACAAATCTGTATACATATAACCGGGGTAACCTCTTCTTCCTGGAACTTCTTCCCTGGCAGCGGAAACTTCTCTTAAAGCGTCGGCGTAAGAAGACATATCAGTTAAAATTGTCAAAACGTGTCTTTCCGTCTGATATGCTAAATATTCTGCAGTAGTCAAGGCTAAACGTGGAGTGATGATTCTTTCAATTGTTGGATCATTGGCCAAGTTCAAAAACAATGAAGTTCTTTCTAATGATCCATTCTCTTCGAAATCCTGCTTGAAAAATCTTGAAGTTTCTAAATTTACACCCATAGCAGCAAATACAATAGAGAAGTTCTCTTCGTGACCATCGTGTACATCTTTGGTTGGTCTAACTAAACCAGCCTGTCTACAAACTTGGGCAGCAATTTCATTGTGAGGTAAACCGGAAGCAGAGAAAATTGGAATCTTTTGGCCCCTAGCAATTGAGTTCATTGTGTCAATCGCAGATATACCGGTTGAAATCATTTCTTCTGGATAAATACGAGCGTATGGGTTAATTGGAGACCCGTTGATATCCAAGTAATCCTCAGCAAAGATCTTTGGACCTTTGTCAATTGGCCTACCAGAACCATCGAAAACTCTACCCAACATATCTTCTGAAACGGCGATTTTCAAGTTTTCTCCAGTGAATTCGACTTTTGTCTTTTTGACGTCGACACCTGAAGTACCTTCGAAAACTTGAACAATTGCCTTGTTGGCTCGAACTTCCAAAACCTGTCCTTGTCTGATGGATCCATCTGGCAAAGTTAAGTTCACAATTTCATTGTAACGTGGGAACTTCACGTTATCCAATATAACCAAAGGTCCATTAACGCCTCCAACTGTGTTATACACAACTCTTGGTTTAAGCTTGAATCCTTCAGTTACAGCTTTCTTGTTTAACTCATATAACTCTTTGTCAGATAGCATGGTCTTAGACTAACCTCGTTCAACGTAGAAGTGATGCTTCTAAGCTAATACAGAAACTTCAATAAAATGAAGTCTCGATAAGGGTGAAATCTCGTTCATCCATAATTAGGGACAAAATTTACACAGAGTAGACTGATAAGTACACGTGAACCATATGTATTCAGCTATATTAATATATTTTACTTACGATATCCCAGTCACCAAGATGGAATTTTGCTTGATTCGCTATAAGGTCGCTGAGATTCAAGTCCTTTAATAAACTTGGTGGATCTGGAGATCCATTTGAAGAATTATCGTAGTTGCGGTCATTTCCGTTCATCATTAGTTTGTAGACATTTTCCATTAGAGTTTTCAATTCTGGTCTCTCAGCCGATGAAAAAGATTCCTCTGATAATGTTGAAGTCGCTGTACTTGTTGAAGTGAGATTTGGGGTTATCAGGTATGAATGGACGTCTAACTGAGCTAGTCGTTTCTCGAAATAGTGATGCATGTTGGGAAGCCTGAGCAATATCTCCTCAAAGTCAAAATCATTGCTTTCCTCTAAGGTCAGGGAGCTATTAACCGTAAAAGAGAAAAAGGTTTTGAAATTTGATAATATCTTGACAACGACAAGAAGAAATTTCAAGAAATCCTTCACAGTTAACTTGTTGAACGGTCGATTCAAGATTTTATGGGGAACAATCACTAATCTTTTCGTTGTATTGCTCTTAAACAAAACAGGTCTCTCATTGAACTCTTCAGGTTCTTTCTGACGGACTTGAGGAGTCTCAGTACGTAACAAGGATGCTCGCCTTTGGTTATTAATCGTCTTGGATGACAATGGAAGTTGTATTCTGTCACCTAACTTAATCACCCTTTGATGGTTATTACTTTTTATTTCTGTCTCGGCGGGACTTGATTTTACCTCTTCAACTTCCTTCTCTTCATTTTCATCTCCTAGCATGCTTTTTTCTTTCTCTTTGATCAATGTATAGAAATCCGAATTTGGTAAAAATGATCTCAATTCGTTAATGTATGGTAAGTCTGCCTTAAATAAGTCAGACAAATGGCATTGTAGTATTATTAAATTTTCCAAGAACTGATTAATTGATAATATATTGTATCCCAAAAAACCCTCTAGTTTTAATATGGGTTGACTATAAAACATGAGTCTATTATTTGGTCCTTTTGAAAAAAATATTTCATTTAGAACCATGTAATGTTGGAATTGCAATTTTATCGCTTGTTTTTCGATCTGGTTGATCTTATTGACCTGATAATCCTCAATACTAGAATGAAGTGAGCTTGATAGTTTGTCAAATTGAATGATCATTTCTTTTTTGCCATCAGCTACTGATGTTTCTCTATTTCTTAATGCTTGTTCCGCTTCCAAGATCTCATTGGAAATCCTACTTATTTTGCCTTCGAACTTTTCCACTGACCTTTTGATGAGCTCTATCTTGAGCATCAAATTTAAGTTTTTTAATTTGCTTAACTGTACTGCCAAGGTCTTGATAGAATTGAATGAAGGAACTAACATCTCATTATCCAATCCCTCAGGAAAAGTATCATCATAAGGCACTTTCTTACCCATATGAAGCTCCTTGGTTACAGAAAAAACATGATCAATACAGCCCTTGTTAAATTGATTTATAAGTATGTTTTTATCCAACTCTAATTTGATGCTTTGAAATTCATTCCTACAATTTTGGCATAACAATATACTTGAATCATTAATTCCATGGGCCCGATTACAAATTGGACATTCAAACAGTCGCCGTTGCATACTTCATTTGGAGTCTTGATTGTGAATATTTCTTACATTTACTTGATAATTGTGATTCCAGCTGATAACACTCAAACTCTTATATACAATTGTCGGTCAAGACACTACTTTTAATAAAGATCTAATATACAATACCGTCCTTCAGTCGATATATCTATATCTATACATATATCTATATATATATATGTATATATATTGACGTTAATTCATAATAGATAAGATTAATAGAGATCAAGAGAAATTATATTAATTGATAATGCTCCTGGCATAGTTATTTCTCATGAGAAAGTATTTTGGTGTAGACTAAAGTTCATTTTTTCTTCTTAAGCTTCTTTCTTTCAAGGACTTCCCTTATCATTATAGCCAAAACCTTATCTATATCATCATTTACATTATCTATTTCCACAAACCCACAACTCCATGACTTTGCCAACTTTCTTCCTTCATCCACTAGCATTGGGGACTTTAAGGGACTATTAGCATGGGTACAGATGATGCAAACTGGGGGCGGACAATTAGGGTCTGCTGGATCGGTTGAATTGTCAATTAGAGTGATTTGCTTTCTAAGATTTTGTCTCATTTCTTCAACCTCCGAAAGGTTTTTCAGTGTCCACATATTCTTCAAGGCAGATGACAATGAAAATATATCCTGTTCTTTACCCTGATCCCATCTTGTTTTGAAAGTATAGTATTCTTTCCAGGCTTCATCCAAGGCACCTTTAATTACCTTCAACATGTCTACACAACTCATTACCAGTGGTTTTGTGGAGGAGCCATTTTTCGAATTTGAAAGGTTTTCATTGACAACATCGTCATACAGTGGAGGATGTGTCGATGGAATAGAGCTATATACAAGGTAGTACCCATCGACATTCCCATTCAATTCACTAGCTCCACTAGCGACAAGAAGAGGATTCGTCGACACAGATTTTCTGGGTTCATTCGCCAAATTCTTCAAAATATCCTTGTCTAAATTGATATAAAGTGAGGCTTCAAGAAAGGGAACAACTTGATCTGGGTTGAAACCTGGAGTATCGATTAATTCAACTAATATTGGCGAAACATGCGGAGGCACATACTTTTGTCCAGCTTCGTTTAAATAATTATATGCAATGAAATAATCATTCTTCGACTTAATGAGAGCATTCAGAACCTCAGTTGGTTTTGAAGCGTTCACTAGCTTAGTGTAGGCACCATATATCACCGGGCTAAGAATTATATCGTTTTGTTTCGCAATGTACTGAAATGCATTCTTAGATTCTACCTCATCTAACAATACACGAGATATGAATGAGTTAGGAACATAATTGAACATCATAGTATTGATTTTATGGGTTGGATAGTAAGTTTCATTAAAAGTTTTTAATGTTAAATTAGCTATTATTGATGTCTTACCCACTCTCGCTTCTCCGAGGAAAGCTATTCGTAGAGGCTTTAAGTCATTAATGGGTGCATTCAAGTCTAAAGTAGCTGTTGAATTCCTTCTTTTAGCTTGACTCATAAGAATAAATTCTTTTTTTCTTTTATTAAATGCAAGTATTTAGTTAATAAGATTTAGAAGAAATATAAATATATTTTTCTCATATTGCGCAGTAATATAAACTACGATCTTTTTACATCTTTTTTGTCATATTAAGGTTCCTTAAAATAACAAGCAATCAAATACTTGATGGAAAGATGGAAACAGGGGTAAAAAAATTACAATATTAGTCCTAACGATTTTGAAATTTTTGGCTTCTAAAGAAAACAATACGTATAATACTATCTATCTGGTATGATTCTCAACCCTATACGTCTGCAACCGCGACACCGAGTTCAGAATCGCCTTGTCCAAAATAAAGGAGCCATTTATCATGAAATTGAACAATTCCTTCGCAAAAGACTACCTTATTCACTTGTCCATCAACTTCATTTTTCGATTCAGGTACCATGATAGGATTATCAAGTCTTGCAATGGGACCACTTTTGATATCATCGTAATCGATTAACATCTCACTAATAGAGTAAGTCTCTGCACTCAATTTTTCACCTCCATTAGTGCATGCATTGTAGAAAAAGATCCACTGATTTTTATCATTATCTAATTTGAACGGTGCAGGGCCAGCTTCGATAAGCTTGCTTTCGTGATTTAATTTTGGCCTTGTAAATTGAGCATGCTGAAAACTGTTTGATAAAGGCTTCCAGTGGATCAAGTCCTTGGAGGATGCTAAATATAAGTGGGAGTCACCCCAAATCATGTAATAATGGCCATCCTTTGATTTTTCTGTGAATATAGCACCAGACTTCAGCCAATCCTTTCTTATTAGCATCTCGTGATTGGAATTGAAAGCAACATCTCTCCATGATGGACTGACAAACGTTGGATACTTGGTCCAGTCAAACAAGTTCTCTGATGTAGCCACGCAGAGTCTTGCCGTTTTACCATCAAATGCTGTGTAAGTAACGATAAATAGCTTACTGACACTATCTCTTACAATGCGAGGATCTTCACAGCCTCCGATCAGCTCCCAAGACTCCGTAGGTTCAATGATAGGCTTATGATACTTAGTGAAGTTAAAGCCATCTTTTGACCACGCAAGCCCTACCGAAGAGGTCTTCTTCTTGTTTTGGGCACGGTAGAGTAGAAATACCTTGTCATCAATTACAATTGCAGTCGCATTGTACAAGTATCCGCTTTCAAATTCAATGTCTGGGTTCGGTTTCAATATCGGATTCTTCTTGTATCTCTTGAATGGTCCAATTGGAAATGATTTTGGAGCGACATAGTTCAAATCACCATCAATTGAATGTTTATCTATCTTTGGTAGCATCATCTCGATTTAGATTGTGAAATTAGTTATTGGACCAGATTTAAAAGAGATACTATGGCAACACTTTAAATTTGCAATGCCCCACGCTTCTCATTGCTATCTCCAAATGTCGCGAGAAACGTCGCGATGGTTCGGTTAATGAATGTCGCGATACCTTCTACTTTTAGACTCCTTAGTAACAAAGTGTCAAATACTGAAGAGGCAGAGCTAGACATTTTGAAAATATATTATGGGTCAGCTATTATCGCATCCAATTCAAGATAAAACACTTGATCATAAGGATCATGAAACGTTGTCCTATTCTATTGGATCAATGCAAGGGTATAGGATGTCAATGGAAGACGCACACGACGTAAGAGTAAACGAAGACGAGTCGTTGGCAGTGTTTGGAGTTTTTGATGGTCATGGAGGAAAACATTGTGCTGAATACCTCAGTGAGAATTTGCCAAGACGGATCTTAAGGATTCTTAACGAGTCCGAAGGACTTCAATTAGGCGACTATATACGACTAATAAAGGACTCGTTTTTCAAGGCTGATCATGATCTTTCCAAATTACCCAACACGCTTAACTGTGGATCCACCGGGATAATTGCTACAATTGTGAAAGGGAAATATATCATCGTATCTAATACAGGTGACTCAAGATGTATATTATCGGTAAATGGCCTGGCAAAAACACTTTCCTTCGACCATAAACCTGCTATTATGAACGAGAGAATTAGAATAGAAAATAGTAACGGATACATACTTAACAATCGGATCAACGAGATTTTAGCATTATCAAGAGCCTTGGGGGACTTTAAATTCAAGGTCCCATACTTGAGTGGATCACACAACAAGTACATAATGAAAAATAAGAAGTTCTACCGAAAGGGACTTGTTCTTCTTCCACCAGAGTTGTTTCAAGTTACCGCAGAGCCTGATTTCATGATATATGACTTGAGTAACGAGACCCCTGAGTTCATAGTTCTTGCGTGCGATGGGATATGGGATTGCTATAAGAACGGCCAGCTCGTCAAGGTTATAAGGCAGAAGCTTGGATTAGGATGGACTTTGAACCGCATTATCGAGTTCGTGTTAGACGATTGCCTACTTATGGCAAATAGCTATACTGGAATCGGCTTTGACAATATGACGCTTATCATAGTCGCTTTACATGAAAACGGCAACATTGATGAATGGTACGAGTTAATGAGACATAGGGTTCAGTACGAAGAAAATTGACTTGCTATTTTTAACTTTTATATATCTCCTAATTTTTTGATTTCAATTTTTTTAGACTAAAAAGAGGCAGCTTATAGTGACCAAACTTACTGGGACGTCATTATACCTTATTCCTTCATTGAGATCCTTCTTGCTTTTTGTTAGTTGGGTTATCTTATAGAATTGTAGTGTGCATATAAACGCGATATAGGCTTTAATAGGAATACTTTGATTTGAGAGAATCGGTATTAAGAAGCAATATTCAACATAGACAAAAATCTTTATTAAAATAATAAAAAAACAAGTTAAAAATTGCATTCTTTAGTTCATAGAGCTTCTAGCGAGGTCATATTATCACAGTTAGGGATTCAAACGATTTTGGTCTTTTTTCATTTCATTTTGTTTTGTTTTTATTAGGAATACATTGAAAAGTACCGTTCTGAGTTTAATGTCAGATACCGAAGCGTATCAGGATCCGATCATAGATCTAGTTAAAGACAATGACTTATTCAAAGAGAAAGAAAAGACTAATCAACTTATTAGGCTAATTGACAGCTTCCCGTTGACTGAGCGGAGGATATCAAAGCTATGCCACAAGAGCTTTGCGATTCTTCAGCGGTTAGAGAAAATATCTTTGCAGCTCAAGAGCTGGGAATTTATGTCTCTTACCATTAACAGTGACACACACTTCACCAATACAGATGATTTGATTAAGAATTTCAACAATAACATAGCGGAAAAGGTGCTAGATATATCGCAAGATTTAAATCAGAAGTTGACACGAATCTCGGTCGATCTAGATCATATCACTATAGGTGTACGAAGCTTAACGCCTATTGAATACATATCGGATAGTGGTACGGTCCTTTCTTCGCTTTTGTTGAAAAATGTTAAGTTAAAAGCTGAATTGGCAGATAAATTGACGGTTTCATATTCAATAGCGAAACTAATTGGCATCGGAAAAGAACTAGAAGAGATGTCAGCAAGTACAGATGATGGTACGATATCGTCGTATAAAATATTCATACTAAGTATTTTGAAACAATTGAATAGCTCTATCGAGGATGAGGATATGGAACTTAAATACGAATGTTTGGCCGTGATCAATGACATGGAGAAAATGTTCAACGCTTTCAAGTTACAAAAAATGAAAGATGCGTTCCTTGATCAAGCTCTCTTACCTGAGACAGAAGAAGATGACGAATACGAAGAATATGATGATACTCCTTCGCCAGACTCCCCACATGATCATCATTTGAACCAAAGTTCATTTTTGCATAATTCGATGGAAGACGCTGATTTTTATAATTCTGATAGCGCATCATACCTATATTCTTCAAACTATTCCCAGTCCCCAATGGTTCATTCAATTACTAAAAACAGCGAAGCCAGTAAATTTCATAATCATGAAAATGACGATGGCATGTCTGCTAGTTTGCTCCAAAAGACATCAATCACAAGTGAGCTTCCTTATTTGATGTCTGCATTTAATTCCGCAAAAAATTTTGAAGAAGATGTTACACATTACAAGAAAGAGGAGAATTTGGATCGGCAAACGGTGAGCAAACGACAACTGGATCCCCCAAAGAAGAATAACAAACCTGTATTCTCTCATAAATCCCATTTACCAGAAAGTGTATTATATTCTGAGAGCACAATCATTCCAAGATCGACTTCTCCAGGAATTTCAAACTTGTATAGAAATAATTCATTATTGGCTAAGATGGGAATAAAGCCTCAAATTATCTCCACAAAAGCTCCCAAAAGAGAGTTAATGGACTCTTCAAAGTCAAATCTGGATAATAAAGCATCGAAGCAGATACTTCTTGAAGGTGGAGGAAGTGATAAAGAAAACGGAAAGACTGAAATGGCTCTTACTGCAGAGAATTTAGAGAGGTTTAGTCTTGCAAATTTAAATAAGAGGCCACTGTATGAAGACTTTGTTGATTAGAAGCATTTAAACTTAATGATTAGAAGCATATTTATGATTATATCCATATTGCATTATACAAAACTCTAAAGTAGATATTAAATAGTTCGAATAATTTCATTTGTGAGAGATAGCCTTTTGTTCTGAGCATTTAGACAATTCCTTAACAAAACTTTCACCCCAAAAAGCAGAGGTATACTTTGAGATGTAATCAAATAACTTTTGAAAGTTCACGTTCTTCTTTTCCTGGGGAAGTGTCAAGCTCTCTCTGATGGCGTCACTAAGTTCCTCAGTATTCCATGGGTTAACTATTATGGCGCCATTCAATGATTGCGCTGCTCCTGCAAATTCAGACAATATCAAGGCCCCCTTCATTTCTTGCTGGCAGGCGATGTATTCGTAACAAACTAAGTTCATTCCATCTCTGGTAGAACTTACTAAACACACATCAGAGATATGATACAAGCTGATAAGCTCATCGAATGGAATAGACTTGTGCATAAAATGAATAGGGACAAACTCCACAGTGCCAAATCTTCCATTGATTCTACCGACCATTTCGTTGACCGTGGCCCGAAGACTCTGATATTCTTCCACATCACCTCTTGATGGAACCGCAACCTGAACCAACACTACCTTTCCAATCCACTCAGGATTTTCAGTCAAAAATATTTCGAAAGCATGTAATTTTTGGGGAACACCTTTAATATAGTCTAATCTATCAACACCGACAATCACTTTCGTATTTTTGAATTTATCCTTTAGTTGCTTCACTCTTTCAATGACAGAGGGTTTTTTCAAACCGTCTAAAAATTTATCAACGTCAATACCAATAGGGAAAGCACCGATACTAATAGATCTCCCTTGATATTCAATTCCATTAGGCAAAGTAGCAACATGGGAAACAATTCTCGATACCGACGAGAGAAAATGTCTGGCGTAGTCATATGTATGGAATCCAATTAAATCACAGCTCAATACACCTTCCAAGATCTCTTTTCTAACCGGTAATATTCTATATATCTCGGAAGATGGGAATGGCGTGTGTAAGAAGAAACCAATCCTAATATTATTCTTATCTTTTACCAAACTTCTCAACATTTGGGGCAATAACATTAAGTGGTAGTCATGAACCCAAACCATATCATTATCATGGACTTGCTTCGCTGTCTCTTCCGCAAACTGTTTGTTAGCTTCAATATACGCAGCCCAAGCATTTTCATCAAAATTCATCTCTCCAGGATGATAATGGAATAAGGGCCACAATATACTGTTCGAAAATCCATTGTAATGTAAATCTGCAATGGTATTACTCAAGAAGATGGCTGTACAGCTGAATTTTTCTTTTAAATCTTTGTTCACTTTCTCCTGCTCATTCTCCGGCAATTCCAACCCTGGCCATCCTAGCCATTGGAACTCAGTTGACTTCTTCAATCCTTGAAGAGCCGTAACCAAACCTCCGGAAGACATTGTATAATCATATTTTCCATCAGGAGACCGTTTAATGGTGACAGGCAATCTGTTTGAAACGACAAATACTTTTCCTGCAACCATATCTTCTTTTTTTAATAGAACCTAGAAATTGATGTTCCCAATATAGAACAGAAATTGATGTTCCTAGTATAGAACAGCTGCTAACCTTATTTATTGGATGACTTGTTACTTAAAGATTATTTTGTTTAGAGAGAATATTATGTTGCTCTTAAAAGTTCTTATTCTGAGCCAATGCGTGCCACATACATCTTGCTAAAGTTTTTGAGTAGTTGCTTTCCTTCTAGAAAACTAGTCCCATCTGCGACTGCGCCTGAAAAATTGCGATCATGGTCCTTCTCATATATTTCCATATTTGGTAATCTACAAACTGAGGGCACAAAATCGATTAAAAAGTATTAGCTGGTATTATTATTCTTGATAATAAATTCACCCATTGAAATTCTCAGTCAATCGAATTAGATTACAGTGATGTATAATCCGTATGGGAATACCGAGGCTTATCTGCCACTGGCGTATGATCAACAGAATTTGCATCACCCGCAACCCCATCATGCGGCTTATCAACAAGGTTACCAACAACAGGGCAGGCAGCAGCAACAACATCCACAACAACAACAGCAACAACAACAACCGGGATTTCAACAACTGAACTTTGTTCAACAGGGGTATCAACAGCAAGGTGCAGTGAGTGGTCTGAGAGATGGCCCTGGTGGAGATGGAGCTGGAATAGGTGGTAATGCTGGCCAAGGTGGCCAGTTTCCCAATTTCTTGAACGACCCTGCAGCAGCGTTGGCTTCCCAATTTGCAAAAAATGGATTTAATACATCTAATCAATACATCCAACAAAATTTTGGACTGTTTATAGGAGGAACAAGTGATTTAAAATACTATTTCCTGGTAAGCAATTCTTACGTGCTTCGCAAACTCCTCATTGTACTCTTTCCTTATCACAACAAGACCTGGGGTCGATTATCTACAACAGATATACAAGGAGACTCGAGCTCGCTGTTACAATTTGCCACACCGCTGTACGATGTGAACGCACCTGATCTTTATATTCCATTGATGTCTTTTGTCACCTACATTTTACTTTGGGCTTGTTTCCAAGGCTTGAAAGGTGACTTCCATCCTCAAGTATTCGGCTATTTAGCATCTCAGACAGTCGCTTGTTCGTTCTTAGATATATTAATCTTTAAAGTTGGACTTTATTTATTAAATTGTTCAACACAGAGCTCAATCTGGGACTTGATTAGTTTCTCGGGTTACAAATACGTATCTATCATAGTATTACTCTGCTGGAAGCACTTGTTTGGTAATGGATGGTTTACATATTACCCAGTTGTCTTTTTTTTAATCACGAACTTGGCTGTTTTCTTAATGAGATCATTAAAGTTCCTTGTGTTGCCCAATAGTATTGATGGAACTGCCACTAATAGTGTCACAGCTAAGCAAAGGAAGATTAGAATTCAATTTTTATTTCTATATTCGGTTGTTGTGCAGGGTATAGTCATTTTATTTATGGGAAGATGAAGAAAATGAAAAGAATGAAAGTCTTAATAGTGAAGAACGCATAAAATGCTCATCGAGTTGAGCCTTGTATAGCATAAATAAACGCAACCCTGCTATCTCAAGATTTACATGCAGAATTAACTTAGTATTTGGTCATATGATCATACACGTGATTACACGCGTATTGTCCTCTTCGATATTTTTGCCTAATGAACGCGTTTTGGTGCTACCATAGATTAATCTTAGCTAGTGAATATTGGAGTGACTGCCACCACAAGACAAGTAAAAGAGGGCATAGCATTTTAATTTAGTTTTAGTTGATAAGACGTATTGAAACTGAGTCGCTTGTTTTCTTGAAGAAAGTAACCTTATAAATAGGCCTTTACGTCATAATTAATCACTTGAATGGTAGAGTAAAGAAGAAAACTAAATTATAAATGGCTACAACTTTACGAAAAACAAATATCAAAGGTTCTTCGTCTGCTAGGTTTGTTAGAAATGTTAAGTCAGAATTTAAGCCTGGAAAGAAAGAGAGGAACGAAGTTTTGGATCCATATGTGGCCAATAATCCAATGTTAAATGATTCAATTCAAAAACAGGATTTAGTATCGAGAATCGACGCCTTAGACGCATTAATGGGATTTGAGAGAGTATCACATGGAGATAACGATGGTAATAAGCCTTTAAAAGGATGGTTGATAAACATGCATTCCACTACGATTCCAAGCGATGAATATCTCACAGGGTACTCTGCAGTAGATTACTATTTTCTAAATGAAGAAGGTGGTTCTTTCAAAACAACGATTCAGTTTGATCCATATTTTTTCTTAATCGTCGTACCGGGTCATGAATCAGAAGTTGAAGAATGGTTGAGAAAATTTCTAGAAGTTTCAAACTTGAAGAGTACATCGCGAGTACCAAAGGAAGATTTGTCACTTCCAAATCATTTAGTTGGCTTGAAAAGAAATTTATTGAAGCTAACATTTCATAATGTTACTGATTTGTTGAGCGCTAGAAGGCTACTCATGCCCATTATCAAGGAAAACCAAATGAAAAGAGACACCAGAGACATTTATCAAGTTATGAACTTTAATAATATGAATAATGTGACTGGCGAAATGAATGATATCAATATGTACCCCAGTAATAATTCTGAAGTATACCAAGATCCTTCTTTGTTGATAGACGAAGTCAGAGAGTATGATGTCCCCTACCATGTCAGGGTATCTATAGATGAAAATATCAGAGTGGGTAAATGGTACAATGTATATGCTAAACATTCTAAAGTAAAATTGGAAGAGGATAAAGTAAAAATAGCATTTGCAGACCCAGTGGTTTTGGCATTTGACATCGAGACAACAAAGGCTCCCCTTAAATTTCCAGATGCAAAGGTAGATCAAATCATGATGATATCTTATATGATAGATGGCGAAGGGTTTTTAATCACAAATAGGGAGATAATCTCTGAGGACATTGAGGATTTTGAATATACTCCAAGACCAGAATATCCTGGTATATTTACTATCTTCAATGAGCCAGATGAGAAAAACGTATTAATAAAGTTTTTTGAGCATATTAGAGATGTTAGACCGACCGTTATTGCAACTTTTAATGGTGATTTCTTCGATTGGCCCTTTGTTGAGAACAGGGCAAGATTTCATGATCTAGATATGTTCGAAGAAATTGGGTTTGCGAAAGATAATGAAGGTGAGTACAAATCCAAATACTGTGTACATATGGACTGCTTTAGGTGGGTGAAAAGAGACTCATATTTACCACAAGGATCACAGGGTTTAAAAGCTGTCACAACAGCAAAATTGGGATACAATCCTACCGAATTAGATCCAGAACTTATGACGCCCTACGCATATGAAAAACCCCAATTGTTATCAGAATATTCTGTATCAGATGCTGTTGCAACATACTATTTATACTACAAATACGTTCATCCCTTTATTTTTTCTTTATGCACTATCATTCCTTTAAATCCGGATGAAGTCTTGAGAAAAGGTACTGGTACCTTATGTGAGATGTTGTTGATGGTTCAAGCATATCAAAAAAATATCATTTTACCTAACAAACATTCAGATCCGATAGAAAGATTTTACGAGGGTCATTTGTTGGAGTCTGAGACTTATGTTGGGGGCCATGTTGAATCTTTAGAAGCAGGCGTGTTTCGTAGTGACTTACCAAGTAACTTCAAAATAGATCCAAGTGCTATCGACGAATTATTAGCTGACTTATCGAATGCAATGAAATTTTGTATAGAGGTTGAGAATGGGAAAAGAGCAGACGATGTTGAAAATTTTGATGAGATTTACAATGATATTAAGACAAAGCTTCTTGAATTGAAGAAGAACCCAAACAGATGTGAGAATCCTTTGATTTACCACGTTGATGTTGCATCGATGTATCCAAATATCATGACTTCTAATAGATTGCAACCAGATTCGATGAAATCAGAAGAAGACTGCGCAGCATGCGATTTTAATAGACCAGGAAAGAATTGCGATAGAAGGTTACCTTGGTCTTGGAGAGGCGAGTACTTTCCAGCTGAAATGAACGAATATAACATGATCAAGAGAACTTTGCAAAATGAGACTTTCCCAAGTGCACGGCCCTGGCTACCTCCCAGATCTTTTGACGATCTTTCTTATTCGGAACAAGCTGCGATGATTAAGAAAAGACTTAGTGAGTACTCCAAAAAAGTTTATCATCGTTTAAAACAGTCTAAGACGGTAACGAGAGAAGCTATCGTCTGCCAAAGAGAGAATCCATTTTATGTTAATACTGTTAGAGATTTCAGAGATAGGCGCTATGAGTTTAAAACTCTAGCAAAGGTTTGGAAGGGAAAAACCTCTAAAATCGACAGCCACGACACTATCGCAAAGGATGAAGCAAAAAAGATGGTCGTTTTATATGATTCTTTGCAATTGGCACATAAGGTTATTCTTAATTCTTTCTATGGTTATGTTATGAGGAAAGGCTCGAGATGGTACTCGATGGAAATGGCAGGAATAACGTGCCTCACTGGTGCCACAATTATCCAGATGGCCAGGTCATTAGTTGAGAGGCTAGGGAGACCATTGGAGTTGGATACAGATGGTATTTGGTGTATTTTACCAAAATCATTTCCAGAAAACTTTACCATGAAGTTCAAAGATGGCAAGACAGTACCTCTTGAGTATCCTTGTTCAATGCTTAACTACATCGTTCATAATAAATTTACTAATCATCAATACCAGGACTTAGTTGATGAGGATACTTTTAAATACAAGACAAGATCCGAAAACTCAATTTTTTTTGAAGTTGATGGACCATATAGAGCAATGATTTTGCCAACTTCTAAAGAGGAAGGGAAAGGGTTGAAGAAAAGATATGCAGTTTTTAATGACGATGGAACGTTGGCTGAGCTTAAAGGTTTCGAATTGAAACGTAGAGGCGAGCTTCAGCTAATTAAGAATTTTCAATCAGATATCTTCAAGCTATTTTTAGAGGGAGAAACGTTAAGCGGATGTTACTCAGCAGTTGCATCCGTTGCTAATAATTGGTTAGATGTGCTAGATGCAAAAGGAGGTACGTTAGAAGACGAGGATCTAATCGAACTCATTTGTGAAAATAGAAGCATGTCCAAAAGTTTAGCAGAATATGGTGCACAAAAATCCACATCCATTACAACAGCTCGAAGATTAGGAGAGTTTTTAGGAGAAGAAATGATAAAGGATGCAGGGTTAGCATGTAAATATATTATAAGTGCAAAGCCAATCGGAGCACCTGTCACTGAGAGAGCTGTACCAGTTTCTATATTTTCATCTGAGAAAAAAAAGGTTTTCTTGAAAAAATGGCTCAAGGACCCTTCTTTGGAGGAGTTCGATCCTAGGAGCGTTATAGACTGGGGCTATTATTATGAACGGTTAGCATCAGTTGTTCAAAAAATCATTACAATCCCAGCTGCTTTGCAAGATATTAAAAACCCTGTTCCAAGAGTCCCTCATCCTGAGTGGTTGCAAAGAAAAATTATTACAAAAGAAGATAAGAAACAGCAGACATCACTATCTCTGTTTTTCCAAAACACTTCAAAAGACAACGCACTAGAACATCACAAGAAAGCAATTAAGGACATAGAGGATTTTGTAGACAATAGTGCTGGAATCTCGATGCCTAGAATTGGTAAGGTAACATCCCGTAAGAGAAAGAATGCAAAATTTCTTGCGTCTTTGGATGCCGAAGAGGATGAAAAAGATAGTGCCATACTAAATGCACAATGCCCATCAATGGTTGAAGACTATGCTGGATTTTTGCAATATCAAAAAGCGAAATGGAGGAACCAGGCAAAAAATAGAGATAGGAGAAGAAAATTGTTCGGCGCAAACACAGAGAGTTCCCACCGTTCAACCGTTGGTCATATGTTTCGACGCCAGGCTGAAAATATCGTTGGAACAGATTGGGAGATTTTGGAATACAAACCTGACGATGCTAAACCCGGCGATATTAAAGTTTACGTTTCTGTGGGGAGCAAAGTCCATACATTCACTATACATATACCCAAGAAAGTATATGCCACTTTCAAATTTGCATTATCATCCAAAAAAAATATTCAAAACTGCGAGATTGAGCCCTCAAATGCAAGCCTTCCAAATGGCCATGACGGAACACATCTTTACAAATTGGCTATGCCCGAAGAGGTTTTTAATAGCGAAATAAGAAATGTTGATAGTTTGCTTCAAGATTCGAGTCTTTTAGGACTTTATGAAAGTCATATCCAAGCAGTAGAAAGGGCTACGATTGAGCTAGGAAATACGGTGAGATTTGATGATACAAAGGTTGGTGCGTTAGGAAAAGGATTGAAAAACGGATTTTTTATGAAAGATTTGATGAAGATTTCCAATGACAACTACATGAAAGGGTTTAGCATGGATGTGATTTATTTACTACATCTAGTTGCAAACAATTATGAGTTCTTCGCTCTTTTTAAATCTTGGGATCATTCTGTATCAATATTTATTTTAAAGCCGTCTAGTAATGCTCTGGAATTACCTAACAATTTATCGAAGTTATACGATGAAATTTATCAAACAAAGAAAGAGAAGATTGGGAAGCTTTACAATATTATTGATTATTTTCAGGAAATGTCATTCGAGACACAATATTTTCACGACAAAAGCAGATTGTTTAAAAAGGTGAATCAAACAATCGGGAAAATACATGAGAGTAGAAGCAACAAGGCTTTGTTTGCGGTTCAATCGCCATTTTCTGAAAGACTTTTGACGCATTTCACTTCAATTGCGGATTTTCCGACAATAAAGATGAAGGTTCGTGAGCTATCTTTACCGGCCGTTGGTTGGCAATCGTTGATAGGAAAGCGTGTCATTAATCATTACTTGGTGTTAGCTTCCTGGATCAAGAACTTGATTGCCTTGTCTCAATACAGCAAAATTCCTATTTGTAATTTAACAACAGATAATTTGGGATACGTCATTGATATTGAGTATGCAAGGAGACTTGTTGATAATAATATAATCTTATGGTGGTCCCCAATTCCCCTACCCGACCATGGTGGGTTTGAGATGGATAGAAAGCCAGATTTTGATATCCTCTCTTTTCCTCTGATAAACAATCCTGAAATTTATGAGACAGCTTGTCTAGAGATCGAGATTGGAACCTTGACTATTAATACAATTTTGACAAGCTCTCTAATTAATGACGCAGAGGGTACAGACTTAGCTGATGATGCTTTACAATATGATAACAACAATGGTGCGTCTGCTTTTGCAGGAGACTCATTCTCATCTCCGGCCCTAACTATCTTGCGAACGATGGTAAAGAAATGGTGGGACGATGCCTTAAGAGGAAGCATCAATGCAGATTCGATAATGAATAACTTAGTAACTTGGGTGCAAGGCAGAGATTCGCGACTCTACGATTTTGCTTTACATTATCATGTCCACAATTTAACAAAAAAGGCATCATTACAGTTGATGGGCGAATTTAAGAGAATGAATGCTGACGTGATCTTCGCAAATAGGAACAAACTAGTAATTAAAACATCTAAGGTTTCGGTTGAAAACTCATATGCTTATGGCCAATACATAATAAAAGCCGCTAGATCGAAGCCCTTATTTAATTTCTTAGATCTTCGGATCACGAAGTATTGGGATTTACTAATTTGGATGGACGAATATAATTACAGCGGACGCTTTTGCACGGTTATCACTAGTGAAGAGGTACAAGATTTAGTCCCGATAAACAATTGGCATATTCAGAAGTTTCTTCCTCTAATATACCAGAATGAGTTCGAAGATTGGCTTGTCATCTTCTTAGATGCCTTAAACAAGTATAAAACTGAAAACTTGATGGGTGGAACGCAAATGGGAACTCCCAGAGTGACTCAGATTACTCATATATTGAAAGGACAGAAGAAGCTACAGGATGGTTCTGACGAAGTAGAGTCAACTGGATCCGTGACCGAAATCTTTAGAAAACAATTGCAGAGAAGAATCGAACGCCTTTACCGTCAACAGAATGAATCTATCATAAACCCCGAATTAGAAGCGGAATACCTGTTTCCAAAATTACCAGGGTCACATCTAATCATGGAGAATCCAACCCTAGAGCTCGTAAAGTTCCTATGTGCGGTATTATCATTGTCGAGGAAAAGAACAATCGAAGTTCGTATGCTAAGAAAGGAGCTTCTTGCTATTTTCGACATAAAGGAATTTAGCCCAGAGGCCAGTTTCGTGAATCCAAGTACCTCCTTAAAGCTTCCTCAGGTCGTCTGTGACTACTGTAATTTCATCAGAGACATAGACTTCTGCAACAATACTGCCCTGGACATATGGAACTGCACAAACTGCTACAGGGCTTACAGCAAAGTCGTTCTTGAGGAAGACCTCATCTCTCTGTATCAGCAATTAATTACCAAGTTCTACTCTCAGGATTTCAGGTGTTCCAAGTGCAATCAGATCAGAGCTGGAAACCTTAGTGAGTATTGCAAGTGTTCTGGATCCTGGGTCGAGACATTTAACTATCAAGAACTTGAGAAAAAACTACACATATTCAACAACGTCGCTTCGGCGTACGATTTGCATTTGCTTAAGGGACTTATCGAGGAGTCCTAATATTTTTAATATACATATAGTTTTTCATTAATAACTGTCATACATCTAAATTCAATTATTGCAAAATCTGTAAATTTATATTTGTGTAATCTTTCCTAAACTGTCATTTTACTTAAATCTACGATTATTAGTTGATAATTACAATAATATTTGATGAGCTATCGGAATAGTTTGAAAAGGAAGTAGAGGAAAGAATAGAAACAGGCGAACGTAAATACAAAAATAGTCTAAAGATATTGACAGTTTGAAACACAAAATTTAGGAAGATGGCTCTCCCTTTAATGCCAGATCAAATGAATATGGCAAGAAACTTGATCATGAACACTGATAGGAGCCAACACGAACTAGAGGATAGAGATGAAAATGAAATTGGAGTCGATTCAATGCAAGAGAACAATATTCAAGCAACACATGAGTATGAGATGAATCAATCTGAGTCACTCACGTTCTTATTTAATCTATTATATGATGACGATAGTCATCTTAGCAAATCTGATGTTCTAAAAATTTTAAATTCTTTGAAAAGAAGAGAGGAGGACCTTTGCTTTTCTGTCTCGAGCTTGAACAGAAATGACTTGCAGGGTGTTCTTTGGCCCAGAGGGTTGAAAGAGAAGTTCAAGCAAGATAGGATACGAATAGGGAGAAATAACTGGTTCCAAAATATACCTGGATCGATCGAAGAAGCAGCGAGGGTGAGTATTTGTTATTCGTGGTGAAAAAATATAGTTTAACTAACCATTAAAAAGGGCACAACTATAGGGAGCTATCAAATTAAAACGGATTTTTTCCAATTTTATAAGTTTTTCACGAGGATAAAACTTCACATAACGCATTTCCAACTCCGAAATATCGTTGCTTGTAGCAATGACATATCAAATGGTATATTTTATCTTCTGGGCTGTTGCCAAGACTATAACTCACAAAACCTAACAAACTCTAGTAGCGACCACGAGTGTCAGACATATTTCAAAATAGATAGGATACTGCCGGATTATTCTCGACTTGAGAACTCTAACCTAATGAAATTGGATTGCTATATTGATTCGAGGAAGCTCATGTACAATGCTAATAGCAGGATATCAACCTTAAGCAGCTCATCAAAGTTCTTAGCATGTGGAACTTTCGAAGGTGGATATTTATTACAAGATATTTCCAATCCGGATACCCCTGGCTCTGTGATTGAAAATCAACTAACCCATAATACCGATGGCATAACGAATCATATTACGATAGACAACGATGAAAAATTGATAATAGCATCTAACGATAAGGCACTCAGAGTAGTCGACATTACTAAACAGAAAAATAGACCCATAGAAATGCCCTTCGCTGTTAATTGCTCAGCATTAAACCGACATAACAAGAATGAAGTTTTATTAACAGGGGATTGTCTAGATTCTTTTATTGTGGACTTAAGGCAACCAGTTGCCGCTAATATGTCGAATTCCTTATCAGGACACAGAGACTACGGTTTCAGCTGTGACTGGAACCCATCCAATGAACATTTACTCATGACGGGGAACCAGGATGGTTGTATTAGGATATGGGATAAAAGGAGATCAGATGAGAGCATAAACTGCTTTAATGGATCTTTGGGTTCGGATTCGCTGTTAGGTGGACCGATAAGGAATTGTAAATTCAGCTACAACGGAGACTATATAGGCTGGGCTGAAAGCTTAGATCATGCCGGTGTAGTAGAATTACAAGAAGTTGTAAACAGGACTGACTATGTGTCTCGAGTACAGTCAATTGACTTTATCGGGAAATGCATTGGATTAAATTTTTGTCCCACTGACAACGCCAAAGGAGAGCAGTTGATAATCGGCGTGAACGATTGTCCCTTAGGAGGCATTCTAAGTTATACATTGGAGAATAGATGCAAACTGTTGGACTTTGATTTTTACTTTTAGATGATATATCGATGAATAGACATTGTATTTTACCAAAGTTCCTCGACATTCTCGCTAACTTGTAGTGTCCCACCAACCTCTCTTACCAAAGAATCTATATTATTCACTCTTTGTGAATCTCCAACCATGTTTGCGATCAATCTAGCTTTATTTCTAGCCTTTTTCACCTTGTTATCATAGTCTGCGACATCTTCTTCCTCATTTGAAGTAGGGACACCGTTTAGTAATTCTTTCAATTGACTTATATGACTGGGCAATGACTTTTGGTCATAAGAGCTGATATTGTCTTCCCAGTATTCCGCAAGGCCCTTTAAATATCCCACTATCAAGAATCTTTGAAATCCTGTTTGCAATCCATATTCCTTGCCCTCAATATATCTTTCCTGAGCTCCTTTAGCTATTCCTTCCTCAAATCCCTTTTGATAACTTTGCTCCTCTAAGTTGAGTACCTCCTCAGAGTCTATACTTATATCTAACATATATTCTGTTGTATTCGTTGTAGCTTTAAAAGTTTATTGGTACTTTACTTGATAATATATTTTGCGATGAGATTCGAGGTATAAACATTTTAACTCTTCAAGAATTAAAGTTTCTTCGCTAATATGAGCGAGTACGGTGATCCCGGGACCCTAGAGGAAGATATTCCTGGCAGGAGAAAGAAGGTCAAGCAAAATGAGCTTGAAATTGAGGGAATAGAATATGAATCTGATTCATCGCTTGAAGATTACCAAAATGATGATAAAGAAAAGGCTTCTGAAGATCATTCGGATGATGATATGTTCAGCGATAGCAGCGAAAGAGGTAAGCCACAGAAGAACAGATTAGATAAGGAAGGAGTTGAATTGTTAAATATGAACAATTTCGAAAAGGAAGAGGGTCTTGAAGATTATGACGACGAAAAATTTATAGATTCTGATGCTAATACAATAGAAAGACAGTTGAGCCAAGGAGAATTAGATTACTTCAATTATCCTGAAGAGGCGGATTTGAAGCAAATACAGAAAGGGAAAACTTTCAATCCAAAATTGGAAGCTTTCAATTTAAGAGATGAGTCGAAAGAAGGAAATTTTGATATAGATGGGAACTTCATTCGAAATAAGCAAGAAAAGAGAGATCAATCTGAAGATGATGATGATGTCTGGTATAATGACTACAAAGAGACAGATATATTAAAAGCGAGAAAGGCACAGTTGGAAAGATACAAAGCGCAGAAGGAAAAGAGATTGGAAGGTACAAAGAAATATGCTGACATTGGCACCCTTTTGGTTGAACTACTTGAAGTTCTTCAACCTGCAGAGACCCCTTTAGAAGCATTAGCAAGGATAGCACCTAAAAAGAAATCGAAAAAGCGATATGAATTGACGGAAGCTGACAAAGGTAAGAAAGCGGTCATCTTGAAAGTTACTGAGATATGTGAATCATTATCAAGGGATAAGTCTATTGATGATATCTATTCTTTGAGCCGAGAAGAACTTATGCGATTATATAAACAGGAAACCGGAGAAGAATACTCCTCTTATAGAGGGAAGAAGAGACGAATAGATGACGAAGATGAAGACGATGATAACAAAGAAGACAAAGAAGAAATAGATTATGGAGAAAAGGTATGGGAGTTTAAATGGAATGAAGACAACGTCATCAATGGACCCTATTCGAGCTACGAAATGTCTCATTGGAAAGATACTTATTTCGAGAATAATGTTTTAGTGAAAAGAATAGATCAATCTGAATTCGTTCCAATCGATAATATTACATTTAATGATTAAGATGACATACATAATAAATAAAAGAAATTACTAATTAGTCTAATAGATAGTTCAGCAAGGGAAACTTGATGTCATTTGCTATGCTTTCAACCGTAGCCCAGTTTAGGTTACATTTCCATCTCACTTTAGCATTAAGAATATCTGAAGCGGATGTTCTCGACAATAGTCCTAAGGATACTAATGTAGCAACTTGACTATTGATATCGATGTTTTTACTAAGTCTAAACTCGGCAAACTCTTGCTCTTGGTTAGAGATTCCCTTTTCGTCAAAACCGTCGTATAAGGTAACATTTTTATCTATTTGATTCAATGACAGAGACTCGTTTCGGTATATGACAGATAAAATTGCCAACAATCTTTCCAAATCAAAGTAATTTGGAGAAAGTAATCTGTTATCAATATCTATCTTGGAATTTTTCCCCTTCGAAGGCGAGCTGGATACTTTTCTTTTTTTGGGCTTCTTAGTTTTCAATCTCGAAAAATGATGAAGATCATTTTTAGGCTCGTTGAAAGATGCTAAATAAGAAGCAATTAGGATGAATTTTGAATGGATTGGAATGTCAGACATGCTGGTTGTACTGGTAGACTCTTCTTCCTGCAAAGTGTCGAAATTTTTGATTGAGGTATTGTTGAGGACATTCTCGTCTGTGAATAAGCTGCTGTTTTCCCTATATAATCTGACGAAATCCCCGAGCTGATATTTGCCACTTACGACGGGCTCTATAAATCTTTCCCAGAGTTTTAATGAGATATCCTTCAATAAAGTGAGGTGTGAACCAGTATATGGAAAGAATAGATCAACTATTAATTTGGCATATTTGTACCAGAAATTCCTCGCTTCGATAGAATTGTCCAACTTTTCCACGTTAAAGAAACCTAACTTTTCTGCTTGTAAGATTTGAGTGACCTCTTCTTGGCTATATGGGCGAAAGAATATGTGGGGTACGGAATTCGTAGCAATCTCTTTTGGTTCTCTTGTTCCTATAATAAACACAATTGACAAATTTTTTATTCTTGATATCTCGTGAAATCTTAAGAATGCTGCAAATAAATCGTTCGTTTGATCCATGCATTCATCGAATCTATCTAAAACTAAGACATGGGGTTCTTTATATTCAGTTTCTTCAAAAAACTGATCTAATGCACTTGAAAATCCAGCAAAGGTCTCACATGATAGCACAATGTTGTTGGTATCAACACCCTTGTGGTTGTAGGTTTGAGTATAATTAGTGAGATCAATACCACTATCAATTCTGATCTTCTTCAAGCATCTTTGCAAAAGAAGCTTCTTCGTGACACACTCATCACAATTTACTAATGTATGGTTTATTTGTGAAGTCTCTAAGAACTTCTTTACCACATAAGTCTTACCTACTGACTTGTAGCCATGGACAATTAAAGCAGGTACCAATGAGTGATCCTTATGTATAAAAGAACTCAAAAGATTCAACTCTTTTTCCCGTAACAGTGTTCTTGTATTTCGACCAAATTCTCGCTCCATCGAGTATACCAATTTCTGGCGCTTTGTCAGTGTTTATATCTTAATACACGATGCCTTCTCTATTGAAAAACTTCAACACTTGTGAGATTGTCTATTAGTAATAGTTTAATCCCTTTCTTGATTATCGTTCCAACGACAATAATCGTGGATGTTTTTGAGATGTTTTTGCTGCCACAATTTTGCACTATATAAAGTCTCGTTATATCGCGGCCCTCTTTCGGTAAAACAATTTGTCATTAATCTTCCTAACGATGTCTACCCACAAGTACCACTTCGATGTTTCTATGTCTTGTTCCGGATGTTCTGGAGCTGTTGATAGAGTATTAAAGCGTTTGGATGGTGTTTCTGACATAGATATCTCGCTTGAAAAACAAACAGTTGATGTTACGACCAAAGGAGTCGACTATGATACAGTATACAATGCAATTGCAAAGACTGGGAAAACGATCAATAGCGGAAATGTGGTAGAGTAACGCAACTAAAGCTAGACTGACTGATGTTTGGTGTTATCTCGTGTGATTAGAGATCAGTCATGGGTTTGCAGTTCGCGGTTGGTGACGGTTTAGACGTTTAAATATACCGAGAAGCATTTTATTTATAATACATTGATAGTATCTACAATTGTGTATGTTGTAGCTAAAATATAGCCCATAACATAAAGTTAATGACATCGCCACACACACGCTAGCAGATAAGTAATCGTGCTGAAAGCTCTCTTTGATCCCTGTATTAACTCCAAGTTCTTTGTGGAGTGAGTAAAATTCAAAGTAAGTGCTACGTAAGGCTTCCGTGCTGATATTTTCTTAAAGATATCGAATCCAAGATTCTAGAATACCAAAGCCAAATGCAGAAGGATCACTAAATAGCCCGATTACAGTTATGAATTGCTTGCCAAATTACTATTCTCTCCATTACAGAAAAATTGATTTGTAAAATAATGATAAGACTAGGTGCAAGTTTTGCTTATTTGCCTATTTGGCATTCATAAACGGTTATTCACTTGAAATGTTCAAAGAGGAAGCAAGCTAGACTATGCTATGTGTACGAAGGATACAAAGAATTAGATCTCATCTAGTGGCCGTACAAGTTCTGGGACTTGAGTCCACGAACATACTGGTCCAACTCTTTTTTTTAGTTATCACGAGTTATATCTATTATATTTAGAGTGAAAAGCATAGAACAATACACAGCCACACTAATATTGATCTAATTGAGGGCGCCGAGTATATAATGCGGATGCGTTTATCAATCTGAATCTTCACTTAAATTTTGTTGGTATTATATAATATACATAATATGAAAGCTAACCCTAAATATGATCTAGTAAGAGATCATTATTCGGCCCATGCGAATAAGCTGAATTCTGATGATACATTTTCTGCCTATAACCAAGATGTCGCCGCATCTTTTGGATATTCATTTGACGAATTAAAGTCAATCCCATGTGAATCAAACTTGGGAGTTTCCTGTGGAAATCCACTTTCACTTGCAAACTTGAAAGAAGGAGAGACAGTGGTTGATTTAGGATCGGGTGGTGGGATTGATGTATTTCTTGCATCCAAAAAGGTCGGACCACATGGAAGGGCCATAGGAGTTGACATGCTTAAAGGAGATGATTGAGAATGCAAGGGAAAGTGCTAAGAAGGGAGGATATACCAATGTGGAATTTATCGAAGCACATATAACTGAAATCCCACTTCAGGATGAGACTGCAGATGTCGTTATATCCAATTGCGTGTTAAACTTGGTCCCTGACGATGAGAAGCCAGCAGCTTTCAAAGAGATTCATAGGGTACTAAAGCCTGGGGGGAGAGTCGCTATTTCGGACATACTATCTGTTAAAGAACTACCCGATATAATCAAGAATAATATAGCCTTTTACGTTGGATGTGTCTCTGGGGCGAGAAGCGTTGATGATTACGAGAAATGGCTCAAAGCAGCAGGCTTTTTGAGTATCATAATAGTCAACACCAAGAAGGATCTCAATGTTTACAAAGAAGGATCCTTAATATCTGATTGTGCACAGAAGACGTTATTTAAAAATGAATCTGATCTAATGAACAATGAAGAAATTAAGAATCTTAATTTTAACGACTATATTGGTTCTTATCAAATATATGCTGTTAAGGATTAGCAGACGTCTCTTATATATAAGTCTCTTATCATCAATTTTTGGAAAATCGATTATTATAAACTTAAAGGCAAGAAGCCAATGCGTTGTGCAAGTTACTGTACAATTTTGATGAATGACAAACTCATGCCATCAAAACTTGTATGTTAAGTTCTTATTTTGCTCTAGATCTTTTTGATGAGGAATAGAATTGTATTCATTTAGATTTACGCAACTATCAAGATGAAATTTAGTATAATTAGCTGGATTCGGATACTGAGAGTGTCTTCGAATACACCAACTAACTACTAGTCTCATCATCAACATCAGACCATAAAAACTTGATCTTGAAATATTTAGCAACAAAGCATAAAATTAATAAAATTGGAACCTCTAGTAAAGGACCAAATGTAGCTGCAATGGCTTCTTTACTGCCGGAGCCATATATGGAGATGGCTATGGCAAGACTTAATTCAAAGTTGTTTGAAGAAGCAGTGAATGTTTGAGTGATTGTCTCAGTGTAACTAGCGGAACAATTTGTTATCCATTTACCTGAAACATTTGGAAGTTGCTTTTCGCAGCCACATAATAATTCAGTGTCCTCATCAGCAATGTCACCTCTTTCTTTCTTTGGAGGAGCGCGTCCTAAGAACCATCTCAAGAAGAAAAAAGTACCAAACCATGTAATCATAAAGTAGAGAACCAATGGTACAAAGCAACGTAACCCCGAACCAATATCTCGAATGAAATCATTCCCCTTTTCTATAAAAATGACGATAATGGTATACAATAAACCTATCAATGCCCACGGACTCACGAAAGGAAGAATCTTTGCCTCGTAAACCTTTATTCCTATGGTAGATCTAGCGATGATTCTGATCAAGAAACCTAAAACTAATGGGACCCCCAAAAAAAACGCAACACTCCTTGCAACCAAGGAATACGTTACATTTGCTCCAAAATTTTGAGAATGATAGTCACCAGTTATTACATAGCAAAAAAAGATTTGATATGGAGCATAAAGAACAATTTGAAGTAGACTGTTCACAAGTACAATTACTGCGCATAACGAGTTGTCTCCATCGGATATTTCATTCCAAATCAAGACCATAGCAATACATCTTGCCAAACCAATCATAATGATCCCTGTTCTGTATTCAGGTTTGTCGAAAAGGGTAAGCCAGGCAAGGCCAAACATCAAAAAGGGACAAATGATCCAGTTTATGATCAACGACGTTAATATTGGTCTTAAATATTTCTTCAGATTGAAAAAACTGAAAAAATGTTCCCATTCAACTTTACACAACGGAGGTATCATCATTACTATAAGTCCAACCGCTAATGGAACAGAAACTCCAATAATTTCAGCTCCATCAAATGCTTTTCGACTGGAAGGTACGTAAACAGATAACAATATTCCTAAGATCATTGCTAAAATAATCCAGAGTGGTAATAACTTGTCGACCAAAGAAAGGTCATAAAAGACACGACGTATGTCGCTAGACATATTTTTCTTACAACAAACCATGAATCTCGTGTCTGCTCTTTTATCACACAACTATCTATGAAAACAAAATTTTATTAAGGGCGGCGATCGGCTGAACATAGATATTGTGTGCCAAAACCGAATGTTCTCTTGAGCCATAGGCGAGACATTAGTGATATATATGGCTTTCAGTAACACAATTTGTCGTTAATCATCCTTAGAACTCTACCCACAAGTACTACTTCGATGCTTCTATGTCTTGTTCCGGACGTAGATATCTCGCTCGAGAAACAAACAGTTGACGTTACTACTAAAGGACTAGACTACGATACAGTACACAAAAATATTGCAAAGATTGGGAAAACGTAGTGGAGATGTGGTAGAGTAAGGCTCGAAACTGATAGGTGTATCTAATATGACGATAGCTTATCATGCCATCAAAATTAGTGGAGAATATTCAAAACCGAGAATGATGACATAAAGCCTAAATGGGCCCTTTAGATAAAGAAATTTTCACCGGTCATATTGTATAGCGGAACTTATTACGAATATGTCGTGAATAGTAGTAATAGATATTATTATCACTGGTTTTGATTAGACCATATTTTGATGCTAAGCAAAGGACGTAAACTTTATGAGTTTCTATCTAGACATATTTCGCTTCATGGATTCACCATATTTATACACTGTAGTATTTTTATATGGGATCCTAAGCGTAGGAGTAAATTAGTAGCTTCCCCTTGAAACTGTAAAAAAAAGTAAATACTAATAAAGATTAAAAGAGGTTTAAGAGTAAATGTCGCACATTCCCTTGTGGGGGACCCGTTGATCCCGCGACTCACGGACTCCTCTGAAACTTTGCTGCGGATCAATCTCAACACCACTGAATTAGTCACATTATTACTTTTTTTGTTTATTAATTTAGTATTTTTAAATTACTCGGAAACATCTCCGCATCCCTACAAATCTCCGTGAAGTTTGTTGGAATTCTCGCTTATCTTTGTCATAGTATTTTACTAAAACAAAGGGAATAATTAAAAAATGAAAGCCCACACAATCCCCGCTGGTCCGTCGTATTCACGGTCCTCGGCCAACTTGCAGTATTGCTTCCCGTAAGCCACGTATATTCTCTTTTAGCTGTATGTCATGACGTTGATATACATAACAATTCAAACACGGAGCACCAATCACGGGTTGGTATATTCCGGCGACAGTAAATGACTCTGTATCTTCCCCCACTATTTCAAAAACCGATCTACATTTGGGTGAAATGCGGGATAACTGGGGGGAATTTATTTGGGGAAATGCATGATTGTCTGCATGTAAAACTGCATAATAAGTAACATGAGATGTCGACAAAGGCGTAAATGCGAATACGGCTAGGGTGCGCGAAAAAATAACGTCAATTATGTGGGGGGCGTCTCTGCCGTCAAGGGCGGAGGCCATCGACTATTAAAGAGAAGGTTTTCCTATTCACGTTTTCGATGATATTCTATTAGATTTGTAAAGTTTAGATTCCTTTTTGTTGTGAGTTTCAAGAGTTCACTTGATCGTTAATTTGTTTATGTCTGAGTCAAGTGCCCACAACCAAATAAAGAAGCTTTAGAATTTGGGATTTTTTAACAGCCATTGAAGACAGGTGAATAAACAAACAAATTATTACAAATAACTACGAATATGGCATTATCTGACACACTGGAGACTAATAAGTCTCTTTTTGAGAATGGTAGCGACACAAAGTCAGTGAGATCTGACAACATTGGTAAGCTTGAAATGGACCAACTCGAACCCAATTTTAACGTTGAGAAAGAAATGGAAGCCTTAGAGTTATTAGCTCAACAAGAAAAGGCCGATAAGTCTTGGTTCCATAAAATGCTTTCTTTAGAATTTGAGCTTCACTTCGAGAATAAGACCAAGATGGTGTATTTACTTGGTTTTTTTGCTGCTGCTGCTGGATTATTATCTGGTCTTGATCAGTCCATTATTAGTGGTGCCTCTATTGGAATGAAAGATTCTTTGCACTTGGACTCGAATCAGCAGTCGCTTGTGTCGAGTTTGATGCCTTTAGGAGCTATGGCGGGTAGTATCTTGATGACACCGTTGAATGAAATTTCGGTAGAAAAATGTCCATTATCATTTCTTGCATTTGGTATACATTGGGTGCTGGGTTATGTGCTGGGTCACATACCTATCACATGATGTATGCTGGTAGATTTATCCTTGGGGTTGGTGTTGGTATCGAAGGTGGATGTGTTGGTATTTATATATCTGAATCTGTGCCTCCGCAGGTCCGTGGTAATATTGTATCGATGTATCAATTTAATATTGCATTGGGTGAGGTTTTAGGTTACGCTGTTGCCGCTATTTTCTATAATGTTACTGGTGGCTGGAGATATATGGTCGGTTCATCTTTAGTGTTTTCTACTGCATTGTTGGTAGGAATGTTTTTCTTGCCAGAATCACCTCGTTACTTGGTACATAAAAATAGAATAGGTGAAGCATTTGATGTATGGAAGAGACTTAGAGATATAAATGTCATGAGAAATAAGATTGAATTTTTGGAAATGAAGCAAGCTGCTGATCAGGAGCACGAACGTATGGAAAACAAGCTTGGTCTTATGCATGATTTGATCAAAATTCCAAGAAATCGTCGTGCTTTAGTCTATGCTGTCATCATGGTTGGTTTGGGTCAATTGACAGGAGTTAACGCTGTCATGTATTATATGTCTACTTTGATGGCTAAAATAGGTTTCACAACTAAGAATTCGGTTTTCATGTCATTAGTTGGTGGTGGTTCATTACTTATTGGTACTATACCAGCTATCTTATGGATGGATAAATTTGGCCGTCGTGTTTGGGGTTTAAACATCATTGGTTTCTTCGTTGGTTTAATCTTGGTAGGTATTGGTTATCAAATTAACACAGCAACGAACCTTCCTGCTGCTGAAGGAGTCTACTTATCTGGTATTATCCTCTACATGGGTTTTTTTGGATCTTATGCTTGTTTAACATGGGTTTTACCTGCTGAGTCTTTCGACTTAAGAACTAGATCAATTGGTATGACCATCTGTTCCACCTTCTTGTATTTATGGTCATTTATTGTCACCTATAACTTTGACAGAATGCAGAAGGCAATGACATACACAGGTTTGACTTTGGGTTTCTACGGTGGTATTGCATTCCTTGGTTTCTTTTACCAGATATTGTTTATGCCTGAAACTAAAGACAAGACTTTAGAAGAAATTGACGATATCTTTTCAAAGCCTACGAGAAGGCTTGTACAAGATAATATTAATAGCATGAAGAGATTTTGGAATGTGAAATAGATTATTTCAGCTACTCAATTCAATCAAATATTTCATTTCCTTTTCAGTTTCTTTACGAATACGAAAGTTGTTATTAATAGGATGTATTGTTTCAAATAATATCTAAAATTATAGATATAAGAGTGTAACTAATATGAACTAAATGCACCAAGAAAATTTAGGTATACTTCATAGAACAGTGCGTTGAGCATTAATAAATACTGTCAAACAATTAACTTAGATCGTCTCACGAGTCTCCTCTATTTCTCGAACGTAACTATTCCTGAGTTCACTTTTAATGAAAACGCTTTCGATTACTGAAATCAACTCATAAGTATCGAAATCAAAAAATTCACCTTGGTAGAATCTATCCATGATGTCGCTTAAATGATGGTTGATTAAAAACAACAAGTTTTCAAGCTTATTGTAGGACGCAACAGAATCCTTTGCGACATTAAGGCTCTGAAGATATGGAATAGTGATGTTGTTTAATTGTTCTATTGTCTTTGTAAACTTGATGGACTGGAGTTCTGTGATTTCATTCATCTGAATGATTGAATTGAGTAGGGAGTTATTCAAAAGTTCAATGCTTGATATAAGAAACTGTTTAAACATTTCATGATTTGTGAAGTTCAAATCAGATTCTAGCAAATTACTAAATATTTGATATATCTTAGCAAGCTTGTTCAAGATGTCGTCACTTAGTTCATAATCATCTAGCTCATCAGTGAATTCTTCGTGGTTCAAATCTATTGAAAGAATAATGGATTTGAGCTCATTTTTAAGCATCATAGAAGTCTTGTCCCAGGACGAAGTTGCAAAGGAACTAAATTCTTGTACATGTAAAACATTTGATAAGTAAATGAAGTCATTCAAAAGAACAAATGATTGAGTCAATGGAGGATACGAGACTAACGATAATGCCTTTATTGTTGTAATTAGATCAGTCTCGTCATGATTACTAGTACTAGAACGATAATCAGTGAATATTTCTATTAACCTTTCGGGTACTTTTGATATTTTCACAAGGCTATTCGTTTCGAGAATACTATGACCTTCCTTGCTTTTCTTCTTCTTTGATTCTTTAGAAAATACACTTTCCTTATCCCAGTCATCATTATCCCAGTCATCGTTATTCCAGCCATCTTCTTCATCCACAGCAGCGTCACTGCCATTGCTGTCGTCATCCCAACCTTTATTCCAATCATCTTCAGCGCCATTCTCGTCATCATTGTCGTTCTTCGCTTGTTGATTGTATTTCTCCGTAACCGGCTCATCCACCAAGTCTGCTATTAATTCATTCACATTCTCGTTATAAACCTGGCGGGTTTTATCAATATATTTGTCAACAATCCAATTCAAGTATAACTTATTCAACTCTCCCTTGACTCTAGCAGATGAGTTGAATGTTGGCAACAAGTTCCACCCTGTAGTTTTACTTAATTCTATTAATCTTTCGAATTCAGTGACAGCTTTCCTTGTTCCAATAAACTGGTTTATGTTTTCTGAAATCGTGTTGATTAAGTTACTGGCAATCTTAGACCTAAAGAAGTTTTTAATAGTTTGATCACGAAGTAGATTGATAAATTCGATAAAGCTAATGATGGATTGGAAATATGATTCGATGGACGTGGTATACTCTATCTTATTCAAGGTATTCCGATCATTGTCACTCTTTAAAGTTAAATTGAAAGACTTATTCAATAGGCCACTCAATAACTTATCCCAATTGACACGGCTCTCCTGAAACTCAACCTTTAATGTGCTCATATTGAACTGAAATTCGAAATTGTTCGCCACGTTAAGAAGCTCAAAGTAGCTCAAATCATTATCCAACTTGGTTATAAATGTAGAGTTATCCGGAACAAATCTATTATATAGACCATTTAGCACTTCTGAAAATCTAACTGCTAACCGATGCTGCTTCTCTTGTAGTTCTGTCTTTATTACGCTTGAATCTGAAAGAGATTCAATTGAAGAACGTAACTTTTCACTATTGGCCACTATTGATTCAAGGTCACTGAGATCTAAGTCTTCATTTATTTCCAAAAGACTCTCAGTTTCCTTCACGTATCCCCTGATATACCAAAGCTGGTCCAAAACGCTAATGCTTTGCTCTATTTCGGGCACTTTCCGATATAATTGATTCAAGCTCAAAGATGCTAGCTCATCAACATTTGCCAATGGCACAGTTGAAACCTTCAAATTTGGGTCATTTATTATATTATCAACACTTAATGAGTCAAAGTAGTTCCTGATATCTGAATTAATTGATTGTAAGCGATTCAAATAGGATGGCAATGTATCATCTACTGACATGATTGTTAGTAGAATAATAAGAATATACAGTAAATGTTGAATTAGGTTTTTTTATATAGATCGCGACCTTCAGATGATGGACTAACATAAAATTATCATAACACTCTCTAAGTCATAGTATTTGATCACATATATAATTACTTAAATAGCCCTAGTTGTAAATCATCAAATTAAGTTCCACGTCTATTTAAAATTTTAAGGCAAAGTTGTTATGAATAAGGTATATCATGGCCCCGTAAACTCTGTCATCCATATAGGAAGCTAATTAAAGGTATTTCTTTCATATAATATCTTCGGTTATATCATCGTCCACGTATTCATCATCTTTGTTCATTCTATATATAGTCATGAACATGCTTGTAAAATTGAGACCAGTCATAAACCACTCTGGAAGTGGGATTGCGTATAATTCAACCACGTTGAAGATAAGATCCAAACAGTTACCTATAAGTTCAAGAATCAACATTGTTTTATCAAACTTAAGATCTTTCAAGAATTTTTCGTATCTTTTGAAGATATTCTTATCGTCATCTTTTTCACCTAAAAGCTTTGCATGTTGATTTCTGTGCAATATACTCAATTCAAGCTTTACCTTTTTCTCTTTCTTAATGACATTCAACAATTGAGAGATTGTCTTCCTGAGCAAAAAAACCAAGATTAATACCCATAGCTTGTTCGTTTGCTTTAATAGCGATGCTAATTTTTTAGGAAACATGGGAAATTTGGAGAACAAATGGAGGTTGTCTAATAAATTGGCTAGAGTCTCTAAGACTTCGATGACTATTCTTTCAAGTTTTTTGAACGAGAAACTCTCAACCTTGAAGTTTCTTTTCAACAGTTTGGTATGTTTCACGGGTTTAGGAAGAGTAAACTTGTTAAACAAAGGTGAATATTTGGGTTTCGGTATCTTTGGAAGCTCTTTGAAATCTCTTTTTTCAGAATCTTTTCCTGTCTTTCCAGCTGAAGACTTCTTCAGACCGTCTTCTTGATATTTGAGAACGTAGTTGGTAAGATTATTTAGCTTCTCTTCCGTTATCGACGTGTTACCCCTTAGCTGTTCCTCTTTCGCTAATCTAATTATATTATTAACAATTTCTTCTTTACCCCTAGTAGCTTCGCTGTTGTTAAAGCTATCGGCTAACGTATTAGTGACCATTCCAAAGCTAAACTAGCTACGTAGGCGAACAATATACTTTTAATGTGTATTACTATGAGGAGATATTGTATTTTTGATAGGCAGGACTATCGTGTCTAGCTTACGTAAGCGCACTAAAAAGACCTTCAAATAACTACGACGACAACAGTGGAAGCCCTTCGGAGTATGTCGTTCACAAGAGATGTAGACATTCTTCGAATAATACTAGTCTACGGTAAATGTGAAGTTATTCTTGAATTTTGCTTGTAATCGTGCGAGAAGTACTCATAAAGTATGACCGAGGTTAAATTCTAAAGAAAACACATTTAGGATTGACCGCTTGGGATATCCATGCTATTGATTTTTGTAATTAGTTTAGCAACCTCTACTATTAAATGATCATGTGAATGGATTGGGGTCTCTTTGAATGTTTCCACCGCTTCATGCTGGCTAACTCCTTTATAAGATTGTAATTCAAGATCTCTACTGAAACACAACTCCACGGCCGTGCCAGCGGCTGTTTCAAATGAGAGCTTGTAAGGTTGATTATCCAGACCAGTAATCTGGTTACTGAAGTCATTTTGGTCGTCATCTATGGCGTTGAGGGTAAGGTTTTTGACATTGGTGAAATTCAGAAGCAATCCGTTCATTTCCTTGCACCACTTTGCAAACAATTGTGTTTTGCTAAGGTTCTGATCTGGAGACATATCCAGAATATGCTGTTGTAGGTTATTGACTTTTGTGGCAATATTGTGAAGCTGCTGTTCGTGATTAGCGAGTATCTGCCGTTTCAAATTGATGTCATTACCAATGCCTCTAAGTTTGGCACCACGATCACTCAAAATTTGATTGTAGACATCCATGGTAGCGTCAATATCAATTTGGCTCTCGATGTCCAAGTTGTTGATTAATTCTCTTTTCTCTGGCGCTTGTGATTTTAAGAGGTCGTTAATCTGACTCTCCAAGTGTTCTGCTTCCCCAACTTTATCCCTTGTATGTCTGATCTTGATATTAAGGTCATCATAGAGCTTGACTACTTCCTCCGAAGTGGCTTGTAGGTCAGATATTCTATTGTTTAACTGTGACTTCAAGTCCTTAAGCTCTCTCTTTTTCTCCATGGTTTCGCCCTCCATTCCGTCAACATCTTCTCTGCTAATGTCCTCGTCATTTGATTCAGAAATCTTTCTCAAAAACTTGTCTCTTGTCTCCTGTTCCAAGTACTGAAACTTAAGTTTCGAGAAGACTTCTTTTTGATATTTGAACTCTTCATTGACCAATAAAGGGTTATCCAATTTACTCTGTAAATTTTCAAACTCACTTTTCAGGGAAAGTATCGAATAGCTCGATCCATCCAAAGCATCTAACAGCAGCTTAATGGATTCTAAGCTCATATTGGATGTCTTAATTATGTTTGTTTATGTTTTGATTATTGATATTTTATTTTCGCGATATTTAGATATCACAAAATTACATTGAATGATGTACTTAATACATAAAGATCTATTAAAAGTTCGTTAACATAGCTTATTGTCTGATTGTTTTTATTCGGTTAAGAAGAATTAGTAATGAAACAGAATTAGGATGTTTTCGTTAAGGAATGGGTAATTTGGGAGATCCTTGGTGAGTATAATAGGTAGTGAAACAGCGAAGATCACCGTAGGTGGTTTAATTTGCTTCTCTTGGATGTATTGCACAACTCAATTTCCATGCCCTATCCTCGTCAGACTTATTTAATTCGCAAACCTTCCAAAGTTCGAATAAAATTAATTCTTGCATAGATTCGACGGAAATGATATTGTAGTCCTCGACATCGCTCAGTTTACTGCTACTAGGGAAGAGCATGCTGCTTCTCTTGTTTTCTTTTTGAGGTAATGTTGATAAGTACGGCAATTGCAAACTCTCAATGTCGGCAATTATTCTCGTTATCTTCAAGTACTTGTCAATGTTGATTAATTTTTGGTTCAAAAATGTGTTAGCCTTTCTATAATTGGGGTTTCCCTCTGTTACAAACGTCAAGTCTTGCAAAAAGAGAGAAAAATACGGCACAATTGGTATATTGTAATCATTGTTCACCAAAAAGTTTCTCAATTTATTTCTGTAAACGGAGTAGTTCTTGTCTGGGTGGACAATGCCTGACAAATACTCATACAATTCCCTGTATTTATCAGAGAGTTCAGCCCAAATCCTAGTCAACCTGGTAACTAAGTGGGATTGCAAAGCCGTTATTATAGCGGCTAATGAATTGAAGTTTCTCAAGTACAAGCATGATATTGCAATCTTCAACCAATTTTTCATCATATTTATTCTCATTTTCGGAGAAATGTCGGGCTGTAATACAGATTCTAACACGTACCCAGATAAGCAGTTTGTAAACAATAAAGATTGCCTCACGTTCGGAGCTAACTTCAAGTAAGCTCTTTTGGCTGTAAAATTCTCATTCAACAACTCATCAGGCTTAATTGCGCAAAACATATGGGATTCGATAAGTGTGAGCTGTTTGGCAATCTCTAACCCATTGAAATCTAACAAGTTTGGTCTGTAGTTAGACAACACCCAATTTTGATCACAAACGGAGTACCAATTCGGTAAAATTTTTGAAAGGTCCAAGGGAACGAACGACCTCGTATCAAGATATTGACGGGGGCACCAGTTAGTTCCCAAGATACTTCTATACGTTAAGTTCACCTTTTCGATTGTAATGAGTTGGTTCTTGGTCAATAAAGAGTTCGAAGAAGAAGTTTGATTCCCAACACCTAACGGTAATGGCAAAGTCATTGACTTAAGAGAACTTGAAGTTGATGAGTTTGTATTAATTTTAGATAACTCATACCCGTCGACCATGGAATATCTGGAGGAAAGAGAGTTAACAGAAGAATTCCGTCTCCTATTTGCTCTCGTTATTGTGATTGATCTATTAATGAGTTGTTTTCTATTCTTCTGTTTTGTCAATGGCTTCTGATGTTCAATTAAAGGTTTCAGTGATAGTTTGGCAGCAACTTCTATCAATTTCATTGAATCCAAAGGTAAATGAACTGCAATTCCTTCATTAAAGAAGTTGATCAAAGTCGTCAAAAGAGAGTAGTCCAATTCAGGGTTCCAGTATGATTCCATCCATAATTGAAACATTTTTACGATCAATCTTCTTCTGTTTTTAAGTCTCATGCCAGAAGATACATCCTCTTTAGAAACCGTCTTCAAAGACTTATTATCAATATCAAAACGAGTGATAAATTGTTCTATAAGGTCAATTCCATTTGCAAAACTTCTGAAACATATGAAGAAAGTGGATACAAAAAAGTATTCTGGTGGGGAATCTTCGTTAGTGAGTGTATAAACTAAACCCTTGAAAGAGGCTCCAAGTAAGTTGCCATTTTTATCGACCAATAATTCATTGTTAATATTATCTTGAAGAGCACCATCTTTAGTATTTGTAAAAGGTTCAAATTCAGCATTTGAGACGCTAAATGGCGTTGAATCGATATCTAGGGCGTCGCGCAACAAATCTGCACCTCCAGGGGTTAACGAGAGTTCGCCCGTCTTTCCTGTGCGCATCATAGAATACCTGTTGGTATAAGAGATTCCTTTGCTTCGAAGTTGTCGCAAGTCTTGATTCTTGATTGTTTGTGACTTGGCAATTCCAATGGAGCATTTCTTTATAAATTCATCAGCTTCAATCTTAATCTTGGAATAATCAGGATATGACCTTTTAGCATTTAATTTGAAGTCACTTGTGACATCTAATAGCTTTCTAATAGCATTAACCGTAACACTAATAGAGCTTATCATTTTTGAAGCAATCTGAATTAAATCACCTCCCTCTTGAGTATAATAATAATCTTTAACGCCTGCTGTCGCTTTGTTAATGTGATATCTCCTATCATCATCAGTTTCGCTCACTGTTTTGATGACCAAACTCTTGACACCTGTCACCAAATCACTAACGAGAGAAAGTAGCGTATCCAAGGCTCCATCCAAGTCAGCTGGCTTCTCAGCTGAGAAATCCGAGCCCATCTTAGAAATGAAAAGAAGCTCTCTTAATAATAAGATAATCTGATGCGTAAGAGTTTCCAAGATATCGCAGCCAGCCGCATTATGCTCAATAAGATCTAAGCGGCCAATTATAAGACCCAAGTATGAGTATAGTATACCATTGATTTCTGTCACACGTTGTTTTGCCATGGGAGGAGCCGACAAAAGGGGATAAGTCATCATATCATTATGTAATTTCTTCTCACTCTCTGACTGTACAATCTGCCTACTCTCGATCGACCATACTTTTAGAAAATCAATGGCCTTCCGAGTAACCTGATACACCATTAAAGTCAAAAATTCAATCTTGTCAAAATTCGATGTTCCTTTAAACTCGTTGGCCTTTACCATTAATTTATACCAATCCGCTAATAAGCTTTTTCGACTCTTTCTAACGATTGGTCTTTTTGTTACTATTTCGTTTGATCGAGAAAGACAATCAGTTTCTTGGAGCAATAGCCTGACACCATCTCTGATAGAGTTTATTACTCTGATGGAAAATGTGTATTTTCCATGGCGATTTTTATGACTTAACGGATCTATTAAGAATTTACCACATGCATGAAACAAAGGTCCAAGGTAGCTACTATTCGGAATTTTATCAGCACTTATCTCGATATCAGTAATTGATTCATCCTCATCATTATCCACAACTATAGTACTGAAATAATTCATAGGTATCCAACCTCTTTGAAGCGATTCTATTAGAGTGACCTCTCCCCACCCCGAATCATCAATTGTATGAATAAATGCTATATCTTCGCGATCGAATGATAAGCAAATAGATGCATCAGCTTCTGACTGAAGGGTAGAAGAATCAAAGGGATGCAAAGCAAGAATGAATAACGAAGATAAATCGTTTTCAGCTTGAGAACTTGAAATAACCGATGAGGACCTTCCCTTTGTAGTCTCTGATGTATAACCTTTATTAGACGATGCTTGCGAGGAAGAACCATTATATATGATATTCAAACCATCAGCCTGATTCGCTACTTCGCCTTCAGATGCTTCTTTATCGGATTCAAGAAAGAACTTGTTCTTGTCCTTTTCGCTTATATTGCTTGTATCTACGTCAGTTGATAATTGTTCAAATTTGTAAACCAAATCTCTTCTTATTGGAACTTCATCATGGGTGCCAGTTGGCCCCTTTACTGCTTTTTGTGGTGATAACTTTGATCCTCTGATGTTGTAAGAGCCTCTTTTGTTATTTTGAGTTGCATTATACTGGCCATCTTCGTATTTGGCAAAATCTGAGGAAATGGTCGATAACGGTCTATTTGGACTTTTTGATAAAGGAGGTCCCGAATTGGCTTCACTCAAAATACTGGATCTATTACTCATAGTAGACACTTCGGAGTTCAAATCGTCTCTAACTCTATCGACAATTTTGCTATCCTCACGTTCGTCGTTCTCAGTTGGCACTTCCTCGATTTTGTTGTAATAGAGACTGGTACGAGTGGCCGTTTTTTGTGATGTGCTGTTTGCTCTATCAACATTCTGGTGAAAAGAGCTCATAAACTCATGGGACTCTCCAGAGGCAGCCAAATTTGACTGTTGTAGTGTCAAAGACAACCTTTTAAACTTAGAGCTTAGTTCATGCTGGGGCAACTGAGGTGACTTGCCTTTCGTCTTGTTATCTCCTATGTCGGAAACCTCCAAGTCATTATTAAAGTCTCCACCATCCATCTTGGGCGTTACATCTGTTTCGGCACTGTAATTAGGCACCAGCACTAGTTTTGGTGTTACGTCGTTTTCTTGGCCAGTCCCAAAACTGCTGTTTTGGTGGTACTTCCACTCATCATCGCTTCCACCACGTAAGAGCGATTCATTTATCGAGCTAAAACTAGGATTACGAGTTCCACCTCTTGCTGTCACATAAGTCTGAAATGTCTGTGTAGATGGTTCGGGTTCCATTTTGGAAACATCCTCCGAGGCTTCTGAGGATCTTATGGTTCGATAACTTTCAATCGACAAATCTGAATACTTGTCACTCAGGTCTCCTTCCTCCTCTATGTCATTTGACCTGTCGTATTTAAAAGCGAACTCCGATTCTATAGGTGAATAAACACTTGACGATGCGCTAACATGTTTACCTATATCTTCGCCTTTTCGATAGTTCACCGGCGGTTGATACATTACCTATCTTGAGGTGTCTCTGCTGATGTCTTTACTACTTTAACAATCAAAAAGCGAAATTCTTTATATATATATATCGTCCTAGGTCTATATGTCTTTGTTTCCACTTGTATTTTTAAACGGCTCTAGCCTTTTATTCAGATGGGAATTTGTTTCAGAATATTAACCTTTAGGGAAATCAATGTGGGAAAAGAATATAAAAAAAAAAAAAACCGACGCGTTAGTTAGAGAAATTAAAAGTCGGTGAAGACTAATGGAACCAAATTGAGGTCAACTACGCGACTTATACAACACTATTGACTAGTAATCTAGTCCATGATAGAGACTATTGAGAAGTATAATTTCCTAATTACAGTGAGGTCGATTGAGATAATATTGACTTAACTTAATAACTGGAAATTATGCTGCAAGGAGGTGAATAGGAGTTAGCATATGAAAGACAATTGGCGATCGCTAGAGTATCCTTGGAAAAACATAGGAGAAGCTTTCTATGATGATAAGACTACAAGGATATTGATATCAAAAGATTACAGAAATAGAATAGGCTTCTATGGGGGAGACTGTCCTTTCTTTCTGTTGTGTTCTGACCAATAATGTAAGCGTTGACCTAAATCGTCGATGCGAGTCGAACCCAAGTCAATATTTGGTTTTGTGTAGTGTCCCACGAAACGACCAAAATTTTTGCGCTTCTATGTGATGAGCTTTACTGTGTGATTCTTCCAGAGTTGAGAGTTGATAGATAGATGTAGACAAATCTCTTGTGAAAAAAGAGTTTTGTATAGAACGATAGAGTCTCAGAGCTAATCTTTTTGTAATAGGTTTGCAGAGTCCGAGTAAAAGTATCTGATAAGAAAAGCTAGCTTGGTGTGTTGCTTCTCGAAGGGAAAACTTCTTCCACCGAACGTTGTCAATAAAACATCATTCGCTCTTCTTCAAAGTTAAATGGGTGAATTTACTTGTTTGACATGCCAGCTAGTGGCCGAAGGGGATGAGATATCAAAGCATTTGGCTCAAACTAGACACAAGACTGTCAAATATAATGACGTAGATGAAACTATAGAGTGTGAAGAATGCGATGACTCCAACATCCATACGCTTGTGGTAGCCAGATTTGGGCTTTCGGATATGGCTTTGTTATGCCAGGAGTGCTTATCGAAAGAAGACAAGCCGGCAACACAGTATGCTCTATCTAACGGTTCCTTATTCAAGAAGATTGAACAGTACTACACATATAGGGACACTCAATGTATGGAATGTGGGTCAGAGAACAAACTAAATGTTCAAAAGGGTCATCCTGAAGTAGTTCTTTGCAAAGACTGTTTGGCAAAAGGCATTTTTAACCAAAGCAATTTCGTCAGTGAAAATGATGAAAACTTTCTCGGAGAGCTTCTTGGTATCAAAGAGTTTATCCCCAAGAATCTGAAAACAAGATCTCATAGAAAGGGCGACCGCAAAGGTGGCAAAAAAGGAAAACGTGAATCACGTCCTAAGAAGGTGACTCAAGAAACTGAGCAAAGGAGAGCTCATTACGAAAACTCAAGAGCTACTTCAATGGCTATAAAAAGTGGAAAGACGATGTTGGCAGTAGGTTCAGAATCACCTACTCCTACAAGATCTAAGAGTCCAACGCTCCCTCAAAAATCGAGAGCCAAGGAAAGTAGTCCGGCAAAACTGTCGTTTTCGAAAAAGAAGCAAGCGACGTTCAATGGTCCATCAATTTCAGAGAAGTCGAAACTGAGTTCAAACCGCTCTGTCCCAACGAAAGGAAAGAGCACTTTCAATAAAGGAGCCAATGGATCCCATTCATCTATGCCCACGCAGAAACAAGCTTTTGCATCTTCAAAGTTGAAAGAATCCCACTCAAAGGAAGAAGGTGATAAAAAGGTACGAGAGTCGAATAAATCGAGCTCTAAGGACTCCAAAGGCGTAAAAGTGTCTCTCAAAAAACCCGAAAAGGGGAATATCAAGAAGGCTGATATCAAGAAGGCTGATTTCAAGAAGATTGATGGCAAGAAGAAAGAAAATCAAAAGGCTGGCCCCAAGAAGAATGAGAATGAGAAGGCTAACTTCAAGAAGAGAGAAAACGGTAAAGACGAATCTGCTAACAAAAAAGCACCAAAGGATATTGCCAACACAAAGAGTCAGAAAAACGGCACCAAGACACAAGAACAAGCTCAATTTGTTCTTCCACCTAACATATCAAAGTATGTGCCGTCACCGGAAACGAAACTTTCATACGAATCGATAAACTCATATTTCAAAGAAATGAGTTACAACCTATATCTTGAAGAAAAGCTAAGTAACGATGCTTCGAACCTGAATTTATTTATTGATTCATCAGATATGACGATAGAATGGTATGCTGAACAAGATAAGAAATATAAGCAATATAAGGTATCAATACTAGTGGATGAGACATTTGCTAAAAGATTTATATCCAAGAAAATGTTGAATTTTAAAAAGACACCCTTCTCTCTTTCGCAAACCATCTTTTTGGTTTTAAATGACGAAATATTTTGGCCTGGACAAATTGTAACATCTGATACTAAGAGTGCAACAAAAAATCGCAAGAATGGACCTAAGATATATGAAATGGTTATTCAGTTGTATGACTGGAATGATCAGCCATTACCGGTTTCTGTGAATGTCCATTGGCTCAAAATAATGCCAGCTTCAGTTCCAATCAGTAGAGTTTTCCTTGCGATGTCAAGAATAGAAAACTCGAAATTTACTAAAATGATTTTGGGAAAGGAACAAATCCGTCAAATATCTTTCAAAAACTACGTCAAATATAGCAGAGATACTCTTAATGATTCGCAGAAAGTGGCAGTTCAATCAGTGTTAAATAATTCAATTACAGTGCTCAAGGGTCCTCCAGGAACTGGTAAAACATCAACAATTTACGAAATAGTATTGCAGTTATTAGAAAACTTGAACACTTATCCAATTTTAGTTGTCGCTGCCTCAAATATTGCTATTGACAATATTGCAGAGAAGCTTTTGCTGAGACATGAGCGTTCAATCTTGAGAATAGTATCCAATGAAAAGGAGAAGGAGTACAATAGGGAACATCCGTTAGCTGCAATATGTTTGCACCATAAAGTATACGATGCCCTACCGCTATCCATGAAGCAAGCTTTAGATGACATACGTTTCAATAGCGGTAGAAATGTTAGTCAAAATATGTACAAAAATTTACTAGCAAAACAAATTTCTTTGTCAAACACTTTTATAGCACAAGCTAGGGTGATCTTTTCGACGACCGTAGTTGCAGGAGGAAATCAATTGAAATCTGTTAGTAAATTGCCTGTTGTTATAATGGATGAAGCTACACAATCCACTGAACCAACTACATTAATACCGATGTCTATGCCTGGTGTTGATAAATTTGTTTTCGTTGGTGATCAAAAACAATTGAGTAGTTTCACTCAGGTCCCTAAACTATCTTTATCTCTTTTTGAAAGAGTATTACTTAATGGAACCTATAAGGAACCGCACATGTTGGATACGCAATATAGGATGCATCCTATGATAAGTGAGTTCCCAAGAAAAAGGTTCTATGATGGTTTATTAAAGGATGGAATAACTGCAGAAGACAGGTATCTAGAAGGAATTCCAAAAAATCCCGTCTACTTTTGGGATACAGTTGGAAAAGTCCCTGAGCAAAGGGTTAGAGTTGGGTTCCGTGAAGATAGAGGATATACCTACACAAATAAAGGAGAGGCGGATATGATTATCAAAGTTTTAATTGACCTTATTTATAACAAGAATATTCCCAAGTCTGAAATTGGAATTGTTACGCCTTATAGAGGTCAAAGAGACTTGATATCGTCCATAATGGTGGGAAACGATTTGATCAACCCCGAGAAAGATATTATTCATGAGGATGACGATAGGGATGATATATACAATGAGACAAAAACCGTTACTGTGCAGATTGTTTCAAATATCATGGTTGCATCGGTTGATGCTTTTCAGGGTCGTGAGAAGAACATCATTATAATGTCTTGCGTCAGATCAAATACTGATAACAAAATTGGTTTCCTTACAGATGAGAGAAGACTTAATGTTGCCTTGACAAGAGCTAAATATAGCCTCATTCTAGTCGGTGATGCCTCGTGCTTGTCCAAGAGTAGCACTCTTTGGAAGGAATATTTGGACCATTTAAAAGAAAAAAATTCCGTCTTTGGCTCAGAGGAGTTCACCTATTAGGAGCCAGTATATGGAACCTTATATTTATATATTTATTAGACTTAAAAACTACGAAATAGTAGCCTTTCTTAGTCTTTGTAGTGTATATATCTTTGGCTGTGAAAGATTTCGTGGATATGAAAATTAAGTTTTGAACGAAAGAAGAAATTAATTTGTTTACATTAAGAATGGTGAAAAAGAGTCTGAAAGGAGAAGGTTTAAAGACAAAAGGAAATAACAATGGGGCAGCTCTGAAGCTGAAGAGGCAGGTAGTGAGAAAAACAGAAACAAAGAAGCAAAGGGACAGTATATTTGAGTTTTCTCCTATTTACGATTTGTTGAGAAACTTCAAGAAAGCCCCTAATCAATGGACGGCCAGATACATTATCATCTTGTCGGCAGTAATATTAAGAGGAGTTATTGGGCTAGGATCATTTCTGGGTGAGGGAGAAAAGCCTATAAATGGAGATTTTGAGGCCCAGAGACATTGGATGGAATTAACATTAAATATTCCTATCAGTGAATGGTATTTTTTTGACTTGGAATATTGGGGTTTGGATTATCCTCCGCTCACAGCATACCATCTGCTCTTGCTCGGAAAGATTGGATCATTGATCAATCCTTCATGGTTTGCATTGAATGAATCTAGGGGATATGAAGGTAGTGATTTAAAGACTTTCATGAGACTCAGTAGTATTGCAAGCGAGCTCATAATATATGTCCCTGCTTTGTTGAGCATAATATCGGTCATTGGGAAGAACTTGAATGTTGGAAGAATGGATCAGATCATATTCTCCTCGATCTTGTTTTATTTACCGCCATTAAGTTTAATTGATCATGGCCATTTCCAATATAATTCTGTGATGTTAGGACTCTTCTTATTATCATTTGGGGAATTGGTGAAAAAGAACCTCATCTTGGCATCTATATGGTTCATTTTATCTATCAACTTTAAGCAAATGGCCCTATACTATGCGCCATTTATTTTTGTTTACATTCTATCCAATCTATTTGAAAGACCTGTTTCTGTGAAATATCCATGGACGACATTCAACTTTAAAAATCTTATATTGATTAGTATAACTATTGTTATCACCCAGGTTGCGGTGCTTTGGCCCTTTATTATGAATTCACCGACTTATGAAGATGCGCTTATCATGATTCGCCAAATATTGTTCAGAGTGTTTCCATTTCAAAGAGGTTTATTTGAAGATAAGGTAGGGAACTTCTGGTGTGTTTCTAATTTATTAATTAAGTATAGAGACATATTTTCTTTGAATCAGTTGACTAAATTATCATTGGCAACAACATTACTTTCACTTGCTCCTCCTTGTTTAATGGTATTTTACAAAGGCTTATTTCAAAAAGATTTTAACGATCAAAAAAGGCTTCTTTCTCTTATATATGGATTTGCTGCTACCGCTTGGAGTTTTTATATGTTTTCCTTCCAGGTTCATGAAAAATCGGTCTTAGTTCCACTTCTTCCAAGTTCATTATTATATTTGCTCAATGATAAGAACTACGTATCAATAATTCAATGGATTAACAATAGTGCTACTTTCAGCTTATATCCTTTGTTGAAAAAGGATCATTTAATATTGCAATATGCCGTCAGCTTACTATTGTCAAATTGGTTCATTGGTGGGTTTAATATCAAAGCAAACATGTTAATACCTAGTTCAAATATCTTTTGGAAATTGATAGTAATCGGATCTTATATATCCATGTTGCTTTATCATGTTATTGACATTTATATCCCACCGCCATCTTCATATCCAGATTTATGGGTCATAGTTAACGCTACAATATCATTTAGTTGCTTTGGTATATTTTGGTTGTGGTTGTTGTATAAAATATATAAAATATAGTTAGCATTTAGGTAGCACGATACCTTGTTTAAATTTCCTGTCTACTGTAAACAAGCCCCATTGAGTCTCCCATTTATTATTATCTTCATAAAAGACCCTTTTCCATGGTTCATCAAATGCTTCAAAGTAATACCAACCATATTTGTTCTGATATGCTTTGCAAACATAGTTATCGAGGAAAATCTGAAAATTCAGTAAACTTGCTACCGCCCCTTCATATCTTCCACCATCTGAGGGCCATCCAACCTCAGTTATTACGATTTCTTTGCGTGTATTTTCATTCTTTGGCTCGACCTGATATTTAATAAAATCAATTGTCCAATCACTAGCAACTTCAACTAAATCTCCACCAAAAAAAGGATGAACGTTAGCACCTATCATGTCGAAAGTTTCGAAATGCTCTTTAGTCAATAGCGAGCCAATTTCGGATGTAGCCACCGGTAAGTCATCGTATCCAAGGTCTATCAAGAATTTTTTAACTGATTTAGCATATCCCAAGAGCTGTTGAGCAGATTTATCCTCTCTAAAAAGGACTTCATTTCCAATAAAGATAGCTTCAAACAATTTTCTAGGATATTTTTTCAATACCACTTTCATCTCATTTAATTGGTGGTCATTTATCGTATCATTATCGCCAATCCAAACTCCCATAGCCAATGTCATATTCAAATTCAAATCTTGAATGGAATCTAAAATCATGTCCGACTGGTTGCATTGCATACCGTAGTTTCTGATCCTTGTTGTTACTCGAGAAAGCATGGCCAAGTCGAGTAAGATGTCTCTTTTGTTAGCAAGACAAGAGGGCTCCATAGCATCCCTGGGAGAATATGCAAGTCCATAAAATGTTGTATCAGTGAAATTGGGATTATTCATAAGATTAAAAATCTCTTCGTCTGTTTTGTATTTTTCATTTATTCCTTCGAACCTATTAAATCCATTCAAAAAAGAGCCTCTATTAGCAGCGAAACCATCCTCACTGGGAGGGCGATTATCTAGCTTCTTATTTAATTCAAGTAGAAGTTCATACCTATCTTCACCTTCAGAGTTGAAATAATTCAAAACAGTAGTTTTAGTTCCATTGGCTAATATAACTATTGCAGGAACAAACCCTCCTATCAAACAAAGGATAAAAAAGATCAATAAAGAATATGTGACAATGTACTTGTTACGTGAAAACCATCCTTGTTCCTTAGACATGGGTAAAGAGTCATTAGATTCACTGACAGTGTAAGATTCCTTGAATAGAGAAGTAGACTTGTGACAGAGGTTACTTGAATTTAATTGCCTAAATTCATCGCTAACTCTGCCACCGCCATAACAATGCAAGCTCAGAACACCAATATTAGTTGTAATGGGATTCAATTTTACCTTAGGGGAGGACATATTAGAAGACCATGTTGAGAGGTGGTTGCTCATGGGAGAAATGGCATCAATTCTAAATTTATCAAATGAAGTAGATACCATATCTGAATTTCCAGGGCTCTTCATCATTAAATCTCCATTTTCAATAGCCAATTTTTCATCACTCCCATTCTTCACTGAGGAAGGATATCGCTCTAACTGAGTTGGAGGAGACGACAGTACTACTGTCTCATTGAAGCGCTTTTCACTGTGGCGCAAAGGCGATAAATTTTGACTTTCATTTACACTTGTCAGTGTTTCTAGATTATAGTCTGTCTCTATCATATCAGAGATGGTCTTTGATCTCGTTAGCTTGATTGGATTCAGCATCACAAGCTTTGGGGTTTCCAACCAGCTATCACTTTTTGCATCCAGGCCAATAGCATCACTCATTGTTAAAGAGCGCTTCTTCCGTCTATCACATTGAAAGTCATTTTTGTCAGAATTCTTTATTTGGTCTTCACTCATCCCACCTGAACAAATGATGTCCTTACTTTGAAGATACTAGCTGGCGTTAAAACCTTCAGGGTGCAAAAGCATAGATTCATAAACCACAATGTTATATACAGGCCTGCTATATAGATGAAGCCTAATTGAAAACACCAAGACTATGTCCAAATAAGGAACTTAGCCTTAGGCTGAAAAGCAGTCGATATCCCATGGGTTGTCACGGGATAGTCATTAAGATTCAGTTCTATTTGTCCTTGTCACTTAAATCTCTGTTGGTTTCTCATGAGAGATATAGGAGCTGGAAATAAGAGTATGCAAAAACAAAGATACTTCCACCCCCCTTAACAGTGACACAATGCAAGGCAAACATTCCCGCAAAATGCAGATAGCCATGTAACACAACCCTCACCATCCGAAGGACAACAACCCTCACAGAGGCCGAAACACGAGCAAAACTCAAGACAAAACTCAGTACATTCAGAGTTATTCCTATGATAGCCTGAAGCTGCTTCACTTAATGTTGGGATGCTCGATGTGTCATCATCACCAGAGCTCCCAGAATTTCCTTTCTCGTAACTGCTGTTAAGGGACATGTCTTGCTGTTGTTGTGGTTGCTGGGTAATCGTGTCAGCAGCAGCAGCCAGGCTTCCTGGGACGTTTTCTTTAGTTTCTACCATATCAGTACTTGTTTAAATCTCACAAGCTCTATAATAATACGGAATATCAATAAATCCCTAGATTACTCAAACGAACAGCTAAAGGTAATAAAGAGTCAGCTGAACAGATGCTTTGCACTTATCTTGCCAGAGTATTTGAATCAGCAAATCTTAAGCTGTCTTTAAGACGTCCAAATCTATGTCTTAATCTATGTCTATGATTGTAAGATCAGGCTTTGACTTGAAAGATCTTTCTAAATTAATTTGTAAGGCAATCTATGAACAAAGAGAGTTCCAGATTTTGTCCGCATTCTCTCACCACACTATTAAAAAAAAAAAAGAAAAGAGGCGCCAATAAGGTCCGAGAAGAATTCCATGTGAGCCAATGCGCTAGCGGTGCTGATCTCTCGCTAGTGACGCTTGAAACGACATTTTTCGCAAGGTTGCCGCGACAATGACGGCCCTAGGGGGGACGATCGGGACCAGGGGGATTCTCGGCTTGGTTGGCCCTTGTTGCGAAAATTGCACTACCGTGATTGCGTAGTACACGAAGAGCACGCGTCTCTGATCTCATCTAAATAATGTGAAGTACTTCTCTTTAATGGTACAGTAGCAATTAATTAAACTATTAGAGGAGTCTATTGTCATCATCCTTGACACGACGCAATCGAAATAGGTCCAATATATTAAATTGGCCGGTCTATAATGAAACTAGAACAGGAGAAACTTGATCTCTTATGTCTCTATTTCCCTAAGTTCGATCGTGACGTATTGGCAGAGCTCTTGAACTCCTGCGATGGATCAGTACAGAGGACGAAGGCGTTAGTGGATGGTAGTGAGGCAGTGTCGCAAACCAAAAAGCGAAATAGTGCGCTCTATCAGTCCTCAATAGCGGAACCCCTAGCGATATCTACCGCGAAGCGGCACCGACCACTAACATCTAGTGCGAAAGTAATACGGTTGCACACTCCCAAACAAGTACAAGCGCACTTATATCCCTTCGTATCACTACATAGGGCTATTCTTCCACGAGAACTGAGTGATGAGATCCTTCGGTATTTAATGGGACTTAAAGAGTCAATTACTCCAAACAAATTTTACATCTTTGACAACTATTGTACCTCGAGCCATGGATCGGGGCTTATGGCACCGGGTGAAGACGATAAGCAGGGAGATACTGTGAGAAACTTGATCTATAATGGAAAACCACCTAAGATCGTAGGTGTTTACAGTGATGAGATGAAGCAAGCGGCGGGCCGTGTTGCTGATATTATCAACGAAAAATTGATACCACTGCTCCCCAGCCTACCATTCCAGAACAAAGAACGATGGGGCTCCAACATGTGTATTGTAAATTACTACGAAAATATATCTAGTCACTTAGACTACCATTCAGACAGACTCTCGCATATTGGACCTCATAATTATATTGCATCAATCTCGTTGGGAGCTACACGCGAGTTTAGATTGCGAAAGAACTACGGTAGCAAACAGATTTACTCTATTGTGCTTCCTCATAATTGTCTCGTGATAATGCATCCAGGATGTCAGGAAGAGTTCAAGCATTGTGTCAACGCTCTTAAGAGTTCAATTGAGCAGAATCCAATATCAGGAAAAGAAAGGTATAATTTAACATTTAGATTCTACCCGAAAAGCTTTGTCCGACACTTACCTCGATGTAAATGCGATCTTTCAATGACGCTCAGGAGGTCTTACCTGACAGTCGAGAACAGAGGAAAGTACTTTTGGAGCTGCGAAAATAAATATCAGCATAAAGACTGTGGAACCTTCCATTGGGCCAATTTTAATAATCTCGAAGGGAACTATATTGCAGAATGCGATGAAGATATTTCAATTTGGACTGCGGAGGATGACGTGGAGAAGAACGAATGGATAGCAAAGCAGTCTGAAGATTACCCCTCGATATAGCGACTAAAAGGATGGTTGTATATGCGTATCCATTGTAATTAGCTAATCACTTATCAATCATATTCAAGCTTCCCTTTCAGTATTGTAATCCAAAAGATAGCAAATTTTCCTTCTGTGGGGAATCGAAATAGCTTTCCAAAGCTAGTCATGGTCCTAAGGGATAGTTTCTATACTATGGTAATGTAGACTGAGTAGCCAAAGTTAAAGGAAAAAACTACCCAATTCTAAGAAAGTTCTTTGATCTTGTTCGCTATAATAAGCGTCTCAGTCCTAATCGAGCGGAGGATATTTGGGGTAGCGAAAATAGTTGCCTTATTGGGAAGTCGGTATCATCGATCTTATCAGTAGTTGATATTAAAGGACTCGAAATCATCAAATATTCCAATGGGAACACTGTAGAATCAAAGATGTTGAACACAGATTGGAAAGATCTAGCTTTGGATGCTCAAGCAATATACAATACTTCACTTCAAAAGACTTTGGAACTTTTTCCCTTTGATGAAGAAACATTGAAGAAGTACGAAGCCCTTCCATCGGCTAGAGGTGACTCGGTGACAGATTTTGGATCTCCAGCTAAGGTTCCAATTCATGAGTACAAAAAAGTCTTGCCTTTGGAGGATAAAGAGATCACTGAGATGGAGCCTACAGAACTCGTCAAAAAGTTAAAAAATGGTGACTTGACATGTGAACAGGTTTTGAAAAGCTACTTTCACGCAGCCATTCTCGCTTCAAAGTTGGTCAATTGCGTTTATGAATTCTTACCGGAAGAAAGTTTGGCCAGGGCAAAGGAACTCGATAGTTGCAGGGAGAAATTGTCGAACAAGCTTCCTTTATTCGGTTTACCAGTATCAATTAAAGAAATGATCCCATTCAAAAATCGCTCTGTGACCCATGGGTCCTTGTGCTATTTGGATAGAGTAGTTGACTACAATGCTGACATTGTCAATATTTTATTGAAAAATGGTGCTTTTCCGTTTGTAAGGTCTACTAATCCTCAATCATTGATGATGTTAGAATGTGAATCTTTCACGCATGGTAGAACAGTCAATCCATTCAACAGCGATTTGACATGTGGGGGATCTTCTGGAGGTGAAGGAGCAATTAATGGTATACATGCTTCACCAATTGGACTCGGTAGTGATATCGGTGGGTCAATTAGATGCCCCGCTGCTTTCAATGGGATTTATGGTATGAGAACCACCCTTGGAAGGCTTCCAACAGCTGATTATTTCTCTTGCCAAATGGGGTCTGAATCAATTCTTTCTGTTACGGGCCCGTTGACTAGATCTTTGGATTTGTTGAAGGTATTTATGAAAACGATTATTGATTCCAAACCTTGGCTCGTGGATCCTACATTAGCTGCTATCGAGTGGAAGCCAATTACGCAAAAGAAATTTAGGATTGGTATCTTAATGACTGATGAGGTTGTGACTCCTCATCCAGCGATCACACGGGGACTTAAAGAAGTTAAAGAAAAACTTTCAAAATTAGATAATGTTGAACTAGTTGAGTTTAAGCCTTACGACCATGCAAAAGCTTGGGAGATTATCTCCACTTTATATTTCGAAGACGGAGGAAAAGACACTAAAGCAACCTTAGAGGCTACAGGAGAGCCAATGTGCCCACAGACTGAGTGGGTACTCGGACTGGACAATGTCAAGGAACTCGATATGCACGGCCAATGGCATTGGAATTTGGAAAAGCAGAAGTACAGAAAAGAATATCTCAAGCATTGGAATCTGTACACTAGTGATGAAGGTGATATCTTGGATGCGGTAATAGCTCCTGTGTTCCCTTCTCCCGCTGCAAAGCATAGAACAACTCGTTATTGGGGCTATACTGCGCAATGGAATTTGCTAGACTACCCAGTTCTTGTTGCTCCTGTCTCGACATTTGACGTAACAATCGATACTCCTTTGAAAAATTACAAACCTTTGAATGAAATGGACGAGTACGTCTATAAACAGTCTTTGGATCCCGAAGCGTTCAAATTGGCACCCATTAATGTCGGGATAGTTGGTCTTAGAAATACTGATGAAAAGCTTATTGAAATAGGCCAAATTTTAAAAGATACTCTTTAGTAATAGTATAAGCTCTTTTATATGTTTAAATTTTATCAAAAATCCCCCACCCTTTCTTTGTAACCGTGTATTTCTTCGTATAGTCTACACTATCATAGATAGATTGTCGCGCTTCTATACATTATCAAAATCTGAAAATTCATAACAACTAGAGGAGAAGATAAAGAATATAATAGAGAGGTTATGTCTGAACCTCGCTATATAGAGCTTACGGACTTTTCAGACCCGCTGCCATCAAATACCAAAGATCATTTTGGAGGAAAGTTAACGAGACAGCAAATCCAATTAATTCTTCTTCGATTAGGTGTAATAAGTGATGAAGACTACCGACGAGATATTGGAGATGATCCTATTGTTTCCAAGTCCGTTGAATACATTATATGGAAAATCATAGACCTCAGCGTGTTTGATGCTGTTAGCATCTTGAGGGAGGTATTGGTTGAACACCATGGTGATGTCAACTTCCCTCGGAGTGATTACGAATTTATAGAGAGGCTCGTTTCTCTTACGCCAGATAATTTTGATGTCAATAATGCTAATGATAATGATAATTACAACTACGAAGAAAAATCTGAGCCAAAGAGCCGGAAACATAAAGCATATTTGGACGTAATTGACTGGAATTTACAGGTTCGACTTGAGGCTGCATTGATTTCGTTTCATTCGCCTTATCCTGAAATACGAGCAATAACAGATCCATATGACGATAGTTCGATATCAGCTGAAACTTTCAGGGTATATGCTATAGGCTTGTTTTGGACTATCATTGGATCCATTGTTAATAAATTTTTTGTGCATAGATTGCCAGCCGTTAGCTTAAGTTCTCACACGGTTCAGATTTTGCTAATGCCTAGCGGCAAGCTATGGGAAAGGTACATGCCAAATAGATCAGTATCATTTTTGGGATATACTGTAGATTTAAATCCTGGTCCTTGGACTTATAAGGAGATGATGCTTGCTACTATTATGTACCTGTGCTCCTCTGGATTACCATATCTGATCTACAATATCTTTGTCATGAAATTAGAAAAGTTTTATGGGCTCAAATGGGTTAGTTGGTTGTATCAGTTTTTGTTGGTGGTGTCAACTGAATTTTTGGGTTTCGGATTTTCCATTCTAATGAAAAAGGTATGTGTTTATCCCAGCAAATCCTTATGGCCCACAATTTTACCAATTATTGCAATAAATAGAGCATTGATGAATGAGGAGCCAAATAACACAATCAATGGATGGAGAATATCAAGATATAAGTTCTTTTTTCTCGTCCTAGTGTGCAGCTTTTTTTACAACTGGATTCCATCATACTTTTTTAATGCTCTTTCCAACTTCAATTGGCCTACGTGGTTTGACCCGAAACTGGTTCATTTAACAAATGTAAGTGGATCTAATGAAGGTTTGGGCTTTAATCCATGGCCTAGTTTTGACTGGAATATAATTGGATCGGCAGGGTGCCTTACAATTCCATTCTACACTTATGCTAACCAATACTTTGGATCACTCTTAGCATTTTTCGTGATATTGGCCGTCTACTATACCAACAATAAGTGGACCGGATACTTTCCAATCAATTCAAATCAATTGTACAATAATGAGGGAAAAGTGTATAACGTCCGGGATATCTTGAACGATAGTCATGGTTTTGACAAGGCAAAGTACGAGCATGTTGGTCCTCCTTATTTTAGTGCTGCAAATCTAGTGATTTATGGTGCTTACTTCTGTTTGTATCCCTTTGCAATTCTTTACCACCTAGTCACTGAATGGGAATCAATGAAATCAAGTTTTATAAATGTCTTCCAAACTCTTCAAGATGCATTCTCTAGGAATCAGAAATTTAGTGTTTTTGGAAGGTATAGTAAGGATCCACATTGTCAAATGATGGCAAAATATGACGAAGTACCAGATTGGTGGTTTTTATCCATATTACTTACTAGCACCTCGTTTGCGATTATTTGCGTTGTATTTTATCCGAGTGAAACCCCTGTCTGGGGTATATTTTTTACAATATTTATTAACTTTATGTTTTTAATTCCAATTACAGCTATTGCTTCGGTAACTGGATTTTCATTTGGTTTAAACGTGCTTGTGGAGCTCATAGTTGGATACGCAATCCCAAACTCGGGATTGGCATTGATTACTTTAAAAAGCTTTGGATACAACATTGACTCCCAGGCCAGTAACTATATCACTGATCAAAAACTTGGACACTATACAAAGCTACCGCCCAGAGCAGTTTTTAGGGTGCAAATAATTTCTACGTTTGTAAGCGTAGTTATTGCTCTATGTATTGCAAACTGGCAATTGGCTAACGTACCGAATCTATGCGAGCCCCATCAAAGAAACAAGCTTAGTTGTCCGGGAGCAAATACCTACTTTTACTCAAGTATTCAATATGGCGAAATTGGTCCTGCTAAAGTGTTTTCTGGTCTTTATCCAGCCCTTAAGTGGTGCTTTTTATTAGGAGTTGTTTTGGTACTCCCATGCGTTTGGTTTAAAAGGATTGGTCCTAAAAGAATTACCGCATACTTTCACCCAACAATAATTTTAGGTGGATTTCTAAACTATGCTCCTTTTAATTTACTGTATTTTACTGTGGGACTTTACTTCTCATTCACATTCATGCATTACATCAAGAATAATTACATGGCATGGTGGGAGAAATATAATTATATCCTCACCAGTGCTTTATCAGCCGGTGTGGCCTTTAGCACACTCCTCATGTTTTTCACCGTTGCCCTGGATGATAAGCAACTAGACTGGTGGGGCAACCGTGTGAGCTACCAGGGTGTAGAAAATGGGGAAGGCAGAACTACTTGGTTAGATGTCTCAAGTGCACCAGATGGTTATATAGGCATTCGCAAGGGCCACTTTCCCTAGCAAACATCCAATTCTCATATTGCTTCACTCTTGTATATATCCTCTCTAAGACAGTTTCTTACTACCCCGGTTGCTAGATCAGATTGTGTCTATGGGGCGCCAAAAGAACCTACTAGAGATTAAAAAATCAAATGTATACGCTACTTGTATCGGATTTCCCACTTGTGATGTAATCAAAATGACACACCCTTTGAGTGCCTATTTATACCCTGGATGCTTTCCGTCTACTCAAGCATTTTTAGATTGTTTCTTAATATGAATGGTATTCTCATATCATCTATTGTGGCCTAAGTTGTCCATACAAAAGACATTAGTTATATATTGCCTCCCTTAAAACGGCAAAGTGAATGTCAGATAGAACTTGGGCTGTCCTGTAAATTAGCTCGACATAGCTAGTCTAACATCTGATTCACCAATTCCCTCAAAGGGCCTCAAGAATTTACCGTGTTTCTTGTTCATAGGTAACAAAGGCTGCAAATTGGACTAAGGTGATACGATGGGTGGTCATACAAAATGAAATCATACATTGACATTAAACCAGAAATACCTCGAGGTTACTGACAACTCTCTATCTTAGCCTTGTGCTCCTTTTACATCTCTCTACAATTCTTTGATTGGCCAGACACGGAAACATGGGGGATAGTGGAAAAGCTAATCTATAACTTGTCACGTGGATCGAGGACCCTTTTGATATCAAGAGCAAAACCTGCAGTATACGGAGCTGAATTATATCAGGCTTTCGTCCATAGAGGTACAATTTCAGGAGGAATTCTAACTAACAGTATTAAATTGAGCAAACCACATGCTTTGAAGAATACAAATCAAGACTTTAATCTTTTCAGATCAGTTTTTCATCTTATTATAAAAGATCTAGAATGCATTTCAACTTCAAGCCGTTGAGCTCCTTAAGTCTTTCTTTCTTCCTCATTTCGCTTTATTTACAGCCTGCTTTTTCACATTATGTGAGCAGCTTCACTATGAACGATATGAACAGAGTTGCGTGTGTGGCAATTGACAGGGAAACTGATATAATATTAACATTTTCAAATAATCGAATTAGATTATCTCCTGAAGCCTATCTATTGGAGAATACTGTGCCTTTTGTTCTTTTCAATTACAAGGACTTAAGCGCGTTCTCCAATATTCCTTCTTTGACGGACTTTGCAGAAAATAACCATAAGTTACTTTCACCATCCCTGACACCCTCTGATAGCCCAGTAACAAAGACGAGGTATGATTTGGTTGTCGATCTAAAAGATGGTAACTCCGAAGTCAATTTTTTTAAGCAAAAAGTAGATCTTTCTGAAGGGCCTAAAAAAGTGCATTTTCCAATACCATCTCGAGGTGTTTACTGTATTTATATCCCACGCCATCACAATTATCCTACTAATAATTTCGCTTTGAACGTCGATATTTTAGGAGGATATCATTTAATCGATCGTTCATCCAAACATCTTGCGGTCTACACTTTTGTTCTTGGATTAATCTTACTGTTCATATTGTGGCAAGAACAATCAAGTGCAAGTGTTAGGAGAGAAAAGGTGCCCAGGGGAAGCCTTTTTTCAAGGGGGTACATTCGACTCGAAAACTGCTTGCCTTCTAGCCCAATCAAGAGAGCCATCCTGTTATTCTTTCTCGCTGAGTTTTTCTTTCTATTATTTGGTATGATTTTTCTCAACGTCATCAACTTTGGTATTAACCATATAAGCGTTTGCAATTCTTATTTGCTTGGCTTATTTGACATTTGTTACGGGGCAATTTTAGCATCATTGCTGTCTTTACAAGACTATATTTGCGTCCTTGTTATAGTTGGCTATGGTACAATATTCTCCTACAAGTTGACCAGAACTTCATCCGATTTTCAAAAAGTCAAACATCTCATATTAAAAATTACAATCCCACTGGCATATCATTTTTTTATAAAGGTGATCCACTCAGTTTATTTTAAAGAACGAGCCGATATAGATGGGCAATCCTATCGTATCTACCTGGATAATATTATCTTATTGGACGTCGTACCTGAAGTATTCGATACCTTTATTTCGCCAACAACGATATTAGTTTTACTGTCAATTCATCTAATAGTTGAAATATGCATTGTAATTGGTTATATCCATTATTCTTTATCCACTTTGAAAACACTTAGAAAGGAATATAAAGAAAACAAGACTGGGGACTCTTCCTACGGTTTTCGTTATATGTGTTTTGCCGTCACATTACTATATTACTATGTTATAAGCATTGTTTTCAACATTATCATAGGAAAGCTAGGTAGCATTTTTTCGAAGACATCTGAGTACAGTTTTGAGGAAGTGATGAGGGATCTTTCTTCTCCGAGAAGTGCATGGTCTTTTCTATGGACACTTTTTAACTTTCATGAATCTATGGTCGCTCTATATTTAATTTGGTCTGGAGAAAAAGATGACACGTTAATTTCAAATCGACTGAGCTGGATAGCTAGACAATCCATAGATTTGAAATAAATCTTAACAAACCAGAACAAGTTGGAACCATAGTTAAATTATCTTTGACATGCTTGATATTTGATTGATTGAATTGAAAGACTTCAATCCGCAAAACATCTTAGACCATTCACTACTGAGAAATACAACCTTTTTTAGTCAGTAGACATCAAATTGACTGAGACTATTAGCTCTTTTCAAATTGCTGCAAGTTTGTAACTGCATTCATGCTGATATTCACAATCACTCATACCGAAGCATTAGTATAAAATAATAATTTTACCCGTAGTTCATTAAAACCTGAATATATATGAAATCTATGAGATCTCTCGTCGTGAGCAGGTATTCATTCGCCCAGCCCGAGTTCCATGATATAGTCTGCGTTGCGTACCTTAAAGAAAGATCAACGTATAAGTTCCAGCGAAATCATCTTCTGATACAAATAAAGGTGTCTGTGAGCAATGAACATGGGGAAAAGAAGCAACAAGGCTCAAGCAATGTATTGGATACCACCAAGGAACCCCGAGTGGGAATTTCGAGTAATCTCTGGAATGATCGTTTTCATTTACATTACTAATCCTTAAAATGAGTTATTTGATATTGGCTCCAGAGATATCAGTAGATATAATGGCTTGCGATCCCCCAGAGCGGATCACTTGTCTATTATAGGAACCTATAAATATATTTAACGTAATAGTGCTCTTGAAGGTTCCAAAATTCATACATAGCACAAAATGAGAATATCAAGATAAACATTTTGAAGATAAGCTAACATTAAGCATGTTTTAAATATGAAGATTAGAAACAAGAATAATGTGCCATGACAAAACTCCTAAAGAGAAAGAGCATATTAACAGTAACTTGAAATTTGTGTTTCCCAAGAAACGAAATAGACGGGCCTGCGATATGTGTAGAAAGCGAAAACATTGTTGTGAAAGGATTGATGGCTTGAATTGCAAACTCTGTTTGAAATTAAACAAAAATTGCACGTATAAAGGAAAGACAAATGATAGAATTTTATATAATAAGCACACTGCTGGAAACCTTCTTGAGGAGAGTACAACTAAAAAGAATGGGTATGACATAGAACAAAGCTTATCAAAATGCTCATCGTTAAGAAAGAGAACAAGTCAAGGCAGCCCATCGCATTATGGTGCTACTTTTGAAGAACACACGCCAGACCATCATTCATGCTCTCATGATTCAAAGGTTCCCAAAATAACAAAAGAGAATTTATCATTAGCTTTGAAGGATGTTTCGGTTGAGCTAATGACCACCTCGCTTATGAATGGCAACACTTTTGCTACCAACGAAGCTTTTTCTCATGTTCATACAGAAGATGAAGTGGTTTCATCTGATAGTTTCAAATCCTTTGACTCGATAGAGGAGAGTAAAAATTATATTACAGACATTACGAGAAGCTATGGAGAAAGGCTCTTAAGATTGTATTTCGTCTATATCAATCCCTTTCTCCCAGTCATATCTAGAAAGCAATTTCACTTTATGATGAAAAATGATGCGCAGGAAATACTGAATCATTTTAGTCCTACATTGCTAGCTGCAATTCTCATAAGATCTTTGGAATACTGGGATAGAGACAATGAACTAGTTCTTCATTCTCGCCCCTCTGCTTCTAAATTGTGTCTGGCATGCTTTAATCTCATTACTTATGACTTCTCACGAGTCTCTGGAGATGAAAATGATAAGATATGTCTTTTGCAAAGCTGCTTATTACATATGCCCTACATTATCTCAACGATTCATTCGTTGGAAGACTTGTCTAGGATTAATGCAGCATCTAAATTATTGAGTATTTCGACTTTTTTGATTAATAGTCTAAACTTAAGTGTCACCAGTTTTAAATCTGACCTAAATATGGGATTCAGAAAGCAGTCTGACTGTATTGTGAGAAACAATTTGTGGTGGTCCTATTACATAGAAGAAAAATGGTTCTCATTACTTACAATTAAGCCAAGTGCTATTAATGAAGGAAATTTCGAGTTCGTGGAGGAATTTTTGCTGTGGCCAAATCTTTCCTACCTAGTCACGAAAACGTTAGATGCCAACGAGGCCGAGTCACAACAGAAGTTGACAAAGTGTGAGGAAATGATTGAAGATATTAATTATATATGTTGGTCCTATTTCTATGAAGTTTTGAAGATTACGATAATTTGTTCCGAGATAAATCAATTTTGGTATTCGATAGCTGATTTTAATGAAGCTAAAAGGTTCGAGGACTTGGAAAAGATATATTGGAAAACTAATGATATCAAAGATAAGGTGGAAAATTGGTGGAGAAATATACCGGCAGTGTTCAAGTCAAGCACCGAAAAGCATACTTCTTTTGTAAACGCAAACGCAAATTTGAGACTATTTCATGCTATTGCAAGGATTTGTATCTTCAAAATTTTGGTCAAAAAATTTACCTTGTATTCTTCTTTTTTGGAATCAAACGACTTTGGAGACTTAGCAATTAACATGTCGGATGACTTTCGAAAGCTATTTTTGCAAATCAAATTAGAAATACTAAATTTCTATGTTGATTATGTAGAAGCCATAAAAAAAATGAAAGTCAATGATTTGAGTGGATTTTGGTATCCTTTTGCAAATTATCAGTTTTCATTTATTCTGATATTTCTGAGTTTATTAATTATTACCTTCCAGAACGATAGATTAGCAAACGATTCTCCTGAGAACATAGTGCTTTTTGAGAGGTTGAACGGTGCGATACTTGATTATAAAAGCGTACTAGAAAATCGATCGGAGAAGTGGAAGATAATGAGACTTCCCATAGTCTTACTCAAGAACCTTTTGAATTTAGAGTTGAAGAATGGAGATAAATTTATTGAATACTATAGATACTCGGGTATTATTTCGGGGCATGCAGTTGGACATTTATTCTATCCTCATATAGAAAGACGTATTATCGATGATCATGAGAACAAAAACCTCAACTCAACTTTGAAGAGGGCAGCACACCTATCCTTAGATAACGAAAATATCCTTCATGATATTAGCCATACTGCGAATAATCTTTTAAATGATTTACTGTGTACATGAAATGTCCAGTTTACTTGATGTTTTCATGCTGGGATTTTATGCTCAGGTAAAGCTCATCGTTACTCAAAATCTTGTAAGCTGTTAGGGCTAAGATTTTTGCTGATAATAAAGTAGGCGGCATTGATTTTTCTAATATCCCTGCTGATTGAGCAAAGAGAGCCGAATGTTGTGGGCATTTTGCTATCGTTGGCATGGTATATGTCATATGAATTACTGGTACCTCGTAGGATACAGTCCCGACGTCAGATGAAGCAACAATATCTGAAATAACCTCGTCGGGCTTTAAAAGTTCTATGTCGTCGCTACAGAATACTTTGCTTGATTCATAGCAAGCTTCATCAAGAGAAGGAACGTGCACTAGATCAGCATAGGTGAAAACATCATTCATTTGAGAAGAGCAACCTGTTGCCATTGCACCGGCATTACAACAGCTTTCAACCCTTTTCTTCAATTCAAACAATTCCGCCTTGGTCTTTGACCGGCACTGAAATACAACTTTAGCTTTATGTGGAATCACGTTTGCAACTTTGGGTCCATCTTTGAAATAGCCATGAATTCTTTCATATGGTTTTATTTGCTGTCTGAGCATTGATACATTGACCCAGGATCCTACGCATGCATCCAATGCATTAACTCCATTCCATGGAAAGGCCGAAGCATGTGCTGCAGCTCCCGTGAATTCAGTTTCGAATAAAGAACAGGCTAGGAAATCAGTAGCTACTTGAATCACTTTTTTATTATTTTCGCGTACTAATGGATGTGCCATGAGTGATGCAGCGACATTGTTATATGCTCCAGCATTAACCAAGAAGCATTTTCCTCCTAAGCTTTCTTCAGCGGGTGTTCCTAAAAGTTGAACTGATCCGGGCAAATTGTATTTCTTTAAAGTCTCGACCAAACCTAGAAAGGCTGCACATGAACATGCTGCAATTAAATTATGCCCACAACCGTGTCCAATGTCAGGTAAAGCATCCAACTCGGCATTAAAATTCACCAACCTACCTCCATTTTCATAAAGTACTTCAAAGGCAGTATCAACTCCATACGCATGTTTCGTGACTTTGAACTCTCCTAGCGACTCGAAATAGTTTGATATATAATCATGTGCGTAGTGTTCTTCAAACGCAACTTCTGGGTTTTTATGAAGTTCTTCCGCTATTTTGTAGGTATCCCTTGCAAACGCTTTGATAAAGTTATCAAGAGAAATAGTGATATCCTCTTCAGTAGCCATGGTAATCTGGCTTCATGATATTCTATTAAAACTGAAGAACGGTAAGTTTAAATAATGATCGCAGCATCATTCCCAATTAGGTCATTCCGTTATCTTGACGGTATGGCCCAATTGGGTAATATCGTTAAGTTTTGATAGTGCATATCATCAGACGGAAAGTGCGGCTTATTTTGATATCGGAAATCTTGATCTTTAATCTACACTTTGCAGTTAAACATTTGCCAAAAGGATGCAGTTATCGACGATATCGAATTTCACTGGTCTTTTGTGGTGTTTTCGGGCACTCTGACTCTGTTGCAAATAATGCTAAGCTGACTCTGTTATCAGCATTAGGCTTCGTGGTGATATCTTATCTATGAGAAATGACTATTTAAATGTACAACAATGCTGACGCTCTTCTGATATAGATATAACTGAAATTTTAATCAGAGATGAGCTATCCAAAAGATTCAACCAAATATCCGGACGCACTGTGTATGACAACATACTTAGATGGAGAAAATGATGGAAATATCTTACATTCTGTTATATCACCTTCAGGAAAGGAGATTAACATTGGCAATGACGTTGACATTGCTATGAAACTAGCAATGGAGTCAGATAGTACTGAGCTCGATTCCACAGCTAATAGAAGGATACGTTTGAAAGCAGATTTATTCATCCTTCCTCTTGTTTGTATGATATACGCAGTGCAAATGATGGACAAGATTACTAATGGTTCCGCTGTGGTAATGGGTCTTGAGGAAGATTTGAAAATGAAAGGTGATATGTACTCATGGACAGGTTCTGGATTTTACCTTGGTTACCTTTTTTTCGAATTTCCAGCCTCTTATATTGTTCAGAGATACTCTCTTTCAAAATGTGGTGCAATTTTTATATTCCTATGGGGAACGGTTCTATGTCTCTGTTCAACGCCAAATTATGCTGGCTTCCAATTCTTAAGAGTTGTTCTAGGGATGCTTGAGTCAGCTATTACTCCCATATTCGTGATAATTACTTCTCAATGGTACAAGAAAGAAGAACAATATATACGCTCAGCTATTTGGTTCTCGTCGTGCGGTATCGGAGTTACCTTAGGTAGTTCGATCGCACTTGGCTGCTTTATACATCAAGGCTCTTTTTCAATTGCAGGCTGGAAAGTACTATTCATAATAACTGGCTTGTTAACCGTGGTACTTGCTGTATTCTTCTACTTTTGGATTCCGGATTCGCCTGCAACTGCTTGGTTTCTAAATCCAGAAGAAAGAATTCAAGCTGCACAGCGGATTAAATCTAATCAACAAGGATTTGGCAATAAGCACTTCAAGTGGTCCCAGTTCAAAGAAGCATGGACTGACTATAGGACCTACATCTATTTTTTCTTTGGTGTCGCCATATGTGTTCCTAACGGTGGACTTACAACATTCGGAAATATCGTCCTAGTTTCCATACTTGGCTATGGTGTCGAAGATTCATTACGATTTTCGATATATCAGGGGTTAATTGAATTTTTTGGGTGCTTGATAATTGTCTCGACAGTTCGCTACATTAAACATAGAATGGTAATATGTATTTTTGGTTGCAGTTTGAATTTGGCACTTTCATGCATGTTGGCGTTTTCTACCAACCCTCACGTAAGGCTTGGAGGATTCATGTGTTTAGGAATGTCAGTCATCGGTATCTTCACTATGCTCTCTTGTTTCTCTTCGAACGTGGCAGGGCATACGAAAAAGATAACTGTGAATGCAGCTTTCTTGGTAGCATACGGCGCTGGGAATATCATTGGGCCACAAACATTCATTTCTAATCAAGCTCCCCAGTACGTTGGAGGACAAATTGGAATGGTAGTTGGTTATTCAGTTAGTCTTGTGCTCGCCATTACACTTTATGCATCATACTACTATGATAATAAAAGAAGAGATAAATTAGTAGCGGAGGGTAAAATAGAAGCGGTTAAAAATAAGAGTAACATAGCTTTTGCTGACTTAACAGACAAGGAAAACCCCTATTTTAGGTATTCCCTTTGATCATGCTCTGTATTGATATGTTTTTCAGTCGATTTGTAACTGAGTGACCTCTTTATTCAAGAAATATTTGATGATGGCGTAATTTGCTTTCATTAATCATTTGCCGCAAAAATTTACATTCAATTGTTTAAGGGCATGATATCAATGTAACGGGCGAGATCGATTCTTATATAAAAAGTCATGATGCACGAGTATAGATTCTATTTTATCGTTGATAACTCCTCTTCGGTAAAATATGTGCCTCTTTTTTTTCTATTACAAGCAAGAATTTTACTCCATTGCTTTCTCGAACGAGATTCTACCTACCGTATCCTTGGTATACTGAAATCACAAATGAGAAGTTCAAAGTAAGGCCCTCGTCATAGTAACCAGAAAAGCAGAGTTGCAGATTTTGCTGTTGATTCGCACAAGCACAGATAGGCTCATGAGCATCTCTTAATCTATCCTGGTGTGAAAAAAATAATATAAGATGTGGTAAGATGCCGCAAATGTCCCAGGTTGTTTTTGCATGCTTTTGTTTAAGGCCCATTCCGCTAGGCAGGACTCACCCAAGCACATCATTAATAATTTGATTCGCTAGATTATATATTCAGTGATATAACGTTCCTTTCGCCTCCCTCATCAGAAATAAGCTCTTGACCAAGATTCGTTCTAGCATATGAAGCGTTTAACGGGTTCTTGTATATAATTCAAAATGGATGCAGCTGATATGCGGCTTTTGCATTTCGTAACTGCAGTCTTGATCTCAATCTCTTTGGTTCTCTTGAGATATGTCTTGCAACTTCAAAACCAAGACAAAAAACAAAAGTCTGTCATCAACGTTTCCAGTCACTTTTTTGGGGGCCACTATTGATAGCCACAACTGACTCTGTTGTCTTGAGGTCTTGTTAGTTGATTGAATGCCTTCAGTATTTCGATACCATTAGGAAGTATTCATAACTTGTATCATTTTCATTAACAGGTCAGCTGCTGAGAGAATGAACATGAGCAAGTGAAGCAAGAAAGCTCATCAATGTATTGAATATCACCAATGAATCCCAACTGGGTGTTTCAAGTTAGCAACTCTGGCGTGATACCTTCTCAATTCCATTATTAACCCTTAAAATGGCGCTAACTAATATTGACTCTGGAAATAGCAGTAGCTATAAGTGGTTTTCATATGGACAATAGAAATATTTAACATAGTGGTGGTCTTGAAGGCCCCAAAATTTATACATACAAAATGGAATTATCAAAATGGACAAAATTTGATTTCTATAGACAGTAATAACGATCACGAAATTATTAAATAAGTGATTTTGGACCTATAAACAGTTGATTTATAATAAGTGCTTACAGTCAAACACAATATTGAGTAATTTCTATAAGTGCTTTCATGTCAACCCTCGTATTATTTAATCAAAAAAACTGGTCTGGGTTCAGAAATTGGTTTCTCCCATTCGGCAGCAATATCTGAAAGTGGAATTGCTTTGAATGGTATGCCTTTACCTACAGTACCTTCAGCTAAGATTTTAGCACACTCTTCACCAGCTTTAAGTAAAGCGATAGGCGGCTGGGGACCAAGACCACTACCTAAAATTTCCAAATTAACACTTCTAAGATAGCTGGCTGGAATATCTATTTCAGAACCACTTGCTTGCCCGATCTGTACCCAAGTCAATTTATTGTACGAAACCTTCTTGGAGCTGACCATAGCATTCAAGATTTTAGTGGCTGGCGTTCCCCACAAGAAATCCAACACAATATCAACTTCACTTAATAATCCACCTGATTTAAGTTCCTCGTCAGACTTGTCAAGTCCTATCACCTCGTCCAAAAGTGGCTCTTTTTCCTTAAGAGCGTCGACTTTTTCTTGTGTACGACCGATTCCAATCACCTTCTTTACTCCATAGACGTTCTTGCTTATTTGCACAGCAAGTCTTCCGGAGAGCCCAGTGACTCCTAAAATAGCAACGGTTGCATTCTGAGGAACTTCCTTAATTCTATTCTGAAAAGCAAGAATGGAAGCCACTGCACCATTGGCCAATGCCGCGACCTTCACACCAGTCTCTTCGTCAGTACCAGCAGGCAACGGAAAGATGTTGTTTTGCGGGATACTGACGGTCTCAGCATATGCTCCACCGGCAAAGTTAAAAAAGTAAACCAATCTGCCACTTTCTCTCTCTTTCCCAACGCCATCAAATCCAACAATGGCCTCTTTTCCATCACTACTATAATGAGCTCCTCTAGCTCTACCTTTCACTAAGTTGGAGTAACCAGCAGCAATGACATCAATAAGCACATGACCATCTTTGACAGCAGGAATTGTTGTTTCCCTTATTATGGGAATAATTTGGCTACTAGATGAAAAAGCAGCTTTAATCGACATGATTGAGATTCAGAAGACCTCACTATTTGATACGGTCAATGCTTGCACAATTTATACCCTTTAAATCAGACAACGAGGGACGTACTTTCGCCACCGATTACTAATAACCACAGCAGTGAATTGTAAAAATATTTGAACTTGGTCCCTATTATCACCAATGGTAAATAAATGTTCATGATATACGGTGTGTACTGTATCTTATGCTCCGTAAGGGCCTTAAATCCGTATCTCCGTATGCAGCTGTACCTCTTTTCATATCGTTATTGCCATATGAGGATGGGTGCAATTTGCCACTTAAAAGATAATAATCTGTTCACATGTGGTCAAACATCGTAAAAACACATAGGGTTGAAGTTTATTAAAGCATCGGGAACATACCCCTTGAATTACACAAGTTCTCATGAAAAACTTGAAGATGTGCTTCCCTCTTGTACCTTCAAAATTTTTTTAAGTTGAAGCTTACTATTTTCAAGAGGCAAAGTAAGACTTAGAGCCTCACAAAAAAGTCTTCAATTCGTCACATAATGTTTAAACGCCGAGCAATCGATCTCTGTGCGTACGGCTTATTAAATTTGCCTTCAATATAGCTTGATTATTTAGATAAATATCAGGCCCTGTTCAGCAGGCAGGACGAACCTTTTCGGACAAGTCTGCGGCGAACTGATGAAATACATCACTAGCGATCTCCGAAGGTGAGCTCGCCCGAAATATGGCAGAAATCTACTAGAGAGGCATCATTGACTAATCGCTTCCCCATATACGGCAAGTTAATTCTGCTCATACTGTTAAAAGTGGATGTCAAGATCAATCACAGATGACTTAGCCGTGCTTCCCTAAATTATATGGGTCGAGAAGAAGAGGATCCGCTCGCAAATGAGTCGTCGTGCATCTCTATGTTCTGCGAAGTATATTAAACTGCTATAAGCTGCGCCTTCTCAACACTTGACATAGGTCATTAGATACAATCAAAAGAATTACATAATGTCAAACCAATCGAAATTTTTTTTAATCATGTTTCAGATTGAAGGAGTCATATGCCCATGTTCATAAAACTGTGCGTTCAAGAGGCTCAGGGTCCAAACACAGTTCCCATACATGGAACATTTAACGACCATGATGGCGTAAGAGAGTTTCTATCAATTTTGTCAGACTCGTTAGATACAGAAGGTTTGAATTCAAGAAATGGGCAGCACAATCGGAAGATTACGTATTTGCATACGGATACATGCAAGACCGGGTTAAAAAAAACGAATAGAATTTTCAAATCAGGAATTTCTTTAGTTTGCAAAACGGAAGAAATCTTCTTGTCTAATTCAAAATGTTTGAAGATACAGCTGCTCTTCAACCGCTTACGTCAATTGATTCTCAAATTAAAACCTGAAACTGTGATCTCGATTATGTGAATGTCGCTGCAGTGACATATACGCCTTCATAGTTCTATAGATGACAAGCTGTTGAACTTGTGTGCGTCGCATAAGTTACTAAGGAATTAAAAGCGCTGAGGGTATAAATACCTGGTTGAGTGTTTGATATTTTACAAAGTCCCTGTGCCTTTCAAAATCATATGATTGCTCTTTTTATAGTTTAGTAAGGAGTAAAGGACGACATATCACTCTCTAAATCAACTGACTTAGATAGCTATAATGTCCATAGACTGAAATATACAATTTGAATGAGTGAAAAAAAAATTAAATGTGGGACGCTTATAATATCACCTTCATAGTCCTATCAGCTTGATAGTATCTCATAAGTATTGATTAAAAAGACAGTTTGAATGAAAAATCCAAACTCTAAAACACATCTCTTATATCATAGTTACTAGGTATTCGGTGGGTTTACTTTAATGTTACCGAGCTCGAAATCCTACTTACTATAATTGATCGATCAAGTTCAAATAATTCCTTCGCAATCTCATTTAGTTAAGCAATTGAGCATTCAGTGTGTCCTAGTTGCAAAATATGGGTCGCATTTTATCGTTACTTCTTTTCATTTTATTGTGTTCCTGTATATATTTTGCAGTGGATGCTCCTATTATATTTCATACCTGTAATCTTGATTTCGACTCTTAAGGTGAGTTTTGCAACTTCAAAAATAAGACAAAGAAAAGCCTGTTATTGAAGTTCCAGACAATTTCTTGATTTTACAATATTGATATCTAAAATTGACTTTGTTGCTTTGAGGCTCACGCTTAATAAGATTTTATTGAAATAAATGAAAACCGTTCTGCTCAAATTAGGTGTTTATAGCCGCCACTTCTTTTGCGCTAGTAAAATCAATTTAGCAAGAATACACCAAAACAGCTCATTGTATTCCTCTTACATTTTTGGACAAATGGATCACCTTTTCAAAATGCAAGCCTGTAAATCTGTTATATTTTCTTATTTGATGACCTACATTCTTATAACACTCTCTTTTCCTTAAGTCTGTATTTTCTCGCCAATTTCAATTGACATTTACTACTAAAAAAAAGGCTCTCTCCAGTACATTCCCAAGAGGCAATCACAAGATTTAAGCTGGGACTATGTTTTGCGGAATCTGATCGTTGCAAAGTGCTATTTTAAAATTCTACCAGCTTTGTGTCAAGTCTACAAAAAATTAACTAATTCTACAAAAGTACTAAAAACATACATGTAATATATTTTAGAAAGCGATTATATTTTCATATCTAAGAGTATAAGCAAAATGACTTTCCAAAGCAATCACGAGACTTACTTTAGTATTCCTCAAGGCATCGAGGGTCCTGAAGAACTATCCGATTGGTATACCGATCAAGGTGTGGATTTAGCGAATCTTTACTATCTCAAAATGAAAACACAAGGCACTGCTTTTCAAGCGGATACAGCACAAGTCTTTTTTGAACACGTAAAAAGCGGAAACTACGAAAGGAAGTTCGGACCATCTCCTGAACTCAGAAAGGTGATCATATCAAGTGCTAGGAATGAAAATAATTTAGAGGGTGTTAATGATCGTCTTTTGGTAAATCCGGATGGTACTTATCGAGAAGGAACGGTGGATCTAGGCGACAATAGATTGAATTTAATGATGTCTTTCATTAATGAGAAGTTTGAAGGAATTAATGAGAAGTTTGAAGGAATTAATCGGAGATTTGACGTTATTGATCGGAAAATTGAGAGAATAGAGAAACAGCTAAGGAGTACAAGTTCAAGATTTGATAATAAATTTAAGGCCCAAGGAGGTAGGCCAGGGTCAGCTGATGCATATGAACAAATAGCCAATAGAGTAGGATTGTATCCGAGTGACGAAAATTTGGATGATCTTACGTCCCTCGCTCAAGTTGATCGATTAAGAGGGAGACAATTGAAGAGGTTTTTAGAATTTTATGGACTATCTACGGAGGGGAGAGAACGACAGAAGAGAGATAGGCTCTTGCAATATATTGGTGTTAATATGGAACGAAATACAACAATTAACATGGATCAAGAGAGGGGTGCAAAAATTTAGCCTCCTAGTTGAGCCTAACTCCAACTTTCTGCCAATGTTTTTGCTTTAGATCAGATTCATCTTGGCCTAGTTATTTTTAACCACCAAGTTTAAACGATTAATGCGTTAGAATCCCAAATTACGGATTGGGTAAAGAGACTTATCATTTTAACAACACATCTAAATGAAGTGCATCACGAGAAAGCCATAGGCTTAAAAGAAGGTTGAGATTAATTCTGAACCCAGGATAACAATGAACACTTCTCCCTTGATCATCGGTGAGACAGTTCGCTAAATGTATATCTCAGACGTCGCTAACCGTAGAATTATCAAAACTACCATTGCATATTTTATTTTCCCAAGCTACGTATATAGATACTTGATTTAATACTTTGTGGTCTTGAAAGTGATTTATGGATGAACTTTTCGATGTGTCATCTCATTAGAATGCATTTCTATTATCCTCATATTTCACGTTCGCATAGCTGCATAAATAAAGTATTGGAACAGTACCGTGTCGGTCTCTATTGCTAATATTGCTTAAATAAACTCCAACCGTAATTAAATTACCTATAATATTTGTTTTATATTCCTGCATGTAGTTTAGTAAGATCACCTGCAGGTGCCCCTGATCTATTCATAAGCTTCTTGTAATTCGACAGCGAGATTCTTCTCTATCTTTATCATGTATTCTTTCTGGTTCCAAAAGTGCGCATGTGAAATGGAAAATAACCGCCTCCTTAAGTCTCCTGATCCTTTTGTAAATTTAGAATTGAAATTTAGAATATTGAAATTTAGAATTGAGCTTACTAACTTTCCAATAAGCCTTTCTTCGTCTAAACTCTAGCTAGACTTCTATCCCTAATTCTTATTGGCCAGAATGTCTAGAAAACAATACATGTGCAACGATAAACCTTACATGTTTTTTAATTCCGTCCAATGAAAGACTCGCTTTAAGCTTAAACTATACGTTACAATCCTGCATCTTATTTATGAAAAATAATATCATTAAAGCCCTTAGTAAATCATATCTATTTCTTAAAAGTTTTGCACTGCAAGGCTCAGCCAGTATCTTTCTGTTCAAATCTATAAGGCATATTGAGTCTACATTTGGCTGAAGATAAGTTAGGTACGCTAACTCAACCTTTAAACAGCACGGCTACGTGGCCGCAAATTACTATCGGATATATGTCTAAATTGGTAAATATGACTCAGCTGGCCGCGATATGCAAGTAAGACACGTCGTTACATTATACGGCTAATTGATCAGTGCTACAGACTATTGTTCTTTTTCGATAAAACGGGCTCGGCCAAAGTCTTTAAAAAGTAACTACCTTTGATCTTGAAACGGCTATGCTATGAGAAGTACAACGGAAGCATTTTTAGGTGCGGCCTTAGAGCTTAGGAGGAGTCAGCAGCACTAGACAGTATTCCAAAAATGGACAGCTGTTCCGTAGAACGAAACATGATTGGTGGAAAAAAAAACGAATGTAAAAAATGACTCTACATTTGCAAGTGACTAGAAATGATTCATATTGATAAAGTTTGGAAAAGAGGAGTTAATCTCAAGAGGCCTTGAACTATAAATTCAAGTATCTTAGAGCGAAATGTGTCGATTCTTTAGTTTGAAAATACTTACAATATTTTAGTTAAGCTTATTACAATGCAATTGACTGGATTTAAAGTTGTGCTTTTGCACATGCTCGCTGCTACTTCCAATTCTATGTTTATACCTGACCAGCAACAGCTTGTTGGGGCCGAAGATACAATTGAACTGCGAAATCTCACTACCGTGACACATCCTGGAATAACGTCTAGGCCAGAGGAAAAGTTGATCCATGAAACACATATGCCGATAAATAGGTTAACACATACCCTAAGCTATACTAGTTCAACTACCTCCGCATCTTCGATAGCTTCGTCGCTGTCAAAGAGCAAGGGGGTGGCAATGCGCTACGAAATAAGTACAGCTCTAACTGCTTTCGGAGTGGCGATGTGGATCCTTTGAGGAATCGTACGTACCGTATGAAGAACGGGCTGCATTTACTTATTTATTGACATATTTATTAAACGTACAAGAGATATTAAAATTTGTTTTAATCGGTATTAATTCTGGGAGGTTTTTTTTTGGACTCAATTTTACATAGCTAGTTCTGTCAGAAATTCATTTTACATCTTTTTATTTAAAATGCCTCCAAATAAATTTTCAAAAAATTGCTTTCATCTACCCGAGTACTTCTTTCTTGATTGACTTATTCTTGTAAAACTTCAGACAATGCTTTATTTTTCAGATGAAAGCTTTTAGTTTTCAGACTTCAAAAAAATATTGCAGCTTTCCAAAACCAACTTGAGTGCGACATTTTATGTCGTTCGTTGAAATGTCGTTAGAGCGTGACTAATTAATCTTTTTATTCTTCATTAAATTTTCTTTTTCGTCGTAGGAGAAATCAATTGGATAGACTTCAAGTGAGGAAAGCAAGCTAATCTTTGGACAACATGATTTCAAAATCATTACGTTTTCTTGCAAACCCAAGTGCAAATAGACAGTCTATCAGAACAAAGATTTCCTCAAGCTCAACGTCTGCGTTAGCGTATAAGTCATTGCATCGTAACCAAAAGAGACCACCTTTGCCTACATTTGACACACCTCACTGGTCGGCAGATGCAGCTGTGTCTTCTATATTGTACGAGACTCCAATGCAGTCCAAAGCACCTAGAAAACAACATGTATTGAACTGTTTGGTTCAAAATGAACCTGGTGTGTTAAGTTCTATTTCGGGAACATTAGCAGCTAGAGGATTTAATATTGATTCTTTAGTTGTTTGCAGTACTGAAGTTAAGGATTTATCAAGAATGACTATAGTGTTGGCTGGTCAAGATGCTGTCATTGAGCAAGCTAGAAGACAAATTGAAGATATGGTTCCGGTGTATGCTGTTTTAGACTATACTAATGCAGAAATCATTAAGAGAGAGTTATTGTTGGCTAGAGTATCAATCTTGGGTCCAGAATACTTTCAAGAGTTGATCGCATCTCACAAGCTTCACACTGGAAGTGGTGCTTCCATACCAGATTTGGAAGCTCCTGAATCCGAGTTCCATCCAAATAACTTGGCTCCATCAGAAGCTTTGAGACAGAAACACAAGCACTTTGAGCATATATCTGCTATAACCGAAAAATTCGGTGGTAAGATTGTGGATATTTCAGACAGAAACGTTATTGTGGAATTAAGTGCCAAACCATCCAGAGTATCATCCTTCATTCACTTGATGCATCCTTTTGGTATTTTAGAGATAGCTAGGTCTGGTATGATGGCATTGCCTAGAACACCTTTGGATGCCTTCACAGAGGAAGATGAGCCTGTAGATGCTACTGAGATCGTTGATGCTTCGCAATTACCTCCAGGTTAGTACTTTTGTAGGGTTAATATATGTTATTTAAATGAATCACCAAATGATGTAATCTAATTCTTCACGCACACATATGTTAATAAAGGGTATGAAAGGCTGAAATTCGTAGTTCCCACGGCTATCGGAGAGATTTAAGCGAATGAAATGAGACAATCAACTTACATATTGTTCAAAGCAGCTTCAAAACAACTGGCTATTGCAAGAAAGTGAATGCATCTTTTAATGAATAATATCTACAGAAGTAATATATGCTTCAAAATAACTTTGTCCGCTACTATCTCCAAGCTGTGCGGAAGCCGTCCTTTCACTTCGAATGAAATTGGGAAACAAGGGTCCTAGGGTAGTTCGCCGAAGTCGCAATTGAGGACGGCTGCGTTAAATACATGATTTTTTAGATAAAAAAAAGAGCAAGATGAATTCTTTAGCCAAGTGAGAAAGAAAAAGCGATGAAAGAGGAAGACATAACTAACTTCGCATTGAGAAATAGTGATTATGAGATAAAGGAACAGGATAGGTTCTTACCAATTGCAAATGGTACGTAAATATGCTTTTTATCAGATATTAATCGTGTGATTCTCGGACAGCGATACTAACTGCAAACAGTTGCAAGAGTCATGAAAAAGGCATTGCCTGAGCACGCAAAGCTTTCGAAGGAGTCCAAGGAGTGTGTTCAAGAATGCGTTTCAGAGTTTATTTCATTCATCTCCAGCCAGGCTGCTGATAGATGTAACATTGAAAAGAGAAAGACCATTAACGGTGAGGACATATTGTGGGCCATGTATACATTGGGATTTGAGACCTATGCGGAGACTTTAAAGATATACTTGGTGAAGTATAGACAAGTAAGTATGATGTGACCAAATACAAGAATTAAATACTCACAAATAGCAGTATGAGCAAATCGAAGCAAATCGAAAACCACAAAGAAGGAAAACTATGCTGACAGAAAGTAATACCATGGCTGAACTTTATGGTAGTGGATCAGAAGAAATCTCTCCTGGAAATACATCGAGAGCTTCGTCATCTGCAGATCCAACGTTCGAGCGTTTCGATTATGACCTTGGAGGAGAGAATATTCAGGGCAATAGCCCACTCAATTACCTTGAAATGCCCCTGGTAAAGAACATAGACAGTTATATTACATCATCCCCCAATGAGCCTAATTCTGACAAATCATAGCTGTTGTTTTAAGGCTAAGATGACCAATTTGTGCTCATTGCACTTTGTATAGTTTGATAGATCGACAAAAAAAATATGTGGGGAAAAATTGTACTGATAGAAGACCAGCGTCACTTTCTGTTGTATCAAGATTGGATCTTCGTCTTGGATCAATTGTAGTCGACACTAAAACAAATCCTTAAAACAACTTTTTGCAATTCAAATTGTACAACCATATCTACTAATAACGTCAAAGACATTTAGTCTTCACGGTTACAACTCATCACGGCTCTTAAGTAGTTTCATATCATTTTTCAAAGAATCCCATAACCTAGGCCACCTTGAGATCGACTTTTCAAGTGTTGTTTCAGATTCGATGTCGCTATTGAAATTTGGTCGAGGTGCACTAAATCTATATATAGGCCCAGAAGGGATTTTCTGAACGCATTTGGTGATGGGATCAAGATTTCATAGATGCCATGGCTTCCAACATGATTAGGTCGTTCAGAAGGAACAAGAGACAGTCAAGCTCTTCTGATAGTACCAAGCATTCAATATCTAGAATTGGATCTGTTAAATCGGGCCACAGTCAGGAGATCGGTGGTCTTTTACAATCGCCCAAGAAAGTGATCAAAGCTTTGTATGACTATCGACCTCAAGGACCAGGAGAGTTGAAGTTTGAGAAGGGTGACTTCTTTCATGTTCTTAATGAAGCAGATGATGTGATGGATGAGTCTACAGGGTGGTATGAGGCGACAAATCCCATGACCAATGCGAAGGGAATGGTACCTGTGAGTTACTTTGAGGTGTTTAACAGATCAAGGCCAACTTTTAATGGAGACCTGATATCTCCGACACAGGGGCAGCGCAACTCCAATCAGACATTATACGCTGTGACATTGTATGAATTTAAGGCGGAGAGAGACGATGAATTAGATGTTACGCCAGGAGAGAACCTAATTATCTGCGCCCACCATGACTTTGAGTGGTTCATTGCGAAGCCAATAACACGATTGGGTGGGCCTGGATTAGTACCTGTCTCTTATGTCAAGGTCATAGACATGTTGAATCCGACCTCTTCTCAAAATTTCGACGATGACGTGGTGAAACTTGTCAATTATTTCAAAATTCCCACTGTCGAACAGTGGAAGGACAGAACAGCAAAATATCAAGCTTCTACTATACCATTAGGGAGCATATCCAATAGCCAAGCTCCCCCAGCTAATTCTTCTACAGCTCAGTTTTTTGAGAAAAACCCTATGCCCTCTAATAGATCGTCCTTGTCTTCAAACAACATGTCGATCTTGGAGGCTGGAGTGGAGTCTTATCAGCTAGATAATGGAAGATACCAATATTTAGTTGTTGCAAAGCTTTCGAATGGCAAAAGGCGCTATTTGTATCGGTATTATCAAGATTTTTATGATTTGCAAGTCAGATTGTTGGAAATGTTTCCATACGAGGCAGGTAAAATCGAAAATTCTAAGAGAATTATTCCATCTATCCCAGGTCCGTTAATTAATGTAAATGATAGCATTTCAAAGCTAAGAAGAGAGAAATTGGATTTCTATTTACGTAACTTAATCTCATTGCCTAGTCATATATCGAGGTCTCAAGAGGTTTTATCACTCTTTGAGTTATACAACAATGGATTTGACAAGGAAGACTCTGATAGTGTAAGAGAGAGGAACCTGAAGAGATACAGTCAGAAACCTTATACTGATGACTATAACCGCACCCAATCCAGTATTTCTTCTGACTCTGTTCTCGTGCGCTCTAGGTCTCCATCGGCTGCTAATATTCTTAATAACTCCATGTCTGCATTAACTGAACACAATTCTGGAGGATCGGCCACGGCGGTGACGACGAACCATGAAAAGCATTCGAAAGTGAAAGTTAAATTTTACTATGAAGACGATATCTTTGTCTTGTTATTACCAACTAACTTAAAGCTACAAGACTTGAAGTTGAAGTTATATGAAAGATTAGGCCTTAATGAGATAGCTTCGAATGTCAAGGCGCAAGAAATTCAATTGTTTCCTAAAAACGAATATGACGATTATGTCGATGAACACCTGATAGTCAACGATGACTTCAGCTCTCTACAGAAGCTGCAAATCCAACAATATGAAATTGATTCAGATGAGAAGTTTCATGGGAGCCTATATGATAAATGTAAGATAGCTATACTAGTTTAAGTTGAAAAGTCAGTCAAACTCATCAAGTTTTGACGTATTTTTTTCTTCTTTTTTTTTGTTTGAATGATATAAAAGAATCTGGGTAATATAGCACGTTCAACGCTACTTTGGCATCACATCTCTTGCTTTATAATGGTTATAGTAAAGGTGTAAATTAAATAAATATTAAATTACGGAACTTCCTGAATTGTACGCGACCAAATTAGGAACTCATTTAGATAATCTTTTTTTTTATGTTTTTGCTTGTTTTCAGTGTTTATTCTTTTCTTTAAAGTCGATAAGTATCCAGCCTTAAAAGAAGGACGGCATAAGCTTTCATTCCCTTTTATTTGCTATCGCAGTCTTACATGGGAAATGGCATCAGCTTTTTCGAAGCTAGTTACGTGGCTTCGAGGTAAATCTAAAGAAGATGGACCATCAGGCGGTGATCAACTGAAAGACGACATCAAAACAAATAATTTCAAAACAGATACTCCCATTAAAGTGGAATCTAGGGAAACGAGGAGTCCTTCTGTTTTACAATTGACAGGATATGAGGAGTTGGAACGAGAGTTAAACGCCACACCTAGTATTCTGATCTCTACTCCTGGAAGTCACCAAGCATTTACGCGGTTAAAAGAGCTTGTGGCTAAAGGGGCCAAGGAAGAAAAAGATGAGCAGTTGGCTGAAACTAAGCAAGAGCCGAAACATGAGAATGGAAATTCTGATTTCAAAGTGTCGTTGTTTGAACATTTGTCAAAAGTCAATAATTCTGGCAAGAAGATTTGCAGGCCCGAAGATGATGAAAAGAAAACAGCTAATAATGAGCAAGACTTTAGGGAATCTCCCTTATCAATTTCAGCGCGAGCCCCAGAAAGGGTGGAAAAGCTTCCTACTTCAGTCCAAAGAGGCAGTCGTATCGAACGGGATGGAAAAAAACCACCGAGGAAGAAATCAAATAGAGTCCACACGACAAAAAATACTATCCGAATGTGGCCATCGTCAGATGAAGAAGATAACAGTGTTCCTGATGAAGAACCTATGAGACTGGATAGCACCCCTCAGGTGAATTTCACGTCTCTCATGAATACTGATACTTCTGAGCATGATATTCCACTCAGAGTTACTCCTCAGATGCTTTCGAGATTTTTGTCCAAGGTGAATAGCTTAGACAACTCTTTTGATGATGGGCTGCAAATAGTCACTACTCCCAGGGAGCAAGCTACTGTGCAAGTAAGAGCTCGCTTCACGTCATCTCCTATTAAGCAAACATCTGAAAAAGCTGAAGCTGAACGGCCGCCAACTGAGCAAGTCTCCACTCAATCAACATCGAATGAGCAATCACCATCTAAGAGAACAATATTTGAGCAATCACCTTCTAAGCGGACACATTCAAATCAAACTGTTCACCGACAAATAACCTTTTCGCAAGCCACTTTAGAAGAGGTGACACCAAAGAAAGCTCGTGGAGGGAAAAGTGCTATTAAAATCGATGGGAGAAGAAATGTGCGTATTGCCCCAAAACCATCTACATCCAATCAAAGGATTCCTAAGGTATACAATCCACATGAAAGTGTTAAGCAGTCTGTAGCCGTGCAGACTTCTGATGAACAGCCTATGACGTTGCCAAGTGTTCCTGGAAAAACCACGGCCACTTCAAGTATTGATAATACGCCTTTCCAAAACCTTTTTACGAGAGTTGCATCTGCTGAAGCCAATAAAAGGAATACTACGCCGTTACAGAGTGTCCAAAAGCAAGTGACGCCCACTCAGGCCAACGAGGGGGATACTACGCCTTTGCAAAGTTTCCCCAGGCAAGCCACACCTACTCAAAGCTCTGACGCTACTCCTTTCGAGAGCATTTTCACTCGCATTGCAGCTCAAGGCAACGGAAAGAACGCTTCCCCTTCTCGAACTGCTACAAATTTTCAAAGTAACCATGGACGTGCTATTTCAACTCAGGATATCTTCAAGGTTACATCTTTGCAAAGTCCTCCTCTTGGAAAGGATAATACTGTGACGGATAACACTGAGCATCCTAGACCTATATCGAGCCAGGAAGTTTACAAGGTTTTGCATCCGCAAATACCCATGCGGAATGATTCTGAAAAAAAAACGTCTAAGAATGCTACCCCGTTGCAAAGAAGTGCTCCCGAACCTACATCTTTGAAAGCTTCCTCTAAGCAGCGAGCTAAACCTAAGCAGAAGAGGTCGAGAAGAGCCACCCCTGCTCAAGCAATGAACCTGCAACATACTACTGAAGGTGACATTAACCAAGTGGTTCCCGCAGAGTCGAGTCCCAGGACTTTAAATACCCCGAGGAACAAAGCTTCTCAACCCCCTCCTGTGGAAGACGTTGTCGGTCAAACTCATAATACATCTACAAAGTCTGCTTCTAAGGATGACTATCCTAAGGAGACTAGGACGACTGAAAGGAGCTCTCTTGCAGTAGCTGCTAGTGGAATGCTTGCGCTTGATCGAGACACATCTCTGCAAGTTGCTTCTCCGCGTGGAAAGGTCTCTCTTGAACAAGACGCTTCTCTTCAAAACGCCCCCCAAGTGACTCCTCAAGCTGCTTTTCAAGTTGCTCCTCCAAATGGAAAAATTTCCCTTGGTCAAGAAGCCTCTCTGCCAGGTGGTACCGGAGCTACTCGTCGAGTCTCTAGTTCTAGAGTTACTCCTCGAGTGTCTACTTCTAGAGTTACTCCTCGGGTGTCTACTTCCAGAGCTGCTTCTCAGGTGTCTACTCCTCAAGCTGCTCCTCGAGTATCTCCTCCACAAGTTGCTCCCCAAGCGTCTACTTCTAGAGCTGCTCCCCAGGTGTCTACTCCTCAAGCTGCTCCTCGAGTATCTCCTCCACAAGTTGCTCCCCAAGCGTCTACTTCTAGAGCTGCTCCCCAGGTGTCTACTCCTCAAGCTGCTCCTCGAGTATCTCCTCCACAAGTTGCTCCCCAAGCGTCTACTTCTAGAGCTGCTCCCCAAGCGTCTACTCCTAGAGCTGCTCCCCAAGCGTCTACTCCTCAAGCTGCTCCTCGAGAGTCTACTTCTAGGGCTACTCCTCGGGTGTCTACTTCTAGAGCTGCTCCTCCAGTGTCTGCTCCTCAGGTGTCTACTCCTCAAGTTGCTCCCCAAGCGTCTACTTCTAGAGCTGCTCCCCAGGTGTCTACTCCTCAAGTTGCTCCCCAGCGTCTACTTCTAGAGCTGCTCCCCAGGTGTCTACTCCTCAAGCTGCTCCCCAGGTGTCTACTCCTCAAGCTGCTCCTCGAGTATCTCCTCCACAAGTTGCTCCCCAAGCGTCTACTCCTCAAGCTGCTCCTCGAGTATCTCCTCCACAAGTTGCTCCCCAAGCGTCTACTTCTAGAGCTGCTCCCCAAGCGTCTACTCCTCAAGCTGCTCCTCGAGAGTCTACTTCTAGGGCTACTCCTCGGGTGTCTACTTCTAGAGCTGCTCCTCCAGTGTCTGCTCCCCAGGTGTCTACTCCTCAAGCTGCTCCTCGGGTGTCTACTCCACAAGTTGCTCCCCAAGCGTCTACTTCTAGAGCTGCTCCTCAGGTGTCTACTCCTCAAGGAGCTCCTCGAGTATCTCCCCCACAAGCTGTTCCGCCAGAGTCAACTTCTGAAGCTGCTTCTCGGGTATCTCCTCCAAAAGATGCCCCTCGAGTATCTCCTCCACGAGCTGCTCCTCAAGTGTCTACTCCCAAACAAAATAAGAAGACATCTCAGAAGAAGGCATCTGAGTCGACTGTCAAGGCACCTCCAAAAAGACGTGGAAGACCCCCGAAGAAACTTGCGATAGGGAAAGCTGCTGTGAAGAAACCGAGTACTGGAAGACCCCGTGGAAGGCCCCTGAAAAAGACTACACTCGATAGGAATGTCTTAGAGAAAGATACAGCTGCAAAGACCGTCGCTGAAAAGACTATCGCCGAAAAGACCGTCGCTGAACACGCGCCTCCGAAAACAATCAGAACAGCTAAAAGATCCACAGAAGCTCTGTCGACTCCTGGGTCTGGCCCAATTGAGCAGCCGGGCATAAGGCATACTCCCAGAAAGCTGGCAGGGAGAATGGCTGCTTTCAGAGCACATGATTTAGAAAACTCTGAAAGGAATAAACAATCCACACAAGGTACTTCGAAACGAAATAGCCCGAAACAAAATGCTACAGCACAGCAAAGCACGCAGGCTCCTATGTCGTCACTAAGAACGTCTCATGTGAATAATGACTCTCTTAGCCAGGTCTCTCAGAAAGGTTTCATTCCAAGACAAAATGCATCAGCCAATACCGACCAAGCATCTAATACTTTACATTCAAACTACAAGCCTCTCTTACCGCGACATATAAGAGCGTCTTTAAAACGTTCTTTGGCCGATCTTTTGAATGACGATGAGCCACCATTCGCTAAGAGACTAGACAATAAACAGAGAGAATAAGCGCATCTTGAGATTCTAGCGAACAATTGACTGTCCAAACATCAAGGAATTTTTAAACTGCTTTAATTTCAAACCATAAGACTACGAATTACTGTGTGAAGTACAATAAAGCAATTTATTGGAATGGGATGTGGCTCCTTTACATTTGAGTCATGAATATTTAATAAGTGCACACTCTATAAGTATATATGTATTCGCAAGTTACATAAAATGGAGAGAAGAAGCCCCCGTATTTATATTCAATTGAGCAATGATTTCACCAAAATACTCATCAACTCATTACTATCATTCTGTTAAAACACTAGCAAACCCTCCAACAGCACCAAATATTGTGAACTTATATCTTGATCACAATTGCGTATTTAGTGCTAAGCTTTTTCTCAAGTTAAAGAGCCAAGTCATCCCAAAGCTTCAAGAGAAGCATCCTAACAAGTTCCAATTTGTTTACGTTAACGTGGTTCAACCATGGCATCCCAATTCCACCTTCTTGAATGAATTTTCATTGGTGGTGGCTAAATTGTTAAGAGAGAAAGCTTCACTGGACTCCAATGTGAAGTTTTGGAACGTTTCCGAGATAATATTTAGCAATAAGGAGCATTTCTTTGACACAGCTAATGTCACGTTGAACCGTAATGAAATATATAATCAAATCTCTGATTTGGTATTTGATAAGATCGATTTACCATTTAGTAAGGAAGACGTATTGAGTGAATTGACTTTCCGTCCACAGAAGGAGATTTCGAAGCAAACCAACAATGGCAATGGTGCCACTGTCGACCTTAAGTATTTCACACGGTACTTGAGAGTTGTGGGAATCCATATAACTCCCACAGTTAGTGTAAATGGAATAGTTAATGATTCAATTTCTAGTGGTAGCGAACCAGATGAGCTTATCAAGATATTCGAGAGTCTGTTGTAGGCCATCACGGCCATTGAGCGTTGATAGCTTCTTTAATTGTTGATATATGTTTCATTTCATTTAACAACCGTGTAGGTCTTTGTAAAGTATAGAGAGTTTTATTGTTGTAGTTATTGAAATACTATGGCGGGCTTGATCATCTCCGATATCTTTGATAGTCTGATTTAAGCTTTCTTTTCAAAAAAAAAAAAAAAAAGCCATGAGTACAACAGAATATAACTTCAAAGAGATAACAGATAACCTAATAGCTGCCTATGCAAAGCATTGTCTCGCTTTGGCACAAAGAGTGTCAATTTCAAAATTAGCGTTGAAAAAATTCAATTCTTTACAAGCAAGAGATAAGCCATTGATTCAGCAAGTGCTAAGTATATCGAATTGTATGGACCGATATAATGATCCTGTTGCATTGGATAAAGTACTTGATACCATAGATCTACCAAAGATATATCTGGCTATCGATAAACGAATGTCTGAGGATAAAAATACTAAATTTGCCTATGAAGATTATCTTGTCATGGAGCTTTTGCATTATTTCAAAAGAGATTTTTTCAAATGGATAACTAAGCCAAAATGCCCCGTGTGTCACGAATCGGGTGACAATATTTCTTCCATTGGCACAGCTGCTCCACCTGCTGTCAATCCTGATGAAATTTCGAGAATAGAGAAGTATAGCTGTTCTAAGTGTGGGACCTCCATTGAGTTCCCACGGTACAATAATGCTTCAAAATTGCTAGATACAAGGTGTGGAAGGTGTGGTGAATGGGTCAATTGCTTCTTATTGATCTTAAAATCACTTTTAGCCACTAACTCTAGAGTAAGATACGTATGGAACCATGAAGATCATGTGTGGTGTGAGTACTACAGTACCAGTCTTAAAAGATGGGTACATTTAGACCCCTGTGAGGATGCATTTGATAACCCAACCTTATACTGTCAGAATTGGGGCAAAAAGATGAGTTTTGTTATAGGAATTGGAGAGGGCTATGTAATAGATTTAAGCGATAAGTATATTACTGTTCCAGGAAAGCAAATAGACAAAAGGACGCTCATATCGAATGCTAGACTAGTCGACACATTTATCACCCTAATCAATTATGAAAAATTGCTCAGGTATTACATCGAATTCATTGACATTCAACCTTCCCCTGGACATCAAAAGCTACTCAATTTGTACTATGACATTATACTTATGAACAATGTCGAGAAATTGCAAATCTCTCAAAGGCATCCTTCGCCTTCAACTAATTCAGATATGCCTAAGGGCCGGCAAACTGGAGGTCCAGAATGGACTAAAAATAGAGGCGAAGACGGTTAATACAGCACACTTCTCTTTTTATAGCTATTGGAGGAATTTCCATGTGTTTGTTTCGTGTGTTTTGTACCATCTGATTATTAGCCCAGGATTCCCTTCGAATGCCTAAATAGTTTCAATCCACACCATGATAACACTGACCACCACCATACTACCACATAAACACTCCAACCACTCAACACATAATAATCAACTGTTTCCAATAAGCTAAATAGCTTCCTGTAGACCCTCTCTGAGCTTAATGATATAGGAAATATCACGTATTGCCATATCCTGAATATACTATTCATTGAAATAAGAAATATGATCCACGAAGCAAACAATATTAAATACCCATAGAAAACACAATTCCTTGAAAAACTGGAATCGGACTCTGTTTCCGTCTCTATTAGGGAGTCATCCCTCTCTATGAGAGGTAAAGGATCATCAAACTCCATTTGATTTCATCCTATCTTTAAGTAGCTGATAGTTTAAATTGATTTTTTATAATGTCATCGCGACATTTTATCTGTCATACTATATACGGTTAGCCAGTCAAACTTTATCTACAAGAACACACGACAATAGCTATATCATATGATCTACATTATTATTAGGATGCTACTCCTGATAAAGTAAGCCTATATCAATTGGTTACTTCAAGGTTATAATACACTACTCGCTCACTACGATCTTATCATCTTGTGCATCGCCAGGAAAGACTGATTTAGATACGATCTATATTTCAATTATATTGCAATAAGTTACATCTCGTGTTGTATAGGAAGACTCAATTGCAAGACTAAGAAATGATTATCAACAGATCCAACTTATACGACTAACATAGAGTCGGCAAGATGTTTAGAAAGATTGCGACATCTCCATGGTAGAGATAAGTGTGTATATAACTGCTTTTAGTATGTTGCACTCAATGGAACGCAATATGAGTAAGAAATAACTTCGGAGGGGGTTTCAAGATTTATAAAACCTAGGAGACCTTGTCTAGTGCTTATATTTCCTGATTAGTGCTCTCAATTTCGTGATTCGCTATCGGTTTTCAAAACAATAGCTTTAAACATGAAAGGTCTAGATGTTTTCTGTCCAGATATCTTGAATCAGTGCTTCGGATATTTGGATACTGAAACACTCCTTAGTATTGTTAAGTGTCAGGATATGTCATACGATATCATAGATGCTGTTTTACCACATTTGAACAATATATGGTTTTCCAACAATGGATGGGGCTTGAAGTACGGCCAATATCACGTATATGACTTTGATGAGTTTTTTGAAATACATCAAAAGATACAAGAGAAAGGAAGGGTAATTCCCCTACGTTTTTCGTACTTTTATGTGTCTTTAGACAGTATGTACATTGCACTTGACCAGATTAACCGGATTTATAACAATCAGCCTGAGTTGGAGTTAAATTTTACTACTCTTAGCCTTGATAGTCAATGTCTCGCAGCATTAATGAATGATTCAATCAGAACAAAAGTCACCCATTTGTCCTTCAAATGTTTCTATTCTGGTACGATCAACTTGGGGAACTTCATCAACTTGAGGCAATTTCGAGGTGAGTCTATCACCGTGGCTATCAATCATGACCATTCTAGCTTGAAGAGGCTCGACTTAGAGATGGGATGCTGTATTTTGGCGTTTCCTGTGGGATTGACCGAGTTATTCATAAAGAAATATACTAGGGTTGCCTTCGATGCCCCTCAGCCTCCACTTTCAAAATTGAGGAAACTTGCCATTGATGGTCATTTGGCCGGCATGAACGGTAGAGAAGTTCGTAAGCTATTCTGTAACAAGTTTTTGGAGCAATTTTCAATTACGGGGTCTCCTCAAAGTAATTATGAAGATTCGTATCCGTCAATGCTGGCATTGAAACACTTGGGATTCAAAGGTAACATCGACGATTCATTGCCTCGCTTACTCGATTCAATTCATGCGGTTGATGGCAATGTGATGGCTGATATATCCATTTTCTCCAATTTGTCCACGCTTGAAATTCATAGTCCCAAAAGTAAGTTGGACTCTTTAATATTACCTCGAAGTTTACGCAAGCTTACTATTAATTCTGCCTCAAACCCTGGAGTCGAAAGAATCAAATTTCCAGAGAATTTAGTGGAACTACGATTAAATGATTGTGGTATCATTAGTATGAGGGGCATAAACTTACCTAATACACTTGTAAAATTGTCTCTCGATGAAAATAAGCTATCAGAATTTTACTACTTTCTTCCCAGCTGTCAATATTTACTGTTGAGTTCAAACAAGCTACATACTGTTGAAGTCAAGGCACCCAACCTTGAGTACCTAGATTTGGGTTCTAATGAATTAGTGACCTTGCCTGATCTTCCTAACACCCTTAGGTGCTTGCAAGTAACTTCGAACGATCTTAATTTAGATGATTTTAAACCACTTCCACCGAGGCTTCGGCAATTTATATTCCATTTCGCTGGTGGTGCCACGGGAACTTTAAAGGACTACACATTCCCTTCATCATTAGAATATGTTGATCTAGGGGGAATACCCAGCATCTCAGGTGTGAAATTCGCAAGTGGTTCAAAGCTTAAAGACCTTAACTTGAGTGGTAGCGGAATGGATGCTATTAGTGACAAGAATATTAGCCTTCCAGATGGGATTAAAATACTCGATTTATTTGGAAACAATTTGCAGACTCTTGACAAGCTTCGATTGCCAGATTCTTTGGAGTACTTGAATTTGGGCCGCAATAACTTAAGATCCTTCGAACCTGGTCTAAAGTTGCAAACTCTTGAACTCGAATATAATCCAATTTGTTCAAATTTAGTGGTACCTGACCATCTGGACCTCAGGTCTGTAGATCTCAGTAATGTCGGGCTAAAAAACCATGACCTTGGGCAGCTTGCAAGAGCTAAAAAGCTTGTAGAATTAACTCTAGGAGAAGCAGAAAACATAATTTTCAATGATGTGCCACCAAGCTTACAAGTTCTCAAGTATTGGGGCCACTTGGAAAATACTGATTTTATTTTGCAACCAAAGAAGGAGGATGCATTCAACATCTATTGGAAACGAAAGTGAAAAAAGCATTGCTTCGCCTTTTACACAAGTGCTACATTCCTTTTAGTTATTTTAGCCCAGGTTATCAGTTCCAGTCGAAATGGTCCACCTGGGTTTGTAGTTACCAACATTGTTGGGTATTCCTTACAATATTGATTTTGAGGTATTCAAGAAGATTGTGACGCTACACTTAATAAGTTTACATTGCAACTATTTATCCTTCTATATAAATACGTCTCAATCGTTGGCATTGACCTTTGCTGTCCCGAGTATATGAGGGGCGACTTCTTGAAGCCATGAAGCTTCAATCAATGAACAGGTTCGTCCATAGGCCTTAGTTGTATACACGTATTCCATGTACATAATTACATCAAGGTTGACCTTCCCAAAAAGATTAGATGAAGGATGTATGCTGATTAGTTGCCCTGTAGTTAATGTTCTGTAAGATCTATCTGGCATTCCAATTGCAGTATTTGTAATGTATCCTTTAAGAAATGATTTCAATATCGAAGGAATTTCCAAGGGTAACTGCAACTCCCCTTCAGTCTCCATACTGTTATTAAATTGAGCTTTTAAATTCCTGAGGTCCGATTCTTTCTCTAGAGCACTCAAGTCGTTGTCCTGTTTGATGGTTGCAATCATATAATCGCGAAGCTGTGCCCTTACTTTACTAACGTTCTTGAATCCTTTATAGCTGAAGTAAAGCTCCTCGCACCAAGACTTTGCAGCCGCAGATCCTTTTTCTGAAAGATCCAAATAGCAGTTGTAGTATTCCATTAGTGCAATCAAGTCTCCGTGGTGACACCCTAAAGGACAGTACTGGCGTCTCTTGATGTTTATTTCGTCTCTCAATTCTCCATTTCTGTCGTGGACATTTAGGATCAAATTATCCACCGAGAGACATGCCACTATATCAATGACTGGTGCAATGACTCTTGACTCAAAAGCTGTCAACAAACTTGCCGATAGTTGAGGTAAGAGAGGTAATATAGCCATCTTAGATCCTAGAGAAGTGATTTTTCCAGAATCATTGAGAGCTCCTAAAGAATAAAGAGTGTTAAGGGCACCCAATATTGCTTCTTGACCTGGATTCTCTAACCAGGACCAGTTCAATAAATCAGTGACTCCGATTTTTTTCAACGTTAGAATTGGTAGTATTATATCGTTCCTCATGATTTCAGATTCTTGCTGCTTTGGAAGGTTGTTGCTATAAACTTTCTCCAGATACAATCTGAACGCCTTTCCATGACTCTCTCTACCAGCTCTACCAGCACGCTGTTTAGCAGATGCTTGAGAGATTGGAGTTGTTAGCAAGGTCGATAACCCAAGTTGATGCTTCCATACTTTAACTTTTCTAAGTCCCGAATCTATGACATACTTGACTCCACTGACGGTAATTGATGTTTCTGCAATGTTGGTAGCTAAAATTACCTTTCTTTTTCTTCCAGGGAGCTTTTGAAATATCTTTGCCTGTTGAGAAGGTGAAAGAGCAGCGTATAGTGGTAAAGGTACAATAAAAGGTGCTTCCTTGGGAAGCAGTGGAGCAATTTGCTCCAATGTTCTTACGCAATTATCAATCTCATCTTGTCCTGGAAGAAAACACAAAATATCTCCTTCAGATTCTCCCATATTGATCTGTACAATACTCCTTATCATAGTGTCAATAATGTCATCGCACTGATCTTCCAAATAGAACTTGGATACTGGATACGTTCTACCTTCGATATATAAAATTGGAGCATCATCAAAGAACTTACTAAAGAGCTGTGCATTTAAAGTAGCCGACATTACGACAACCTTTAAATCCTGCCTCTTTTTAGATTTTATTAATTCCTTTAAAAAGCCCAATATTAAATCTGTCAAGATTGTTCTTTCATGGGCCTCATCTATAATCACGGTGGAATATTTTTTCAACAAAGGGTCAATCATGATTTCTCTCAAAAGCATACCGTCAGTCAAATACTTTAACTTCGTTTTCAGGGGATGGGTGAAGTTGGAAAATCTAACCTGATAACCAACCTCTTGGCCTACTTGGCATCCATATTCTTCACTTACTCTGGTAGCCAAAGATGCTGCTGCCACCCTACGTGGTTGAGATATTGCAACTTGCTTGTTAAAGGGTACTAGAAATTGTGGTATCTGCGTGGACTTTCCTGAACCTGTTTCACCCAATATTACTGTCACTTGATTCCGCTTGATGTAATTCACGATTTCATCCCGATGCTGATAAATGGGAAGGCTCTTTCGTATTGCAAGAAGTTCTTGAGCTCTTTTAGCGAGTTGTGCTTTCGTAAAACCGTTCGCCTTGTGATATGTCTCCTCCTGATCCTCATAGTCGCCCTCTCTGCTATAGAATTCAGACACTCTAGGCTGACTCGCTGATTTGGGGGGGTCCTTCTGCAACTGAATTTGTTTCCATTCACTCAGCTTCCCTTTCACACTGCCGTTAAGTTGTTGTTTTATCTTATCATCATCGAAAGCATCCTTCTGTTTACTTTTCTTCAGCATTTCTAACGTTCCTTGTAGCTCGATCTCTGGCTCCTTCTCTCTAAATTGACTCCTTTCATCGATATTTTTTGATTTGTTAGATCTCTTTCTCTTTCTTTTCTTACCACCGGCAACCAAACTATGTCCAGAAGCATTATCCGTGCCTAGATCTGACATTTTCGGGTACTCAAATGGTCTCTTTTCGTTTGAAAATTCTTGGAAGTAGTCTCTTCTTCACCTTCTGATGGATTTTTCACTAAATTTTTCACTATCTGATACTGCGAATATATTATCAATACTTCTTATAATACATTAATTATCTTGAAAATCCCATAATTGATCAGACAAGAACGTCCGAGTTCGACTTCGTAAGATGATTTCCAAATCAGTATTGAAATTGAGCTGTTTCAGGAATTTAAGAGGATCTCTTTTGGCAAATGGACGGTTCTATTCTACTCCTGTAGAAAACACTGAACATGAACAACCGGACACTATTGAAATTGTACCAACAGTATCAGATCTTAGTAAATCTTGCTCTTTTGAGGAAGATGTGAAGGTATCTTTGGTTGGACACTTACAATCTAGGTTTCTTGTGGAATCTATAACTAGTGATGATTTGTTTGCATTAACAGAGCAAGGTTCGACAAAGAAATTTAAACTCTATTGTGGAGCGGACCCTACGGCCAAGTCATTACATCTAGGAAATTTGCTCCCACTTATGGCCTCCCTTCACTTTCATTTACGTGGTCACGATGTGGTAGGATTAGTTGGGGGAGCCACCGGAGCCGTTGGTGATCCTAGTGGCAGAAGCACTGAAAGGACTATGCTTGCCAACGAAGAAAGGGTGGAAAATGTTAAGGAGATAGAGCACCAGATATTGACATTCTTACAGAGAGGAGTTGAGTATGCTAAGTCCAGAAACTTTCCTATAAGAGAGGGAGCAAAAATCACCACTGTCAATAATGCCAAGTGGTGGGAGTCTATCAAAATGCTTGACTTTTTAGCAAAGTATGGGCGTCATATAAGGCTTTCAGCTATGCTTGCTCGTGATTCTATTCAGCTGAGGCTCAATTCCAAGCAAGGTTTAGGGTTTAATGAATTTACATACCAGATATTACAAGCGTATGATTTCTGGCACTTGTTTAAAGAATACGATGTTAACTTACAGATTGGAGGAAATGATCAATGGGGTAATATAACTGCTGGGACTGATTTGATTTCAAGATTGCAACGTCAACCTGGAGAAGGTCAAGCAAAGTCTGAATCTTGCTATGGTATGACAGTTCCACTTTTGACGACACCTACTGGTGAAAAATTTGGGAAATCGGCTGGAAATGCTGTTTTCATTAAAAGCGATCTAACCACTCCATATCAGTTGTATCAATACTTTATTAATGTTCCCGATGAGTTAGTAGGAAAGCTTTTAAAGATATTTACTCTTTTGCCCATGAACGTCATCGATACTAAGATTTTAGCTAAGCACGAAAGTGATCCTGGTAACAGGATTGCCCAGAGGGTATTGGCAAGGGAGGTTGTTGATTTAATTCATGGGGTTGGTGTCGGCGATGAGATGGCCTATATCACTAGCTTTTTGTTTCCTACACCAGATCAACCATTTGACGATAGCATTTCTGCGAGTAAATTGATAAAGAACTTCAGGAGATCAGGTATCCTTGTTAGGATACCTTTTGATGAATTCGAAGACATAGATAATTTGAAAATGAGCTCACTATTGGCAAAGATAATGCATAAATCCAAAACGGAAACAAAGAATTTGATAAAGGCTGGAGGTGTTTATTTGGGCTTGGATAGACATCAGTTCATAGATCCCGAAGATGTTGTTCTCTTTGATAAAGAAAACTATCTCATTGATGACAAGTTATTACTTGTTAGAACCGGTAAGCAGAATTATTATGTGGTAGAGTTCTATTAATTTTATTCAATCTTTTGTACATAGTGAAGTCAAATATATAATAGTATTTTAGATATAAAAGAAACTATTTTTACTTGTCAATAATTCATAAGATCATAATATCTTTGTGAGTTCTTCTTACATGCTTTCATTTCCTCTCCAACACTTTTTTTCTTCAATCTTACTTCAGGCAAATATACTTCATTGATTAAGGTTTCTTTTTCCAGTATTAAGTCATTTAAAGTGCAATTTTTGGAGCTTTCCGTTCCTTGAAGTAAAGCCTTTGATAGTTGCATTTGCTTTAGATAGTCCAACACCGTCAATTCTAAAACATAATTGCTTTCTTCCATACATAGAGCTCGATAACACTCCAGACCCGTCTCATAAACCCACCCCCAACTGTTGTACCAGTCTGAGAGTATATCTTTGTCCTCTTCTTTTCCTCCCAAAGATTCTTTATCATAATCTGAACTAATACGGTCACCGCTTAAGATGATTTGTCTCATTTCTTCAAACGTAAAGAATTCATAAGTCTCATTCAAGGTTTCTTGTCTAGTCTTTATTCTTACCAGAGAGTGGCTGTCTTCAAAGTTTTTCCGCCGAAAATTTATAGGAGGATAGCTTCTATCGTTACTAAGAACCATCAAGAAGAATTCCCGTTTAATTTGGTTAGCAATTGACCCGAAGCTGACAAAGAAAGTTGGTCCAACCTGATATCTTATTAAATCAGGTATCAACTGTCCTCTTTTTTTAAGTTCGTAAGCAATCTTAATCCAATGGTACTTTTCAACCTCTTGTGACTTGTTATATAAAAATGGGAGCTTTTGAAGCACTAGAAGCATAAATTGTGCTTGTTTTTCGTGTGTTTCTCTTTTTAATCTGACATTAAGTCTTCTTTGCGCATACCGCTTTATCATCGCTCTAAGCAGTTTATAGGTTATTCCGGCAGCTGTTTTCGCCAGACTTTGTATACTTCCCATTAAGCTTTGGCTACCGTGGTATTGAAGGGATGTAGCATGCTCTTCAGGGATAATTGAGTTCACATGCGGTTGCAACTTATCTCGATAGCGTAATATTGCAGCCATTTTCGCATCAATTTAATAAAATATACCTTTCTTTGAACAAATAATGATAAAAGTACTACCACTAATCCAGACAGGTTGAAAACATATATAACGTTATTTAAGCTCTTGAAAAGATTATGTTATTTACAGGTAGATTTTAAGAGTATTTCCTTATTTTATTTTCTTTATATGAAGTTTGATATGCTACCTAATGAGACTTATATATTCTGGAGTTTGACATAACAATTTTCATATGAATACTTAATTAATCGAGCTTTATGACGTCAAATTGATATCTCAAGCAGATTAACAAATGGCAGAGATAAATAAAAGAGCATAATAGAATTAGTCACTAGATTTTGGATTCGACAGTGTGAACGGCCTCGATTACCTTTGGAAAAATGGCTTTATTGGCTGCGATGACACCTTTGGATTCCAAGTATCTTCCTTTTCCGAAATCTAACTCATTACCAAAGATGTCACCGACTTGGCCACCACTTTCGTGGACTAGGATATCACCTGCAGCATGATCCCATATCTTTTCTCTATATGATTCACTAACCGGAAGACGTAGGTAAATGTCAGCTTGACCCTTGGCCAAAACGCAGTATTTCACTTGTGAATCCAAGTTAATGGTTTGCATATCTACCGTCTCTGGGTTGAAACCAAGTTCTTTTTTGATTAGAGATTGTGTAGAGTGGGAAGAATGACCCTTCTCAACACCCTCGACAACTTTCAAGGCATCTGGAGAAGTCTCCTGGTTCATTTTGATACGCTTCTGACCAGACAAGGGAGTAAATCCACTTTCGATAAATAAAGGAGTATAGTAGGATCCAACACCTTTAATAGCTGTAAACAAACCACCCCTTGGTCCATGTTGTTCCTCATTCGATATAATCTCCTCTGGTAAATTTGGACATCCGATGACACCCATAACTACCTTACCATCCACAATCAACGCCAAGCATACAGCAAATTGGTCTCCTCTCAAGAATCCTTTTGTACCATCAATTGGATCTAATGCCCAAACTCTACCTTTTGGCCCTCCCTTGGATTGTCCAGCGTCGATGCTTTTATATATCGTCTCTAACAGATCAAGGTCTCCAACTTCTTTGTCGAACAGAGCCGTTTGCTTCTGTACATCTTCAATAATTTTTAAGATATTAGCACTCAAAGCTTTTCCTTCTTCATTATCTTCCTTTAAGGCATGTGCATCCTCTTCTCCTACAATCTCATCGTCAGGGAAATTATACTTGATAGCATTGTTAATTATGGCTTGGGCTGCGTAGTCACCGACAGTGACTGGTGACTTGTCGTCCTTTGTAAGTGTTCCAGAGGCTCTAGTAGTAGCTATAGTGTCACTTAGCTTTTTCACCAACACTGATGCTCTTCTCACAGCTAAACTAGCTACCTTAAGCTCCCTCTGATACGGATGATTCTCTAAACCATAAGACATCCTCGCAACAAAATTCCTTGTAAAAGCCTGCTTATCAACTTCACACTTTCGAGCTAACTTAGAAGCTCGGTAAATTAATCGAAGATACAATATGTAAAAGACTATGAAGAGTAGTTTGCTTCTTTTGATATTTGAAAAATCGACGTCAGATGAGCACCAACAAAATTTCGGTCGACTTTTTATCAACGAAAACAAAATAACTGGCAAAACCCTTGAAGCTAAGGTTATATAGATGACTTAAGGAACCAATTGTATCATCGACTGTACCTGTTGAGTAATATCCGTGATTCAATTCCTTTCCTTCTAAGATCCATATAAACCCCTCTAAGTTGTTGGTGTTGAGGATGTTAATTTTTAACAAAGGTGTTCTTAAACCTCTCTTAAAAGATATAACCTCTCTTAAAAATCATCAAATATCAAGACACTATAGCTACTCTTGGCAAAGAATAAAAGTTAATGTACAACAGCAAATGATATAAAACAATGGCTAACAAAGGGCTAACAGTGATAGCCATTTTGAGTGCCTGCTGCTTTATAATAGAGCTTTTGCCCGTTATATCGGTACCAATTACTTCTATGGATTCTCCAAGATTGTACTTATGTAATTACCGAAACGTTACTTTTGGTGTATTTGGAGTATGTGATGAAAAGACCCACCAATGTACGAAGCCTAAAATAGGATACATACAGTCGAGCGACCATTTTTTGCAAGATGAAGAAGACTACGATGGGATAAGGTTACCTTCAACTGCAGTTAGTTCCATTTCTAAACTATTGGTAGTTCATGTCGTTGCAGTTGCAGTAACTGGTTTACTAATGATAACGATTTTCGTTTTATTGGGATTTCTTTATTTGCATCGTGAGGGCGTATTTGATTTCAGGAAGGGCTCAAAGAAACCTGAGGAGGTTAATGAAATGACATCTGTTTCAGAGACCTCTATCAGAAGCCATGTCCTGACGAAGCAAGTTGACGAGAAGGATTGGGATGTTACTCCTGTGTTGCAGCTAATGCTTTTTTTCTCCTTAATATCATTTTTGCTGACACTCTTGGCTTTCTTAGCAGATCTTCTCCTCTTTATACCTGAATTGAGCTACCTAGGATGGCTTCAGTTGATACCGATAATACTACATGCAATAGTTATCATGATTCTTTGCTTCATAAAGAGATCGATCTCATCAAGAAGATATTTGGAAGTGGATCAAAACTATGAAATGGATGACATGAGAAGAATAAAGAACGTTCCAACGTGGGATGATTCGGCAAGCGACGATGGATTTTACGTTTACACCAATGGATTTTACAGCACTTACGATAACACTGACCACGAAGTAGTCAGTAATGATTTTGATATCCGAGGACGGAGCATTGGCAGGCGAAATAATCAGAGCGGTGATGAAGAAGAACAAGAGATGCATAGTGAAAATGAACATACTAATGATAACGAGCACACTAATAATAATGAAAGTGATTTCAACCAGACAATTAACGTCAATGAGCATGATACATGATCGAAGATATAAGCAAGGTAATCAGGAAGTAAAGTATTGTTATTAAAAAGCAACTCTATTTATAGACTATAATACAAGTAATTTAATGCATGCTAGAAGAACTTAACATTTCTTCAAAGGTCAATTTCCACCAGAACCTTATTTTCTACAACCAATTTTCGAAGAAGCTGGGCTGATTGTATCCTTTTTCTCATGTCTGAATCATCGGAAGTATTCTGAATAGAGGTCAATTTCTCTAATATGTTACGTGAGAATTTCTCCAACAATTGCTTATTCGCCAGGTTCCGTTCGGCTAATCGAATCAATTGGTCCAAATCCATATCATTTTCAACTGAGTAATTCAATAGAATTCTGAATGCTGTGTCACTCAAAGGACCATGGAAAAGTGCCAGTTTAAGGTTACTTAAATCCCTTAAAATGATGTCCTTCAGTATCGAACCTCCATTTTCTCCTTCGTAAGACAATAAAAATGTATCTATAGTGTCAGTTGAAGGACATACCCTATGGGTATTTATGAGTATTGATAAAATATCCTTTGCCAAGGAGACATTTGTAGGTGCTAACAACCTAGCAACCTTATCTAAACTTGTGGGATCGAGCTCTTTAAATAATGTAGGGAATGTAATGACGGCCACCTTCAAGAATTCGTCGAAAGACGAAAGATCCAACTTCGAGCCTTGCAAACTATTTATGGCCACGCTGACAAAATCTTTTAAACCTTCGAGAGAATAATAGTCGACATTTCTTTTAAGGAATGTCAAAAAAACATCTAGCTGTTCTGGAGAACTGAAGTCTTCTCTATGACTGATTAAGTACGAAGAAATGTTTTCAAAAGTAACCACTGGCTCCAATTCAGACAGTACAATTTCTCCAAGTACCTTCCTTTTGTTACTTTCCAAAGTATTAAACTTTCGATATACCTCTTCTAAATCCCTCTCTTCCACTATTTTGCTCATATCCTTTAATTCGTCTTCAAGTATGCTGGCTACATTCACGTTCATAAATTGAAACGATTCATCCCGTTGCGGCAAGTCAGATAACTCAAAGATTTCTTCAGAAAATGCTTTCATCCACAGGTTCGTCATGGTAGTAAACTGCAAATATACAGAACAAGGCTCTTTTGAAGCATCTTTAGGTACCATTTTACATCTTTTACCAAAAGCTGGGGAATCTTTTGCTAGAGAAGTAATGAAGATATCATTGAAGCGAGGACTGAAATATAAATCCGCTACTGATTCTGGACCCATTACCTCTTTATGATACTTTGCTATGTTAGAAAAATCGGGTTTCTTTGGAATAGCTGCAGCATTTTCTTCTGATGTAAGTTTTTCACCATCAAATTGATATCTTTGTTCATTTGGTAAGAACATATTAGTAGTTTTAAAGTCATTATTTCTCGAAAGACTTCTTGAGAAAATCTTGGAGCACCTAGTCAACTTCATCAGCATATGTCTTTCTACTCTCACGGCTCCATTCATCCCTCTTATCTCTATTGAGGCTACTTGACCGTTAAAAATAAAAAATTTCAGTTTTGAAAAATTCCTCCATATAAAGCCTTGACCTTTCCATGTTTTAAATATGTTTTAAAGTCAAAAGTCAGACTAGGACGAATGAATCGCGACTATATAAGCTCCAAATGCTCAGTATGTAAGAGAATTAATAGAAATGAAGTATATGACGAATTTTTTGTGAGAAAATGGTGCCAATGAAGCGATATTTTGCTATATTGATTTACTTAATGGGTGCAATAGTAGCTACTGAGGTCGAGGGTGATATCAAAGGTGAGGATCAACCGATGGAGATTATGACCACAGAGGGCACAGAGGGCAAAGAGGTGAGATGGCACCGTGAAATTGAAAATCTTTCGTCCAGAAATCTCGACTCAGAATGCACGAAGAATGCTCTTGAGCAGCTATTGTCAAAGTGTTCCTTAGAAGGTTTGGAGTCCATAAACCCAAGGATGAGGAAAGAAGTAGCAATTAAGCTTTCCAAATGCGAATTTGATAATTCTAGGGTGCTTTACCCTGAGGAGTGTTGGAGGCTCAGGGAGCCGGACGATTACGACAGATGTCTATCGCAGTTAAAGAAGTCGCCGCAGTATTGGACAACATTCAGTGGAAACTATAGAGAGATCAACAAGATATGCCATGAAGAGGCGCTTCCGTATCAAAAAGATCAAATTATTGGGTTATATTCTAATGTCACGAAGGTCGTTAGCAAGATATTGGTTGACTTGAAGAATTCTGCTTCACACTCAGAGGCATCTCAAGAAAAGCTAAGGAACCAGTTTGAGGAACTTATTAACAAGATATTGGACATATCGGCTCAGCATGACGAGCAGAAAGAGAAAATGAAACAGGAGTTCAAAACTTATAACGAAGATTTCAATGTGTTGGTACTGAATAGTCTAGTAATATTAGATGGATTCTCCACATCATTTGATGAAAACTTGTTCGAAGCTACCAATCATGTGAGCTATTTAACTAATCAGATACGAAACCTTATGGAAGCATACAATGAGGTTGGACCGTCTGAAAAGATGCATGAAATGCAAGACATGATGATGAACGATTTCCTGGTGCTTTCAACGGAAACGAAAAGACTTGTAAGAAATATATTATCTGATATTGAATCGACCAACTTCCTTACCTCTGAGCATCATAATGCAATGAATGAAATGTTCAGAGATAATCGAGTGCTATCGAATTCCATCAGCAATATACTTGTCAATACTGATAGCCAAATAAAATCACAGAATGCAATGATGCGTTCGGAGTTCGAATTTTCCATATCCCATTTCTCAGATTTCCTTGACGAGCAAATAAACGGTGCCTTGTCTGTAACTACGGGTAGATTAGAGGAACTAATATCTAGTTCAATGGATCACTTGGACTCGAAGATCAACCTAACAGAACAAAAACTAGATACAATGAACAATGATATTGAAAAGTTTTCGGGCAGACTCAACAATCTAACGATATTCATTTACGATGCTTTGTCTCTGATAACAGAAAATAGCCTTTTTTGTGCCGTAAGTGATGGCTTTAGCATAATTTCGACGGGTCTAGGTTCTTTGGGTTCTTTCATAGGAGGAATTGGAATAAGATTATTCAAATTTGGTATCTATATTTTTTTAATCTCCTTAGGTATTTTCTGGGTAATGCCATTCACTTTATCTAAAGATTCATCGAAGAGAAGCGTAAGTAAAAACATTCAACTGTGGTCTGTGGTTTATACGTTAGCTCGATATTTAAGGAACATGGCCATTATCCTTTCGATACTTTCAGGTGCACTAGCTGCAATTCTAGTATCCCGTACTATGAGAACTATAAGGCTCTATGTGGAAAACGTTCAAACATCTCAAGTAGACTCAAAGTCTTTTAATTATATCTAATATAATTAAATATCTCTCATGAATATACCACTTTTATACCAATTTTCACTCAAAAAAAACTACCAACAAACTAAAATGACATACTTCTATTATAAAAAACAGCTTATTAACTATTAGATGCTCAATCAACGTCTCTAACTTAAAGTATCATCTCAATATCTACCATGGCAATATCTCTTAAGTAAATATCGCTTCGTAAAATTTTTGCAATCGGGGCACGATCTCTTATCGAATCCGATAAGCTCGGTATCAAATAGTCAGGCAACTTAGGCACAAAAGGAAATAAACTCGTTTGCTCCATTATATAGAAGAAACCAAACTAATGAAGGAGAGTATATGACAATAATATGATTACTGGTAGGTTCAGAATGTTCTATATTATCCAGATTTTGATATTTTTGCTTATGACGAAAAGAGCAAGCTGTGATCATCAGGAACAAGTTGTAATTGGAATAAACCCATCTCCAGAGCCAAAAGCAATAGATAAACAAATATACAGCAACTTGTTCACATATGCTCATTTGATAGACATATCCTATTGCATCTCGAAGTTGGGGGGTATTGAGGAGCCGTTTAAATGTGATTTGAGCTGTGAAGAGTCGTTTCCGAACATGACATTGATTTACCAATGGTTCTACGATGACTCAGTTTGTGGGTATATTGCTACTACGGAGTCAAATATCTTCAATTATACCGATAAATTGTCGGAGGAAAAGAAGAAGAAGAAGACAATTGTTGTCTCGCTAAGGGGAACTCGTTCTCTTTTCGATACTCTAGCTGATATGAAGGTTGAGATGACAGACTATGCTAACTTAAGGTATAATCTTCCCTGTTGTAAGGGATGTAAGGTACACAAAGGGTTCTACGATAATTTTCTTCATACACTTTCTAACATTCATTCTATACTTGAGGAAGAACTAAAGGAAGACAACTATGAAATTGTCTTTTTGGGACACTCCTTGGGAGGATCAGTGGCACTCTTTCTAGCATTGCACTATTTAGATCTTGGATATGATAAGTTTACGCTAGTAACTATGGGTCAGCCTTTGTTAGGAAACAAAAAGTTTGTGGACTGGGCTGATCAAGCATTGGGTAGTAAGAAGGAACTTAAGCATGATTCATTTGATAGGAAGTTCATAAGAGTTATTCATAAAAAGGACTTAATAACTACAATCCCTGCGAATGATAAGATACTCAATTCTTATTACCAATTCAATAATCAGGTTTATTTAAACTGTTCAGCAGCAACGACTGACCCATTACCAGACCAAGTGATCGATTGTTTCACCGGTGATAATTCGAAGTGCATCAAAAAAGACTTTTCCAACGTCTTTGACAATATGTATGGTCAGTACTACGAGAGCCATAATACATATTTCCGAAAATTAGGGTTATGTGGTTTGAAAATTAAATAGTTCGTATTATATACTTTTGGCATCAGTCCTACTAAAGCCAAATCTTGGTTGAATGTCATAATCATCATCGTCATCATCGTCATCGTCATCATTATCTTGATCATCATGCTTGTTAGTCACCTTACTTCTATTAGTATTTTGACCTATTGTGGTTGATCTATCTAACGATGCAGGCATTTCTTGAGATTCATCTTCAGGAATAAATAAACCGTTTTCAGAGTTTTCAGTTTGGCTGCCATCGAAAGAAGCAGTGTTACTCCTAATTTTGGACTCTTTTAGCCCCCTAACTTCGTCCATTTCACCTCTGAAATCGTTCTCTAGTCTTTCCTCTACACCAGTTATGCGGTTCATTGGATGTGAAAATGAATCATAGTTGTTTTCAAAATATGAAGGCTTGAGTTGAACATATTCTTTAGGTGCTCTATTATCTTTAGTTTGTTTCTTGAATCTTTTGAAGTTTTTTCTTCCTTGTCCATAATCTTTCGTGGCAGTTTTTGGAGCATGTCGTAGCCTCATTGGTACAATTTCAACTACAGTCAAATCTTTTAAATCGTTGACTAGTAGAGATTTTCCATCGTCAGTTCCTAGCTGATCGCTCATATTCTGAGTTGCTATCTTTTTCGCTTCTTTGATAGCATCAACAAAAGTTGTCGTCGTATTTTTCAAAGTTTTCTGTCTCTTAATATCATGCCGATTATCTTCAGCGTTTTGTCGCTTTTCATTTTCGTTGAACTCTTTCTGATGGAGATCTCCAGCCAGTCGGTGGGATTCCACGTGTCTGCCAACGGTGGTGTCAGAGGATCCTAGAGCTTCCTGTGAAATGTTCAGCTCTGGGTTATGAGATTCTACTGTTTGATCATTAGCAGCAGGCTTCTCATTTGGCTTCTCACTTGGTTTTTCACCTGGTTTTTCGCTTGGTTCCTCGCTTGTTTCTTCGATTCGTTCTGCATTGTTTTGTGTTGGCTGTGGACTAGAAAAATCAAGAAGATCCATCTTATTAATTTTCTCGTACTTTCTTCTCTTTCTCCTTTGGTAGTCATGGAATACGAAACTGAAAGTTTCAATCTTGCTCCTCGAGCAGTCCACAAGGCTATGAAATAAAATGCTTTCCTCAACAAGTTGTGAGCCCATCAGTGACAAACATGCGTCCATGGAAACATTGAATTTGTCATTTCCTTTGTCATCTGGGTCAGTCTTAAGGAGAATGAATCTTTTTTGAGCAAATCGACTTTCAAGTATCTCCTTTAGCTTTTCATTTTCTATAGCCCCATCTCTGAAGATGTCCGATTTCTTGAACATAAAGGTAGTCCCCGAAGCAGCTTCGATCCAAGAATAATCACCATTGAGATGCTTATCAAAGGACACTACAACCACACCTTCAAATAATTTGCATCGCATCACGTTGGGAACCAAATATATATTGTTCAGCTCATACTTCGACATTGGAAGAAAACGTCGAGGATCTAGATGCACAAACCAATCATCAACATTCTTTATGTTTTCTCTAATATAACTTAGCCAACTTTCATTGAGAATAGGAATTGCTCTCAGTATTGACATTTTAAGAGCTTCGGTAGGCGCATCTGTTGAAGTGCAGTAATGTGTAGCAATAAGCGGATCTTTGGTAATCCTCACATCTATGCCACTATTTTGAATTTCTTTCAAGTCATTGACTAAGGTATCGGATGATTTCAGCCCCTTATTAGAGGCACCATCTCCAGAATAGGCAAGTACATTAAAATCGTGCCAACTAATGCTCCAAGTAATATTTGATTCCACTGCCCTACTATCATCAGTAGAGTCCTTGTAGCTTGTCTTTGGCACTTCAATTTTGATATTTGAGAAAGAAGTAAGGTCTTTCTTTATGTTAGAAGTACTTTTTTTGCTTAAACGATAAACTTCTCCATTGACAATCGTCTTCGCTCTTGACTTGAATTCTATTTGTAACGGTGTAATTTTAGAGCTATTGTCAACCTTCGTATCGCCAATTGACCCTATCACGATCGAGAACTGATGTCTTGAGGATGCCTGACTTCTCAAAATGAAGTCGTTGTCGTCTGCTCTGCCAAAGTTATACGTATGGTTTGATTCTAAAGATGTAACTATAAAACTGTTAGCACTACTGAAAGATATAATTTCTTTCACATAATCCAAGATGATCCTTGTAAATTGAATTTACTTACCAAGATCATCTTCCTCAGACTGGATAATCCACATTCTACCGTTCAACAATCACCACTTAATGAAAGATTTCGATTATCAAGTATTGTAAGATATCTTGTCCTGTATGTAACCTAGTACTACAATTACTTCGAAAGAAGTGATGAAAGTGGCTCTAAATGTACATGTGATTCAAGGGATGATACATAGGTGAGGAAAATTTACTTACGCTTATGGACTTTGTTCTTGACCAGAGATTTCTTACGCCCATCATGTTGCTTTTTTAATTTTTTTCCAATGAGTTTTGATACTTCATCGGGGTCACCTATTTCTAACAATTCTTGCTCAAATCTTGTCAAATTGACACCATTGGTCTTTGTTTTACTATCTTCATGCTCTTTCGTGATATCAGATGCCTCATCATATAATTTATCAGTGTAAAAAAGTGGCAACGATGGAGAAGCGATTGTTTTTACCATAATGCTTTTGATAGCACCGATATCGAATGCAGACAAGATATTGTTCAAATTGGCAATTAGCATATTTTCATTGTTTGAAGTTTTACCAAACCTGACTGAGATATTTGTTCCCATTGGAGGGAGGTAGTAGGTGCTATGCAAACATTTTTCTATTTGATTTTTTATCGTGGTTACAGATAATTCCTTGGAGTTTGTAGAACATGTCCTTATAGGCAAAGGGCCCTTGCTTCCCTTTTTACCATAAAAAATCTTCCCCAAGATCGTTGGCATCATTGACAATAATGCATCATCAACGACGAAAAGATCGTAGCTCGAATAGAGTTCCCTTCGTTTCTCGAAGTTTTTGAACTCAGTCTTTATCTGTGACAATGTATATATTTTAGATAAAGTTGGAATTTTGGCATCCTCTATACTCTCCAACAGTTCTTCGGTAGTCACAAGCTGATCTCTGACAATCAAGCAAGTGTTCACGTTGGAAAGATCATAAAGCGGCATAGTCAACTTGATCACTTTTGGTTTGAACTCAGGCTTTGAAGAACAAAACTTTTTAGTGTTAATCTGCAATAAGAGATCTCTTAAATCGTCATTTTCTTCATCAAGCAACAAGGAAGACTGATTGGAATTTTCACTTTCCTTATTGACAAATTTTGCAAGTTCAGATATAGCTTTGGCAATGACCTTCTCAGGAATGACCGATGACAGTTTCTCATTGACTGCCTCTTTGTCAGCTAATTCATTAGCCTTCTTTAGCTTCGAGGAATCTTTCGTCTTTTTATTGGTCTCTTTCTTTTTCTTCTTGACTTGCAGCGCCTTTACTGAAGGTGATGCGGAGGGAGATTCACCTCTTGCACCAACCTTTTTGACTTTGTCCGATAAAGGTGTCCTGGGTGATATTTGTGCTCTAGCTCTTGTCTTGACCATGTTATTTGAATGCACTGATATCCTTAGGCTTGCTTATAAAGAAGACACCCTACTAAGAATCTCTTGGGCTCATCTCTCCCATCTCAAAAAAATTTTATAAACCCAAGAGTACTGCATATTAACGTTCTGAAGAGATAGAGTACCTTTAACATTCAAGACTTTATAAGTGCCTTAAAGGAAATCAAGATTGCTCTGAATCTGCGGGTGGCATAGAGGTCTTACCTAAGGTCCTACTAGGCTGATTTTTTGCAATTTCTGGTGACTCATTTTGAGCAGAATCAAGGACAATCGCTGGCACCCCGTTATCTATATCTTTAAATAGAACTGCTGGCTCGTACTTTGCTGGAGAGTCTGCTTTACTTTCTTCTTGGTCCGAAGATCCTGGATAGACTTTCTTGACGTCCGAGCTCTCAAAACCCCCAAACCTTTCCCACAATAAATGGGAAATATCTTCGGGCGAATGAATAGTCTGCTGATTTGGCCCTTCTTCTACTTTATCCCAGAGATCCCATTCAGCTGGAGGAGAAAGGGGAGGTGATATAAGGAAACGCTTGGATGCAATCTCTGCTGGTAGCTCAAGATAGTCTTTTTCTTGTTGTAAGTCCTTATCCCATACTTCTCTATTCAATCTTGTGTATTGGTTACCTTTCAAACTGTATGAAATTCTGATATTATGCCACTGTGGAGACTGTGCAATATACTCCGCTATTTCTGTGGCAGTTATACTCGTTTCACAGATTATTATTATTCTTTGTAGTCTCTCTAAAGCAACTAGCTCTATCAAGTGCTTTTTATGTGACAAGAAATTTACCAATAAGCTGGGATCCTTGAGGACTTCCTCAGGTACATTCGTAAGAATAAGGGTGTTAGTTGGGGATCTACTGCTCGATTTGGATACCATTCTTTTAATTGAATCCCCTTATGAAGCTAATTTATCAACCTTAGTTTCTACAACGAATATTTAAAGGACACATCTTACACGTGAAAACATCGAGTGCTACAAGTGGACCCCTACAACTACTACATATTAGCTTAGTGATATTTCCCTTCTACTGTCAGAAAGAAAGCTCTCCAACGTTGAATATTCTAAGCTATTTGCTTTATTTGATTTTCAGTTGTTCTCTTTCAAATTAAATGATTCAAAGATCAGTCTCTTAAAGGTGATTTCCAGGCCTTTGAGCTTACAAGAAAGCTAAATAATACCAGGAGCTGCGTTCATCGGAGCATCTCTACAGTCGTAAATAGGGGCTTATCGCAGCCTTAGTTCCATTATAGCCTACAGCCTTTCATTACTACGAGGCTCTTCGAAATATCATTATATTAATGTAGTCATCGCGGCAACTGACATATCGTGATGCAAAAAATTACACACTCTTTAATTGATACAATGTCTTGTGAACACGAACATCACCATGGGCCTAGTGGTGGCCATGGACACGATCATGGCGATGATGGGCGTGTTCCTCCCGTTCCAACCAGTGTGGCACAATCTTTGCACGGTAAAATCGATCTTCCCCACGTAACTGCGTTGAATGTGGAAAACCCTCCAGACGAGGTGCTGAAAATCTTTAGGAATTCGTCACAGAGGTACGAATTGAAACCTGTAATCAAGTCGGACTCTGATGAGCAGGTGATCTTTCACATTCCTTTCATAAACAGTTCTGTTAAATTGCATTCATTGGTGCTTCGTACAAATGGATCCAAATACTGTCCAAAGACAATTAAATTGTTTAAAAACGACAGAACAGTTGATTTTGACAACGCAGAGTCCAAGGTAGCTACATTCACGATATCACATCCTCAAGTTGGGGTTCTATATGACAACGACGACGACGAATTGCCAGATACGATAGAGCAAGATTCGGATTTCGTTGAACATCATCTCCCACGACATAAGTTTACAGGGGTTCAGCATCTAACCTTATTTGTGGAATCTGTTCACGGGGAAGAAGACCAGAGTCGCTTCCATTACATTGATTTAAGAGGCGAATTCACCGAGCTTACAAAAGATCCTGTTATTGCCATCTACGAGCTGGCCGCAAACCCTGCTGACCATAAAAATGTTTTACAGGAATCTGTTAATTTTTCAGTAGGAAATTAAACTTTCTTGATAGTACAGATATGTTTAACAAGAGCAATTGATCTTAGTTCTCTTACTTTTTGCACTTTCATGTTCATTGCTAAGAAACCTCACATGAGAGCACAATACTGTGGCCTGTAGATTTCCGAGAGTGTGCACCTGAGGCTCGATTCAATGATCTCCGGGTCTTTTGAAGCCTTTTTCTTCAATTGAACGAAGTATAGTAACCTAATATACAAAGTAAACATCAAGAACGATATCAAAGATGCCAAAGTTAATTTTAGTTAGACATGGACAATCCGAATGGAATGAAAAAAACTTGTTCACAGGATGGGTTGATTGCCGTTTATCTGAAGCTGGAAGGAAGGAAGCACATAGAGCCGGAGAATTATTGAAGGAAGCTAACTTAGTGGCAGACGTTTTATATACGTCTAAATTATCAAGAGCTATCCAGACTGCTAACATTGCTTTGGATGCAGCAGATCAATTGTATGTTCCTGTCAAGAGATCATGGAGATTGAACGAGAGACACTATGGAGCCTTGCAAGGTAAGGATAAGGCACAAACATTGGAGCAATTTGGTAAGGAGAAGTTCCAAATTTGGAGGAGATCTTACGATGTTCCACCTCCAGAAATTCATGACCATTCTGAATTCTCCCAGGTTGGTGACATCAGATACTCTGACATTGACCCAGCCGTATTGCCTAAGACCGAGTCTTTGAAATTGGTTATTGATAGGTTATTACCATACTGGCAAGATGAAATTGCTGGAGATTTGTTGTCAGGTAAGGTTGTATTGGTCGCTGCCCATGGTAACTCCTTGAGAGGCTTGGTCAAGCACTTAGATAACATATCTGATGATGAAATTGCCGGCTTAAATATTCCCACTGGTATCCCATTAGTTTATGAATTAGACAATGAATTGAAGCCAACCAAGCCAGCTTACTATTTGGACCCAGAAGCAGCAGCAGCAGGTGCAGCAGCTGTCGCTGCTCAAGGTCAAAAGAAGTAAACGAAAAGTTTGCTCAATTAGGCTTTAGTACTCTTTTTTTCTATGGTTTCTTTTCCTTAAATATGAAATGTTAGAACATCTAAGTAGATAAAGCCTTAGTAATATTGCAATATTCTGTACTACTCTGTCATGGTCTTATTGTAGGTAGAGATGTTGTACTGACCGTCCAGATACACCAGAGTGTATATAATCTATGCCTATCGTAGAACATGACCTGATGTGCTATTCTTTGGCACATAGTATGGCCATCGTTGTACCTATTTAGCTTTGATATCTCAAGTAGGGTCCTATATTTAATATAATTAACTCCATTCCTCTGTAAAGAATAACAAAGAGACAGGATCGTTGAAGAGAACATGAATATATGCATTACAATTAGTAGCTGTAAAATTAGATCTAAGTTGATAATAGTAATACAAAAGATTTGTGAAGGTTAGAGAGAATTTTATGAAAAAGTCAAAGGGCTGTAGTTGTGGGTTATGAGATGGATAAAATGCATAAAGAGTGAGTTATATGTTTGTTTAAGCCAAAGTCTTGTGTATTTATATTATCTCACTTTTAAATCCCGAATCTGAACAAAGGAAGAAAAGAATTTAAACATGGTACAGTAGATAGCTTTATCGTAGTAAATATTACCACGATTCCTTCAACTCGTGTAGACTTACATACTTGAATTTTTTTATCGTATTGTGAGACGAAGTTGTTCATTTTGCACTAGCTATATCCTTTTGAGCTAAAATCCTCTTTTGTAGTTCTTGTATCGTGCGACTTCAAGCTCATCTCATCAAAAACAACTTCATCAGAGGAATTGTTATCGCTTTCATTATTGCTACCATTATCAACATTTTCAGAAAGTATACTGTCTTCACCATAATGATTGATTTGATTACAATTTTTTATATTTTCACTATCCCCATGTAACCCAAATATGTAGTGAAGGGAGATCAAGTCATTCTTTTTTAGCTCTTCATTATTTGTGCAATCAGATAGTCCGAAGTCTATCAAGGAAATTTCACCAGAGAGGGAAACATGGATGTTGGCCGGCCGAACATCATTGTGCGAAATTCCTAACAGATGGAGCTCCTCGAGCCTTGATTTGATAACCTTAAATACAATATCCATATCCCAGTCTTCTATCGCTACTTTTTTCCCTAGAGATTCAAATATATGCATTGGGTGATCTGGAAGACCATTCCAATAACCAGAAATAAGGAGCTTTGGAAAATTGGAAGCGTACCGTGATTTCGCAAGTTTTTCATTGATTGCAAGTTCATTCAAGAACATGTCATAATAACTCCTTCTATCGGGGGAATCAAAACACGTTAAGTCATTTTCTTCCCATAATTGACTAGAGTAATAGTACAATTTGACAAACACCTCGTATGGAAGTTTCAAATTAGGATACAACTTCTCGGTATCGCATATAATTCGACAATATGTGTTGCCATGAATTTCATCAAAGTCTTCACTAACGGAGTTTTCTTTAATTGAGCCCAACTTGCCTGCAAATTCGTTGGAAGATAATTTCCCTGATGACCCGCTAGTAGATCTAGGAAGCACGCTCTGGAAAGGATCCTGTCCCTCTGTTTTCTTGGCTAAATCTAGACGTTCTAGTAACCTTTTCTTCGTATCGAGCGCGTCAGCAGTATTCTTATAGAAAAATCCCGCTATTGCGGATCTTAAAGTAATACCTTGTGCAACAGTTTCTGGGTTATCAATCGCATAGTAGTCTATAATCATTTTGTCATCCACAATTTCGAACTCAAAGAACCCTGAGAATGTTTGGTGATCTGAGATAAAAAACCTGTCGGTACCACAGAGGAAAGCTTGATAAAGGTATTTTCTTAAAACTAAAGCAAACAAAACCTTGGGACTCCACTCCCTGTTTTGAAAAAGCGGCCGGTACTTCAACCGTCTCAGCCGTCTCAGCCGTTTAGTATCCAATGGATTTTGCTTGAGGTGTTCTACCGCTACTTTCAATTCTTCAAATCCTTGTGCTAAACTATAATTACCTTTTTTGTAATCACCTATAGCAAAACAAGTTTCTGTACTTTGCAAATCTCGAAAGGATCCCTTCTTCATGATATGGGCTATATCTGGCTTCACCACTCTTCTTCTGTCCAATGGTGGTCTAATAATCGAGGGTTTGCCAAAATAGCTGCTTAAACCACATATATCACGATAAAGTAGCTTGATTGTACTCGCTAATTGTTCATTAAAATACTCTTGGATGTCCCCTTCAACCTGGTTCGCATCACCGAATGGATAAGCATAGGCAGAGGCTAGAAGTGGAATTTCAATGTTCGATCTTTTAAGAGCAGCATCAAGTGGAGCAAGGTATCTTTCTTTGAATCCATCACTACTTATCTCTCTAAATTCAGCCGTTGTCAATGCGTCGGTTACATAGACAAGAAGAGACATAAGGGGCATAATTTCTACTGAAATTGATGCATCACCTTTAGGCACTAGACTCCCTGAAGAGCTTTCTTGTTCACCGTGATCATCTCGAATCCTTAATAAGTGAGTATCCAAAAAAACTCTGGTATTTTGTTCATTGTTTTGGACCCTGGCATATAATTCAGCATTAATCCTGACACATCGGCTATTTGGATCATCTATAGTGATAGATTCACTTTCTTCACCAGAGAAGTACATGCATGGCATAATACCTAGTTATGAAATGGCTGTCTTATCGATCATATTTTACTTATCGATTTGTGTTCCGTTACTTTTTGCACGTGATATAACTAGTGGAGATGATTTTAGAAGTATCACAATAGTTATATGCTGAAACAACGAGAGCGTTTTGGTGACTCATTGCAAGAACTATACATGGCTATCATTTCCTTGTCCTAATTTTACATATTTCATGATTCTTAGTTCTTTTGATGTTCTCACTCTATTGACAAAATATTATTTAAAGTTAGCTGAGGAGTTTCCTGTAGCTGTCAATATGGTATTAGATGAAAGTGTGACAAGTCAATGCTGGCATCAGTAGCTCATCCGCTCGCTCCTCTAAAACAAAGATTTTCTTACGAAGTCCATTTACCCCTGCGATATATAATCCTTAATGCTTGAGTAACTCAATCAGTCTAATATGAGATATACAGTGTCCTTTTCCATATTTGAAGAAGAAACTTGCGATTGGTGAACTCTAATTGTACATTTCTCAGATACTTGTAAAAATCTTGAACTGATTTCACAACAACAAAAAACGATTTCGGGGGAAAAATTACTCTTAGTCAGATTCTTTTATAGACATCTCGAATTCCCAGTTAATAGGGAGTTCTAAATAGTTGTTTTAATTAGTAATTATTATGTCAGTTTTAAATATTCACTTAATGTAATGATTGCATACATCAGTACAACCATAATTAAAATGTTTATGATTGAGTATATATCAGTTCTAAATGTTGTATTGTTAGAGTCTAAGTTTCATACTTTGACTGTTATATAACGTTATAATTTGACCTAGTTAGACTCTTCAGATCCCATTCGAAGTAACATCGCGTCCTGCGTTTCTTAATAATTTCGTTACACAAAATCGTCCATAGTGTCTAGAAAATCAAAATGTAATTATTAAAATGAGATAGACACTAAGCTATATAAGCAGAGATTGAACTATCAGGATCATCGATTAATCGCATAAGTCAACTAATCACATTAGTGTCAAGTGGTCAAAAGATTACTGAAGTATAATGTCTTTCCAATTTTCTGGAAAAACTGGTGACGGTGGTCAACAAGATGATTCCAAAAAGCCGTTTTCCTTTACCTCAAACAATTCAAACAACAACGCGGGGCTTAATAGTGGATTTGGGGGTCAATCAAGTTCAGAGCCTAATAAAGGGAGTTTCTCAGGATTTGGGTCTACAGGACCTTCTTCAGGCGGATCGTTATTTGGGAATCAGAATTCTGATGCAAACAAGCAAGAAAATAAACCGTTGTTTGGTGGAACAACCTCACAATCAGGAGGTCTTTTTAATAGTCTGACTTCAGGTTCATTATTTGGTGGTTCATCTGCTGCGACAGGTAATTCTGAGTCTAACAGAGATAGCAAGCCTTCCCTCTTTGGTGGAAATAACTCGAATAATAGTCAGCAAAGTAACTCTACTTTTTCCTTTGGAAAACCTGCTGGTGGTGCTTCTGGCACCACTGACCAGAATAAACCACTTTTCGGGGGTTTTGGCGGTAGCTCAAGTAATACTGGTTTCTCGACATCAGGTGGTGCATCGTCGGAGAAAAAAGAGTCCACTCCCGCATTCAGCTTCAGTGCTTCCAATGATAAGAAGGAAGAAAAGAAGCCTGGCTTCTCTTTTGGCGCAGCCAATACTAAGGACCAAGGTTCCGCTTCTACTTTCGGCGCGAATACTGACAAAAAGGATAACAAGCCCAGTTTCTCATTTGGTAGCTCTTCCGTAAATAGCAGTGACGCAAAGCCAGCCTTTTCACTTAGTTCAACTAGCGACAAGCAAAATAAGGCCCCCAAAGTATCCTTTGGTGGTGTAAGTGAAAAGAAGGAAGAAAAACCAGCATTTTCGTTTGGTTCTTCTGAAAAGAAGGATGAAACGCCAGCGCTTTCCTTTGGTTCTTCAACCGAGAAAAAGGACGAAAAACCGGCGTTTTCGTTTGGTGGACCAAGTGACAAGAAAGATGATAAACCTTCACTTTTCGGCAAACAAGATGACAAAAAAGAGAGCAAAGCTCCAACCTTCAGTTTTGGAGGAACCGCAGACAAGAAAGAAGAAAGTAAGCCAGCATTTGCATTGAATGGAGGAGGTGATAGCAATCAATTCTCATTTGGAAAACCAAGTGAAAACACGGCCAGCAAATCATCTCCTTTGTTTGGGGGACTAAATAAAACTCCTTCGGCTCCCGAGAAAAAAGAGTCTACACAATCAACTGGTGGACTATTTGGAAATAATTCTGAAGAAAAGAAGAAAGATTCTAATCAAGGACCTACAGGTGGATTATTTGGAAATAAGACGCAGGACAAACCAAGTATGAATAATGGGGGCTTGTTTGGAAAGGCCTCCGACAGTCCTTCTAATAATAATACCTCTAGTTCTTTATTTGGCGGAAAATCAGATGACAAGAAGGATACAGGCAGTTCGTTCTCATTTGGGGGAAGCTCGACTGTTGGATCAATAGATACTAAGAGCAGTGAACCAAAGTCGGGGGGCTTCAGCCTTGGTACCAAAGCCCCAGAGGAGACAAAGGACTCTAAATCTGGCACAGCTGGCGGATTCTCGTTCGGTTCCAATAAAGATTCGTCATCATCTGGGTTTACATTTGGAGGATCTAAGGATGATGGAAAGAAAGAGGAATCATCCACAGGAAAATCGACTTTTGGCTTTGGCAACGCTTCTAATACAAACACGATTTCAAGCACGGCTACGAATGTTAAAAATGGGGATGAAAACAGTTCGAGTGCTACTACAACAACCACTAAGCAAGAGCCGTTATTGAAACCAACGAAAATTGAGCCGAAAGTCATATCTATTGACAATCAGACGATGGATGACTTGATCATGAAGTGGTCAAAGCAATTAACAACAACTTCCAATATATTTGATTCCTACACATCTAAAGTAAGGCAATGGGATCAGCAGCTTGTTTCTAGCGGTGAAGAGATTGCTAGCTTGAATCAAGACACATTGGAAGCAGAAGCATTACAAGTTAAGATCGACCAGCATTTACTTTTTGTGGAAAATCAACAAGAAGAATTGGACAAAGTTCTTGACAATTATGAACAGCAAGCAGATATTCTCCTCAGTAATATTGAGTTGAACACACAAAGCGAGTCTAGTGCTTTGCAAAGCTTTTCTCAATCTGGTAATGCTAACGGTGGATTAAGCGTTACAGACAAATTACGTGAGAAAGCATACCACAACGCAGAACTCTTAGACGAACGTCTTGATAATATGGGTGATAACTTGTCCACACTTATAAATGAAATAAATTCAGTTAGCGATCTGTTCAATAAGAAACTTATACATGAATTAGCACCATCGAAGGATTCTTCTTCCGAAAACTCAATCGAAGAAATTGTCAAAGTCTTGAATCTTCATTTGGAAAATTTGAGATATATTGAAAAATCAGAAGATCAATTAAAAGCCAAGCTTTCCAAACTCAACAGAACTTAATGTGTATATTTCTTGTTTAATATCCGATAGCAACGGTGAGAAAGCTTTAATTACATATCTACAAATTTATGTTGAAAACTATATAAGTTGCACCTTACTATCTTAATAGCCGTGTGTCGTATGATACATATGTGTTTAAACATAGTACTTTATGAATTAACAAATCCAGTGGTTTTTAAGGATATCATTCTTACGGTACCATTGTCTCTAACTTGTTCAGTATCACTTTCATCAAATCATTAGACTTATATCTTAAATGTACGTATTAATTTTGGTGTAATTCTTTTGGGCTCTTTAAGTTCGCATATGAAAGTTGTAGATACTTTTTGGTCTCAACCCCACAACAAACCTTCTTTCCTAAGATTACTTTAAATTTATATAACCGGTGCTGTTGATAACTTCTGAAGTGAGCAGGTAGAAATCTAAGGTTTAATTTAAACTTAAAGACATAATTATAGGAGCTACTGTCGTCATAATAAACGATATCTTTCGAGTTCTTTTCATCTAGTCAATTCAACTAGATTTCGATAATTAACTACCAAATTACATCAAATCGTTGATATATTCGATACGAAATGGCTCCACCAGTTTTTGAGCTCATCAAGTTGGTCTTCAATCCCGATGTTTCTAAGAAATTGATTTTACAGATTGCTTATCAGCAGATATCAGCGATCGGAGTTTGGAAGGTTTTGGCATTTCTTTTGAGCTCATCTATCGTTGGTATTTCCTCGATCATAAAGATACCGCAAATAAAACGTATTGTTAAACAGAACAATTTGGAAGCCAAGGTCAAGGTTGTCGAAGGATTGTCCTTAAAATCAATTAATCTTGAACTCTTGACTCAATTAATTCATTGGAGTTATAATGCAAGAAACAAAAATATGTTTATCACTTATGGTGAGAGTATACTACTTGGAATACAGAACTTAGTGATTGAGTTTTTGATTCATTATTACCGCTTAAAGGCAGAGTTAGAGGAGGAAGACTTGTTGTCTGATAAGCAAAGGCAGAACAAGCTACTTAAAGGATTAGTCAAACCATTGCTAATCAATCTTGCCACTCTTATCACAGTATTGAAACTATTACCCGATGACACGCTTTCTGTATTACAAATCTTGAATATTCCTCTAGGAATAGTATCGAAAGTACCTCAAATACTCAGAAATCACGAGCTTAGATCCACTAAACACCTTTCTCCAATACCAATAGTTGCTAACACTCTAGGATCAGCGATCAGAATATTTACAACGATTCAAATGAAAGGAGGTACGCTTCTTTTAGTGGGCTATTCTAGCTCGTTCCTTTTGAATGCTGTTCTAGCTGGCCAATGCTACTTCTACAGCAAAGATGAGCCAAAAGAGGGAGAAAACAACAGCAAAAAGGGCGAGAGGTATGAAAAGGACGAAAAAGTATGAGCTTAGTCAATTCTCATTTCTCTCTTTGTATAGAATACCTATCGAAATAATTTAATGTTTGTTCTATCATTCTCTCTCTCTCTCTATATATATATGTATTTGGAAATTCTCGATAATCACTGAAATTTGATTTATTTGGACAAAAGCCATCAATTCGATCATAAGAAAAGCAAATAGTACTCAAATATGGTTCATAAGGCAAGCTTCTTACCAGAGACTGGTACCGAGATCACTTCAGTATTACAAGGAGGTTATAACCATCCATTAGCCAGAGAATGGCAGTGTGAAAGACAATTATCAAAGAACATGTTCATCTTTCCGCTCTTTGTGACCGACGATCCGGAAGAAGAATCTGATATTCCTTCGCTTCCAAACATCAAGAGGTATGGCGTTAACAAACTCATTCCTTATGTGAAGACTCTAGTTGATAAAGGATTAAGGGCTGTGATCTTATTTGGCGTTCCTTTGAAAGATGGTGTGAAGGACGAAGTAGGAACGGCAGCAGATGATCCGGATGGACCTGTGATCTTGGCAATTAAGTCTCTCAAGAAGGCTTTCCCTGACTTGTTCATAATGTGTGACGTGTGTCTCTGTGAGTACACTTCACATGGTCATTGTGGGATATTATACGAAGATGGTTCCTTGAACAGAGAAAAATCTGTGTTAAGAATTGCATCAGTAGCTGTTAACTACGCAAAGGCGGGTGCCAATTCCGTAGCACCATCAGATATGGTGGATGGTAGGATCCGAGATATTAAAATTGGCCTAATCAACGCTGGTATTGCTCATAAGTGTCTTGTGATGTCCTATGCGGCCAAGTTCAGTGGATGCTTGTACGGACCTTTCAGAGATGCCGCTGGGAGTACCCCAAGCCACGGAGACCGTAAGGCTTACCAGTTACCATCTGGTGGATCTGGATTGGCACGCAGAGCTTTGAAGAGAGATTTAGAAGAGGGCGCTGATGCAGTGATAGTCAAACCTTCTACATTTTATTTGGACATTATAAGTGATGCTTCTAAGCTTTGTGAAGATTATCCAATTTGTGGTTATCATGTTAGTGGTGAATATGCTATGCTTCATGCAGCAGCTGAGAAAGGCATTGTTGATTTGAAGGCCATTGCGTTTGAGAGCCACCAAGGACTTCTTAGAGCAGGCGCCCGTCTTATAATAAGTTACTTCACCCCAGAATTCTTAGAATGGTTACAGATTTGAAGTGGATCTGTCTTATGATAAAGAATAATAAGCACGTGGAAATTAAATAGTCTATATATGTTAATAAAAAATGATCCACTGTGTACGTATTAAAATATTCATGCTAATGTTGGTTCCTTATGGTTTGAGGAGGATCTATCGCTAATCTCAGGTTCAGTTTCCTTAGGAGGTGTTGCCACAATATCCTCGCTTGGTACATCAGGAAGTAACTCTTCCTTTGGTGCTTCTGGAAATATAGTATCCTCTTCTTTTGATCCATTGACTTCTTTCTCTAATTTCTCTAATTCCTCGTCAACTTCAAGCTCCTCTTTGTTGGTCAAGTTGTTTCCTAATGCATTTGAAACTTCGTCAACCTGAACTCTATTTTCTTCAAGATCGTCCATAAGCTTGTCTATCTTTTCTATTTTCATTTCCTGATTCAATTTATTTAACACTTTGTTCCCTTCTTTCAAGCCATATATTACATCCTTCTCAATGAGCTTAAACTCAATTGTATTTATTAAATTCTCCAAATTATCCAATTGCTGATATGTCTTACTGATTGTAGATTCTTGCTGCTTCTTTGACCTAAGATAAAACTTTGCTTTCTCAACTTCTTTTTGCTTGATAGCTTCACGAGCAAACGAAGATTGCTTATCAACCAATACTGTTAGACGTTTTTGATACTGTTTCAACCTATCCCTTTGCTGTTTCATTTGGAAAATAGCCCTATCCTGGCTAGTAATCTTTGGAGCTGATGCCTGCTGTCCCATAGCTCCTCTCTAAACCAAAGTTCACTGAAATCTGATTCAATTAAGATTTACTGTTAGTGAAACAAATTTTTTATAGGGAGCGCCGCGATCACTACAGGTGCTAAGGATGTGGCATTTAGATCCATTAAATTATATATTTATTCAACTAAAGACTTGAAGGTCCTTCCAATATGGCTTAAGCTAGTATTCTCTTTCACTGTGAAGATGAAGGGTTTGTAATTGTATTGTCAAACAAATAAAGTTTACTTCCAACGATGAAAAGACACTAATTTTTCAAGTCCTTGCAAGAAATAGATGTCTAATAAGGGTACAAGATCATTCAAGGTTTTCAGATGTTTCTGGATGTTTTCCTGACTTTTCTTAAGATAAATGCATAAGTTAGGCTTTTAAAGATACTTGACTTACGAATTGGTATCTAAGGTTGAATTACTTTCTCTCATGTCTATCATGGGAAAGAGTACGTTGGGACCGGACCATGTCATCTCGTAGAAATCCTTGTGAATCAAAACTCAGCATGGATATACTAATCATGGAATATGAAACAAAGTGGTCCAACGTCATTTTAATTACCTAATTTTCTAACCATAATAACTAAATAAAATTAATGAGAAGAGGTGGTTGAAACTTAAAGAAATCTTTCTAAATGACATTGAAACTAGAGATATATCCTTTGAAGCCTATCATACCAAAGAGGTTAATGTGATGATGTCTTCGCATCTTATTATGTAATATATCATATGAGGGTCTTCAGATGTCTTGTAGCTTGACTATTGTTTGATCAAGCCTTTTGGTTGCAGATAAAATCTAATTGCAAAATTTGAATATCAGTCAGAACTTTTTAGCTCCTTTGTAAAGTTATACCACGAAATATAGCAAATGATCTGAGGCTTTACCTCAGAACATGATCTGACTAGCAGTGCCTATACTTATCTTGGCCAGAAGCAAACAATACTATCGACCCGCAAAGATTCGAAATACCACATATAAACTGGCTATAAGAGAGCCAGTTTTATTGATTCAAGGTATATTTCAATTATTCTAGTCTCGATTTAATTCCTTGGATACCTCATAGTATTGAAAGCCATAGTATCAAGCCAATCTTTTTCTAGTAAACCGAATAAGGTTTCTTTTACAAGGGCCACTTATTGTATAAACTATTTATTACTTTATCGGTCAATCATAAGTTAAAATTACTAAATTTTACTCACTATTACTCAACATGGAAAAGAAATCAAATACCCCATTACTGTAAGTTTATTAATGACTACTGTGGCCTTAAAAGTTGATAAAAAAAAAAATTCAGTATTGTTGGTGTTCAGCCTTACTGTTGCAGCAATTTTGATAATTTAAAAGGGAATTCTTGCTTATCAATCTACCTTACTTTAACATTAAAAACAGGGAGAACTATTGCGATGATGATTGCTCAGTAAGGTTCAAGCCTACCTAGCCATTGTAAGTATCTCCTGTAATGACCTCTATCGCTATTCTCCCCACCCCTAATTTTTTGCTAAACCATGTCTATCACTATATTTGAACTATTCGCAGCAACGCAGTTCTTAGCTAATTATCTAAAAATTATTGAAAGCACCTGGTATTTCAGTGGCTCTCTTAAATTTTCTCATATGTGGCGGTGGAGGCGCTGGACCCTCTTTAGCTTTTTGGCTAGCCCGTAAGGACCATAATGTCACTGTTATAGAGCGTTTTCCAGCTGTCAGAGCAACTGGGGCACAAATTGACATTCGTGGCCAAGGCATTGAGGCCGTAAAGCGAATGGGATTGTTCAATGAAATCCGTAGAAAAGTGGTTAATGAAGAGGGTATGTGTTTAGTTGATGCTAAGGGTAATACTAAAGCGCTATTTCTAGCCAATAAGTCTGGTAAAGGTGCTCAGAGTTTTACCTCAGAGTATGAGATAATGCGAGGAGATCTTGTCAGAATACTCTATGACGCAACCAAGGATAACGTGGAGTATATTTACAACATGACGATTGAACGCTTTGAACAAGATGAGGATTATGTGACAGCTTACTTCTCGGACGGCCAGACAGGTAAATATGATATTCTAGTTGGAGCTGATGGTCAATGTTCTCGTATTAGACAGGCCATTCAGCCTCCTGACGCTCCGGATCCTATCAAGCGATTTGGGGTGTAAATGGCTTACTGGTTTGTACCTCGAATAGCAAGTGATAAGAACTTCTTTAAAGTGTATCTAGTGCCTGGTTCACGAGCGGTGGTATGTAGGAGTCATAGTACTACTGAAACGCAAGCCTACTTTGCTCTCAATGACGATTCAGAGGAATTGGAAAAAATGCCGAAGGCTTCGATGGAGAAGCAAAAAGAGTTTTGGTCCCAGAGGTTTCAGGGAGCAGGATGGCAGAAAGACCGCTTTATCGAAGGCATGAAATCTACAGATAACTTCTACTGTCAAGAAGTTATTCAGATACACACAGGTACATGGTATAAGGGCCGCGTGGTTCTTCTTGGAGATGCAGCAAAATGTCCGTCTTCAGCTAGTGGCATGGGTACTTCTAGTGCTTTAATCAGTGCTTATGTCTTAGCTGGGGAGATTGTTGGGAACAGTAAAAACCTTACTCAAGCGTTTGCAAACTATGACAAGACCATAAGACCATTTATCAATCGTATCCAGAAACTTAATGGTGCCTCAATGAGATTGCCTAAAACTAAGCTCGGTGTCTCTCTGATTCTTTTTCTTGCGAGATTGCTTTGTTTCTTCCGAATCCCATATCTTATCACCAAGTTTTCAAAAGAAGAAAAGGGAGGCTGGCAGTTACCAAGCTATGGAAGTATCAAATTGAATGAGTAGCTCGGTTCTACGTTTTCCTATGTATCGGCGAAATAATTAATTCTAATATTCTCTTTACTATACCAGTACCCATGAATTTCATTAAAATGATATTTCTTGTTGCTTTCGCAATGGAACTTGGCTTAGTCAATGATTCTTTCAAACTTTACTATACTTATTACGAAATCTTTAGTATCAGTTTTAACCTGCTGATATTTTGACTTGTATGATTCACAAAAGGATGTAATGGACCGTATGCGATCTCTCTTGTCAAATGTGCTCTAATGAGAATATAAGCTTCAAAAAGAGCTGTACTTATTAAACGTTGTTGAGGAAGAATAGGTTAACCAGGGGGGTCAGCTTTCGTTGACCTTTGATCTTCGACGTCGTCCTTATGGGTAGAATTAACTGGAGATATTGGAAGATTTCACACCCAAAGTACTTTTGTGTTCAAAAGCGGTGGGAACATCTCAAGCGAGGATTTTTAAGAATATTATCAATAAGTATGATCTCAAGCCTTAAAAGCTCTTAAAGAGGACACATAAGATGGAAGAGGGTAGCAGTTTACGGCTGAGTGAGAAAAGTAGCCTAAAGAGTCCCAAGAAAAACTCAGAGGATGATTTCATTAAGCCTATAAGATTGGCAAAACGACAAGACCATAAGCAAGATAAGCAAGATAAGCAAGGTGGTAAGCAAGACAAACAGGATCCAGAAGAATTCCAATGCAGACCGATCAGATTAAGCAGCAAGTCTAGTAATCGAGACGAGGGACCACCTCTGAATCAAACCAGTCCTAAGAGTAAGAACGGTAGAAGACGATCTATTCAAATAAAAAATCTTCCTATTGTGGAACAAGCAACTCAAGTTCATGAAGAAAACAGTACTGATGACATGATATTTGCGATCTGCGTTGTTGATTTCCATCACGTAAGGGGCCCAGAGATCCAATGGTGGAAATCTAACTATTATCCAGAATACAATGCAGCTTTGTTTAAACAACTTCCATTTCAAGCATTGCCAGACGGCTCACATTTATTTGAAGAAACGTTTTCAAACTTCAATCTCGTATACGACTTCCATAAGGGGGTAAGCATCGATGATTATGACGATTTAAACAAGTATGACAGTGATCCTCGAAATTTGAAGACCTTATTTGGTTGCTCATGCGTCAGACAGATTAAAACAACAGATTTGTCGAACGAAGAGAGAGAAAGAAACAAGGATATTACGAGATCCATAGTACAGAAAGCGGTAGTAGTAATAGCGAGAAAGCAACCTATTTTTACTAAGATCAAGGAAAAACTTTCGATAATTGCCCAAAGCTATTTTTTGCAAGATACCTTCAACAACTTTGAGGTATTGGAAAACTTGTTCGCTAACTTGAACGCAAGTTTCAAGCTTATTGATAATGAAGTTGAGATTGGCGATTCTGTATTACAAGAAGAGCAAAAATATTTGCAAGAAGAAGAGTTTTTTGTCAATTTGAATCTCAAGAATACTATTTTGAATATTGGATCAGTTTTTTTGATTGTCTTTAAAAGCTTATTACTAGAGAAGAAAGTTGTGATATTTTCAAACAATAATATAGAAATGCTTACTCAATTTCAAAACAATTTGATCAGCCTTATACCCAATTTAATTAATAGTTTGGATGACTCAGGATGTGCATTAATAGATTATGTTGAAACCAACGGTCCTCTCAAAAAACCAAACTCATTGAATACTACTAATAGGAAGTCGATGTTACGATTTTTTGGTCTTCCATTGCAAATATTTAATACCAAGGGATCATTTTGGACTCCTTATCTACCACTCCAGCAGATTGAAGAATTGAAAACTAAGAGCTACATGGTTGGTTGCTCTAACTTATTAATAGTCAACCAGGCAGAAAGATTCAAAATTGATGTATTAATAAACTTGGATACAAACGAGGTGTCTTTCCCGAGTGGTAAATTAGATGAATTGCATCTTAGCCATAATGATAAGAAGTTTATTAATAACTTAATAAAAAACATAAGTGAAGAGAACAGTGAATTCTTTGGGAATGACGACCACATTAGGTACCAATTTGAAGATTATTTATGTTCTTTGATCTCAACATACCGATTCTATCAATATGTCGAAAGATTTAAGCAGGACCCGCCTGGATTCGATAAAACTGAATACGAAGTGGGTAATCTAGCACAATTCCACGTTCCTTTCGTGGATGCTTGGTCGCGGACCAACAATTTCAAGATTTGGGATATGATGGCAGATGAATTCATATTCAATTTCATTGACCCCAGACATGTTGGAGCAGCTCTCAGCGACTCTCTGTCAAACAAGCTCACTAGTTTGTTTCAAAATTTTAGAATAAAGGCTCAGAATATTGACACATCTGATACCAAAGTTCAAAAGTTTCTTCCTGAGACAGAGCATTCGAAGATAGAAAATAGTGAAAAGGGTAAGGAGAACGATGAAAACCTCAAGGAAGAAGAAAATGAAAATGAAAAGGAAGCGTCACCTATTTCAAAGAGAATCTCAAGCTGGGGATGGGGATTCAAGACGAGGTAGAGTGCAAGCTATTCAATTGTTTATAGGCCACAGAGCATCAGAACAAATATCTAATATGTTCTACTATGCTAGATAGTAGTTAGGAGATTTATAATATAGAAATTAGCACTTTTATCACTACGATTGTGTGTACACTTATCAGGCATAGTAAATTCTTAATATATGGGTCGCACCATCTCATCTCTAAATTTTTCAGTTTTGGTGATGAGCAGATAGGTGTTGATAAATTAAGATAAAATTGAACTCTAATAAAGAAATGAAGCATCCGTTCCATCTAGTTCTCTGTGATGAAGATGGCCAACGTCTTTTTGCCTCGGTGAAAAATCATTTACAGGTGTTTGAATTGAAAACTGGTAAAGTCCTTGGATCATGGGTTGATGAAGAAGATTATACAACTCCATTAAAGAAACAACAGAAGGAAAAAATCGAAGCACTCAAGAGCAAAGAAGGAAATAAAGATGCAATTTCCCTGAAAAAACTAAAACTGAACGAAGAGAAACCTATAAAAGTGCCGAAGATTCCTGTTCCTGGCCCGGGAGCGCCCCAAATATATAATACCATTAGAAGTTTGAGTTTATCAAAAGACAATAGGCATCTTATAATAACGACTGATAGTGATAAATCGGTTGTTATATTTGAAATCAACTATGAACAAGAAAATTGTCTTCATATGATCAAGAGACAAGTTTGTCCAAAAAGACCTTGTGCAACTTCTATAGACGACAATAAGGTAATTATAGCGGACAAGTTTGGTGATATTTACTCCATTCCTCTTGATTCTTCTCCTTCGCTCGATGAGAAGAATCTTAAACCTTTATTAGGACATGTTTCGATGTTGAGTGATGTTATTCTTACATCTTACAATGGTAAAAAGTACATCATCACTTCGGATAGAGATGAGCACATAAGGATATCTAACTACCCAAACACCTTTGTGATTCGAAACTGGCTTTTTGGGCATCATGAGTTTGTATCTACTCTCAATATCCCAAAATTTGAACCAACTATGCTTATAAGCGGTGGAGGAGATGATTACTTATGTATTTGGAATTGGGTTGAAGAGAAGCTAGTTTCCAAAGTTGACTTACGTGAGATCATAGAACCGTTCTTAAATGATGATCATCTACCACCTGAAAGATTTTTGGAAGAGGATTCTCCAAAGGAGATTGCCGTTAGTAAAGTCTTGACATACTTGAATCCTTTGAACCAGCGTAAGTTTGCCTTTGTCGTTTGTGAAAATACTTCATGTATTATCGTGTTTGAAATCATAGGCTTTTCATTCATAAGGAAGCAGACTTTCAAAACGAGTCACCCTATTATAGATTTATGTTTGATAGAGAAGACAGGGTACTTAATCGGTGCCCTTGATACAGAATCAGACGATAAGTTATTGGCGTTTTATAAAATGAATGAGAATCAAGAATTAATGCCAGTAGAGAACGATGACTTGGTGAAAAAGATTTCGACATCGAATGAGTGCAACGCTGACTCACGGAAAGAATTTTATCCCTTCTATCATGTCAATACGTTAAGAAAGAGAAGCGAGCATTAGAAATAAAAATGTTGATATTAAATAAACCATATAAATAGTATCAAAAATCAAATAATTCACTCGACAAACCCCCCTTGTTTACACAAAGAGTAAAATAATGACGAGCTATCCTTAAGTAAGTTTTCTGGGGAGTCAAATTCCTTGACTTCTCCCTTTTCTAAAACAATTATTTTGTCTGAGTCTATAATTGTGTTTAATCTATGGGCAATTGTAATAATAGTTTTTTCTTTAAATTCAGTCCGTATAGTTTGTTGTAATATTTGGTCAGTTTCAACATCCACAGCAGCAGTAGCTTCATCTAGAACCAAAATGTTAGAGGTTTCCAATTTTAACAAAACTCTGGCTAAGCACATTAATTGCTTTTGTCCAGCCGAAAGGTTGGAACCCCCTTCACTTACTCTCACATACAATGGTGATTCGATATCATCCACATCATCAGCATCATTGTACATTTTGTTAACATGATCCTTCAAGTGAGATAATTCAAGAGCTCGCCACAATTGATCATCGGTGAAAATATTTGTAGGATCCAAATTAGACCTTATTGACCCTTCAAAGACCTGCGAATCTTGCGGAATGATTGAAAGTCTTTCTCTCAAGTCTCTCAATCCAATTGTGCTAGTCTCAATATCGTCAATTACAATATCACCACTTACTTTTTCGATTATTCTAAAAAGGGCTAATGTCATTGATGATTTCCCGGCACCTGTTCTTCCGACAATACCTATCTTTTCCTTGGATTTGACTGATAAGTTAATATTTTTCAACACCAAATCTAACTCTGGTCTGTATTTAGTTGAATAGTTATTGAAAGATATTTCTCCCTTCAGTGGCCAAACGGTTGGTGGTCTATGGTCTTCAATGATTTCTGGAGCTTCTGGCTTTAACTTGGAGTATTCAAGGATTCTCTCCACTGAAACAATGTTGTTCTCAACATCGACGGACATTCTAACTATCCAATTCAATGATTGGGTAATTTGAAGTGCATAAGAAACAGAAATACCAATCATTCCAGCAGTGATACGTCCAGAGTCAAGGTTAAGGATCGAAAGACCAGAAGCACCCAAAATAATGAGTGAGCCCAAGAATTCTAAACGAACCGCTAACCATCTATTTGCACTCATCGAAGGGTGGTTTGCGCTAGTGTTCTTATCGACTTTTGACTCATTCAAAGCCTTAAACCTATGCTCTTGACCGTAAGCCCTTATAGTAGTGACCCCGTTCAAAGATTCTTGAAAGTTTGCATAAATAGGAGACCTGGAGACGGATTCCAATCTTTTAAGTTCTCTCGATGTCTTCAAATAATATTGCTGATAATAAATATAAAGGACAGAAAGTGGAACCAATAAGAAAATGATTGGCCAAGTTGAAAATGCAATTACGCCAATTGTAAGTGTGACCTTAACAGCATTACTAATGAACATGGCGAACAGTCTTCCGACAATTTCATCAAGCTTAAAGACATCGCTCGAAAACCGATTCAAGATTCTTCCAATAGGTGTTGTTTCAAAAAATGACATCGGTGCTCTTAAAACACTGTGAGCCATTTCAGTATGCAACTTCTTAGAAGCATTAATCGTACAGTAGAGCCACATAACACAATTTTGAACCAATAAAATAATAGAATATGCCATTCCTAGGAAGAAATAAATACCCAAATATTTCCAGATGTGTGGGTTTCCGCCATACTTCGAATTAACTTCAGACCAATGCTTCAACCAAAAGCTGGCCGCAATATTATCAAACATTCCTAAAACACACATTGAAACAAAAGCGATAACACCAGTCGGGTTACAAGCATAACCATATGCTTTATAAACACTCCATTTGACTTTACCTTGTTGCATGGTTTCCCTTCTAGATTTCGATTCGCTGCTTTCTTCTTCCTCTCCTTCAATAGAATACTCTTCATCAGAACTTAAGGTCACTTCAGAAGCTCTTCTTAAACTATTGGAATCTATATCTGCCACGGAGTCCAAGCTTTCCAAAGCATCCTTATTCTCCTCCACCAATTCACCTTCTTCACTAGAGTTGCTATAGTCATCACTATCAGATTTCTTAGATCCGAATTCAAGGATCAACTTACGTAACTGGCTGTCCTCTTGCTTCATTATATCATAATAAGTGCCTTGTTCAATTAATTTTCCATCTTTAAGAAGGTGAAGCTTATGTGCGTCACTTAAAACGCCAATTGAATTGGTAGCCAATATTCTGCATTTTGATTTCAATAAACCTCTCGGACCGATCACATTATCAATAAGGTGCTTGCGGACATGCTCATCAACAGCAGAGAGGGGATCATCCATCAAATAAACGTCAGCTCTAGCATAAACTGCTCGCGCCAACGACAATCTTGCCTTTTGACCCCCTGATAAACTGATACCTTTTTCACCAACTTCAGTTTTATCACCATTGGGCAAGGTGCTCAAGTCAATTGTTAAAGCACATGCCCTCAACACCAAATCATAGAAATTCGGGTCATATTTATGTCCAAAGAGAATATTTTCTCTCACAGTGCCATTCATTATCCAAGGAGATTGAGGTACGTAGGCGACTTTACCTTTGAGTTTTACTTGGCCCTCGAGTTTGTATAAATTACCAAGCATGGCCTGAAGCATTGATGATTTTCCAGAACCAACTTTTCCAACGATACAATCTAATTCGCCTTTCTTAACTTGCAAGTTAATCTTTTCCAAGGCTATTTTGAGATTTTGACCACTTTTGACTTTCGACCATAAAAATGTGCCATTCTGAATGGAAACGGCTGGTTCATTCTTACTTGGTGTTCTTGAATCTCTTATTACACTATCAGGTTGCAACTCATCAGCAGTCAAAAACTTGTATAATCTGTCAACGGATACTTGGGATTCAATGATATTCGTGATAACCATAGGGAGAACAGCAAGAGGAAAGTTTAATAAATTGAACAAAGATAAGGCAGGAAAAACGATATCAGTAGTCAAAGACTTCTTGAGCACCAAAACAAATATTGCAAAAGTAGAACAACTGACAAGAGTGGGTGCCAAAGTCAAACTGAAGTTGATAACAGCAGAAAAGATACCCATTTTCTTCAAGTTACGCAATTCTTTCTCATTTCTCACAATATTTAATTTGGATAAATATGGATTCTCCCAAGCATACAATTTAAGGGATTTTATGTTGTTCAAAATCTCACTTATCAATCTAGATCTCTCGTCTTTGAATTTCATTTGACTCTTCTGGAGCTTCTTTTGATATCTTGCAAAAGTTGCATTTAATGGAATCATGATGATCATAATCACAACACCAGCCCACATAGCATTTCCCAATAAGCCATGCAAAGAATATAAACACATAGTGATTTGAAAGGGTCCTGACCATATGACTTGCAAATTCTGAGCCAAATCCAGAAGACGCTGTACATCAACTGACATCAAATTCACTATATCACCAGTATTTGATTCTTGTTTTGTTTCATTCGACAAGATTAAAGACTTATTGTAAACCAGGGCGATAAGAGAGCTTCTTATTTTCATTCCGACATCAAAGGCTCTTTGAAAATACTGATGTAAACAAGCTGTTTGTGTGACAGAGACAATGAACATACCACCAGCGATAAATAAGCCTCTTGTTAAAGGTAATGTGTGACCATTTTTTTTGGCTTCTGTATAGTCGTTAACAAACTCAATCAAAAGTCTCAAAAGATGAGGTTGGACATTCGCCAATATATCTTGAGCTGCCTTAAACACACCTGCCACTGCAAATTGAGCAGCAATAGATAAGCCAACAGCTTTGAATAACGACTTCTTGGTTTGTAAATCCCAAAAATGTCTAAACCTGCTATAAGTATTCTCAGATTTCAAGTCCTTGGGTAACGGAGGTAAATCACGAGCCGTTAGGTATTTCATGTAACCTTTTTTCATGAGGGCATCTAACCAACGGAAAGTAAGTCTTGAAAATAAATTGGCTTTATCAACAGGAGATACTTTTACCTTGACATTAAACGGTACCAATGGCTGCATTGGGAAATTTATTTCCATTAATAATATCAAAAATGATGTGACAGTAGCAAACACAGTCAAGAGAGCATAGCTAGTGTGAATGGAGTTTCTCAATTTCAAATTACAAATTTTACCCAATCCAAGTAACGTTTGAACAAACCAATAAAATATAAGCACACCATTAGGTATCCTCGACTTAAACTGCTCCAAATAATGAATAGCCAAACTTACTACTGTAGCAAACACATTCATCAATAGGGCAAGTTTTATTATGTCCGTAGAGGTGTAACTCAAGTAGGTGGCAACTTGAAATACCAATTGAATAGTAACCAAAATCAACTTGGCGTAAAAAGACCAAGTAACTCGATTCCCTATAGACTTCTTTTTTCCACGCAAGTAGTAGATTTGATAACTGCCTACCAATATCATCATCAAGGCTGTGAACCCACATAGTATACCTTGGAAAGTACAAGGTGTAAAATCACCAAATCTAGTCGATAATGGGCCCCATCCTTCCAAGCTATCGGAACATGTCAACCATCCTTCTGCCAAGTTGTCACTATTCACAATAGGTTCATTTATAAATGCTATTTCATCAACTGTTTTATTTCGATGATAGTTGAAGCCTATTGGAAATGTACCTATAAAGCTCAACTTATCATGAAGAAAATAGGCTTCCCAACCAGGAGAATTCACTTGTTCCATGATTAATTATCTCAAAGTATATCTGAACGTATATTACCTATAGATAAAATAACTTTATGGTGAGAATTAATAGACTCCTGAGCCTTCGTCACTAATAATGATACATTATAAATGTGCCGTGCCTTGTATTACAAATCGCACTAAAATTTTGTCGGTTACAATTACTGTATATAACGTAAGAGAGATTTATCTCCGACACAGCAATAGGATGAAAGAATATAGGTCGAAGCCTCCAAAGGAGGCTTTTGAGCTTACTTAAATAAATTCTTCAATTTATTCTTCTTTTTATGCTTTTCCGGGGACACCTGGGAGTCTGAAGTGTAGTTATTTTGCAGCCTTTTCTGATAATGCAGAGGAAGGGAAGATGACGAAGATGTTGCAGCAGCAGCAGCAGTTAAACGATGAGCATCCAGAGTATTTGGTACGGCCGATAATGGAGGTGCTTTAGGACGATCAGGTTCGAATAGATATAAGGGAGGTTCTGTGGGTTGATTCAATTCTCGGATGAGATTTAAGTCAAGGTCATTAGAACTTTTAGCCGTATCGATACTTTGAAGACCGATAAGGAAATCTCTGGGCCTCAAAATGGTCTCTGAGCCGATGTAGAAATCTTTATTGAGTTGATCCGAGAGCTCATAAACGGAGCGCATTTCGGAGTAAGTCATTCCACCTGCGACGTAACAAAAGATGCGTTGTTTTGGTCTAAATGAACTTTGAGACACCTTGTTGGATGGTTGAGCCCAAGATGCTTTTACTCTCGCATTTCTTAAAGAACTTGGATTGTTGGTGCTTGAGGAGGAAAGTGTGCCACCAGATGCAGGGATGTCATCCTCAAGAGGTTTGTCACGAAAGTAGGGAAATGCATCTTCATCTTGTTGATATTTTGCTACGTTCAAGAGAACATTCTTTAAACCTGGAATAAACCTTGAAGTATTGTAGGTGCCCTCATTATTTATGGTATGATACATATGTCTGATGACTTTCTTTGCCTGCAAATTTTCTTTGACTATGGGGAAGCCTAGCTTGTGGAGGTTAGTAAAGCACCGAGAGATGAGGGAAATGATTTGACGATCATTAACGCCAATAAATTTCACCAATTTTATAAAATCTGCTTCGATCAACCCTCCACGATAGAGACCATAAATTAACACTAGTCTCATTTTATCGTTTATGTGAAGGTCATCTCTAGCCAAGAGAACAATCAAATCATCATGTAAATTTTTGTTGCGAACACCTTCGAAGCTAACACCATTTGCTGCACACGTTTGCTCAAAATCGGCAGCAAACTCTGCCAATTTTCTAGAGGCGTTGATATCGAGACATTCATCAATCAAATTTTTATGTAAAGTAATTTGTCTTCTCTCTTGGTCAAATCCCTTTAAATGAGCAACGATATATATTAAATCGCTAGAAGTAGTGGCCTTTGATCTGTCGATCATCAAAGGATTACTTTGAATTAAATCGTTAATCTTATTGATTATCACCTCTGAACTCTCAATGATATGCAAATGCCTTAAATTTACCCAGTCTTCGTCATCTTCGTTATCCAATGTTGTTTCCACTACAGCGATCTCACCCTTTTCATTTTCAGATTTGTATTTATATTTTCCCGTCCTTTCCAAGCTGTGGACGATATCCATAGCCATAGCCTGGTAACTGAATTCATGCAATAATGGTGCGTATAAGTCCAACGTTCTATCACATATCAAAAGAATTGACCGCGGTCTGTCTCTTAAAGAAGGAGGAGGGTAGTCTTCGTTGAGACGAGCATAGTTATCGATCTGAGTTTGAAATTCATCTGCGATCAATTCAGATAACCTTGATGCTTGGTGATTGGAATCTGGCAGCGAATAGAACCTGATTATTGGATATTCTCCGGTGATAACCATCAAATTCACCAAAGATCTAGCAACTAGTTTTATCTGTGGTAATACAAGTTCTGCAAAGTTTTCGTTAAAGAAAATGGGCATCGATGTAGGCGTCTTGTTGTCGGCTAAAAATACTCTAGTTTCAACCGGACAGAAAGACGCAGGCACATACCTGATATTCTCTCCCCCGTTAAAGTACGAGTTAACCTTCGGATTTTGCATGAAATTAGCACTCCTAAAGAACAGGTTGATCTTAGACCCTTCCCACAAAATAGGCAAGAAAAGCCCATAGCCCTTTTTGTATTTACCGGTTTGTATGTCACCTAATATACACTTCATGTTATATAAAGTTAAGTCGACAAAGTATATCGCCTCCATAAACTGCTGCTGTCGTTTCTTGCCATCTATCCTCTCGGTAGAAGTAACAATCCTGAGCAATTGATCCTTTGATACTACCTGATTTAACATCGACTCCACTTTTTCGTCGGTAACCAAAACATACAAGTTCCCCGGGATTTGAACTGATTTAAGTTGCGAAAGGACATAGTCCCTTTGCATATTTATCAACGACAGAGGATCCTTGTTCTTAGACATCTCTTGGTGCTGTAAAAGTGTTTTTTCTCAAGTTCCCTTGCTGCCTTTTTATAGTATGTAGTATATATAAGAATAACCTTTGGAGACTGTTTTTTCTGGTAAACTTTATCTTACATAAGCTCCCAATATGGTTAATATAAATATTCGATTTGATACAAATTGATACACTAAAAACTGAAAGACTTCCATGAAAGAAGGGCTAGACTATTATGTTAAGTCTGGTATCAGTTGGTAAGTATGATAATAGGCGAAGGAAGAGTGTGGAAGCAGCGTGTTATATGTTAGGATGGTACTTCTTTTCTCTTTCCATTTCGATATACAACAAGTGGATGTTTGGTAATGGGTTAAATTTCAAATTCCCTGTGTTAGTGACGTCGTTTCATCAAATGTGCTTGATGGTGCTTAGTACTGCAATATTATATTTCAATCCTAGACTCCAACCGACAATCAATGGCACTGGTGTGGAGAAGAGAAGAGATTTGGGGCAATTCATCAACAGCATGAAAATGGAGATCCCAGCTTATGCGAGACACATCGTACCGTGTGCTTTGGCGAGTAGTGGAGATATTGGATTATCCAACGTCTCTTTTAAGTACATTACTTTGAGTCTTTACACTATGTTGAAGTCGTCGTCGTTGATGTTTGTGTTACTCTTTGGCTTAATTTTTAGACTTGAAAAGTTTAACTGGAGATTAATTTTGATTGTGATTACGATGTCTATATCTGTCTTGATGATGGTCCAAAGGCCCTCTCTGTCTGATGATACCGAGAATACAGGTTTCGGTATTGGTTTGGTTCTATGGGCTTCAGTTACTAGCGGATTGAGATGGTCATTTACTCAATTGTTGTTGAAGCAGAATGCCTATACAAATAATTCTATCTCCACAATCTTTTATTTATCTCCGTCAATGTGTTTGACCCTATTTTTTTTGGGATTGATTTTTGAAGGGTGGAATAATTTCATATATGCCCCAATTTGGCAAATAATGGGAGTTGGTAAGACTTTGGTTTTGATGATTGTGCCCGGCATTTTAGCTTTTATGATGACCTTGTGTGAATTCAAATTGTTATCCGTTGCTCAGGTCATAACCTTATCTGTTGCCGGCATTTTTAAAGAGTTGTTGACAATTGTAGTTAGTCTTTTCATATTTGGGGATAAGTTAACCTTTCTTAATTACATGGGCTTAGTCTTGACATTTGCTGATATACTATGGTACAACTATCATAGGCATTTTGAAAACGCTGATGAAATCTTGGTTAGATCCAAGAATGAAAATCATGACATAGAGTTGAATTAAAATTATAGATATATTGACTTTTGATCTATCTTTATATAGTTCTTCTTCCAGTTGAATAATTTTGCAAACATTATTCTATGCATAGAAGAAATCTAAAGTAGTATAATCGCAACCATAAATAAACATACAGCTAAAATTAAACCTAGTGGTTGTTTTAAGCTCAATCTAATTTCAGATCTTATCAAAACAGACCCTGAGTTTTTACTTTTGGTAGAAGAAGCTTCGGTGCTTTCTGCTCCAGGGATCGTTTTCTCACTAGATCCCACTATGAAATGTCCATTTTTTACTCTTCCTGAAAATTTTGCTGGGACCTCGAGCGCTGTTGCATTGTTCATGGAAGAGAATGTCAAAGTCGGGGTAGATGAATAAGTAGCTACCGTAGCAAACGGTATAGTGTCGGAAAGAATATAAGCAATTGAACTGTAGTGCGTTGCTTCAATAGAAGAGTTCTTAAAAGTTGTACTAGAAACTGTGTGAACCGAGGAGAAACTGAAGTCAGATACTTCTATCTTCAATTCTCTGTTAGAATTTCCTAACGCAATTTTACCTCCTTCATTGTCAACGGCCAAGTAAACGTATACTAAGAACGATAAACCAAGGACACTGTACCCGTCGTGTGAGCTTGGAAGGATACTCAAAAAACAGGCATCAGCACCATTTGAGAATGTTAAGTTTTGATCTTGCCCAGTATTTGCGGGCAATAAAAATGAATGCAAGGGTATCTTTATTTTTAAATCATTGAAATGAAAATTGAAAGTTGCGTTTGCTTTCGCGATAGTATCACATTCAACTATCCATCTATCAGTGTCATTTGAATAATAAGCATTTGTCTGAATAGCTATCTGAATAATTGTATCTAGAGGTAAATGGGTGTATAGCGATCGCGAATCAAGTAACACAGGAAACGATCCATCATCAGATGTTAAAGTGTATGTTCTTTGATTTTTCTCATTTTCTAACACTATTGAATCCAAATTCAAGATAGGTAACCTCAATTTAGACAAGGCAGTTTGCTCTACGCTATTAGAAAAAAAACTTCCGGTATGATTAAGCATATCAAATTGATAGAAGTCACCATCCACATATTTTTTATCCACCATTCCAGGTATAAGCTCTCCTAAAGAGCCCTCTTCCAGTATTACGTTGCTGAAAAATAGTGAGTATCCCGGTGACACAATATAGCCCTTGTCTACCAAACTATCTAAAAATCCCGAGCCCATAGGATTTCCTGCCAAACCCAAGCCACCAGCAAAGACGCTACTCTGGTATGCTCTGAGAAAAGTAAAATTCGAGAGTAAAACGGACAATCCATTCGTCGAGTTTATATGAATATCGTCCTTTTCAAACTCACCTACTGCTTCAATCGTGTCAACGTATGGAACAAAATATTCCTCACCATCAGGCACACCAGGAACAGTGACATCTGTGGACAGAGACTCCGCAGAATACACACCTCCAGCAGCACATATACTTGCAGTGTATTCAGCATCAGTTGTAGCCAGGTCTGGGAGAGTAGTCCCGGTACTTACCTCAGAAGACCACCAAGAATAGATCTCATCACAGCTCAAGAAATCGTTCATTCCCATTACCCACACATCTCCCTGAATCAAATCTATTCTGAGTTGTTGAACTCGGCTCCCGACTCGTAACATAACATCATAGTAGTAATTATCTATTGAGTTGACAACAAGAAACTTCAAAAGTTCCTTATCATGAGTGTTTTCCTTTTTATGAATTATATCCTGTGCTTTAAAGGAGGAATGTTGTGAAGATAATTGACTTGCCTCAGTTGCAGTGTATTGGAAAGGCAAATTAGTTACAACGCTTTCAACATAGGTCATGAAACCCAATATCACAACCATCAATCTCCATGATTGATGCTGTAATATGTTCATCTTATCTCTAACAGATCAAGATGACGACAGCTAACTAAAGCAGTAACGCACCTTCGTTTCAATACTCTTTCGACTGTCTGTCTCAACGGTTCTTCTTGTATTGTACTGCTATCTTATTTTCTTTTTTTTTTTTCTTAATTCAAGGCTGGGTTTTAACGAAGATCTTGCAGTACGCGTTTGACGCTCCCTAATTTATATTTAGCGATAAGTATTAAATTTTAGTGAGGATTTCCGCTAGTAATCAAGGGAAAGTGGAAATTTCTAAGTAAAGTTCTCACTAATGACGCTGGCCAACGCTATTTTTAACAAGATTCTTTTACCGATGAGGCGGTCCGAGATTTCTCTTTGATGCTACATATAAGAGTCGAACGCGCAATTGTTTGATCGCAACTTAGGGATGCAAAGAGATAACCAACGCGCCATATTCCTGAAACCTCTTTGGTGCTAAGAAAATTATTTTTCGAAGAGTGCATATAACTAAAAAGAAAACAAAAATAAGTAATAGGATGAGTTGAACCATAAATTTTCATAAATAACATTATTGGAACGGATATCTTTATAAGATAGCCAAAGGAAACAGTGGAGATTTTATTTCAAGTGCATTAGTGTCTTTGGGAGAACCAATTTTTTTTTTCTTTTGAAGTGTACAGGTAAAGGGGTTTTTTTTGTCCTGTGTGATTGTTGTTCTGTTGATACAGACAGGGAATCGGGCTGCTGGACATTTAGAAGATCATAAGAAGAGAGGCCCTTAAGTATCATCACAAATAACACATGAAGACAATTTTAAAAGAGAGTCAAATTTAGGATCTAAATAGTGTATCCCAATGAGACGGTTGAAAATTGGAATTAGACCTCAGCTAATCTTGCTAGTGGGCTTTGCTTCCTTGTTTTCACTTTTGATCTTAGCAATCGTCACTGGTGTCTACTTCAGTATTAATTTGAGCAGCTTGAGATCAGAGAGACTTCAAGTCATTTCCCAATTAAAGGCAAATCAGGTTCTGCAGTCTATAGATTATGTTTATTATCAGGTTTATTCTTTAACCTCCAAGGACTCCCTCTATGGACCATTGTCCTCGAGTAGAGCAGGAAACAGCTCTAACTTTGGAGAAGCTCGTCAAGCGATTGAACAACTCGTATGGTCGTCAGAGCTATTTGCTGCGGCAAGGTTGTACGATACGGAGCTAAATATGGTTGCAGATGCTTATAATTCCGAGTCTCCAGTATCTGACTCTGCAATGGATTACTTATTTCCTTTAAGAAATAACTCGTCAATTCCCTCATCTTTATATGACACAGATGACGGCTATCCTGCTTATTTTACGGGACCAATAAGCAATTCAAGCGATACCGACAACCATTATTTTATGGGAATTACTTTACCCATATATTCAAATTCTTCAATTATTCTATCAGATCCTTCTGTTGCTGGTTATCTCTCGGTAATATCTAATGCCCAGAATATCCAGGTAGCGGTCAATGGTACAAGCACTTCTCTGGCACATGAAGATGATGATTACCATGTCGTCGCAGTCAGACCAATTTTCTCAGATGCAAGTAATATCTCCAGTGAGGTAACAGGGTTCCAGGCTATATTTCCAAGTGCATGGAACAATTTAGAGCCCAACGTTAATTACAATATAAATTCTTCTGGGTCTGTTAAAGAGGCGATTGCAAGATCCTCTGGGTCATCAAGTTTTGCAAAATCATATGGTGGATACCATGTTGCTATTGGGTTTGATCGAATAAGTATCGACTCAACACTGTATTGGGAATTAATCATCGAACAAAAGAGATCAATATTTCTTCAGCCAGTGAAAAAATTACGTAATATCATCATTGGAGTGGTCATCGGTATCGGGGCATTTATGTGCTTAATTACGTTTCCGCTCACAGTTTGGTTTGTTAGACCTATAACAAAGCTCAAGGATGCCACTGAGGCGATCACGAAATCAAAGAAACGAGCCATGAGCCCCGAGAAATCAAGCAATCTTACACCCCCTCCACCTTACGGTCCATCTGGTAGTCCTTCTAATGAAACTAGAAATTCTACTATATCGGTAGGTTCAAATACATCAGCTGGGTATTCAACTGGCATTAGGTTACCTAGTAGAATCCCTAGATCGAAGTTATTTTTCAAGGATGAAATCACGGAATTAACAGAGGCATTTAATATCATGACAGATGAACTAGACAAGCAATATACACACTTGGAAGATAGAGTCAAATCAAGGACAAAGGAGTTGGAAGCATCAAAAATAGAAGCCGAATCAGCGAATGAGGCTAAGACAGTTTTCATAGCTAATATCTCTCATGAACTTAGAACACCTTTGAATGGTATATTAGGTATGACTTCTATTGCTATGGATGAAGAAGATCAATCTAGGATCCAGGACTCACTTAAATTAATTCACAGATCTGGTGAATTACTATTGCATATTTTAACGGAATTATTAACTTATTCCAAAAATACTCTAAGCCGTTCTAAACTAGAGAAATCGAATTTTCAAATATTAGAGGTTGTTTATCAAGTTAAGTCAATATTTGCGAAACTAGCCACTGATCAAAGAGTAAACTTTAAAATTTTGATGAGACCTGACATAATAAGAAAGTTGATATTATATGGCGACTCAAATAGAATAATTCAAATCATCATGAATCTTGTCTCTAATTCCTTGAAATTTACGCCAGTCGATGGTTCTGTGAATGTGAATTTCAGACTCGTTGGAGAATATGATTATGAAAAGTCGAAAAGTGAAAAATTCGAGAAGGTTCACGTTCTCAAAAATAAGGAGAATGAGCTAAATGCTAAAGATGGCTCGAATAATTCGTACCCACCACATAAACTTGATGATGATGATGCTACAAATGGAGTGCCCACAGTAAGCAAATCGAAAGCAAATACGACGAGCCTGGATCCATCTTCTAATATTCCCTCTTCGTTATCGATATCAGATAGAGACAATCTGAGCGTAGCGACAATTTCGAGCACAGAGTATGAGAATGTATTGTTTAAGTCGCAATTCAAGGTCAAGCCTAATATCAAGCCTTTGCCTAACTTACCGAGGAATTCTTCAAATGATGTTTCTCTGCAACATAATGATCTGTTGCATGAGGATGAGGAAATAGCTTCAAACAAGGATGATGAAGTTGAGAAATTGGACGAAAAGGACTCTGAAAGTCCAACTAATGAAAAAGAAATGATAGAAGAAAGTAATGGCACCATAAAAGAAATGAATTCAAATGCCTTCGAATCTAATGGAGGCATTAGTGATCCCAAGGATGATAGTGGTAGGAAGAGGCTAAGTGTATCATCATTTCGCTCTTCAATGTCAGGAAATGAGTTGGTTAAGAATAATAAGGCTTACAACATTAGACGGTTATACAAGCAAAAGACTTGGGTGTTTCAAATTGAAGTCAACGATACTGGTCCCGGTATTGAGCCGGCTCTTCAGGAGAAGGTTTTTGAGCCATTTGTCCAAGGAGACCAAACTTTATCGAGAAGCTATGGTGGTACTGGATTGGGTCTTTCTATTTGCCGACAATTAGCCAAGATGATGAAAGGAACGTTGACCTTGAAATCTACCTTGGGAGTAGGTTCCAAGTTTACATTTACAGTACCCTTGCCACAAACCGGAGAGATATTAGTCGAGGACGAAGACATGGCAGCGTTTTGTGAGGATGAGTTCAATCCAAATTCAAAATATAACAGAAAAATTACTTTTAAGAATCCAGAGTCTGACGACATTGCTGACCATGAGAAAGATGCTAAATCAGACTCTTCTTCAAGTGAGCATGCCAAAAATGAGATGCACAACAGCAATGGAGATGGCTTTTATCCAAAAATTGAAGTTAAGCAGGTCACTAATAATGACGATAAGGTCAAAATTCATGCATCTATTAGGGACTCAAAGCACTTGGAAATAGCAGAAGCAAAACCTCAACTAGCTACAAGATCATCTACTGGCACAGCGGCCTCTTCTACAAGGGGCCAAGAACATTCTGATATAAGCATCATGGAAAATTTGTCACATTTGAAAATTTTAGTAGCGGAGGACAACATGGTCAACCAGGAGGTCATTAAAAGAATGCTTAAACTTGAAGGCTTTGAAAATATCACTATGGCATGTAATGGTGCTGAATCTGTAGAGTTGATCAAAGAATCTATAGAGAATGAGGAACAATTTGATCTAGTGTTCATGGACGTTCAAATGCCCAAGATTGATGGTTTACTTGCCACCAAGATGATTAGAAACAATTTACAATATAATCATCCTGTAATTGCTTTAACTGCCTTTGCTGACGAGAGCAATGTCAAGGAATGTCTTAGCTGTGGAATGAGCGGATTTCTTGCTAAGCCGGTGAAAAGGACAAACTTGAGGAAAGTTATCGCAGAATTCTCGCCAACCTTGCTTAAGGAAATTGTCACAACCCCGCAGGCAAAACTGCATGACGACAAACGTCTCGGTTACGATGACATTAACGAATAGAGAATTTGATGTATTATAGATATTTGACCAATGATAAAAAAAAATGATTACCATAGAAATTATGTACTTAATATTACAATACCATAATATGCCTTGATAATTTTACACTATCACATCAATTGTGCCCATGAGGATTATGTAACCTATTCTAGTAGCTTGTAGCTTGTTAGTTCCTTGAGGCATTCTCTTCCATAATCGTCTATTATCTTATCTCAAAATTATATTTCGTACTTCATATAAGATTAATGTCACGCGACCTCTTTTTGTGCCACACATTATAAGCCAGCAATCAGTATACAAAAATCTTAAAATGGATACAGCCTAAGCAAGAAAGTGAATATATTACTAGTAAAATTGAAGATAAATTCACTTTCTGCAAAGATTTTACTCTAACTAATAACTGAAGTTTATTATTGGTTGAGTATGGTCAAACCAGAAAAATTTGCAGATGAGGAGGGCGAACAAGGAGCAAGAAGAACGTCGGGGTTTAAGAGAATTTTCCTCACTGGTGGGCTATTAGCAGTGCTTTTATGGGGAACTTCGTTCTTATTTTCTGTAATTAATCAATTTCAATCGAATAGAATTGCAATTCAGGAATATGAGCGCCTTGTTAGGTTGAATCATACCAATTTATTGCCCCAGGGACTTCGTAAGGATTTCTTTCAAAGACCCATTTTGGAGGATGGCAAGATTCCCTTGAATCATAGCGCAGTGACAGATTATGAGTTTAAGGTGAACACGAAGACGTTTCAATGGTTTCAGGCTAGGGGAGCTGCTGAAGGTGACAAAGGAACTTATCTTGAGCAAGATGGAGATTTGTTTCTTATGAAATCTATTGTCAACGAAGATTACGAGGTAGTTCTTTACAATGGTTCTTCGTTTGATTTCAACAATAATTCATATCAAATAAACCTGTTCCTTGCCTCTCCCGATTTGAAGAAGGCTCTATTAGTTACCAATCGAAATAAAAAATGGAGGCACTCTTCTACAGCCCTTTATTGGGTCTTGGACCTTTCCAGCAGCGATATTTATCCACTTAATGGAGAGGATGATAGAACATCTGCCGCATCTTGGTCGCCTACGTCAAACCACGTAGCATTTATTTCTCAAAATGATATTTACATCCATGATGTCTTAACTAAGCAAACCGAACAGGTTACTACTGATGGTAGCACGGAAGTCTTCAATGGTATCCCAGACTGGGTTTACGAAGAAGAAATCTTTGGAACAGATATTACCTTGTGGTGGTCTCCTGATGGTACTAAATTCACTTACTTGAGAATTGATGATATTCATACTCCTGAGTACACTATTCCATTGTATGTACAGAGAAAGGACCAGGACTATCCAGACAATATGAAACTCAAATATCCAAAGCCTGGATTCCCAATACCCATTGTCGATGTATACCTTTATGACTTGAGCAAAAATCACTCAACCTTGTTGGACTTACCCTCAAAGGAAATCAGTGATAGGTTGGTAAATGAAATATTTTGGGTTCATGATTCTGTGTTGGTTAAAACTACAAATAGGCTGAGTACAATTTTAGAAGTGTTTTTAGTGGACACTAATACTCTTGAGAGCCAACTCGTAAGATCAGTGAAAACTTCAAATGAATGGATCGAGGTAAGTTCTAATGCTTTATATGTACCGAGAAATGAATCTTTGGGTCGTAAGCAAGACGGTTATATCGATACAGTTTCATACAATGGTTACCGTCATTTGGCTTACTTTTCGCCTCCAAATGCTAGTCATGGTAGGCCATTGACTATGGGCAATTGGGAAGTTGTCGATGGTGTAGCAGCATTTGACCAAAGCTCAAACGAAGTTTACTTTAAAAGTACATTGAAGTCTTCTATTGAGCGGCATTTTCACTCTATCAGTTTACTTGACTCGCAAAATGCAAATGGACTTCCGTCTATTAAGAATATTACAGAAGGAGAAGGATATTACTCGGGATCTTTTTCGTCTGGATCAAAGTATTTGCTTTTAAATTACCAAGGACCGGACGTCCCAAACCAAAAGTTGTTTGATTTGCACAGTGGTAAATATGTTAAGACTATTGAGGACAATGCAGAATTGAAGAAAAAATTAAACAACTACGCCATTCCAAAACCGTCCTATCAGATTGTTACTTTAACGGATTCTGAGACGAAAGCACAGTTTAAAGTGAATGCGCTTGAAATTCGTCCCCATAATTTCGATCCATCGCGTGAGTATCCCGTATTATTTTATGGTTATGGAGGACCGGGCCTGCAGTTGGTAAGCAAGACCTTTTCTGTAGGCTTTAGTGCCGCAATTGCTTCGGAACTTGACTGTATTGTTGTTACTGTTGATGGAAGAGGTACTGGTTACAACTCCTATAACGATGACTTGGGCCTGAACTTTCAGTTTATTGTTAAAGATAATCTCGGATATTATGAGGCAAAGGATCAGATAGCCGCTGCTACGTTATGGGCATCAAAAGATTATGTTGATAGCAAACACATCGCTATATGGGGATGGTCATATGGGGGTTATCTTACATTAAAGACTTTGGAAGCTAACAATCCTCCAGTGTTTTCCTTCGGTCTCGCTGTGGCCCCTGTTACAAGTTGGCATTTTTATAATGCAATATACACAGAAAGATACATGGGTTCTCCTCATGACAATACCCTTGGGTACAACGTATCTACTGTTCACAATAACATCACCAATTTCTCACTTGCCAAAAAATTCTTCTTAGCACATGGCACGGGTGATGACAATGTTCATATCCAGAATACATTAAAGCTAGTGGACGACTTCAACCTCGAAAGCATTGAAAACTTCGAACTCATGGTATTTCCTGACAGCGATCACAGTATCTCCTATCATAATGGATTCAAGGTAATCTATGGCCGTATCACCGACTTTTTCGGTCGTGCTTTCGCTGGAGACTTCGACTAATTACAACGTAAACAACTTTTATTGAAAAATGCCAACTTATACATTAATGTGACACTTTCAGAATCGTTGCAGAATAACTTTATCGAAAGCCTACTAAGTTAGCTTCTAAGGCAACATACACAGTGACATAAAGCTGATTTTATCTCAGGCCATCCGCTGTCCCTCCAATACAGACAAGGGTGACCACGAGAGTAGAATATAATAGAAACATTGAGACATATTTGTATGTCAGGTCTTCCAGGATGCTTTCCAGCTTAATTGTTGAGTGCGTATACAAATACAAGGGACATATGCGTTACACGGTTAATGCACCATGCAAATCACCGACGTGATGACGTATGAGGCATGTCATATGTTGTATCTTATTTACATTTGATATTCTACACGTACACTGGGACCAAATTACTTGATGTAAGAAAGTAAAGGGCCAAGCATATATCTTTAGATTAATGATTATAATAGTATACTAGATATTTAAGAATCCAAGCCATCCGAAGACTGAGTAAGATTTTGATTGTTTGCGCTGCTAGAGTTTTGCTCTGCTTCCGATATAGGCTACAGTCACTGTAATTGAGCAGAAGTTTTAGATATGTTAGCAAATTTTATTAGCAAATTCCGAAGTTTGTTACCGGCTTCAGATTTTTCTACCATAGGAACGCTCAGACTCTACATTTATGCCAATGTAGCGGATTAATCTCTCTCGCTTATCTTCTAACAGTCCACTCGTCAGCATTTTATAAAAATTCAAGTAACTCTCAAGTCCTCTTGAAAGCTGTTGTATTTGAGCAAGAGAAGTTAAAGGTGGCAACCCTAGTTCTTCGGGTATCTTGTTTTCAATATTCGAAATGGAATGATAAGCTTCTAGGGAATTACGATGTCCTCCTCTTCCTTTAAACTGATTTTCGAAACGTGCAACTGAATTTTTACTCATCACCTCTATATTGGCTAAACGACCATTGGTCTCACTCTTGAATTCACCCATTTCTGCTTTGAATTCACCCATTTCTGCTTTGAATTCGCCCATTTCTGCTTTGAATTCACCCGTTTCTGCTTTGAATTCGCCCATTTCTGCTTTGAATTCACCCATTTCTGCTTTGAATTCACCCATTTCTGCTTTGAATTCACCCATTTCTGTCCTTAATCCGTTCATTTCTGTCCTTAATCCGTTCATTTCTGCCCTTAATCCGTTCATTTCTCCCATAGTTTCTTCTCTAAATGCTCTAAGTTCGTTGCTCACTCTTGTAATAGCAGTCATTAACTGATTAAGAGCTTCACTGCCCAAGTCAGGGGCCTGTTCGTAACCAAGATCAGCACCTGTAGAACTAAGGAAAAGCATACCGTTCAATCTTTGAATATTTTCATAAATACCATCTACCTTCAGACCCATATCAGAAACAAAGGCTGCAAGTTTTCTAGTCTGATATCCTGGGTCAGTAAATTTGTCTTCATATAACTTCTTTGTCTGCTTATAAAATTTTTCTGCATATACAATCTGTTGCTGATCACGAGATTGGAATTGGGTAGCTGCAAAAAAGTATAATGATTTCTTTAGTAAAGTGGGTTCAAGCCACTCTAGGGGATCTGCTGGCCCATCGATTCCATTCGGTGGTGCTAAAAGTGGCTCTAATTGTGTACCTAGGACTTGTTCCATTTTTTCTGAGCGGCAAAGGGTATTAGTTCATCCTTTATCTGGGAATAATGGCCCTTTTATAATTTTTGTTTGTGTCAAGGTACAAATAGATAAATTGTCCCTAAAGAGAGAAGTACAATCACCTGGCAAAATAACATAAAGCTTCTGATCGAATACTGAATATGGGTTCACTCACAGAATACTATCTAAAAATTTGAGAATTAAATTGAGATGCTTCTTTTGATATAGTGCCTTGCGTGGATTCAGCTTTTAGAATGAAGATACGAGCCCACAGGAATGTACCAACCAGCCAAGGTGCTTCATTAGATATGAAAGATATAAAATATATGATCAAGTGTCTATTGCATTTCAAGTAAAGTTAAAATCTTTAATTTAAAATTACGGTTGGAGAATAAAAAGATTAATTTGACACCAATCTTTAACACCATCCTAGACACCATTCCTGCGGCAAGTAATGCCACTCAAAAAATATATATATATTTAGAGAAACACAATTAAACAGAAGTAGAAAGGCTTTTGATTATGACATATTTCTTAAGTTCAATCATTTATGTTCCCTCCTTTTATGCTATTCAGTTACCGCTTTTGACGTTATCCTGGCACTACTTAATTATTACTTTGTATTAATAGATATACACAAAAAATACATTTTCACAAATGTTCAATTAACCGGTTGAATAACATAAATATTGAGATGATTATGAGTACTAACTAATTAATTGTATACCTTTTGCTTTATTAATAATGTCGAAGGTTTTTATTTGTTCAGGGAAATGCAGTCGTAAAATAGCAGCCTTAAATCTTTCAAATCCTCTTTCCGCAGTGCATATCGCTCTTCACCAGAATACTTGGAAGTTGCAAAATCAATAATGTATATCTTGTCGTCCTTTGTGTAAAGAATATTCCTTCTTCTAATATTTCCATGAATAATACCATTGTGGTGAATAACATCTAATTGCTTCTTGACTTTTTTGTATGTTTCAATGTTATTTGGCAAGGGAACACTTTCAACATATTTAAATAAATTGAAGTATCCTTTGGCTATATAAAGTTTGTCTATTGTGACCATTACTTGCCCCAGTACCTTTTGATTAACGAACAAACTGTTAAATTCAACATCCTTAGACAAGATTTGATAAAATTCTTTCTCTCTAGAGTACCAGTGATCGCACTTTTCTCTTATTTCCTTGTCTGTATATATATATCCACTGCCTACCCTCTTAGCCATCCTGGGGTCATATATCTTGGCAACTAGTGTTTCATTGTCATCGGAATCCTGTAATAAGAATTTTTTAAAATATCTCGATTTTAGTTTGACCAATTGCGTATTGAAGCTATGTCCATTTTGTACATATATGGAGCCGTGATTTTTCGGCACATCAATTATTCCATCTTCGATTTCTTCATCTTTCTCTTGAACAACCTTGTTTGGAATTCCTCCATTCATAGATGAACGACTAATTGAACTTTTTGATGGCTCAAAGCTCTTGTTGTTTAGAATACCTTTCGTAACTTCCCTTCCGGACAACTTTAGATGTGCTTCCAATCTACCAACTCTTTCTTTCCTAATTTTCATTCTTGAATCATCTTCAACAGAATTATGGATAAAGTATAATAGAGCTTCTCGCAAACTCGGTAGAGCTGAATGGCAATTGAGGACTTTGTATCTGATGGGAATTGTCTTCGGATTACGATTGTAATTTCTTTCTTTAAAAGTATGAACACTACTCTCGAATGAATCAAGGTCTATCTCCACAAATATGAACGTGTAACAGTCAGTGAGGATTCCTTTGTTAGTTTTGAAATAAAGCATCTTGCAGATTAGTTGCGTCATATATTCCGTAATTTTTTTTTCTTTAAAAATAACCTTTCCTATATCTTTAAGCGACTTGTCTTTAAGCTGCAGTAACATGGGAAAGGCTTGTGTTTCTATTGCACAATACACATTGTCTTCCTTACAAACGACTAGGTCAGTGCGGACGTCGTAATCCATTTCGTGTTTCGCTGGACACCATACGTCTGGAAGCTGCACACCAACATTTAACGACAACCCAACGGGAATTAAAGCTGAGCAGGAAGGCTCGATTAAATACTCTTTGAGTGTCAATATATTCTCTTGAGGTTTCGTTGGAGATATCACTTTATGATCCCTAAAAGCATAGTCTCCAAGGATATAGCCCAAAAGTGTAGCATCCATCCGATAGATAATTTGGTTTACCGTGTCACAAACTTCCTCATCTTTTATTTCTTCCACGTAATTTTTTTCAAACATGAACTCAGGAAGTTGCTCCATATAGAGATTCATAGGATTTATGGGGCTAGACAGATAGTTAAAGTTAACCATTTTAAACTCAAATAGAACCAAATCTAAAGACTACACTTTTCCAGTATACTCTGGGGGGCCAGAGGTGTTTATAAATGGTAGCACTTATCACATATCCTCAATGTACTTTTATGTAATCATCCTCTAAATGTGTTATTTATGTGATTATTGTATTCTTGTAATGTGTTATTCTAGTTATCTTTGAATAGGTTTCATAATCCAGATTATATGCAGTCACGAAACTGATAATACATTACACCTTTCGTGTTTCCTCCCCAACCTTCTTCATGTTATTCCTAAATAGTAACTATATCCCTCATGTCGACTTGCATGACTTTAGTTCCTTTGCCTCTTGCTTTCAGAAGTTTGTTTAGTTTCGTATAACGATACATCGATAAAGTCCAGGAATCTTTTCTGGCCGATATCTGGGTCAAATTCATTACTATAGATAATGCTAGTTTTAAGCGATGCAATGTATTTAGTTAAATAGTTGTCGCAGCTAAAGCTTCCAGAAGAGCGATACATTGAAAGGTGACAGATTACTGAAGATGGTTGGGTATCGAATAGCTAACATGTTATTGCATAATGCTTGTATTTAAAATTTCCACCTCAATTCAGTTATTAGGTTGAAAATAGTATTTAAATAAATTCATTTCTTCAGTTCATTATGGGTGTATTTGAGGAAAAAACTTATTCCCTTGTATGCTTAAGAGCCTAAAAATATTTTATTCAGCTCGAAATTTGTTTTAGATCACTCAAAGAACATATAATTTGCCTTTGTTAATAAAACTACCAGCCTCAAGGAATCTCCTCTAACAAAATCAATTAGGCGCAGCTCATAAAAACCTGCTGGCTCTTTTTTTTGCAAGATGATTGGGGCTACATGCTTTAGTAACAAAGCCAATTATAGCTACGCAATGATCAATTGAATAATAAATAATCGTAAATCCCTAATAAAAATAACAAACCAATGGAGTTGACATATCGGTGAAACCTTTTCTTATACTAAAGCTTACTCTAAGCTCTTCTGCTTTGAGAGCAAGGAATTACCACCCGTCCAGCGGTTAATTTAAATCCTTACCCCTGTTACTGTAGTTAGATTAGGCGTTTTCTCAACATTAACTCCTATGTATTGTAAGAGCCTAAGTCTTTTAGCAGATAAGTTTCCTTCAGAGCTTAAACCATAGAATCTTAAGTATCTGTTCACATTGGTAGCACTAAACAGATTGATTTGGGAATCTGAGCTCAAGTTCAGTAAGTTAAGTTCTTCGGGAAATTGTCCCAAGTCATTAGATATTGGCTTATAGGCATCAAATGACCCAATATCCCCACCTGGCCCTTTGAACTTATTTTCAAACCTTGACTGAGTATTTATTTGATGCTTTTCAATATTTTTTAATCTCTGATCCATCGCTTGAAACTTGTCATCCATAGTCAGAAACTTGTCATTCATGGCCCGAAACTTAGTATTCATTTCGTCTTTGAGTTGATTAATCTGACCAGTAATCAATGACAACATTCTATTCAAGCGTCCATCACCTAAATCCACCATTCCTTCTCTGTCCGTACCGTCGTCGTTTAAGCCAAACCGACGGTTGTAGTTCATAACTATGCGCTCAAGTCTACTATATTTTTCGATTAGTTCGATCAATTCAGGGGTAGGTCCGTATTTCCTTTCCTGGAATCCTTGTTCCACTCTCTTAAGAAATCTTTCGGCGTCTTCGATCTCATCCTGTCTATTTTGCTTCAATATAAAAAACTTTGGCTGTATACACACCATATTCAGTGTACCAGTCTTCGGGGCCGTTAATATCTAACGGTACATCTGAGGGCGCATTTTGGCTTTCTTCTACGGACATTTTGCTTTGATTCTTGAGAGAACTTGAAATGAAAACACGAAGCACTGATTTCTCCGAATCATTCCTCATATATATAGTAGGGATTTTGTTTGTGGTATGAAAGCTTTTTGTGGACGGGGGTCATTTTGCCCCTCGCCAACAAGCTGCAAATTAACGCAGGAAAGGAAATTTTAGAGCTCATTAATACGAGATCCTCCATGTAAAATAGATCTGTAGTTTCCACAAGATAGACATAGAGTGAGCATTGAGTATTCTAAGCTTTATATTTAATGCGTTGACCCCCCACTCGATATTGATATCCAGTGTTAATGATAAGTTTTCATTGAATAGTTACTCGCACTTCAAGATACCTAAAGAGGTCTCGCAATTTTTAGTAAGAGTTTGTACTCATGTCTATCCGAGTGCTATTACTCACCCTAGTTATATGGTGAACATTTCCATGTCACCGATACTATCTATTTAGGGCCAACTAAATTTGAATTTACTGAATTGCACCCTGACAGAGAATTTATGATTAAATACACTTGAAACAAGGTGTATAAGCTGAGATGAAAAGCGATGTAACAGAATAATAATTTGAGTATTGAAATGCACAACATAAATTTAACATTATGTTATAGTCATCGATATCTTCGTGGACTCCAACGGAAAGATCAAGGATATCGACCCTATCGAGTTCTCTGAAACTATGATTGTTTCTGTAACTTAGAGTGTAATTTCTCGTAACGAATATTGGCATATGTTTTTGCTCTTCAAAAAGATTTATGTAAAAAAAAAATGAGTTCAAGGACTCTCATATCAAGACTTGGAGAGAGAGGGATTGAAGCACATCACAGCCTGGCTCGCAATTTTGATAAACACCTAGTGAGCAGCGTATAACTGTCGAGTATTAATATGGCTTCTTATTTTCATTAACATCAACTAGTGATCTGACAGAAGGATTCACTTCGGTATAACATTACACATGGATAAAATGTCTGCAATGAAAAATTCCTTTGCTATCAAATAATAATTGAAAATATATCCCAATTAGGAAGTCTAGAATATCCAGCTAAAATTTTTTTTTTTTTTTTTTACTACGGTATAAAATTTTAGCAATATCCTCATCGTATCAACGTGTACAGTTTCCAAAACATAGGTATTACTTACTGAACATGATTATTTACACGGACGTTATTTCAGGAGACGAGTTATTGTCTGATGCTTACGATGTCAAAGAGGTCGGTGGAGCTATTTACGAAGCCGATTGTGCCATGGTGAAGGTTGGTGGTGATAACATCGATATTGGTGCCAATCCATCAGCTGAAGATGCAGCTGAAGATCTTGATGATAACACCGAAACCGTCAACAACATCGTCTACTCTTTCAGATTACAACAAACTCAATTTGACAAGAAATCATTCATGACCTATATTAAGGGTTACATGAAGAGAGTCAAGAACTACTTGGCTGAACACAACCCAGACGAAGTTGAAAACTTTGAAAAGGGTGCTACAACATACGTCAAAAAGGTTATTGGTTCCTTTAATGATTGGGATTTTTACACTGGGGAATCAATGGACCCAGATGGAATGGTTGTTTTGTTGAACTATCGTGAAGATGGTACCACACCTTTCGTTGCTATCTGGAAACATGGTGTTTCTGAGGACAAGATTTGAGTCTAATTCTACAGCTTTCTATCTTTAGAAGATGTGATTCCTAGAGTTTCACTCTTTACAATAAATAATCGAAAAGTGAATATATATACTTTAATCCGCAATCATAGAGGTCTAACGCATAGACACACGTTTTCTAAGGTTACATCAGTATCCGTGTACAAGAACATATCTACTTCGAAATTCGGTAAGAGTTGTTTCATTGCAAATACCCTGCTTTCATCTATCAAGCGTCTTGCTTTTAACCCCAATTTTCTTTTATCATTTGAGATAGCTTCTGACTCGTTTCCGTTACCCTCACTAATCTTATGGCTGACTGCCCATGAAGCTGCCTTTCGCAACACATTAAAGGATGCGGGCGATCTGAAACCTTTTTGTTTTAAGAATTCTCTTGACTGTGGTAATAGTTCATCATAAGAGCACGCATGCCTACAACACATCGCAATCAATAAGCCTCCAAAGTTTTTAGATTCTTGATTCACTAAAGAGGAATTTAGAACCAGCTTAAGGGTCAAATCAGTCGCTGCACCACATAGATGCTTAGAGATACCAACAACTTTATGAGGATTAAGCAGCTCGAGGAATCTATCCAAGTTTAAATCTTTGATATCTATCCTTGTACGCTTTATCATTGGAGCAATGAATTCCACTGAGGATTCTCTAACGTCTTTTAAAATTCTATTGTCAGCTTTCAATCTATTCACACCCCTATCTATAAATCCATAACCATACCTATGGTTCGTGTGATCAGTTTTTCCTTCTTTCAGCTCTTCAATTAAACATAAATTAACGTATCTAGATAACTCACCCTTTCCACAACCAAACTCAATATATGTACAATTGGTGTCTAGTAACCTTTTTTCCTTGAGATTTCCTATTAGCGAACTTTGTTGAAGAGCATGCTTCTGATTCTGTGTTTTCGACAATTGAGCTTGCAATCCTTTGTGGTCGGCCCTGTTCCTTATCAAAGGCTCAAACTCTATACCTTCCAATAAATGAATGTATTTTTCATGTATTTTTGAGCTTTCGACTTTGTCATCTTCATATTCCTTTACATTAAACTCATTTTGGTTGTTCTTAAGTGAACAATTAATATCCCGTTGAAACCATTCATCTTCTTTTTCCTTCAGTTTTGCATTGCATTTTTTCAAATGTGCATCTAGATCATCCTTCCATACTGTGTGTTTGGGGTCTAGTGGGCATGGGATTCTCTTACGTTCCTCTTTATCAAATATCATGTGTTCTGAGCAAAATTGATTTCCTTCTTTTCTTTGCATAGCACATTTTCTATTCTTTTTTACGAGAAAGAATCCACATTGAAGTCGTTTTGATGATTCTTCTTTATTTATCTTTCTTCTCTTTTTCCCTTTCTTATCTTCCTTGGTCATTTTCTGACTATTTCTTATTGTATAGCCAAAAAGTCGATTTGAAAAATAATTCTCCAGATCATCTCATCTCATCTCGGCCAAACTTTAAGAGTAGCCTATCTGACTTGAATATAAAAGCAAAGGCTAAAGATCAAATATGTCCATTCCTAGTGAATCAAACACTTTAATGTGGAGACTAGACTTGTTAGAGACCAAGTTTAGTAATCTTAACCCACGGTTCCCTCGTACCAAGATATTGTTGCAGGCTAGAAGTAATGAAAAATTGTTGAAAAAGTTACCTATTTCGAAACAAGAAGCAGAATTGGAGATAAAGGCATTAAAACAAGAAGCTTTCGTAAGGAAATACTATGCAGCCGACAAGAAGTTGAGAAAGAAAGTGCAGAAAACTGTTAAAGACGATTTATCTTCATTGAAGAGTCAAGCATCTAAAAAGAGCATTTACGAATTTTTGAGCAATGAAAAGAACGTAGAACATTTGATAACTTCTCGATTAGTTAAATTGATATCAACAGCTATTTTGGTGAACAGGGAACTTAAAACGAACCCTCCAAACTACATTCCTGAAGACATCCGCAATATAATTATTGACAAGTCTAATAACTCAAATCCTTCGGCGTTTTTTATAAAGTTCTGTAAAGATGACAAGCAAACAAATAGCTATATATCTAGCTTGTGGAATTCAAAGCCAATAAAAAGTTTGTTGGATGATATAGAATGGTCTTTTAAATTGGTTAGAGGCAACTTGACGAAGCAGGAAAGAGAAGATAGAAAGAAAGTTCCCGAGAAGAATCAAAACTCGCATGTCATTGACGCCAATAGTGAAAGTGACGACGAAAATGATGATGAGAGTGACAGTCAAAATGAAAGCGAACAGCCGTCTGCAGATGATATATCTGAAGACAACGAAGCAGAGGGTTCTGAGGATAATATTGACCCAGATGAAGCATATGAGAAGCTTCTGGCTTACGATAATTTAGTTGGAGACTCCGATAGTGAAGGTGAGACCAATCTAGACCCAAACATCGATTATAATGAAGTTACAGATATTGAATCAAGTAATTCAGAGAGCGATATTGATATTAGTCTTTCTGGTGATGATGATGATAATGATGATTCTGGAGACAGAAGACATAAGTCTGATCTTACTGAGTCTAATCAGTACAAGCTCCCAGAATTGGCCGTGGGATATTATTCTGGAGGTTCTGATGATGATGATGATGACGATGACATTGATAACGATAAACTTGTGAAAGAGGCCACTGGAACTCAAAGGAAGAATAGAAGAGGACAAAGAGCAAGGCAAAAAATATGGGCTCAAAAGTATGGGAAGGACGCTACCCATGTCAAGAAAGAGAAAGAAAGGGTAATTGGAGAAAGAGAGCGTAAAAGGTTAGAGTACGAGGAAAGATGCCGCAAGAGAGAGCTTAAGGCAAAATTGGCTGCGCAGCCAGTGGCTACAAGTTCGAATATGAGTGCCTTGGGTCAGAGGAAGTCACAACCGACCATAGAGTCTGGGGGACAAGAAACGATGAAGTCAGACGACAATGTTCATCCATCTTGGGCAGCCAAGAAGCGTGAAGAGGAAAAGCTCAAGAATATTAAATTCACTGGTAAGAAGATTACCTTTGATTGAATGATAGAACGATCGTCATTACTTATATTTTATGGATAGTACCTGTTTATACAATCTATAACTTGTCATAATCAATTTTAAAATTCAACAAGAGGTATTCATCAGTAAGTTCTTTGCATGCAACTGGACTTTGCATCAAGAAATAGTATTCACATTTTTCGGGCTCACTAACAGAAAGTAGTTTGTTCTCTGGTCCACATACTAATTCCACATCGGCTGATCTATTGGGACCATTCCAGCACTTATGTCCATGCCTGTAGGAAAGCGTATTTCCATTGAGTTCAGTGAACTTTCCAATGAAAATATTGTCTTGATATATAGAATCGAGTAGTCCAATATTATATTTGTATCCGTTTAAATTACTAGAGACCCAAGAAAACTTTATAGGACGGAAAACATCATGAGGGCCATATTCGGCATCCAAATCCTCCTCAGTGATAGATATTTCTGACTGAATGCCCTTAATCTGCTTTTCCAAATCAGCTACTTGCGCTCCATATTCTTGATTGACTTTTCCAGGAACTTTTGTATTTTCGGAGCCCATATTTGTGCTTGAATCAAACAGAGAAAATTGATCTGTTACAAGCTTGGTGATGTGATGGTAAATATTGAAAAGGAACAGAGTCTCACAATCCGTAGTGATGGAGTTGTAAGATATTTTTGAAGCTTCTTCGGAGAGTCCTTTTAATACTTCTAAAGTGTTATCTTCTTTCTGCAGCAATTGAGGCCTATTTGAAACATATTCTTGAAAATTGTTAACAGCTTCTTTTACAGCATGATCATTGAAATTCGGATTATACCCTTTGAGTAGCTTAGACAAAATTGCCTCTAGAATATTAATTCTCTCTAGATAATCTTTTGAGTCTGCATTTTGCTGCTTGACATTACTTTCCACGCTATTAATGAACGGTAATAGTATTTCAAGTGTCAGCAAGTTCTCATGAGTTTCACTTGTATCTTCATCAGTCCCTCTCTTTAGAAGACCTTCCAATTCTAAACTCTTTTCCTTCAATGCGTTTCTCAGTTCCTCAAGCTTGGTGTATAACTTTTTTCTTTGCTGCTCTGCTTTCTCTATCCATGCTCTTTTAATTCTCATTGCATTTTCAACATCCTTTGTGGTTCGATCCTTATATTCTAAGAACTGCTTATGAATCACTTCACATTTGTTGGGACAATTTCCACTCAAGTATTCATCTGAACCATCGCAGCATCTGTCATAATCACAGACACCATCATTCAACTTGAAATTTTCAATATACCCCGGAATATGCCCTTCATTTGCACAATAGAATTCAAATTCTGGATTGTATGCACATGCATTGGTTCCAGGTTCATCTGATCCATCAGGACAGTCGCAGACATCGTCATTGACTTGTTCGTAAGATAACACTATAGAAGGATCACCAATACAATGCCACGTCTTCTTTCCTGAAGTCTCTTCGATTGGTTGATATAGATTCTGTTTCGAAGGCTCAACTCCTCTAATTTGATTTGCTGAAACTCCTCCTGCTACTGCTAGCACAAGAGCCAATAACTTCATAGTCATTCAAGTCTCGTTAAAAGATGAAATAAGGGTATTCTTCTTACCTATTTAGATATCTGACATAAAGTCGCGATGTTTATATTTATATAATTATATATATTAGCTTTTTTAATATAGCTCCCAAACTATGAAAATTTCATAATAAATGCCGAGGATAAGATCCAAGAATGACCTGGAATCGCTTTCCATCTCAAGATGTAAGAGAATTATACGGCCATTGCTATCAAAAATACATAATTTAACCGATTTGAGTTCAAAATCACCGACTTTATTAGAATTCAAGTTTCCAGATGACTTTTATCTAGAAGCATTTAAAAATGTTTCAAAGACACAGAATATCGATTTAATGACAGCCCTATCATCTGAGTCTAATAAGATATCTAAATCGACAGTGCGACGGAATTTAAGCGATAGACATAAGAAATACTCTAAACTGAAGTCTCCATCTGATGCGAGTGAAGAAAACCATGGCGAAGATAAAATACCCTCACCACTCAAGGTTGAATTTGTAGCGATTCAAAAATTTGTCAGACCGAAATCTGCTTTAGAGAGACTTGCATCAATGAGTCCTTTCATTAGCAGTGAGCTATTTGAAAGGTATTCAGAAATATTTCAAATCTTTAAAAATATCATTAATCTTATCACGTTAAAACATAGCAGTAATAAAGTTCCAAAATTGGCTTCTTTGTGTGCTAGAAACTTGGGAAAGTCTATGGTTTTTTCAACCAAGACTACCTATTACAAAATGAATCAGTCCTTGCTATTTGATCCAAAAACTATTCCTCAATATTTACAAAAATATGAATATTTAGATGACGACGTCGATTATTGGCTTCAGTTGGAGCCAGAGATGATAACTGAAAGTTATAGGCTTGATGTTTTACTCGGTTATATTCTCAATTTAGTAGCTTTCAATCTGGGTCTGACGCTTTACATGTTGATTCCCGTTTTGTTACACTGGCTTTACGAAGAACTGGTTATATTAGAAAGGAGTGTGTTGAAGTCAGCTATGGAAACATTGTTTACAGAGTTCTGGGAATTCAATGACTTCTACTCAGACGATTGCGATGGTCAATGGATGTTGGAAGTTCATGCTCCACTCAACTCCAAAGCTAATGCTACATTATTTTGGACTTTGCACCGCCTTGGATACTGGGAGAACTTGGTCGACACGTTGAATTTGTGCACAAACCTTAATACTGGTAGGATTTATGAATCGTTGCTTTTGAATACAATTGCGGTAAATTATAAATTCGACTATTTTCTAACCAGTTTATGCGATGAAGAATCTGGTGCTGATCTTTTGGAGCTTCTTGTGTACCCATTATTGAAGAAAAATCCTCAACATCCAAGTGTCAATGATATCACAATTAGAATAATCACAGAACTTATAAAAAGAAGCAGACTAAATATAAAACGGTGTAAAACTTCGACTGATTTTCTTCATCATTTTAATGTTTCGTACCACAATCTATTTAAATTTAGTCAAACATGGCTTTCATTTTCTTGCGAGCATGAGCTTGTTTTTAACTCCTTGTATCCCGGTAACGAGCGTATATTTGAAGGTATTCTACGAATTTGCTCTTATTTACTTGAGAAATGCAAACTGATTATGAATAAGGTTGAAACTACTGATCTCGATATTAATGAAGATGCAGATTTCTTAGCTCGCATGTCACTCGTCAAATCCCAATTTAAAAATAACTTCAGAAAATTTGAGACAATGAAAGATGTAATGAATATTTTTAAGCTATACTTCATTGATCTTCCTGGTGAAATTTCTATATCTTCGGAAAATAGAGAAAGAGCTTGTGATTTTATCGTCAAGCTTCAAGGAGAAATCAAGAAACTGCACCACGGAAATACTGACTTGAATGAGTTTTTGCTTTGGCTCACTCGTAGAAGCGGTCTATCTGGATTGATGTTGGCCCGAGGATGTTTCAGAAGATATTACGGTTATGAAAATCGATTCTATGATACAACCACAAGTCATTTGTTTTCATATTTGTTTCAATCCAATTGCATTGATAGTTACTTTAGTAATAGTAATATATAGTCTTTAAAAAGTAATTTTCATCGATTTTATCAATTTATTAATGAACATTAAGTCAACATCATGGAAATCATTGATATCATTGACATTTTAGGATTCTAGACTCGTCTCCAACAATAGAAATACATTTTCCATCGAGTGACTCGTCCTCAAGTACTTCAATTATCTTGTTTACAGCTTGTGCTAATGTAATCTTGGGGATCTTATCACTACTCTTTGCGGTCTTTCCCATATCAGTTTCCTCTATTAAAGCAGGTAAGATAGCGTTTACACGTATACTTCCTTTAAACTCTGCCGATAAAGACTCTGTAAAACCAAGCAATCCCGCTTTTGTTGCTGCGTAGACAGCAGTTCCTGGAACTGTCAAGCCAGTGAATGATAATATAGAGGATATGTTCAAAATCTGGGGTTTTGAAATGCTGGATGATTGACTGTTTTTCTTGTAAGTTGCAATCATAGGTTTATATGCTAATTTGCTTAATATTATTGGAGCAGTTAAGTTCAAACCAATGATGAGGTCGATCATTCTGGTCTCCATCCTTGGCAATAAGTAATGACTTGTCACACCAGCACAATTGACCAAAATAGATATGTCCTTTAATTCTTTCAAGATGTTATTCATGTCTTCTTCGCCTAAATCTGGTTTTATCAACTGTGCAAGGTCAAACGGTATAAATCCATGAACTTGTGAAGAGTGCACCTTTGGAAGTCTTTCAACATTTTTCTTTAATAATGCCTCATTTCTAGATAGTAATGTAACGGAGCATCCCTTCAAGGCAAGCTTTTGAGCAATTGCCCAGCCTAAACCTTTTGAAGCACCTGTGACCAACGCTTTCTGGGGTAAGTGTAACATAGCTAGATAATCTCAGCAAAAGATATCTAATATATGAGCTACTTGGCAACAATGCTTTAAATATACAACTTCAATGTCTCTAAATACCTTTTATATAGCTAAAGTCTCTATACCTAAGCATTTCTCAAAAAATATTAGCTACATCTTAGATGAACTATAAAAGCGACACGAAAAACTCATTACATGAACATCGACTTCGTGGCCAAGCTGGCTAAGGCGTGAGACTGTTAATCTCAAGATCGTGAGTTCGATCCTCACCGAGGTCGTGTTTAAATTTGCCTTTATGGCCAAGTTGGTAAGGCACCTCACTAGTAATGAGGAGATCGTCAGTTCGAATCTGGCTGAAGGCATTTTTTTTTTCCTTTTTTGCATTGACTGCTATCATTCTAACTTGCCTACGATACTTGCTTAGAAAATTGGCAAGCCTACAAATCATGTTGCATAATTAAATAGTGTAAATTTATTTGATGATTGTGACATTTTTTCCTCCAAAAATAGACGAAGATATATTATTGATTCTTGTATGCTTGAAGTTCACAATGAGGATATCATGCTTCAAATTCAAATTGTAAACTCTTGAGAGAGCAAAGTTTTTGGAAAAGTCAATCAGATAGATATAGGGGTGTGAAGCTTTTGAAATTGGAAAGTTTTCACTGTTAATATAAGTAAACTTATTAAATGAGAGATCAAGCATTCTCAAGGGTAAGCTGGAAAAGAATCTTGAGTCAAAGCAACGCAAGTTCAGCAATTTGTTTTTCGAAAGAGACAATGTATGCAAATTTGAAGACAACGGTCTTCCCTCATACATGTCGCTTAAACGTTCCATATCTATGTCAGTAATATTGCAGCCCTCTAGCGAAAGTTCTGTTATATTCGAAAATATGCAATCTGAAAAACTGTAGTTTGTGAAGCGACATGTATCCCTTATGACTGATTCGTTATATGCCAAATTAAGTTTTTGAATATGAGGAAGTGGGTCTGACCAAAGCACGGCTATATCTTTCAACCGATTTTTTGAAAGATCCAAGTTTTCCAATCCCGAAAGTCTAGTGCCTTTGATTTCCTCCATATTATTGTTTGTTAGTGTCAACTTTTTGAGAGCTGATGGTAACATGACATCTGTAAATCGGAAGTTGCTATCTTGATTTAACACGATTAATTCCTTCAAGTTAGGCGCCATCTTTGCCAAGGGTATACAATTGATATCACCCAAGTCATTATCCTCCAAATGCAACGACTCTAGGCTCATCAAGCACATATTGTTGAGCTCTTTATAGTCAATTTCAGACGAGATGATTATTAGTTCTTTGAGGTGAGGCAACATTCTTAAAGAGCTATAATTGAAGCTTATACATAATCGGAGCTCAAGTCGCTGCAAATTGTTCGGCAAACTAGCATCTAGGTAAAGTCTAGATAACATGGTACAGAGAGATGCGGATAGCGACTTGAGATCTTTGCTGACCTCTATCGTCAAGTCTGTAGCATCATTAAACTCCACTGCCAAGCTGTTAAGACCTGAAGTAGTGAGATTAACTGTCTTGTACTCTCTAAAATGATCAGATTGCAAATCATTGAAGAATATTCTAACAAAATGTTCACAATTCAAGTCGTTAACGACAGAGCCTATACTGTCAGTGATTTTTCTTAGCACGTTGAGATCTAGGTTCGACTTTCTTTGAATTATTATGTTGATACGTTTTTTCGTAAGCCCTTGAAGTATTTTCCTCAAATTGCAAAGGTCATCTCCTAATATATGAAGAACATGCTCGAAGTTCATCACTAATGTGAACGCTTTGATCGCCAACACATTTCTTTGCGATTTAAATACCTCAAGTAACTCTGCCAACGAATATTTGACACGTCTTAAATTGGATGCTCGTGTGCCCATATCCTGTTCTTCCTGTGGCCGGAGGTCAACTAGCACACTGCTTCTTTTCAACAACTCTCTTAGTGCTCCATCATAAGTACACTTATAGTAAAGAAATTGCTTCACTTCGTCGAATGTAAGAACCCTCTCCCCCAATATAGACTCCACAACATCGTTAGGAAGATCGGAGAACCTTGTCATGCTTTTTCTAATCTTATTGCTCAAATGTTTAGTTCTTTGATCTTGAGGATATATTCGTTCAAATATAATCGGGTCAACTTTCTCTCCCTTCTTTCCTAAATGTCTTAATTCCTTTCTTAGTCTATTTCTTCATGTAGCCTTCTTAGGATGCTTCTATTATTCATGCCTATCGATAAACAATATAAGGAATATCTGGCTAAAATTTCGTTACTGCCACTCGCTAACTAGCTCATCACCTGAGCTCATCTGATAAAGGAATGTCCGAAAAATTTCCCAACAGGCTCCCTAAGTTTTTGCCTTAATGTGGGGCAGATATTGACTACAATTGTTTTATTCCGCCTTAGATAGTAATGTTACAGACGGAAGTTTAATGGAACACTTTTTAGATTGTCCTTACCTATAAGGTGAATATTCTCTAAACTGTGTTACTTTGTGGTATATATACCGAGAATAGAATTCAAAGGGGCTACTTTTGTTTCGATTTACTGAATATGGCAAACGAGATAAACACATTTTAGAGACATTAGGTATTCATGTAAGTGAATAAATGGGCTCGAATGCCTTGCTCTTGTAGATTTCTTACAGATAGTATTGCTGTAGCAAATTTGTTTTCGATTATAAGCCTAGTGAGCTAATTGGGAGCGCAATTGGAGTTAGACTGTTGCTATCGTGTGCTCATAAGGTCATCTTTATATTAAGATATGATCTTGCGGGAACAGCATATGACCTCCTCACCGCTTGATGGGAAATTTGAATCAAAGATTAGAAATTTGCCGTGGTTTCCTTCAGGAACGGCCACTAAGAGCTTAGTTGCTTTGGGACGCTGCGGAGGGTGCGGAGTGTCCAAGAGGGCATGTGGGTGCAAAAAGTTAGAATGTCCGCAACCACAGAACTGCCTACGGGTTTCTTTATGGCGATATCTGGGATATCTAGAAGCAACCAAAGGCAAGGTTGGTGGAGAGTGGCTTGAAAAATCGGACTACGCTGAAAATGTGTCAATTTCCAGCAACGATGATCTAAACTACGATTCAGATGACGAAGCAATTATTGAATGGGCTGTCAAGGAGCAGTATCAGGAACATCCAAAGGTTTCTATGTACGTTTTTTTATTTGGGGAGTCAGAGGTTCCATTCACATACTAATATTATTGTAGCATCACAGTCATGTCTAAGCAACCAGAAAGAGTGAATTCGACAAGACCGCTGGCAGATCAGCAGTAACGCAACAAAGAAAAGACTACATAGAGCTTCCAAAGACCAAGATATGGGGAGAGTTCCATGATTTAGACTTTTGTCTTATTTCCTCTTTGGTTGCGAAAAGCTCTATTTCTATAATATTGGCGAAAGTCCCAAAAAATTCCATTATTATAGAATGATTTCAATTCTTCTACTACTTATAGTTGTAACTTTCAGTGTCCCATACATTCATTTTAATATCTTATCCAAACCATTCAACCGAAAATATACTGCCAACTATAAGGAAACACTATCTAATTACGTATATTATGTCTTCGCTATAATAAATCTAGTTCAATAATGAAACGAGGAGCTTCAAAGAATACTATCCACAATAGGATACCATTAGTGTAATAAATATATGAGCCAACCTCTATGTTGGTTTCCTGTCGGCTTTATGCTCAATTCCTGTTCTGAAGCTTCGGGAAGAAGAATAATGCTCCCATCTAAACAAAACCTTCTCTTCCTAGGCGAAATGGTGTTTTTTGTTTTCAAAGTTATCTTATCTCCGACAGTAATCTTCTCATAGTTTACTCTTTTGTCTTCAACATGCCTTCCTTTGTCATAAACTTCGCCCATAATATCCAAAATATACTTGCCGTCAGGCTCATCTTCATATTTGAAAGACACACTGTAAAGACTATCATCGAGGATGTCTCCCTTTGGCAGAATCTCGAAGGTGGGTTCAAATTTCTTAGCTGATGTGAAAACTAAGTAAGCAAAAGGACCATCAAATACTTGATCATTGATGAAATATTGACCTTCATAATTTTGCGCCTGGGAAAGATTGGAGTAGGCCGCAAGCTTGAACCGTTCAATTCCATGCTTTCTCATTTCAGGAGTATCACTGTCGGCAACCAATGAGGCATGGAAGCCCCAGGACAACACTACCAAAAACTTTAAAGGATCTTGAATGAGGCCAACCTTTTCATTCTTTGAAAGATGATACGAACCGTTGGGGAAAGCCACCTCGTAAAGGTTCAATGGGTCTATAGCATCTTGAGATATAATTTTCTTCACTGCTTCTAAAGGGTCTGAGATATTCAAAGAGAGGGCGAGACTGTTCCCCGTACCTGCGGGAATAGGAAATACTATCAACTTAAGCCCTCCTTCAATTGAAGGGAGAGCATTGATAAACTCACTAATTGAAGTATCGCCACTTATAAATATGACAGTGACGTCCTCGTTGCTATCCTTTAAAGACTTAGCAAACTGCTCAATTGAATTCAGATTCTCTGTGGCGATGTAATCATATTTTAACTCCAAGATCTCCTTAAATATTGGTAAAATAATCGACTTATAGACGTCAGTCTTGTCTTTTCTTCCTGTGCCAGAAGTAGTGGAGTCTAAAATAACTAGCCTTCCTTCAAAAAGATGGCTAGAAACTTTAGACTTCGAAACAATTGATACATTACTTGGGACCTCATTTACTCGTTTAGTTAGTACAGTGTAAGAGTCTGGTAATTTCTCAACCAGCACGAGCTCCTTAGTATCTTCATGATAGAAGATGTCTACAACGCCGACTTCTTCACTCATTGCTCTTATTTAAATGCTTCTTTTGTATATATTTATTAGTAATCTTGGCTATTTGTCGACCCTTGTCCTTATTGCGATCTTATTACTGTGGAGCTAACGCTGAATATATGAAATTATACGCTATGTAATTTGAAACTAACGCCTATAGCCATTGTAGCCTTGACTAGAGTTTCCGGGACCCCTGTTATTATTAGGGAACCTCTGGTGATCTTGCTGATGGCCTCCATCGTTAAACCTATTGTTTGTATGTTGAGCATTGTTAAAAGTAGATTGCCTGTTACTATAACTGTTGTTGTAGTTGTTGTGATGAGTTTGATTGTAGCTATTATTGTAGTTGCTATTGTAGTTGTTATTGTAGTTGTTATAACTATCATTATTGTATCCATGATTGTATCTGCCCTGATTGCCTACGCTTCCTTTAAAATTGTTATTATAGCCACGCTTATAATGGTTATACTGCTGGTTTGGCGGTCCCCTGTTAGAGTTGTTGAACTTGTGATTATTGTAGTTGTTTTGATATCCTGTTTGTTTACCGTTGTAAGTATTTTGACGATAGCTAGCTTTGTTGAAGTTTGACCTCATTTCGAAGCCATGATTATTTTGCTTCGTCATTTGTAAAAAGGACCTATAGCCACCGAAACGCATACTATAAGTCAAATAGAGCTCCTTTCCACAAGGACCCGTGTTAATATAGCTACTATTATCGTTTGGAGTGCGGAATCTGCTTCCAGCATTCCTACCCTGTCCATAGAGGATCCCATCTTTATCTTCTTGTGTCAAGGCTTTAACGTGTGGGATATAGCCATTTAATAGCATGGATTTTCCATGTTTCTTCGGTGGCATCTTATAAGTAACTTGCAAGTAGTCACTATTTTGAATATCTGGCATGTTTCCTTGTTTTAAAGGAAATATCATTTTTGCATTCCCTTTGAAATTTTCAATAGAAGAAGCGGTTCCAGCCAAACCAGTCTTCGATGATCTGAATGACACAACTTGTGTTGTCACTTCTCCATAAAGATGTTCGTTAAACTTTCGATAGTTCTTATTTTCATTTGATATGAATAACACATCATGTTTAAGAGTATTCCTGTCTTCCTCGTATTCACTCAATAATGGGTATTGAGCTTGAACTGCTTTAAGTAAACGATCTTCATCGATAAAGGGTAACAACGCAATCCCTTGCCAACTCATTTTTTTACCATTCATGTCGATCTGAAAATCCTCAGGATAAAAGTCAATAATTTCACTTGATGGATCCGACATTAGACCTCTAAAAACTTCGGGCAAATTATGGCCCGAAGCAGCTGGCAATACTGACATTAATTGCTCATATGGCCTAAATGGCTGTCCCAATTTGAAGGTTATTCCCTCTTCACCTACTATGTTTGCAATATCAACAAAATCCGCAGCAAAAGGCGAATAATGGTAGGGATAATACCATTGCCAAGAGGGGCATCCTTGATAATAATACAATAAAACCCACGAAATACCTTCTAAATAAGACTTAACGACGTCTCTGCGTGCTTCATTGATCTGGTCAGGAGTAACTGCATGGAATTTAGTCTGATAATATCTTTTACGATAGCCAGGCTCCCACATCCTAACTTTATCACTGTCTGCATCTGGCGTTGGAGAATTTGATTCAGAGACTTCTTCGATTGTTCTTTTCTTTTCTCTTTCAGCTTGAGTATCCACCACCTGATTCTTATTCTCGCCTTGATTTTCTTGTGATAATTGAACTGCTTCTGCAGCGCTGATATTATCGCTCTTCTTTGAGTCAAGAAGAGCCTTTAGAGAAGCAGCTGCATCTGCATTGGACATATTAGCCTTGGTAATAATGTCCCTATTGGCAACGATTTCTTTATTTGTCAAGGTCGCAAACCCATCGACAGACTCACCGCTAGTGGTAAATAATGGCATGTTGGTATCAGCAGTTAATGGTGCCTTGTCAGATCCTTTTGATACTTGCTGCATGTACTGAGCCTTCAATGCTTTTTCTTCTTCCTGCGCCACTTTACGTCTTTTATCATTGTCTTCCCTTCGTTTTTCGAATTCATGCCTTCTCCTAAATATATCATCCTCCTTATAAGCCAACGAAGCTAGAAGTTTTTCAACACCATCCAAATTGAGGTTCCCATCGCATGTTATATATCCCTTAAGCTTTGGCAATATTCTCTTCCAACAATTCACGAGAATGTCAATTCCATTGTCCCTAACATCAAGACTAGGCAAATGCGGTAAAAAATCATTACCCACAAAAAAGCACATAAAGATCCAATCATCAATAGCCCGTTCTAAATCAAACGGGAAAGGTAAGTGAGGGTTGAATAATTCCACTTCTAGGTATTCTCTTAATACATTCACATGAAGCCATAAAAATGGCTTCTGACCATCCTTTTCCACTAAAGCATCTTTCTGTTCCTGCGTCATCAGAATTTGATCAGAAACTTTCAATTGCCTAGATTGATTAGCAAACACGTCTTCTCTCAAAACTCTAAAATGAGGTTCATGCGTCGCCAAGCCTAAGAAAATCAAATCTGCATCTAATCCATAGATACAATGCTTTGTATTGGGATTGTACTCGGGATCCAGTCGTTGCAGTCTTATAAAATTCATTAATTTATGCTCACCTTCACCAGGAACTGAAGCATCACTGATAACGATCTGTAAATTAGCCCAACCAGGATCGCTTGAAAGCTTATAAGCAACCCAGTACCTTAAAGCTGCAGCTAGCTTATCCATAAATGGAGTACCAGGAGTAATTGCGTTTGAATCCCATGATTTTTTACCTTTGATAGCATCATCAATAACCTCACCTCTGAGTTCTCTCTCTTTAATTTGTCGTTCCTTTTCTTCGTGTGAAATCTTAGCATCTTGTGCAGACCTGAAACGTCTCGCTCTTTGTTGGTTCATTTTGGCTCGTGGAGCAACCCCGTCAACAGCTATTATTAATACTTTTCTCGGACGAGCCATCATTAACACCCTATCAGTATATTTAAAAATATCTAAAAGCATCTCATCTTCCGTTTCTGGCGCCGGCTTATTCTCGGGATGTGAACAAGGGTGCACTATACCGTTCATATCCAAGTATAGATTATCAACTTCGCCATTAGGATTGGGGTCACTATATTGCGGTGTACCTATCTCTTCCTTGGTGTTTTCTTCAATCACTGGCGTAATAATTTTAGGATACTTTTTAGAAAGCCATCTAAATAATGCTGGAACACCCATCCTCACACACTAATCTACGTAGGCTCCTACTGAAACAATCAAGTTAACCTTATTCCAGCTTGATGCTATACTTTAATGAAAGAGAAAAATTTACATATTCAGATATTGGTACCCTGGATTGTATACACTACCATACTATATACAGGAATCAATTGCAAAATCGAACATTATTCATTTCAAGCTACAACTATAGGGAGTATAAGAGCAAAGGTAAGGTCTCATTTGGCTCATTTGAATCACTGAACCACAAAGTGGGTCTATATTAATGCTTTTAGATTATTCTTGAAGAAAGGAGAATCCTGAATGGCAGATTCTCGCTACAGCTTTCACGCTGCTCGTACGTTTCTGATTTCTTCCACATTTCAAATCCATTTAGAGAATAGGCGTAGTAAATTCTGGTCTCAGATACATAGAATTCTTGGCAGTCTTTTACACATAGAGAATCCAATTGAAATTACGTATAAAAAGAGGGTTCCCTCAAAGGAAAAAATCACGGTTCTATATCATCTATACATTATTATTACTATTATTACTATTATTACTATTATTATTATGTGTCTACCTATTAAATAAATATATCAGTTAGAACTTGTTAAAGGTATGGTATCTAAGTTTGTATCCGACTTATGGCTTCCTTCCGATACCAGATCATCTGACTGTTCCTTCGTTGGTGGTTGAAAGTCTGGATCTGTGCTTGAGTTATATAAAATAATGCCATTCTGTGCAGCATGCTTCCTTTCATCCTTTTTATAAAGATATAAGACCACAAATGTCCATAAACATAACGCAAAAGCAGAAGATGCTGTGAAAGAGAAACCTTTCAAGTACCTAGGTTGTTCCACGGTCTTCCATACTAGAACAGATATCCAAGCAGTGGTTGATTGAGCAAGCATATTCATTGCAACCATGACGACTGTCCTCTTTTGAAAGTTTCGGCGACAGATATCGTTACACCATGAATAAAGAACTGGTGCCATAGCCCATCCAAAATATTGCATACAGAATGCAAACCATTTTGCTCTCTCTGGAACATGCCAAACAGCTAGTATAACATTGCCTGTAATGTTGAATATTTGTGAAAATACAATTGCTTGCCAACGACTATGGAATAAGTCTGCATAGCAACACGTTAAGATTAACCAGAGAATACCTAAAGCTGGGGTTAACGCAGTATAGTCTTGAAGTCTACCGCCGGTGTATCTTTGGTTACCATTGTCATCCAATAAACTCTTTAACCATAATAAATATGCACCGGAAGTACCATTGCTATTATTCCAACAAAAGATGTTCCACAATGCAACAACATATATATGCCAAGTACTTAAAATTGGTTTCCAAGTTTCAAGTTTGAAGAAATCAAGAACAGGATTATGGTTCGTTGCTGAGCTAGTTTGATTCGATCTGACCCTCTTTCTTGCTAATCTAATTTCATCATCCGTCAAAAATATTGAATAGCAATTCGATGGGGTACCAGGAAGTAAATAAAACCCAAGAAAACCAACAAAAACAGAAATTATACCGTCAACAATAAAGATCCATTGCCATGCCGCTAAACCATTCACCCCATCTAAGGAGTCCACAATGTTTCCAGACAAAAGACCAGAAGTAAGGACCCCAAGGTACTGGCCAATGTAATACACCATTGATCTTCTAGAAATTTCATCAACTTTGTACCAAGATCCAAATAGCCACTGATAAGCAATATAAGAGGGAGCTTCGAAACAACCCACAAGAAACCTTAAGGCTTTAAGTTTGGGCACAGTGTCTGCTCTATAAAGACATATAGTGACAATAGACCAACAGATATCCAAAGTTGGAAGAACATAAGTAGTTGGAGCAGCATATAATACATACATGAATGGAATCTGCAAGACAATGTTACCAATAGAAAACATAACTTGAGTGTTAACCAAATCATTTCCTTTCATACCAATACCTTCTTCTAGCCCACTTATATAAGCATTGTTGAGGTTTGTTTGATCCAAATACTTCACCCAATATGCGACCAAGGAATACAAAGTTAAAAGTAAGTCAAGCTTTATGACGAGCCTCCTTTCCTCAGGAGTATCATCTTCGTTAAACCATTTAAACCATTTATGTGCAGCCCTCTTGTTTTTGTTAACTCTGTACTCATATTCGTCAAAATATTTCCACCACTTGCGATCTTTTTCATCACGATATTCAATTGGAAACTCAACTAAAGTATCTGAGCTAGGGGTATTATCAATTTTACCGTTGGTTTTTTCTAGATTAACATTCGAATCATTATTACTTAAGATTGAACCGTCAGTGTCTTCAAAGTTCGTTGCAGCTTTTTCAATCTCAGTTTCATCGTCATCTACTACCCTTCTCACGGGAAGGAACCCCCATTTAAGTCTTTTGAAAGGAGTAATATAAGTCATTCTTTACCCAGCTTTAAATTTTAACAATCAATAGTGTGCCGTTCGTTTATCACTCAAGTACTGATTTCAAATTCTGTCTTCCTGGGGTTATCTGATGCAGAGAATACAGTAAAGGTTCAGCGGGAACAGAAATGAAGATTTTTTGTGAATGAAAGTTGCCACTCTTAGTATTTACAGTTCAAGATAGCCCAGAAAAAAATCTCATGCCATAATAGACTTGATGCAAAAAAATTGGTATCGTCATATCTCGTGGAGCCACACTCTTCACTGCGATGAGATGTGCGACATTAGAAAAAAAAACGTTAAAAACGACATTTCCGCGACACAATCATCAAAGTGGGATAGCCGGAGAAAATCGGCACGTGATTCACATACCTCTTCAACGGACTTGAGATATACTAGCTACCTCCTGCAAGTGGGTGCCGATCGTCATCCTGAAGCTCTAAATCCTAAGAGCCCCGAAAGCACTTTCGTTAATACCCCGCTATCTAATCATACGCCCTCTTGGCGGAGGGGGGTCCTTTAATCTCTTCCCAATTGTCAAGGACCCCCAATAGGCTTTCCAACATCAAGTGCGGAGGGAACCCGGAACAAAATGATTACTGAAAATTCACAAACACCACATTACTCCCCACGATTATCCTATGAGCATGGATGTAATAAAAAAATAACTAAAGAGGATGAGTAATCAGCTCAGAGCCGTGGCACGTAACGAGGCTCCGCTTTATACCTGCCCGCAGACTTCAAACTTAACAACCGTGTCATGTACACTGCATATAATATCGGAATCTTAGTCCGTATGCCGTAGAAGCTAGTTCATAGTATTCTTTGAATCCGGTAGTTTTGACAGAACAGGGTGGACGCCAGCGTTACAACACAAGACCAAAGTCATAATAACATATAGATCGACGGTAAAGTATCTCAAATTAAGTCTGTACCGAATTATATGCTTTGCTCTGTTTTTGACTCTGAACTTTCGAACGTTATATTCGGTATTTTGAAAAGATCGAAATCCAACATTTCAGCTCTTTCTTTATTCCAGTCGGGTGGAGACCGCCCCGCGTAGAAAAGTTTTGGAGTAAAATAGTGTGGGGCGCCCGCATGAGATGAAGCAGGAAACAATAGCGAAGTTTGAGCGGAGTACGGAGAACAAAGGGTGTACTTATGCACATTTCCCAGATCCCGGGGAGAAACCTCATAGTTGATGTAAGAAGTAACATGGTGCAGCATGCTTCCTAATTGGGATTGAGCAAAAAGAACAAGAAACGATCGAAATTGGTATATAATAAGTGGTTCAGAAGCAGTAGAGGAATTCATCTGAAGCGTACAAAGAATCGCAGCAATGAATAAGATGGACGAAGGCAAAGAGATCCAATCTATTGTTTCACAACGCTCTCTCGAGGGCCAAGACGCTAAAAAGCTGACCCAAGCTCGTGAGAAAATTGGAAGAAAAAAGAGATGGGCATGGCAGACTCCCGACGATGGGTCACCCCCAGAGATATATAACTGGACTTTGTATATGTCAGTGTTTGTTTTTGGTATTTTGGGATCTGCTAGAGGTTATGATGAGGGAAACAGTAAGTATTGAAAAAAGTTTTAGTAATGAATGATCTATGGGACTAACTGTATTTTCTAGTTTCTGGATCACTTGCTCAGGTATCCTTTAAAAATCAATTTGGGCTTTCCGATGAAAGTAAGACAGCAGACGAGATTGCTAATTTGAAGTCAAATATATCAGCGATGGTTCAGTTAGGTTCTATAGGAGGAGCGCTTATTGCTACATATACCGTCGATAAGTTAGGTAGAATCAGAGCATTGCAATTCGTGTGTTTAATATGGGTGGTAGGAGCTATTATACAGATTACTTCTCATAGTGTTGGTCAGCTTTATGCTGGTAGATTGATCGAAGGATTGGCCGTGGGACAAACAACATCAATAGGGCCAGCTTACTTAAGTGAATGTGCTCCAAGGAGCATTAGAGGATTATGTGTTTGTATATTCAGTGGAGCTGTTTACTTCGGTGTCATGATTGCATACTTTGCTAACTATGGGACCTCGATTCACATGGAAGCTGTCAGGAACCAATGGGTAGTACCTACGAGTATGAAAATCGTTTTTGCCGGTCTTTTGTTCATACTTTCGTTTGCATTCTGTGTCGAGAGTCCAAGATGGCTCTTGAAAACAAATAAACCAGAACAGGCACTCAAAAACTTATCTAAACTTAGGCATTTACCAGAAAATCATCCGTATATTGCTAGTGAGATATCAGATATCAATGAGCAAGTGTTGCAAGAAAAGGAAGCAGTCGAAGGCTCTAATTTTGTCTCAAAGTTGAAGGAATTAACTCTTTTTAAATCAAACAGATACAGATTTTTTGCCGTTTGTGCTTTGGCACAGATACTTGGTCAATGGTCAGGGGCCAATGCGATCACTATATATGCTCCAGAATTTTTTGAACTTTCTGGTATTGAAGATAAGCAGCAGTTAAAGATGACTGCCGTCTTAGGAGTAGTCAAGTTTATCTCAGCATACTTGCTGGCCTTTTTGATCATCGATGCATTGGGTCGTAAAGCTGCCTTACAATGCGGTCTTATCATTCAGCTTGTTACTACTTTATTCTTTGCAATCTTCTTAACTATTGTACCGCAGGCGGCAGAGGAGGGAGCAGTTTTGACTCATTCTCAATTACAAGCAAGTAAGGCAGCTTTAGCTTCCTTGTTTTTATCGGGTGTTGGTTGGACAATGGGATTCAACAATATTCAATACTTGGTTGGTTCAGAAATGTTTCCGTTGAATATTCGTTCTTTTGCCCAGTCATTGGTTATGGTATTACATTTTGCTTGCCAGTACGGTAATTCAAGAGCCGTACCTAAAATGCTTCTTGCAATGAATTCCTATGGAGCATTTTATTTCTTTTCTGCTGTAATCGTAATCAGTCTCTTTTGGGGTTGGTTTTTCATTCCAGAAGTTTCTGGGCGTTCTTTGGAATCGATGGAGGATATATTCAATCTTCCATGGTACCTTATTGGCAGAAGGGGTCCTGAATTATGTCCCGATTATTCTGAACTTAGCAGAATTGGCCACGCTAGCAAGGAGAGCTTTGGCCAAGGTATTATAGATAGAAAGGTCGAAGTGGAGCAGATCAGTAATGTTCTGGCTCGCTCTTCCTTAGATAGGCTCAATGATGATGATAACGATAAAGAAAAGGAAAAGGAGAAGAGAGAAGATTGATCAATTCACGTCTATTTTACATATCCAAAACTCTTTAAAACTTATATTATACTATTACTTTCACATGTAGACTCTATTTATTCTTTAGGTTTCTTGTTGATGGATTGCTCTTGATTTTCAGGATGCTGTCTTTTCTTTTCATTAGAATCAGTCCTATCAACGGTTGGACGATGAACTGTCAAGGTGCTCTCAGTAAACTGGTGTCCTAGCTTTTGCTTAGAAGCAGCATCACCCGAATTTGGAATACCCGGAAGGGAAAGAGGTTTAGAAACCTGCGATTCAAAATTTGGTTCTGAAGCACCCTGTGTATTAGAATGGGAAGCAGGAACAGGAGCAGGAGCCACGTTAGTTTTGTTTTCTAATTTGTCAAGCTTCTTATTCAACAATTTCATCTTTAAATCATATTTCTTAACAGTCTGCTTCTCTGTTTCTTCCTTCTCCTTGGCCAATCTGTCCTCGAATTCAGATTGCAACGTCTTCAATTTGTCTTCGTGTTCCTTCATCAACTTCTCTCTCAACTTATCTACCTCAGCAGAAGAGCCATTTTTGACAATCTCCTCGTTGACTTTTTGCTTGAGTTGCGACTCAAACTTTTCCTTGGTATCTTTCTCGATCTTAGCCCTTTCTTTCACCATTGATTCTTGTAAATCATTAATTTTGACTCTAAACTCACCCTCAATCTCAGACCTGATCTTTTCATTTTCTGCCTCCCTATTTTTCTTCAATTCATCATTCAATTTAGATTCCAATTCAGACTTCATTTTCTTGTTGAACGAATCCTTCGCCTGTTCGAGCTCCTCTTTGAGTTTTTCAATTTCTTTGTTTGGTTTTTCATCTTTCTGAGAGTTTAAACGATCTTTTAAGGTGATTATTTCCTGCTCCAAAGCGCTCTTTTGTTCATTGAGCTGTTTAATCGATTTTTCGGAATCAGACTTCAATTTTTCAAGCTTTTCATTTGACTTGACAACTTCGTCGCTAACTGTGGAATCAGTTTGCTTAGTTTCATTGGCGGCCGTCAACTCATCTTTCATTGTCGCAATCGTATTCTGAAGCTCTTTAATCCTTTCATTTTGCGATTGAATTCTAGAGTTTGCCTTCTCTCTGATTGAATTGTACTTCTGCTTTAAAGCATCGTATTCCTTCTCAGAGTCAGGGTCACTCATAACACTAGATCGGGACTTTAGGTTGCCGTTTTCTTCTTCAAGTAATTTGATCTTTTGATCCTTAACTTCGAACTCAGTTGTTAATGAGTCAACTTTAGACTGTAACGGTTCAAATTGAGAGGAGAGAGACTGCAACTCAAGCTCAAGATTGCTAATTGCTTTTGACTTGGAATTGTTCTCATTTCTTAATGTTACATTGCTTTCACGAAGAATATTCAACTGCTCAAGCTGCTCGAGTAGACGTCTATGGTCATCGCTAGTCTGCTCAACGTCTACTTGCGTCAGAGCTGCTTTGACCAATTCAGATTTCGTTATTTCTAGTTCGGTAAGAGCCTGCTCTAAGCGTTGTTGAAGCCTTTGATGCTCCTCGGAAAAATTTGTGGCTCTTGCCTCAGCATTTTCCTTCTCACGTCTTAAATAGGTAACAACTTCTTTCAAATCACTATCGTTTTCAGATTCAGGATTATTTGAAGATTTAGTTAACTCAAATTGATTCAATATAATAGAATTTTGCTCCTGAAGGTCTTTTATTTTGGTCTTGGAAGATTCCAACTGTTCTTCTAAGTTCTGCTTTTCTTCGCTGAGTTTCACGTCTTTGGAATCCAATTCATGCTTGAGATTCTTGATCTCATTGTTGAGAGATTGAAGATTCTCTTTGAGCGAATCAGCTTCTTCCTTCACGGAAGAGATATTTCTCGAGAGTTCTTCATTTTTTTTTAGTTCTGCTATATATTTAGCCTGAGTGTCAGTTACCACCTGAACCTGGTTGTTTAAGTCGCTGGTAAGAAGCTCCAATTTATTTTCATAATCCTTCTGCAAGCTGTCATATGAAGAAGCTTTCTGAGAAAATTCATCGAGTTGACTCTTTAAAGTATCGATTCTTATAGTATTCTGTTCATTCATACTTACCAATTTCGAGTCTGATACCTTAAGGTCCTGTTTCAACGTATTTATTTCGTTTTCGAATTCAAGTTTTTCTTTAAGCAAAGCGTTATAGTTTTTGTCACTTTGAGTCTTATAATCATCGAAAGAGTTTGTTGCATTCATCAATGCCTCTTCGGCTGCCTGAGCTAACTTTGAGAACTCATTGACTTGACTTTCAGCAATATGCAAGTCCTCTTTCAGCTGCTCAAGTTCGATCAAAAGCTTAGCGTGTTCTTCATTACCTGTCGACGATGTATCGATTTGGACACTATTGTTTCGAGGATTACTTAAAGAGCTACTCAATTCTCGAATTTTCTTGTTTAAACTAACAATGACCGAGTCTTTCTCAATTACTTTATTCCTAACATCCAACAAGTGTCGACTGATTTCGTTAACTTGCTCTAATTTAGTATTTTGGGCTTTCAAGGCTAACTCAGACTGATTAGATAAGATCATAATTCTCTCTTCCTTGTCATTAAGTCTCTCTTGCAATGACTGATAATTCTCAATAGATTTATTGAGCCTGTTAGATAAATCCTTACTAGACTCTTCTCTCTCTTTCAAAAGATTTTGCAAGCTAACAACAAACTGATTGAGATTAGATTTATCTGCTCTCAATTGCTGAAGTTCTTCTTTCGAAGACTGTAAGGCTAAATTTTTAATTTCTATTTCTGATTCCAAATTCTTCACAGTGAGGCTTGTATTCGTTAGCTTCGACTCCATATCCCTTAATTCACGAGATTTAGTAACTAATAGTTCTTCCTGCTTGGATGCCTGCTCCTTCCAAAAATCGATATCACTTCTGGATCGCTCAATATCTAAACGACTATTTTCCAATGTCTTCTGTGCATTTACAAATCTCGTTTCGGCCAAGTCAACATTATGCTTCATTGAAGATACTTTCAAAGAAAGTTCGTTTCGATCATTCATCGATTCTCTCAACTTTGCATTCAAGTCTTTTATTTTGTCATCATATTGCAGTTGAAGATCTTTTAAGATAAGTTCCGTATCAGATAATTTACTTTTCAAATCTTCATTAACATTCCTAAGGAATTTAAGTTCTGACTTAGTAGAACCACTAGCCTTGTCTTCGTCAGATAAAGATTTAAGAAGCTCATTTTCCTTTTGCACTGCCTGCAATTTGATTTGAAGACTTTCTAACTCACCTTGCAAAGTCAATATAGCATCTTTGGCTTCATCTATCGCAATAGACTCAAGCTTGTTATCTTCTTCTTCTTTTGATTCTAACTTCTTACCTAGTTGCCTAACAACCGTTAAAAGGTCTTGATTCTTTTGTTGCAATTCAGCAATCGAAGTGAAGCCTACTAGTCTCTGAGAAATTAGCTGATCTGTATCAGATTCTTTCAAATTTTCATTATTACCACTCCTTTCCAAAATGTTGTCAATAGCTTTCCTTTCGCTCGCAGTCAACGGATCTTCACTGTTATCCCTAATTTTCGAATGTATCAAGTAGTAGCATAGTTGCTTCCCTAAATCTTTACAAAGTTTTTTCATTGAAACAAGTTCATTTTCAAGATCAGAAATTTTTGTCTTTAATTTGTTTGAACCTCTTTCAAGATCAATCTTTTCAATTCGAATTGTTTCAATTTTGCCAATCATATCTTTCAAAGAGTTCTCATAGAATTTAACTTGATCACGATAGCTTGCAATCGCAGGCTTCTTCGATTCTAGTTCATTAACAAAAGATTCTAATTGAGATGCTAATTGTTCTTTTTGAGATCTTTCCAAAACCAACTGTTTCTTTAAATGATTAAACTCCGCGTAAACTGATGACAATGAGATACCCTGGGATGCAATGAGCTCGGACGTCGCTGAGAGCTTAGGCAAGTCAGTTTCTTTATGTAATTCCGCATCGAGTGCAGCTTCGGTACGCTTGAGCCTTTCATTTAGTTCTAGCTCAGATTCAGTTTTTTGGGCCAATTCGTTTTCCAATTTATTTATTGAATCTCCCAAGTTAGATTTAAGTTCATCAACATAGACCTCTAGCTGACTGATTCTTTCGAGCCTTTGGTCGGATTGGACTTTCGTTAGCTCTAACAATTCATCTTTGCTCTCTAATTCCTTAGATAGTCTCATTTTATCAATTTCAAATTTCGAATCTAATGACGAATATTTAGAGATCTCGTTCTCCAAAGAAGACTTTAGATCATTAACTAACACCGAATTATTTTTCAACTTAGATTCTAACATACTATTTTGATTCGTTAGACTCGTTATTTTGTTGGAGGAAATCAAATATTCAGTTTCATGCTTCTTTATAAGATCAGTAAATTTAGCCTGAACTGATCTTAATTCACTTTCGTACCAGTCTTTTTGGTCTTTGATATATGCAAGTTCATTAGTATTTTTAGTGACGGTCAATTTTAAGGCAAACTTTTCATTTCTTAAGTTGTTGATCTCTTTTGTCAATTCATTGACTTTTTGGCTTTGTTCTATATTATCGGATGTCAATTTATTAACCGAATCATTTAAACTTAAAATCTCTTGGTCCTTGTTACCTAATAAATTGTTCATGTCATTATCAAAAAACCTTTCTTTCTCTGAATATTTATCAACTTGAGATTTAAGATTGGAGTTCTCAATTTTTAGGTCATTTACTACATTTCTTTGACTACTATTCTCTCGCTTCAAATTATCATGAGATTCTTCTAATTGTGAATTTAATTGCTCAGCTTTATTCAATTTTTCCAGAAGACTTGCCAATTTCTTTTGGTGTATTTGTATAGACTGTTCTTGATTGAATTTAAGTAAAGATATGTCTGACTTCAACTCCTCAAACTCTATTGCTTTTCTTTGTAAAGCTTCCGAAAGATCTCTGTCATCCTTGAAAGTTTCCAAACCAAGGAAGGACTTCACGATATTATCATCCACAGGTGAGCTATTGGGATCTCTGGCTACACTGAAAAGCTTGGGCGTACTAATATGCTCAATTTCATTCAATGGAGGAAGCTGCTTCGAAGGAGTAGCAAATGCTGTTGGACCAGAACCGACGAACAGTGCGAGGTCAGAAGCATCAGCATCTCCACTATCGGTTGCACTCGGCACTTGCTCTTTTTGAGAATCGTGAACTTCTTCCGCTGGCAAGTCTACTTGGATATGCACCTTTTGATCATACAGGGATTTGCTTTCGTCTTGATGATCTGGTTTCAGTTCACTTTTAGGAACCTGCTTATTCTCCTCTTGCTTCTCTTGTTCGTGATTCTCATGACCATTCCCTTCATTGTCACCATCAATTCCTTGCATACTCTGCTCGGAGTCTTTCTTCTCTGGAGCACCTTGATCCTCCATGAGCTTTCCTATGTTTCAATTGATAGTTGTGTTAATTTAATATTTAAATAGGAACAAAGTAGTAATGTTATACCAGCCATTATTTCAAAAAGTGTACGACATTTCTTGATGGACGACTTTTCTCAGTGTCGGACTTTTGTCTGACAGACATCTATTTTCTTGAATAGGGCTAAACTGTAAAACTTGAGTTGCTTCTTTAAATTATACATCATGTGATCTCGATGCTACATTGACGCAAGATTCTGAATTGTGTGCACACTGACTCGGAATCAACTTTAGTAAGGGTTTCGTTCCCCCCACCACCCACCACAGTAGCCCCCCTCTGCGTTAAGTCATAAATCTATGGCCTCTAGATGGGAAACAATAACTCCTAAGTCTTAACGTTGTTACTGTTCGCTATCTAAGTCAGCATGTGCTTTCAAAAAAAAAGGCTCTCATAACTAATGCTTTACTGCTTTGTGTAACTATCTCAAGCCCTCTTGTGATATTGGTCAGTTTTGTGATATATAGCGTATATACACCACAGGAGAATTTGATGAATATTTCAGCTTTGTGTAACTTAGTGTGAAAAATTTCTCTGTTCTCCCACGTCCTGGTGAGAGCTAGTCAACATTTTCAAGATTTTTAATTTATTTTTTCACGAGTTAGGTATTTGATTAAATAAAAGAGAGTCATAATGATCGAGCCATCTTTGAAGATCTTGGCCTCCAAGTACAACTGCGAGAAGTCTATCTGTCGTAAATGTTATGCTAGATTGCCACCAAGAGCCACTAACTGCCGTAAGAGAAAGTGCGGTCACTCAAACCAATTGAGACCAAAAAAGAAGTTGAAGTAATCTATTTACAGAGCTTCATCTGCGGAAACCAAACGCAGATGTATTGTTGTGAGCTCTCCAACAAGGCTTCGGTGTTGGAGTTATCCTTCACCTCATGGTTGCTTTAACGATATAGCTAACCATATGTTAGAGTCATATATACATGTGGACTTTTTGTGGTGTCATTTTGATACTTCATTAAGTCTTCAGCTCGTTAATACATATTGCTACAATTATTTATCAGCTGTAAACCTATAAAGATTGCAATGCCGTCATCTCATACAAAATAGTCTTAAAAACAATTCAAGTTCTTTAATTTTATAAGGATCTAGACTACATCTGTGATTTCTCATTTCAATCTGAAGCTCTAATTCATCATTGCCAGATGATCCGCCATAACGTATTGGCTTATTCTCTTCTCTATCTCTTCCGTTGTAGAGGATTCCAGCTCCTTGAGCCAGGTCGTGCAACAAGCCCTATTTTTGAAGACTGATTAATATGAATCCCATATTTAACGAAACATGCAGTGATTGTTCACTTGAAGCACACCCACCAAATACATTGATCAACTTCAGAAGACAGCAGTAGGCAAAATAAAATCACTGCTGGATTCACAAGCATGGATAATCGGAGTTATATGTTTGATTTGGTGGCAAACAACGCTAACAGAGGTGCTACTGGGTCGAATCAGGCCGATCCTTCTAAATCATCCGTTCAACAAAAACGGCAAAGCAGCATGTCTAATTATTTGGGGAGTAATAATAATAAGAGAATATTTAATCCTTTGCAATTACCGATGGCGATGCAACGTCCCACTGGTCAAGATTATACCTTCGATGCGGCCACGCCACAAACTAACCCTCCAACTTCACGATATAACACGACTACTAATGTCAATGTTAGTAATAATAGTAGTTTAGGTGGCAACAATCATTCGGTGAGGAAAAACTTAATGCAGCTGAATGTTCCTACGCCGACACCCTCGGGATTTGAGCTACCATCTAGCCCCAACCTTCCACAACCAACGAACGTCTCACCTCAAAACAATTCTGATCTGTCTGAATATAACATGGGCATAAATCAGGCAAGTAAAGAGTCTACCAAGGAACCGATTCTGAATGTCACACCCAGTAATACCTACCTTGATCAGCCACAGGCCACCCAGCTGTCGTCACAACAAAGGGTGATGTCAGAGGAGGAGCAACAATTAGCATCGAAACTTAAAGAAACATACAAGAACATTGTAAATTTTGAAGAGGTAGTCCAAAAAAATTGTATTGAAGTCACAATGAAGATTAATCAGTTATCAAATGGAGGTTCATTGTCGAACGTTGGTACATCTGCTTACTCGAATCCACTGTTCCCAACTCATCAATTATCTTCTTCTTTGACTTCAAATTCCCCTTTAAATATGAGCCAAACTAGATCATCTGAATTACTGAATGATTTATGGACAGTTTATCACCATAATGTTATCTTGTTAGATAACTATTATGATTTTTTAGTAACTGCATTGAAACCGTCTTCAAATCAAACTGAATTCAAAACGGGCAAGAATATTGTTGACTTGTATAAGATACCTAGAAGGATGTGGGTCTACGGGGTTGTTGGGTTTCTTGAAGTTTTAAAAAATGTAATGAACATTTTTCAAGAGCATGACATATGTCTGTGCTTTATAGCTTACTGCTTCAATATCGTTTCAAATTTGACAGATTCTAATTTGGAGATGGAGGGATGGTGGCTGGAAAAGCTAGGCGATTTATCAAGAATGGCAATAGCATTGTATTCTACGAAATTCATAGATTGGAAGTCTAGTGCCGAATACTGGTATACTATTGCCATGAAGACACTCTATGGGCATGGAAAAATATATTATCACGTTTGTACTGTTCAGCAAGATAACTTGGATGCCCTTGTTAACATAGGGAAGTCAGTTATTTGTCATGATCCTTTTGTACCAACTCAACATTATCTCAGGTTAGTTGTCGAAAACATATGTACACAACGTAATATTTTGTCGCTTCTTGAGCTTCCAATTATTGATTTTATAAAAATTCACAAGGTGCTACTAAGTATACATTCTACGTCGTTCTCATCTCACATTGCTGGTGATTCAGTCGAAAACATTCACGATACTCAACTACAGTATGGTATTGATTTGGTAACACGATATGGTTTGACATTTGGATCAGACTCTAATGGCTACAATTTTTTCACCCGGGAATTATATACACCAAGTGGCGTAGCATCGCCAAACGACGCACATCATCCATATTACTTACAACAACAACAAACAACCACCGCTAATACGATAGAAAAAATGAACTTTTGGTTCAATAAAGGTCCATTATTTGCAATTGCTAATGTCAATCATTTAATAGGATTCGGTGATCCCAAAAATCCTTTCGCCAAAATTTTTGGTTTACCGGAAGCTTTGAAGGGAAGAAAAGACAAGAAAGATAAAAAAGCGAGAGCAAAATTACAAGAAGCAGGTGATGAAATTGTGGGCGTAGACGAAACTGGCCAAAGCATTGAAGGGCCATCCATAAGTGCTCTAGATTTATCTCGACATGATTGGTTTAGATGTTTGCAGTATATTAATAAGTCCGTTTTGGAATTGTCTATTAGAATTTTACGTCATTATCTCACTGGCCCAAGACAAGCTTCAACGTCTCATATCATAGTTTGGTTCTATTTCTTAATCGCGGTTGGAGAAGCAACAGTTAAATTCCCTGAGTCAAAGACCATGTTCATTTGGCTAATTCGAAAAATGCTTCCTTGGGAGCACATTATAAACTATTTGAATTCCTTATTAGAAATCATTAGGAGCAATTCAAAATTGAATTTCATGTGCTCAGATTACCTTGCAGGCTATCCCGGTTATACTAATTTCATTGACTACTTTAATGAGAATGAATTTTTGCCTGAGGTTTGGAAGTGCTGGGGAACGATTTGGTTCGATATTATAAATGCAAAGAGAGACTTTGTTGATTTAGAATCTGCAGGTGTTATTGATGATGGAATTTTTGACTTACCAAGTTGTGGTACATCACCAATGGGCAGCATGTCAAGCGGTCGCGAAGGGCGGTCTAGAGACCAACAAGATCACTACAATGATGAAAGGATAGTAAGGGTAATCTTATTAGCAATTCACATAGCTGAAACATATCAGTTTGGGCTTATCAGAAACAATCAACGTTTCGGCTTCGAAGAAGAAACTTACAGGAATAATGACAATTTGATCTCTTCACTCAATGATTCTGAAGTGTATGGACACGTAGAAAGGTTTCTCTTCAGCGATGGAAGGTTTATGCAGAATCATTTTATGCAACCCATATCTAAGGACAACTTGATGAGTAGACAGGAAATAAATGGCATAAGCTCAACCGAGAAAGATGCCGCATGGTTTGAAATTCAACAAACACCGTCTGAGAATCAAGGTAAAGATTTAGAGTACTATGTCGCGGATGATGATGATATGGAAGGCTATGCTGATTCTGAGATTGAAAATGAAGCCGATATGAAAGATCGTTATCACGATAACGTACATCAACAACAACACAATCGCGCGGTACAACAAGCCAGAATGTCATTTAATGACGATGTGGAGAGTTATTTGACTAGTGAAATTGTTCATGATACAATAGGAAATTCAGGTACGATTGAAGGCAATTTAGGGGACAGGATGGATACTAATGTTACGTATATCACTTTGGATACAATTATTTGGCTAAAGCATTGCGGGAGAATCTATAAATGTGTTCGAAATCATGTTTTCAAAGTACTGATACCCATAATAGTATTTCAGGAGCTTAGGTCTTTGAGAAAATCCGCCGAGGCTACAATTGCTGACGCAGCAACAAGATCTGTCATAATCATCAGAGAATTATATGCCACAAAGGATATTTTACCTTTAAGATTTGATGGCACGGTTGCTAGTGATATCAATGAAATTACTGAATTTGAACACAATTCGAATTGGAAGTCTAATGTTGATGAAACAATATTGAGGTCAGTCAACGAACACGATGAATTAGGAAAAAATCTCTCCAAAGGATTGAATATGACCATAAATCCACCTGCGGTTGATAACAGCGAATCATGGCCCACCCTATTGAATACTAAGACAGCTAAATTATTTCGGTATTGTATTCTCATTACTGATGATAGGAATATCAGACTCAAAGCGAAAACTATTGGCTTAGCTAGCTTTCAGAGCAAGTGGCTTTTTCACCAGCTAGAAATTTTATTTCCCCAATGCTGTATCGATTAAGAATACTGCCGTTAGCTTAATTATCAAATAGCTCCGCGATGGATGATCCAGACGCCTTTTTAAGGGCGAACAGGTAACAAAACTTACTACATAATAAGCCCTCAGGAGCACTAGGAGACACGATAATAGCACACTACTTTAAAACATAACTGAATTTAAATATTAAATAGCATGATACTTAAGGACATTTCACTAAAGTTGTCCTTGCATTCAGCATTGTTTAGCATATATATTTTTGGTTCAGAAACTGAACGAGCCACCTCTCTTTAACAAAGCATCGTGTTTAAGAATTTTTTGAGTAGGCCACACCCAAATGGGCTCTGTCCCCACGGGTGCTAGTGAGACTCTTATTGCGATCTCTTCGAATTCGTGAAGACAATAGTAGCACAACCAACGAGAGTAAGGGCCCAAACCATGTCAGAAGAGTGGCCCTCGTTTTCTCCTAGTTGTAATAGGTTTGCGCCGCGATTTTGGCGCGCTTCTCGCATTGACTTTGTTAAAGCAGGGGTATTTGTTTAGCGACCGTGTCGAAAATTGAATTACGCCTATTTAGGTAGGATAGAATGTTTCAGTCGCAAAAATTAGAGACAAGCCTGCTTCAAGGAGACCACAACAATTACCATGTAAGGAGAAAATCATCGCGCAATGGTCTCGAACCATGGCTACAGAGGAGCAGCTTAAGTAAAGAGAGAATATAAAGTGTCTGCAATAGCCTTGAATACTAAACGAGAGCTTTATTGATACCACGGCAATAACTAGAAGACAGGAAATCAAAAATTTTGGTACTGGCTGATCTTCGTCCGCTCCTTTCACACTTTAGTCACTCCTTTACAAGCCTTTATCCTTAGTCATTCCTTCATTAACTGAATTTAAGACTCAAATGCAGTTATCTTCAATCATTTTATTATTCATATGCTCATTAGCATCTGCCGCACTTATCCCAAATGCAGAAGAAGATTTAATTATTCAAGCACCTGAAAAGAGGGATATCAAGACAATTACAAGACTTCACACAGTGTATGAGACCGGTGGTGTAAGTGAACCTACTACTATCACAGGAGAAGAAACGACTCATATTGACGGTACAACAGTATCTACTGACTCTAGTCCCACTACTTCTGGAGTAGAGGCTGCGGAAAAAGTTGCTGCAACTACACCTTCAGTTCCGATTTCCAGCAGCTCCGGCAGTTCTTCCACTGTACCATCCTCATCAGCTACTGTATCGACTTCACAAACGAGTGAATCGACTTCAGCTTCTTCAGGTTCATATTCTGGCCAAGGAACTTATTATACTCCTGCTTTAGGCTCATGCGGTAAGACCAATCTGGAAAGTGATCTTATTGTTGCAATCTCTCATCTGTTGTATGATTCGAAGAGTACTGGTAATCCGAATACCAATCCATTCTGTGGTGAAAAAATTACGGCTCACTATCAAGGAAAAACGGTCGAGGTTACAGTGGTCGATAGGTGTGACGGCTGCTCAGAATACGACTTGGATTTCTCGCCTTCTGCTTTTTCCAAGTTAGCAGACCAATCATTAGGTAGAATTGACATTACTTGGGAATGGAGTAGCTAGATACATAAGTAATTCTAATTTTATCGATGCCTGAAATGTTCACTATTTTTATCTATAGAAGTAAAAAATTGTTAATCTAATATTTTTTAATAAAAATCTCTAAAATACCCAATTCATGATCCTCCTAAAAATGCTATCTTTTCGTTCCTTGTCTGAAACCTCTCTCTTTGCATAATACTGATACTCATGGTCTTCGATTTCATCTAATCCTGTAAACAAATCGGCTTCGGAAGGCTTGATGAACTTTGTTCTCTTGAATAATTTCCAAAAAATGAATATACCAATAGACACAAATATCATAACATAGTTGTATAAGAAGGTATCAACAGACCATTGACCAGGAAGGAAGCAAGTATAACCAATACAACCCACCATACACCATATGAAAAATGCCGAAACACATATCGAATAAGGCTGAAACCAAGCCCTGTAGGGAAAGGTTGACCTATCCAATCCTTGCACTCTGCAAGCGTTATAGAATCCCATGTATATAATTGTCATAAACCCGTAGTTTAATAATTGTGAACCTGTGCATAAACTTACCATATAACTCAATGCTTTTGTACCTGATTCCCCAAGTTGCATCAATGATAACATCGAGAAACATACCGAAACACCGACACAATACAAAGGCACTCCATTCTTCGTACAGCGACTGAAAAAACGAGGAACAAAACCCTTCTTTGCTAAACCATAAAGTGCTCTAGAAGAACAGTATGTATATGAGTTTCCTGCAGAGAATGCTGAAGTTAATATAAGAGCATTAACGATGTGAGGTAACACGTTAATGTGCAAATTCTTCATTGCTACAACATATGGAGATGAAGCAGCATTCGAAGTGTCACTCGTCAAACGAAGGTACTCTGGGTCATTGTAGGCAATCAAAACGGACACTGATAATGCACCGCCAATATAAAATAGTGATAACCTGTATAAAACGGTTTTAAATGCTGTGGGCATTACCTTCCTAGGGTTCATAGCTTCACCTGCAACCATAGACATATACTCAGGTCCAACAACAGTAAAACATGCACTGATTAAAGCTCCCAAGAATCCTTGAAATTTTCCTAACAGTCCAGTGGTAATAGCTTCGCCCATTGGGCCACCCTTAACGTGCCAGTTCCTAAATCCATATGCATCATGTTCAGGGTTGCCACCACACATAGTTACCAAAGTGAATAATAACAAACCAATACATAAAATAAGCTTACCAATAGATAACCAAAACTCCAGCTCACCATATAATCTCACAGCAAAAACATTAATTACAGCGTAAATGGCAATCTGAATGCATAAAGTTATAGCTGGAGAATAGTCGTCTCTCCAATAGTGGATCATTCCATTTACAGCAGTTATTTCAAAAGGTATGTATAAACTTTGCATAATCCAAAAATTGAACGATGCAGCACACTCGAAAGCAGGATCGATAACTCTGCCAGCCATGGTCAAAAAAGGCGAGTTTACTGGTAAAAAGGAAACCATTTCACCGACTGCAGTCGTTAACAACAAAATGACAAAGGTCCAGAATGTGTAACTCAAAAGAAGTCCCAAGGGTCCTCCTGTAGTTAAGGTGGAACCAATAGTGATGAAAAGACCAGTACCTATAGAACCTCCGATTGCAATCAACTGAACATGTCTGCTCTCTAATCTCCTGTGTGTATTTTCACGCTCGAAAACATTTCCATTGCTAGAACTTTCGTCAAGCAGTACACTTCTGCTTTTTTGAAGCTGAAGGTCCTTCTCATCTACTTTCAGTCTTGAAAACATTGTTGCAATGTTTGGTAATCGTGAAAATGAAAGTTTTTTTTATGAATTCAACTAGCTGGCGCACTTTATATATCTCTGAAATAAAAGAAAAAAAGGGTTTGGAGAATCCAAGTTACTTATGGAGTTTTTAAAAATGGTGAAAAGAATCTCATCATGCAACATTCAAGCTAACTATGCCGCAGGCATCTAGCGATTTTAAACCAAGAATAATATCCGATCCAATAACGGTCAACAATAAATTACGACCCGCCTTCCAAAAGGCGACATGACCAAATAAATAGCTTCATTTAAGCATATCCGAACAACATACGGTCCAAGAGCGAGAGAAAACCGACCACACATACTACCTACCCTGTTGCGAAAAATCTTTACCAATCTTGGGTAAAGTATACATGGTCTGATTTGAGCTACGATAGATAAGCCTCAGGTCGCCCCTAAGTAAAAGGCAAACTGATAAAAAGATTCTAAAACAATAGATAACGTGCATTATCGTTGTGATCTACCAGATGCTTATTTCTATCGAGATATGAGTGGGCATCATAATCTCAGTGAAAGGAAAAATTTTCCTGCCGGTGAAATTCGAACCGGCAATCGTTAGTGAATGAGAGACGGCGAAGCTAAGGTAGGCCGCAACTCGAAACAGCGGCTTTTGTTTATTTCCTAAATAAGATACACACCTGCATAAATGTATCCATACGTCATCAAGAAAATCAAATGCGCTGGGGAACATGAAAGTGGACATTATAGGAAATAAAGCGCGAGTTGGGCATATTATCGCAAAAACATATATACGAAGAGTTATTGCTATGATCGTGATTGATATGAAACTATTGATATGATATGTTGTGCCGTGCGATCTATGTTTTAGTTAATCATTAATCGTCGAAAATTGTGTATATTATACGTCTAATCTACTATACATAACATGATCACTCTAGACACCTTTCTCACTTACCAAAGAGTTTAGAAGGGTGAAAAGTTTAACCAATTCTTTGAGGCCGACAAGCGATATGTTTTCATCCTTGTATAGATGATCTGATTTCAATTGTTTTGTTTCAACTAAGTAATCTCTTTTCATTATACCCACCAACAAATAGTGGAAATCTTTTAACATTTCTCTTGTCTGAATAATACTTGGTCTAAAAGAAGGTCCCATTGAGAGAAGAACAGCGACGACTAGCTGGAATGTAGGATTCAAAAACTCAAAGTAGGAGATGTCGTTGTCGAATTGTGCATTTTTGTTCAAGTCTGCCAAAGCGTAAGGCGTGTCAAGTGACAAGCTAACTTTGATATTATTGAAATCCTTAGTCTCACCTAATTTCAAAGTTAATCCAACATCAGGATCAATTTGTAAAAACTTTGACAGTCTCAATATAGGAAATAATTCGCTTTGAATTAGCTGTAGTGAACCTGCCTTCGATTGAGCAACTCTTAATAAGAAATACATGGTACTTTTGAATGCTGTCAACTCATATAACAACGTTTCTAAACTTATGCCTGAATTTTCATCGGAACAAATAGATATCATTTGATCAGTTCTTTTGATAGACCTCACTAACATCAACAATGAGTTATTTTTTATCAAAAGATCCAATATAAAATTGTTCTTGTTCAATGAGGATAAATGGATCAACGATTCCAATAAGAGGATAGATGTTATCCTAGATGGCCCTTCGGAATATATGGAATCATTGCAAATAACATCGATAAACCTTTTGTCCGTGGACTTTATAATTCCAGATATTTCTCTAACTAATTCATCTTTATTGAAAAGATTAACTAGAAACTTGTTAGTTAAAATATAGAGATCTGATCTCAAGCTTGGAGTAGAGTTAGTATTCAAGATTCCACTAATACATGTTTTGAATAAGGGCAATAATCTTCGAAATTCTATCGAAAATTCTTCCCTCTTACATTTCTTCAAAATTTTTTGCTCATAAACGTCAAAAAGTAAAACGCTTAAAGAAATAAATTCCTCTGAAAAAATTATTGCTGACTCTAAATAGTCATTAATCTTAGGGAGCAAGACTTGAAAAATTTCCAATACAAAACTTTTAGAATCCATTATTCCATCCGTAATTAATATTTCTATTAATTGACACCAAGAATGTAAACACTTCAATTGGGCATCTTTCAAATCCCCTGCTATTACCACTTTGGTCACAAATTCACTTAATTGGTAAGCATCGAACATCACTTGCTTGGAAAAAGCGACCTTTTCCTCCTTTAACCTCAAGTTTGAGCTTTGACACACAAACTTGACAACCTTACTCAAAATGGTTAAATCGACCGCTTCAGACTTGGAGGCTTTAGCTTCCTGAAGAATAAGACCCATGTTATATGTTTCGTTATATATTTCATATTTGTGGATTTCGGAATTCTTAAAATTGAAGTTCAAGATATCCAATAAGTTTAAAACCTTAGGTGAACCATCAAGATAATCCTTATTACCTAAAAGTGACTTTACGTAGTGTTCTTTTCTTGTCATGGAAGGCACGCTATGAAACTCCAACGATAAGTATTGTAATACGAGATTCCTATAATCGATGAATGAAAAGAAAGCATCTCTTCCTGATTGATCATGAATGAACTTATTATCGACATCTTCCCTTAAATCCCCATTAAAAGTGTGCTCATGAAACACCGTGCTTTGATCAATATTTGGTTGATGATCGATAAGTCTTTCAAACAAATTACCATTATTTCGTAAGTAGCATAAAGTGATTTCAGAACTTATTGGATCGCGACACAATTTTACCAATATTCTCAAGATTAGTGAGGAAAGTCTAGCAGGCGCAACATTCACAATTCGGTTGTTTCCTTCATTGTAATTAATTTCAGATATAAAGTCCAAGCTACCTCCTAAAGTGTTAAGTAGAGAATTTAATAGCGAGTTCTCTTCATAAAAGTCTTTAAATAATAAATTTCCTCCTCGTAGTTGAAATCCTAATAAGAAATGAGCAACATTTGGTTCTTTTCCATTTGATACGGTTAAGTTATCTAATAAAAAGTTCAAAATATTATACCTTATTTCTAAGTCATCGTTGTAAGCTTCAAATTGTTTCATGAAAGAAAACTTTATTTTAATCGATTCGTCTATCGTCTCAAATATCGTTAATAATCTATTCTTTGTCAATAATGGATCATTTGGATTATATGAAATTCTGGCAATGAAATACTCAGAAGAGCTTAGCTTATTCAAAATCCTAACCGATAAATTCGCAATATAGCTATTGGATGTGCCGACATAAAGAGCCAAATGGACAACTGCCGATAGATTAAAGAGAAAGATTTCATAGTAGTTACTTATCCCATTTGTTCCAATGTTTTTCGGATAATAGATGTTATCGAAAATGGACTTCGGTGCGTTCAATGTTAGATTCATGTTTGTATTTATTCCAATAGAACTGGGAGATATTTTAGCCAATTCATCATCACCATCTTTGAGAATTGGAAGTAATCTGTTAATATAAGTATCTTGCAAATCTAGTATGCTTACAACGACACTTAGAGTTTTTTCTACTAAAACCACTAACTTTTCGTTTTCGTCAAGTTCATCAACTCCCACGTTTACAATCCTCGATAATGCACTGTAGGCTTTCTCATCGTATAGATAATTAAGTATTGCCAAAGAATGGTGAAGCTTAATGAAAAGATGGTACGACAAAGCATTATTGGATTGAACAATAGAATTCAAGTTTTTGACCTCTTTGACAGCATGAGGTGCTATATCATTAATAAAAACCCAATCAACATCATTCAAAGAGTTTTGAATTGTCTCAACCACTATTAATTGCAAGTTGAACTTATCATCCAAATCATTCAATTTATCAGAATAGGAGAAAACTTCCAACAATAGATATTCGATATATGGCCATACTCCAATTTGGTTATTAATTCTGTAGCTTTCTCCCAAATCAGCTGGATACAAGAGATTAAACTTTGCAAAAGCCTTATTTTTAACATCCAAGGACGATAATAAGTTGCGAAGTAACTTTGCAAAATTGGCGACTTGAGAAAAATGAGTTAAATTGATCTGAAAACCTTGATTAATCCTCACATGTTGACGACCATAAAATAGCTTCAATCTAGGATTCTTTAATAATGCTTCAGAACTTCCTCTGATGTCAACACGTTTACCAGCTTTTCGTAAAAGATTATTTCCATCTCTAGTGTTACTTGCAATTTCGTCCTCATTCTTTTCATGATTGCTATTAGTCCCATCATTATTATTAGTAATAAATAACGCTTGATATATCCATTTATCAACAATTGTCCATATTTGATATCTTAGATTTAAGTTGTCATCCTTCGACACAAAATCTGCTAACAAATTTAACAAAAGGTTGGTCAAAATAACTCTGTTTTCATCACTTATTTGGATTCTGGGTGCCTCGCTGGATGATGGTCGATTTGAGTTTGCCGAGAGGGAGTTTAACAAACCTTTACTACTAATGATCAAATTATCAAACTTTAAGAACTCTATTATCACTCCTTTAAATCTATTGAATGCATTAGTTTTGATGTCTTTGAATCTTTCACTTTCATTAGGAGCCAAATTTCTGACAATGGATGAAATTAATTGTATAAAACCTGATATGAATATAATGGAATCCTCAGCCAATTCTATAATCACTTCAGTCGAGGAAAGATTCTCCTGTTGCTGATTTTGTATATTAGTTGAAAAGAAGAAGTCCTGTCTCTTCTGTTGTTGCTTAAGTTGTTCGCTCAAATCTTGCTCGAAATTTTCATTTAATGCTTCGACATAATAAGTCAATGAGTCAATGATCGACTCTATTGATATTCTTGAATAATCATTCTTTTTAAGAGTAGAGCTATTATTATTCAAGATCTCCCAAACTTTGCAAGAAGATTCCGAACCGCCCGATGTTAAAGAACCAAGCAACAAGCAAAAAGTTGACGTGATTAGTGGAGATGTATTGTTGCTTAGGCCCCATGTAATAAAGCCTAGAATATCTGACTGTGGTTCATCGACAGACAAAAAGAGTAAACAGATTTCCGGTCGGTCGCTATAACAATAAGCAAGAGCTAAATAGAATCTTTCTAGATCTGCCCTCGACGATATTTCCTCCAAGTCTAATGAATCGTTATCAACTCCATTTCCATTGTTCAACCTTTTCGTCGAATCATCATCATCAATATTACTGGGTGCATCAATCGGCTCCTTTTTATTAATTGAAGACAATAGGAAGTCTTCTTCATTATCTCTCAACAGAGTCAATATGACAGCGGAATTTATTATGAACTGGGAGAAAAAAGAATGTAAAAATGGCACCACTAAGTTTTCCACAAATGTGCTCGAAATGTTATAGTTAGACACGTTAGTCAATTTTTTAACGTTTTCAAATTCTGGACGCATGGCAGATGCATGTATTAGCTCACTGGAACATCTTAAAGTAAACCTAAGAGGGCTGAGTTTTGGGTAAGTTTTCTGTAACAAGGCTCTGAAGTCATACATATTACTCCAATCCAATAATTCCTGGGTCTTCAACGTCGAAGTATCAGCACAATAACATAAAAGTTTATCCATAACACCATAATTTATGCACCACTCAATATATTTTAAAACATCATCCTTGAAATTGAATTTTGTTGTCCTTGGTTCCATGTCTTTGCACCAACCAATAAAATTTGTTAGGAAGTAAAATATAACAAGAATTTCGAATCCTTTCAACTGAGATTTTGACAAGTCAATAGTGTCATTATTCAGGATATTCAGGTAGTCTTGAGTCAAAGTTGAAGTCAATAATGCGTGAACCAGAGCAAAATCACAAAAACCATTAGAGACAAACTTGAATAGACCTGGCAAAAAATGGATGACTAGAACATCATCATCACTCAAGTGCTTTTTTATGTGCTTAATTATACTATTGAAATAGTCAATTTGTCTGTATGTTTCATAATTATTGATTAAAGTGTAGTAGATTTGACCCAATAATTCATGGTTCGTGAAGAGCTGTGACTTGGTGAAATTTATAGAGCATATGAAAGAAATGTCATTTATATGCGCCGTAAGCTTTTGCTTATCAACCAAGTCGTCGAGTGTATCCAATGTTTCATAAATCTTTTCGAATGATTTAATTATATTATTGAAGAATTTTTCATGATTTCCTTGCGATACAATTAAGTCAATTTTGTCATTCTCAAGCAAGTTTCCCAAAATGTTTAAGACTAATTGTTGTCTAGTATAATACTCCAATCTGGCAGAATCAACCAACAGCGTTCCCTTTTCGAATTTCAAATCGCTCGCCAGATACAATATTTCAGCTGTTACCAACTCATCTAACCCCAACTCCGTTGATAGCACCACAGCAGCCTCAATGAAGGGCTGATTTAGCTTATACTCTTGCCCATCTGAAAATGTCACAGGCGTGTTCTCCTGCAATATTTTATTTCTAGAACTCTCGTTCTTTGGAGGCACGATTAAAATATTGAACAAGTCTTCCTCGATCTCTTTAATGAATTTCGGGTCAACTTCATTGCCTAATCTAATCGAATTATAACACTCAGTAAATAACAGAGAATCCCAATGCATACTGAAGGTAAGAGATCAATTACTACCTGGCCCTGAGGATAAGCTTAATATTCAAAGAATGTTTTGAGTTGTAAACATCATTTTTTTTTTAGTGCGAGACACACTCCAAAGTGCTATTATACTATTTAGATTTAAACAATCAAATGAAAGCATATTTACTTACATAAAGATGAAAAGAATGGAATGATTATATTCGTAAACGTTGTATTCAAGCTGTATAAGTTGAAAATTAATTCCCTTCAAAATCTCGTTTTCAATACTATATATTTCATGTATTTCAAGACATTAATATGTTTGCACCATCCTGAAGACACATTGTCAATTGAGAGTTCTTTCTAGGTGGGTACTCCGAGTCATTACTCGATAAATTAGGGAAAGTTTGTGCGAGCCTAACAATAACATAAGAAGCCTCCGTAAGCGCAAACTGCTGTCCCAAACATATTCTTGGGCCACCATTAAAAGGAACAAAGGCCCAGCCCAACTTCCTTGTCTCTTGCTCAAACCATCTCTCGGGTCTGTAAACTTCAGCATCCTTACCATAAATCTTTGGGTTTCTATGAGTTGCATATACAGTGTATGTTATAGTCTGACCCTTGCGAATGTATATTGGTGACATGCCGTCTTTCCCGCCTCCTCTTGGCAAACTAGTAGCTTTTGTAGAAACTCTGTAGTTTTGAGGCACTGAGGGGTACATTCTCAACGACTCATTCAAAACTGCCTTCAAGTATTCGCATTTCTTTAAAGATTCAAATGTAATTTCATCGATTTTAGAGTTTTCAGCATAACCAAAGGTTTCATAAATTTCTTTTTTCAATTCCTCCCAAATTCTAGGATTTCTAGCCAATTCGAAAAATGTGAAAGACAATAATCCTGCCGTAGTGTCCCTTCCTGCCAATAAAATGTTTAATAATTGGTCTCTTAATACCTTGGGATCTCTAGTCTGCTTCACTAATTCGTACAAAAAGATATATCCACCTTTAGAATTATTATCCAATTCTTCTTGCGTAGCATTCAAGGCTAAATTGACATAGTAGTCAGCAAAGGTATGTACCGCCTTATTACAATTTCTAAATTCAGCATTGTTGATTAAGAAGTAAAGGTCCTGCGATAAAGCTCTGGTGGCCAAATACGCCTGCGCTGTGTTAAATGCATGGGCGAAACCTTTCTTTCCATTGAAGTCCAGATCCTCTGAATTTTCACCAATAGATTCGTCTTTCAAGCTTTCTACTGATTGTCCGAATAAGAATTCCGTAGCAGAATCAACAGTTAATTTAAAGAAAAGCTCTTGAATATCAAACTCAGCTCCCTTATGTTTCAGAATATGCTTACACAATCTTTTAATGTGAGGTTCCAATGTTTGGACATGAGCAACTTGTTCTCTAGCGAATTGTGGTCTCAACATGGCCCTAGAATGTTTCCAGCCTTCAGCGTCTAATGTAAATATACCGTCACCCAATAAAGGCTTGAAATGGGAATGTCTTGTACCAAGAGCAAAATCATTAAACTGTGTGGCCAAGAGGGCTTTAATATTTTCTGGATCTCTTGTCGTTATCAAAAAAAAGCCTGCCAACCTAAAATTGAAAGTATCAACATCAGGATGAAGCTCAAATCTCTCCATCAACTTTTCCATCATTCTTCCCTCAGCTTTAGCTTTCCAAATTTGATAAAAGATCTTAAAGCCAAAAAACCCATCATTCTGCTTCAGCATCATTGGTTTACATTCAAGTTTGCGAGCAGTATATGCATTGTAAAGAAAGTTGACAAGATAGTTGATGATTATTGTTCCTATGATTGCAGTCCCAATAAAACGTAGAGACTCAAATGAGTTTTCAGTGTAATTAAACATATTAGCTTCAAGTAAAAAACGAGTCAATAAGTGAACTTTCCCTGTTCACGTAAGGTTACTTTCTTTCTTTGCCATACCTCCTCTTATATAGTTACATTTGATACTTTTGAGTTTGTTTATATCCTATGAAAACTGTAAATTGTAGGAGGAGACTGAAACATTCGTTAAGTCGGCTGGATATAGGCTTTCATTCTCAAAAAAATAGAAGAGAGAGGAGAAAAAGACGCAAGAGTTGTGCAAATTAGGACACTAATCATAGTTCATAGTCCTACAAGAGCTAGAAGCTTTTCAAACAATATACATATAGTAACTTAATAAAAATCCAGTGCAGCCGCACTATTTACAGGTTAAGTCGGCGGCGATACTAATCGGATTATTTTTAGTTCACATGATGCCGATAAAAAGTCGGAGTGATAAAAGTTATTTACTACACAAATTCTGTCAGAGTCCGAAGGTGGGGATTAGGCAACCAGTAATGACTCTCGCAAACAAAATTAAGTTCATCTTCGCGGACTTAACTTACAATGTGGGGGGATTCTCAAGTAGGAAATACATTACACAAAATACATCGAGAGACTACTATGGCCCCTGTGTGGATCTACTGATTTGAGTTCTCTCTCTTTGAGAAATACGTAAACTATTGGTAAATTATGATTAAATTCTTTCACTAAATACTTTATTCATTGCCTAAACATCGGGTCCTGCAGCTTTAACTTCACTAGTAGATTGATCTGCGTATTTGGTGAAGTTTTCAGCAAACTTACCAGCCAAAGATTTAATTTCTTTATTGAATGAATCAACGCCTTCGGTCCAAGCCTTAGTAGGATTCAAGATCTCAGAAGGTACACCTGAGCAAGTCTTTGGGACACTCAAGTTAAAGACAGGGAAGTTTTCGAATTCAACCTTACTCAATTCACCAGAGTGAATAGCGTCTAAGATTGCTCTTGTGTATTTCAAAGAACATCTCTTACCACCTCTAGCAGCACTTGCACCTACCCATCCGGTGTTTAATAACCATGCATGAGCATTGTGTTTCGAAATCTTGTCAGACAATTGCTGAGCGTACTTCATTGGGTGCAAAACTAAAAATGGTTGACCAAAACATGCAGAAAATGTAGCTTGAGGTTCAGTAACACCTTCTTCGGTACCTGCCATCTTTGAGGTGTAACCAGAGATAAAATGATACATAACTTGAGCGTTAGACAATTTTGAAACTGGTGGCAAGACACCAGATGCATCACAAGTCAACAAAACAATGTTTGTTGGATGAGTATCAGCCAAACATGGAATCTTTGCTGATGGAATGAAATCAATTGGGTAAGCACATCTAGTGTTTTCAGTTATAGAAGAATCTGCGTAATCTACAACCTTGGAAATTGGATCGTAAACCACATTCTCCAAGATTGCACCAAATTTAATAGAATTGAAAATTTCTGGTTCCTTTTCTTGAGACAAGTCCAAGCACTTAGCGTAACAGCCACCTTCAATGTTGAAAACACCATTGTCAGACCAGCAATGTTCATCATCACCGATCAATTTTCTGTTTGGATCAGCAGATAAAGTAGTCTTACCAGTACCAGATAAACCGAAAAACAAGGTAACGTCACCGTTAGTATTACCTTGGTTTGCAGAAGAGTGTAAAGTTAAGACTTGATGCTTGATGGGCATCAAGTAGAACATTACTGTGAAAATACCTTTTTTCATTTCACCTGCATACTCAGAACCAAGAATAACCATTTCCATATCTTTGAAGTTGATCTCAACTGAGGTTGCGGAAGTCATACCCTTGGTATGAACATTTGCTGGGAATTGACCAGCGTTGTAGATTGTAAAATCTGGCTCACCAAAGTTTTCTAATTCCTTTTCAGTTGGCCTGATTAACATATTGGTCATGAATAATGCATGGTATGCTCTTGCGCAAATAATTCTGACTTTAATTCTGTATCTTGGATCCCAACCAGCGTAAGCATCAACAACGAATAACTTTTCTCTTGTCCTCAAGTAGTCCAATGCTCTAGATCTGGAAATCTTCCATGTCAATTCGTCAACCTGCTTGTTGACAGGACCCCACCAAATGTGATTGCTTGAAGTCTCTTCATCAACAATTCTTTTATCCTTTGGTGATCTACCGGTTTTCTTACCAGAATATGCCATAAGAGCACCTGTTGATGAGATAGTTGTACCCTTTTCAAGTAACCCATCCTCGTATAAAGTAGGGACAGGTGCATTATGACGAATTACAGTTTCTTCGCCTAATTCCAATTGTTTTACCAATGGGTCCTGAGTGGATTTAATACCACGAGCATTAAAGTTAATAGATGATTCAATAGCTGTAGGAGGTGCCATTTTTGAATATTTGTTTTATATAATGTTAAGTATATGTGAATATAACTGTAGGATTCCTGGTATTTATATAGCTTTCAATGCCTCCCGGAGCAAAGGATGTCTCTGTTTCTACTTTTACCTACCTCAGTTTAGAAATTGCAGAAGTCTGGGGTAAGGAACTATCCGGAAGAATATTGCGAGGGTCTCCGAGATAAACCGAAAATATTCACACTAGCTTATGCTACAGTCAAAACCGAAGAACTAAATCTTTTAATAATCTACATATGGTCCCATGGATAATTAGAGAACAACCTCTTTTACTCTCACATTCAAGTGGAGTATTAATCAATGTCATGACTAAACTTGTCTTTTCATTGGCAAGCTTTTAGGTCACTTGCTGTTCAATATTGCTACGACTAAACTGCGCTAGCACCATCAAATGACTGCATATTGGCGGCACGACTGACACTACGCGACAGTTTCCGATTATTACTACGCCCCGCATGTTTAAACGTTCCCGGAGAAAATCGCTTCGGATAAGTGGAGTAAGCCTTTAGGCTATAGTCTTAAGACAACTCCGTTAGGCTCAGTAAGAGAAAGACTAGATTACGTTAAAGTACTATGCTACTTACATTTAACCAACTCTCAATCTTGAAGTTCATACTGTTCTGGACTCAAACTATGCCATAATACCGACTTTTGAACCCCATTCGACTCGTGGACAGTATCCCGGATCTAAGAACATTGGGGATTCGGATTCTACCACAGCACTTTCACTATTGCTACGCGGGGCTCGCTAAATGTATCAGTCTGGACTTAGTAAATGGAGAACTAGAAGAACTGTCACTACAGTTATCCCTACCACAAAAAATATTTATTACGTAAGCTCTTCAAAGAATTATCAGTAAACTTTTAAAGCCGATAGAGAGAGAAGCTGTAGAGAGTTTTTCGCAGCGATTTCGCAACTATACAAGTTATGATGCATTCTCGCCAGGAGTTGGTAGATCACTCGCAGGACGAGTTATTTCAAAACATGTCTTCCATTCTTCAAAACCCATCAGCTTGATGCCATCCAATGATCTTTCCTCAACTCCAAGTATAAGACACTTTTTGACCGGTCTCTCAGTAAAATGAGACTTCAAAAAGGTTATAGCACTGCAAATCAAACCAAAATTAAATATCTCTACTAAATTTGAGTAGGATGGATCAACCAATGGGCTTACTATTCCACCAATAGCGTTCTTTGACTCGATTTCTTCTATGAAAGGATAGAATTGTGCAAATTGTGACTTGTTTGTGAACATTATGATCGATCCAATGACGTTTTGATTAGTTGGCTCGAGTGCGATTATGATTTTCACTTCATAAATAGTACTATGTCTATTGATTGATTTTATTGCTTCCACATACATCCTTTTGACTTGTTCGTCTTCGCATGTGTTCACTAAGTTCATTAATTTACTTGAGTCAGTACCAATATCAAACCGAACGCCGACTATCATCAATTCTCTAAATATCTTATTAGGAACCACCCAGCTTTCCAAATCACTCAAGAGCATTATGTGCTTTCTCTCGATTTTCTTTCCCCATCCCATAGCACCGACGTATGATATTGAATCGTTAGAGGGAAACAACGGGAACAAGCCTCCTAAAGTTATAGTGTAGCATTTCTTTTCATGCACAAGATATTTAGTCGCCCTTTCATATAAGCTTCTTCCAATGTATTGCAACCTTTTTGATTTATCAACCAAAATGAACATCAAAGACCCAAATGTTTTTGGATCTGATGTCAAGTCTGTATTGAAATTTACTTCTTCATTCACCCAGGTTAATACAACACCATACAAAATATTCAAAGAAGAATTTCTGACTATGAAATGCTTCTGTTTAGGATTCAAAGTTAATAACTCTAATAACTTCTTGTAGCTCTGTTCATTCTTGATGTTTATATTTTCCTTTATCAAATTAACTAAGCTCGGCCAATCTCGATTGATCTGCAACTCATCCACTAGCCAGCTTCTCTTCCTTTTCTTAAACTTGCTCAAAAACCTTTTCTCCCCAGGAATACAGCCACTGGGTTCAAAATCTCCCATTAAAGCACCTACTAGTTGTCTTAAGGAGTTATCAGTATAGTCATAGCAACACAAGTAAGCACTGCCTATACTCTTGTTATAAAAAAAGTCATAGGGTGACAGCGTAGCAGCTATGATTAATCTTTTTGATAGGTTAGAATTGGAAGCATTTGGTTTCGCCCCACATAATACGGAAACATATTTAACAATGCCAATTTGATACATGTTTCTGGATGCTTCAGACGTAAGAACTATTACGACCTTCGAGCTCTCGATCAAAGATTCGTGTAATGCCGTCAATCCATTGGCGGTATAAGTGGTATGCAATACATTGAATGTAGATTTGTTCTTAGGATGCTCCGATAAAAACTTTCCAAATTTTTGAAAAACCTGTTCACCAGGAAAGAGTCTCTTACCAGAATTGGATGTAGGGTAAATAGGGTTCAACAATGGAGTGAGTAACAAGACATTTGACAGATCTGAAAGATTCTTTGTTATTGGTAATGTTTTACCGTAGTCTCTTATCAATGTAATGGACTTTTGGTAAGCCATCGCTGATAAACGTTGATGTCTTTGCCAAGCTTCGAAATTTCTATCCTTGAAAAGAAGTGTTTCCTTCTTCTCACCATTGGGAAACATTTCTTCCCATTTTTGAAGTTGAGATTGAAAGACTTTTAATCTTTCAAAACTTTTCATTATTACTTCTTCGTCTATATTTCCATTTATAAGAGCCATCTGAAGAGACTCTATTGCTTCTTTTTGAAGCAAGAAATCATGACAAACCATCACTAGATCACAGCCTGCCTGAATAGCTAATATCACACCTTGACCTAGACCAATAGAATGATATAAAGCATCCATTTCTAAGCATTCACTAATGACAACACCATTGAACTTCAAGTCATTTCTTAAAAACTGATTTATTAAAACCGGCGACAAGCAAGCATGTGTTTCATCTGGACTTATTGTAGGTACACCACACCCTGCAGCACTTACTCCATCGAGAAGGCCCTCATGCATTAGTTCAACAAAAGGTATGCTATTGAAATGTTTGATTTGATCAAGCGAATCCGCAATCATTGGTAATTCTAGTAAAGAGTCCACATTGGCATTACCTATACCTGGGAAATGCTTTCCCATAGTAAATAGTCCACCATCCTTTAAGCCTCTAGCACATGCTTTGCCATACTTCACAACGTCTTCGAGAGTCGTACCGAAACTTCTTACTCCTACCAACTGATGAGACAACTTTGTAACAACATCTAAAACTGGCCCTAATATTATCAGAAATCCTATAGCTTTTAATTCGAATGCCAAAGCCTTCAGAATTTCGTAGACCAAATCGGTGTCACCAGTAGCTGATAGTGCCATAGCTCCAGGCATCTGCGTTAAGTTTTCGGGATCAAACAAAGAGTTCATCATTCCTCCTTCCTCATCGATAGCGAACATAATAGGGTGCTTGAGATTACCCTCCTTGAAAGCGATATACTGCAAATCTCTGATCAAATTCGATAACTGCTTTACAGATACTGCATTCTTTCTCGATAGTATCATGGACGAAATTTTATACTTGACAATCAAATCATAGGCTTGAGGTGTCACCGTAGTTCCCTGGAACCCTCCACATATTAGCTGACCCACCAGGATTCCGCTCATAGATCGCTAAGAAGTATAATTTAAAGATGTCAAATTGGTGCTAAATTGTGAAATTAAAAACTGATAAGTCGAGCTATTTTGATTATGTTAAAAATCGCATCAGGAAAGTTACTCGTTTAGGGTCTACGTAACTTCAAAAGATGATTACTACGAAAAAGATATTTGGGCTAGATATATAATGAGTAATGGGAATTGCTGATCTATGGGACTTAATGAAGCCGGGATTTGGCAAACGAATTAGGTTTGAAAAGTTTGTTTCAGATTTTATAGATGAACACGGAAGAACTCCAAGAATCGCGATCGACGCATATGTACTTATATTCCAGTCTGTTAGTGGGAGATACCAAGGATATGAGGGAAATTATAATCTAATACGAAACTTTATGGCTAAATTGCTTTATTTGGTATCGCTTAATGTATCTTTCGTCGTAGTTTTCGATGGTGCCTTCAAACCAGATAAACTGAAGACCATAACGGAAGGAATGAATTTCGAACGAGAGTTAGAGGAATTCAAATCAATTGATCCCAAAAAGTATAGTGATAGAGACTTTGAAGTTGCAGAAGAAGTCAAGATCGAATTATTGAAAAACGGAATTGACATTTTACAGGCTCCAGGTGAGGGAGAGGCAGAATGCTCACAATTGCAAAGATTTGGGATAGTAGATTTTGTTATGACTAATGATCTGGATAGCTTCATATTTGGTGCTTCTAAGGTGCTCCGAAATTTTTCAAGGTATTTTGAAGATGAATTTCCTTCACCGACAAAGAGACTAGATCCTACTCCAAAATATTATATTACGATAGTAGATATGTCCACTGTGGAACAAGCAACAGGTTTGAACAGGGAGAGGATGATCTTCTTAGCGACTTTAAGAGGAGGCGACTATTCATCAGGTATTTCAAAAATTGGCATAAAATATGCAACTAGACTTGCATTATGTGGAACTGAAAGGTATGGACTTTCTAAATTCCCAGACTTTGCTAATTGGTTGATTAAGTGCTTCGTCAAAGACAAAAATGATAGAATATTTGGTTACAGTGCAATCAAGGACTCTCAATCTAGAAAAGGGGAACTAAAACGGCTCGTCAACACCATGAATCAAGAGATAAAGCAACTTTCAAAACAAATGTTCGGAAGAAAATTAAACTTAAATTATGATCTTGATATTAATGAATATTTTACTTTGTTATATTTGTTTCCGAGAGTAAATCGTCTGCTTTTCAAGTTTGTTCCACACTCTTTGAGCTTTGGTCATTTAAATATCGTTACCGACGATATTAAAGTGCCACTCGACGGGCTCATAAATATTGAAGCTGGTACTTCAGATGTAGTCAAGAGAATGCATAACCTGGAAAATATTGGAGTTCTGGAAATTTGGTTTTCGACTGACGGTATTGAGCAAAAATACATGGGCTATTCCGAATCATTGCTGGCGTTGTACATTCCCGAGTCTTATTATTACTCACTGAAAAGTATCATCATGAAGGCACTTTCCAATTTAAGAAAAGAAGATAGTTCAGACGTATATGTTGAAGTGACAAACAATAAAGAAGATGATGATTGTGAGCTTTTAATGATCAAATTTGATGCAATAGGCATGAGTGAAAGTTTGAAGCTTCAAACTTCTGAAATAAAGCGGCGAAAGGAGAATGATCCATCCAAACTTGAATATACGTGGTTCCCAAGGAGCTTAGTCCAGATGATGGATCCTTCACTAGTTAAGGAGTATGATAAACGAGGCAAGAAAATTTCACCCAGAAAAAGAAAACCGTCTCAAAAGACTACTTTGGATGATCTTGGACAGTTTCCGAAGTCACCCACAAAAAGAGCTCGTAAATTGAGTCCATCAAAACCTAGTCAAGTTCAACGCCCAGTTTTGGACTTTTTTAAGACAGAATTAGGTAGCAGCAAAAGCATTAAACTAGAACCATCATTTATAAGGATGCCTGCATCTCTCGGAAGTCAAGTTGATAGACTGGTTCCCTCTAGTCCTACAAAAAAGAAGTCTGGAAAATCCACCAATCGATCCTTCAAGACGGAGCATTAGGTTACAAGTCTGCCCCATATTAAGACATATCTGACAGGCGAATATGTTTGAGGATTTCTACCATTATCGATTGAGCGAAGCTTCTCTCAAAAAGAAAGGATTGTATCGTAGACAAACTAACTCATACCTCTCTAGAAACTAAAGTATGGCTTGTAGATATCTCAGATCTATCCTGTATATACTCCACTATCAAAATGGTAAAAGCAACTTGAATTTATTGAATTAAACCTTTTGTACTGGTATCGCTATCAAGATGCTGGAGTCTAGTTCAATAACGTGGGAAGCTCCCTCCAAGAAGATATATGACACGAATGATCTAAAGTACTTCAAAAGATCCATTGCGTTTGCAAGGTTACAAAGAGCATTTAATGACATATTGACTACAGTCAAAGGTTATGATGTTCCTAAGGGTGCTCTTAAACCGTCAATTGTCACGAGAAAGAAAGAAAACATACCTCCTCCACTTATTAATGGTCTCCATCCTCCGGTTAATGAAGAGAGCCCAAGAGAAAATGAAAGTTCACAGCTTGATGGATATGATATTAATGTAGTAGGCATCGTCAAGGTATTGAAAGAATTTGATAAGCTCATCGATGAAACACCACCACTTAAAGGGCCAAGGAGATTTGGAAACTTGGCGAGAAGGAAATGGCAGGAAAAGTTGGTCAAAGAAGCAAGCCAATTGCTTGAGATACACTTGTCGTTTCCACAAGGAATCAATAAAGAAGATTTCTTAGTAGAATTCGAATATTATTTAGTAAACTCATTTGGAAGTGAAGTAAGGTTGGACTATGGCACGGGACATGAACTTCTGTTTTTGGCCTGCGTTGGGAGCTTGTTGCATTTTGGATTTATACAATTGAATAATAAGGACAAACGAAAGAATTCCGACAGTTTATCACTTATATTTGCAACTTATTATGACTTAGTTCGAAGATTAATAATAGATTATAGTCTTGAACCAGCAGGATCACATGGTGTGTGGGGATTAGATGACCATTTTCATTTCATTTATATATTGGGTGCAGCTCAATTCAATGGAAACAAGTCGGCACCTCCGGTTCAACAAGTATTGACCAACACTACTATCAACACCTACATGACTTCAAACTTTTATGTTAATGCCATATCATTTATCTATAAAATTAAACTGGGGCCCTTCAATGAACATTCACCAATTATCTTTGATATTCATTCCACAGTTGCTACATGGTCAAAGGTTTTGACTGGTCTAATAAAGATGTACGATGTTGAAGTGTTGGGAAAGTTTCCGGTTGTCCAACACTTTTGGTTTGGAGGAGAGCTTTATCCTTGGAGAGACATTGAAACTAATAAGGAGTTTCCTGTTTTTAAAAAGGACGCAGATGAAGATAATGTGGAATTTATGAATGACAATAAAGGTATTAAGACCACAAAAAATAACATCTCTATGACTGCAGCACCATGGGCATTGAATAATCCTCCTTCTTCTTCTTCACGTATGCACGGCAGATCCAATTAATGAAAATGGTTTATATATATAAATATAAATATATATGGTTTATCGAGAGGCTCTAAAGTTAAATTCTGAACGACAAAGTGGACAAGTGCTACTTCCAGAACTCTTAAACCATTTGTAAAGGCATGCCGCATGGAATTTGTTCTGGCAAGTTGGACAGGTTTTGGATGGTAGAGAGTGATCCTGGTGCAAAATAGAGTAACAGATTGCACATTCCTCGAAGCCCGAAAAGTGATAATTCACGTTTCTATTAAACAATTCAATCGCTTCCATAATCGAACCGTTGGTCAAAGATATAATTTTCTGAGATGCAAGTAGCCAAGCTTTCCATTGATTTTCTTTGACACCTAATCTCAATGGACCCTCTACTGTGACACTGAGCAAAGGATACGACGAGGGAATTTTTATAACCATTTCCATCGTTTGCTCATCTATAACATAAACAGATCTCACTTCATTTGATATGGGGTTAATTTTTAGCTTTAAATTTTCATCCTTCCCTAGTAACTTCTCTTTCGAAGTCGCAACATCTTCTAAAAGCTTTGTTATTATGATAGGTGACACATACTTGATCGAAAATTTCTCTACTCTTTGTTTCAACTGAAGATCACGAATACCTTTGTACCATTCTTGAACACAAGATCCCAAAAATTCAAATGACAAGTAATATAAATGGACTAGAAGGAAATTAGATTCAAAAGAAAACCCATCTCCTGGAAAACCTTCTTTTATATCATAATACTGTATTTTATTCAAATTAACGTCTTTTTCTGATTCATCTTTCATAATAAGTTTGTTCAAAAACGTCTTATTCGTGATATCTGTCTCAGCAAATATAGTTGTTAACAAGTCATTGACAAGTCCGTTGTTTTTCAATTGATTCACATATTCATTACGCATTGAGTAGGTAATGTCATGAAAGTGATCAAAAATTAAATACCAGCCCCATACATATTTAGCTACCGCTTGATAGGAATCAATTTCTATATCATCGATACCATCATGTATCATGCCGATCAAAGTATCCAGTAATCTTGCTTTATTATTTTCAACTTCTTCCTCTTCCTCAGCCTTGTCTAACTTTGATTTCTGCAACTGATATTCAATAGCAAGCTCTTGTTGATCATGCTGTATCAACTCATGAAGAATCATCGCCGCAATTCTCTGCAACAAAATGCAATTACCGGTTTCTAGTAGTTGATATAACTCATTCTTCCTTAACTGGAAGCCAACTTCGAAAGTTTTTATATAGCTGAAAATTCTTCTGAACATATCGTAAACAAGGAATACGGGCTGATTCAAAGCTTTCGAATCTTGCGCTAAACAATCACGATTGAAAAAAGTGTTCAAAAGAGACTCGTATATTTGGCTGGCATCAGTCATGAAAGCCTCAATTGGAGAATCAGTTGAAAATTTTATAAGATAATTTGTCAATTTAAGAGTGAAGTATCGCAACTCAAGGTGCTTTGTTTCAACCTCAGTGACATTAAAATTATCTATTACTAGTTTGATAGAGAGTTCTATCGCTTTATCTGAAGGAATATCAGATCCTGAAAGTATCGTGCCTAAAAATTTTGCTAATAAAGTCCTGATTACTATAAATGGCTCGTCATATGAGACACTGGATTCCAACCAGCCAGATATCTGATTTAAGACCATGGCAAGTCTATGCTGAGGAACAAAAGAAATCAGCTTATGAAGATCAACAAAGTTAATTCCAAGAGCCAAGTATTCGGTACCCTTTTCAAGAATTTGGCTATCAGTTCTTGTTCCAAGGATCTCAGCAAAGACATAATTTTTGATTCTATCGAGTTTCGGATTAGAAGCCAATCCAGGAAAACTTTGAGAAATAATTGAAAGCTTTAAAGGACAACTAAGAAGCTTATTGAAATCAATATCAATGTCTGTCGACCCCCCAAAAATTTTTCCAATCAAGTTATCAAGTACTAACTTGTACAATCTCGCAGCATAGAAGTTATCTTCTTGTTTTGTAACAATTTTGGTATCCAAAATCTTAAAAATCTCTATTCCTAATGAGACTTCTGACGTCTGGCTTCCGTTTATTATTGGCAACAAGGAGGAAACCTCAATTTCATCATAAATTATCATAAACCTTGAGATTAAACAATCTCTTATGGCCATCGTCTCATCTTCCCTATTCGATCCTTCTCCAATATCCTTCGAATATTCCAAAAACAAGAAGTCTGATATATATTCACCAATCATAGCGCACAAAATGCTATAATTTGCTTTAAAAGAAGAGTCACCTTGCACTTTTTCTATCGAAGATAAAAATTTACCAAAAACAATTATTTTTGGATCCAATAAATCCGAAGATTCAAAATTAGACAAATACAAGTTATGCTCCAAAGGGTTTCCCATCACCAACAAATTAGCGTTTATGTGATGAAAGGCATTCTGTGCCCGTTCTTGGATTTCAGCGAAAGGAATGTCATCGTCATTTAAAAAAGTAACTAATGAATCAAAGTTTGTTTTAATAGAACATTCAGAAACATAATCGAAAAGGCTATCTTTTATCAAGTTACTAGAGACGCCTTGAAGATCTAAAAATCTTTGACAGTACTCATCTTTAATATTCCGCCATATTGTTGGTAATAAAGCTCTGAATGAACCGTCAAGACTATCGTCGTAAACTCGAACATTATTTATAGTTACATTTTTGATAAAAGACAATGCCAGAGATTCATCTTGAGTAGCGTTACTTAATAAGTTCCTCAATATCTCATGCGAATGTCCAAATTTTAACACAGCATCCAACTCTTCTTGCTTCAATTGCTTTTTGTTAGATATTTCCTTTAATAAATTATAGACCATACCATAATTATGCTCACTAATATCGATTTTACCTTTCAAGCAAGGAAGAAGCTTTAGAGCTTGGGATTCTCCAATAGAAGATAGCTTGAAAAAGTAGTCATTGATAAGAGGTGAAACGTTTGCATCTTTTACAAGATCTAGCTCTAGAGCTCGTTTTAAAAGGTCCAAAGGTAGCTGTACAAAATTTGGCTCAATATATGAGGGAACAGTTTCCATGAACGGTTCAATGTCGTCCTTCTCCAACTTCATATAGTTAAGAAATAGTAAAATTAATTGAAACAACGTAGTGGCATCCTCTGGTACGAACTCTTCTGAAGCTTTTTCCAATATTGTCTTTGCGAACGATACGGCTTCAGCTTCTTTAGTACTAGTTATCAACATAATATAAGACTCTAAAATGTCAAGTATTGGTGATTTAAAAGTGAGATTCTCGTCATGAAACAGTGTCCCATCTTCCGCAAACACGAAAGTTATAATTTGACCATCCATTTTCTTAAAAAACGATTCTTCCAATGATTTGTGATTCAGTAAAAATATTCCAAAATTAGTCATAGAAGATTTCTTATTATTTATTTCGTTGAGACGTATTCCAGGTTTCGATAAGGTATCGAAAAGGATCAGAAGAGAAGGACGTACAATATCATCTAGCTTTGGAGTCTCATTTGAAAGAAATAAATCATAGACGTCGAAAAACCACTTTAAAGCAGAGTTACGATACTCGAAATTCGGCAACCCTGTAAACTGAGGAATCAAAACCTTTTTGAAAAGATACTTAGCATCATCTCCGCTGTCAAAAGATATAATCTTGGCATCACTAGCATCATTCGATTGTACCTTGGAAAATATTTTGAAAAAATTAGAAAGTGTATTATAATATTGTGGTCCCAGACGGCAGTTTCCAAGCTGAAGATAGTCTATGAGTCTAGAAAAACTCTTTGATCCACCAATGACCCAAAAGTTCTTCTTTATAGCCGTTACCTTTCCTTCTAGCAAGGGAAATCTTGTCAAAGCTATCAAAGTCTCCCAGAGTGGTAGTATTATAGGAGCATATATCAAATCATTTGCAGGTGCCTTTAAGTTTGACTTTAGTTTAACGTTCTTTATAAATTTCTTCCCTATTAGTTTATAAACACCATAAGGATCTGTCAAATTATTTATGAATATTGTAGCTTGCTGGTTGTGATCTGAAAAAATACACTTCAAAAGTGTCATGAAGGTTTTGAAGAATGCAAGGTTCAAATTGTCTTTATCTAATGAAGTGCCAAGATAATCCCACAAGCTATCTGTAAATAGGGATGCTTCAAGAAGTTTTATATTAGTATCCCCACTTTTAATTTGAATCTCTCCATTATTTATTAAGCCAATAAGTTTTATAAGCATTTGAATACTACCATTCAACACTCTTTGGTACTTTGATACCAAATCTGAGCTCGAAACATAGCGCTTATCTGATAAAGATTCCGGAGTTTCGAAGCAAATAGTAGCAACAATGTATTTGACTATTTGTTCGTAGAAAACAACCCAGATTTTTAAGTCTACTTTCTCTTGACTATCTTGAAAACACAGTAACAAAGCTTTCCGACAAGCTGAAGCAACTAGCTTGTCACTATCGTACTGCCCTTGAAGCCATATTGGAAGACAGCTCTTTAAATATTTGCTGAAATCTTTGCCTCCTACGCTTATAAGCAACAATGCTTGAACTTGGTGCGCTAAAGCTCTCACATTTCTTGATTCATCAATTGCAAGCTTCGGATACATCTGAATCCACGACAATAAGACATTTTCATCATTTGTGACTTCACTCTCATTCAGGAGTTTCTGCGTAAATTCTCCAAGCCATTTCTCTTTTGTAATTGAGTCTTTTTTTAGCAATGACTTGAATATAATCCCAATGTTTGGATCCAGGATGGCTGACGGATCGGGTAATCCGCTGAAATAATTTAATGATATGACAACGCCATTATATCCCAAGTCAAAATCACCATTTGATATGATTTCAGGAAATTCTTTAGGACCCATTTTAGTTAAAGACGTAGAAGAGTCAGAGAATGGGTCGATATTTCAATATCTCGATTAAATAAAATTCTGAAAAATCTAAATTTCCTACATACTCTCAAAATCTTGGTTACGTTTTAAGATTATATATAAAGGTATCGTTCTATTCTAATAACTGCTCTCTTCGGAGGCAATTTCTAAACTTCTATAGAAGTCTTTGACATGCTTGGATGTGGTTATTCTAGATGGGTTAAAATTTTTAACTTCGAGATGGTCTTTATTGGTAGCTCTGGAAAGTGCCACATAGACCTGTCCTTTCTCAAATATTTTTCTAAGGTCCACCCTAAGTCTATCAATAGTTTGACCTTGAGCTTTATGGATTGATAGGGCCCAGGATAGCAACAATGGAAATTGAGAGCGAGTTACTTTATCAGGAGCAGAATCACCCTGTGCTCCTTTCGCAAGTCTTCCTGAATCAATAGAGAATTCTTCTTGATCTACTTTTAAAACATAATCTTCATCATTTGTAGTTTTAAAGTTGACTATTGGCAAAAGATTTGCTGTTGTCTCTTTAGATGCAACATGACTCAATTCGGTAAATCGCGATTTCCTTTCCGAAGGAATCTTTTCAAGTCTCATACTATCTACAGAATCCCACTCAGATCTGCTGATTCTTGATGCTAAGAATCTCAATTCTTCCACTATTTGAGGATCACTACAATCAATAAATCCATAGAGTTCTTTGACCTTAGTCCACAAGGCATCAGTCATGAAGCAAATTACTGTCCCAATAGAACCATTGACAATGTAATCGTTATAGTTTTTAAGATAGATGACTTGTGCTCCTTCTTTTAGCTCTAAATCCTTCTCACACATCAAATTATCCAACATTTTAATAAGATAAGGGTCAGTAACATTATCTTTGGCCGTAAATCTCATCGATTTAGTGTTGAGTTGGTTCAATCTTGCTTGATTTGCTCTCTTCACCTCGTCTCTAGTAGGAAATAGCTCTGTCGGTTCCAAACCATCACTATATTCAACTTTACGTGAGAGTTGATAAAATTTTGCTGTCATGTCATCACTCAATTCCCCATAACGAAGCGCGTTTAACATATCGATCAACTCGTTGTCACCTCTTTGTCTAAAAACTTGTTTTAAAAGAACGGTCTTAGCAATGACTTTCTTCCACGCTGGGCTCTGAAAGCAAAATTCGATAGCACCATCTTTATTAACTGGAGGCAATTGGAAAAAATCTCCAGTACATACAACTTGAATGCCTCCAAAAGGTTTCGTATTTTTCCTGAGCAATCTAGCTAATTCTTCTAGTTTAGTGAATAGTTTACCATCAATCATAGAAACTTCGTCAATAATCAAAACTTTGAAATCTAACCATTTTTTTAATTGTGATCCATTTCTCTTAATTTTCTTCGCCAATTCTAAAGGACTTCCTGTTCCTAATCCGATTGACAAATATTTATGAAGTGTTTGACCACCTATATTGCAAGCTGCTAGTCCAGTAGAAGCCGTTACTCCAACTCTATTGGTGCCAAACTTTCTCTGAAGTCTTTGTACCAATTCACGTAAAACAACTGATTTACCTGTACCGGCACTACCAGTATAAAACACGTTAAGCTTTTCGTCAACCACATATTGAATGACCGTGCTTTGTTCGTGAGTCAATTCCACACTGCTTGTAGAGCTCGCAGTTGATGGCGGGCGAGAAGTAGATCTTTGTAATTTAGCAACTTTCTTAGGCTGGCCAGTAATGTGATCAAGTAAATCAACGTGACTTCTCTTTACCTGAGTCTTTGCCTGAGGGCTACCCAACTGACTTTGGAATATGACTTGCACTTCGCTCTGATTAATTTCTTCATCTTTATCTGTCAAGTCAATAAAATTCCCATGCAAAGATGTCTTGGTAGTTTTCATATCCCCCTGAAAAGATCTCATGAGCATTGGATTTCTAAAGTTACTAACTTCGGGGGACCCAAATGACGTGTCAGAACTTCCTAATTCATCGAAACCGCTGTTCTGGTTAGCTGTCTTCGACAATATGGAGCTAGATCTGCTTAAATTAATCCTCTCTGGAGTCGCAATAGACAAAGGCTCTCTAGATTGAGAAGTGTTATTGCTCTGGAAAAAGTTGAAAATTTGCTTTTGAGACTTGTCTACCTTAGCCTCTTTACCATCTTTCTTTTTATTGTTTCTGACTGGTTTGAATGGTCTTGACATGCTCACGCTAGGTATTAGAATATGATTCACTTTCTTGAAGAAAATGACTCAAAATTCTTAATGTTTATTGCGACAATGAGCTATATAGTGGTCTTAAGCTTCAATTGATTTAAAGTTACTACTATCGACCCCGGCTATCGAAAAATGTCTCCCAATATATTAGATCAAAAACCTGTGTTTATATTTTGGCTAAGCTTTAGTCAAGAAAAAAATATAATAACATACTGGGCGCGATCGCGAAATGATTATAAGGAAAATGTAGTACTTTTGCAACGGCAAAGAAGAGAAAGATAAATACACTAAATCTTTCTTATAAGAACACATAAGAACATTTGAAAGTTGAAGCTACGCTGCTCAAAGAATACTTGGAAAATTTGGTATTGACGTATTCTTTTAAAGTTTAGAAAACCTAGATATACGAAGCTTGGATTTCAGGTTTACCACTTTTATATTGATGCTTTAAGGGCATTGCTATGAACTCCTTAAGGTAACCAATAATTCTTAACTATCATTCTAGATAATATATGATGAAGAGCGAGAAAGATGATATTAAATATACAGAATCAAGTCGCTCTATAACATCCTCAGCAGAGGAAGATAAGTCAAAGTCTAAGACAAAAACTGCATTCAGTAAAGGCATCAAAAAATTGGGACGTTCAGTATCTATACTAGGAATTGGGACACCTGAAGAGGCTCCGACTGATGGCTTTCAGGCTGTTGGATATGAATCTGTTGATCTGCCGAATGATCCAATTGAAGTAACGTATTTACCTGAAAGATCTTTATCATCGTCATCTTTAAAAAAGTCATCTGAGAACTCTCGCTCATCAGCCGAGCATCAACATGGTAAGCACCATTTGGAAAGCAATAAACCTGATAGCAGTTTAACAAGTAGCAGCTCCGTAAGTGTAGCGAGCTGTGATCCTAGAACGAAAACATCAACTTCGCATGGCGACCGATCTTTGTCTCTGGTTGGCTTAAACTTGGCTGGATATGGGTTGCTGTCAGATGCTTTACCTAACTCTCATATTAATTCACTGCTGAAAATAACTGATGCTGAAAATGACTTTAGCTCTGAAATAAACGAGGCTAACAGAAATCATTATGTCCTGAATAATTTAGATGCCAATGAAATATTTGCAAAGAATGAAATGCAAGGTGGAAGTCATGCTGAAGGGGAAGGACCCTTAGGGCCTCCTTTGGGCATACAACGAGCGAATACTGTTGCGTCGTATTCTTTCCCGAAGCCAGAGCTAAGACGAATCGGTAGTGTGAGCCGTTTACTTTCATCAAGAAACATTGGAAGCACAAACGGAGCTCTGACTGGAAGCTCTATTCAGTCCTTTAGTTCAGTTACGTCTCACATGAGCCAAATGCCAAGTCAAGAAGTGGTGGACCTACTATTCGAGAAATTGCTATCTGTCAGGGTGTTTGCTGAAAAAGCTGTGAAGAGTTTGAAACAACAACCTACGAAGCGCAAATGGGAGTTACTACTTCGTGAAAGTGAGACAAACTCCGAGTTTCAGCTAAAGTCATATATCAAATCAATTAACCTTTCTCTTGAATCTACCAGGTCACAAGCGAGTGCAGCTGATGAGAAAACAGTCAAAAGTGTTGATTCGTCTGAAAAGCGCTTATTTGACCACCAAACTGCTCCAGTGTACGTAAACTCTAATTCTACTTCTACTTCTGTTGGTCCAAAGTCTGAGCCCGTATCTAGTAAGGATCTGGTAAGTGCAGCTTCATCGCTCAAAAAAACGAAAATAAAAGAAGGTTCACCTGGTTGGTATGTTAGCCGCATTATGTCAAATAAACTAAACACAACAGGTTATAAAAGATTAGAGAAGAAGTTGAACGAAAATAGCATGTCATCGAAATATAATACCAATTGGGTTGAGAGTTTTATCGAAGCTCAGGGCGAGACTGCACTTTCTGTAATCTTATCAAGAATAAATAAGAAGAGCATTAAGTCTAATGATGAATTCGATAAGGAGTTCCTTATCGTCAAATGTTTCAAAAACATTTTAAATGCAGAATTTACAGAAGGACAGAATCAGACAGGGTCATCACTGATTAGAAATAAATCTCACATAATAAGGTCTATTATATTTTCATTGATATCACCTAGAGTAGCAACAAGGATTCTAGTGACTGAAGTCTTGATTTTCTTGGCTTATTATCAAGATAATGAGCTTGCACCTAACATACTAGAAGCAATGATAAACTTACAAGATTTACTAGGTGATTTTGTTAGGTTTCAGCCTTGGATTAATTCTTTCGAATCTTTTTTGAATCAATACTCGAACTCAGTTAGTGGAGATAAAAAGAATCGTGAATTTCAGCTTAAAAATTACTCTTTAACCACCCTATTGCTTGTGAATGCTCTAATTGAGGGAACGAAGCAGACCAAGTCTCGAATTTTCATAAGAAAAGAATTAACAGATTCCAATCTTTTAAAAGTATTTGATAGGTTAAAAGCGATCAAAGATAGAAGAATTAATGATGAAATCGAGCAATATGAATTATTTGCTGAAGAAGATAATTTATATTTCCTGACCCCAATTGAAAGCGTTACGAAAATAGATTTGAAATCGCTATCAATTAATGAGTTATTTAACGACCTAATGAAAGATTTCGAAGACTCTGAAACAGAATTTAACCGCCATTTTAGATCTATACTAGAGAATCTTTTTCTTCTCAAAAATAGTGGTCGATCAAACAGAGAAATTCGGGACATTTTAATTTTAATGAATTCAGTGTTGCATCGTATTATCCAAGAATCCACTACTGCTATGGCCAATACTGACTCAGTAATATATAATTCGATCCAAAAACTTACGGATAGCCTCGCCACAGATGATACAGCTAGAAGAGCGCTACTTGAATCGAAGGATTTGGCAGAAAAAGTCAAACTTTTGAAACAAACAAACAAAGACTTGAAAAAAGAAACTACGTTTGGGTTTGATGAAACGATTTTGAAATTAAAAGAATCTAATGAAGCGAAAGAAAATATTATTGATTCGCAACAGAAAAAAATTGGTATCTTGCAATATCAACTCAAGATTCTTGAGCGGGAAAAGAGTAAAAACAGTAATCCCAGTTATTCCAGTAATTCGCCCAATTCCTTTTCGGATTCGGTTCAGAGTAATAGTGAACGAAACCAAAGCACGGTGGGCAAAGGGGATAAGCAGTTGAAAATAAAGTCGGCATCTCTATCAGATCGAGTATCTAAAGCGGCTCGTTCAGATGAGACCTCTTTGGCACAAGTGCAATTTCAGTACACTAGCATATCTGAAGGAGCTCCTAAGGTTAACGAAAGGTCAGCCACAGATCCAGAGGCTCCCTCAAAACCAGGTAAAAAAATTGTTCGCTCCCTAACACCTCCGCGACCCTTGGTTCAGTTACTAAGCTACCAAGAGTCTCCTCAAGGTCCTCAATCTGCCCCGGGATTTCCAAATGCAACTGTACCGTACACAACGTCAGAAAGCGTTACAACTCTGCTTCCTAAATCTGCCCCGCCGGCTCCACCGCCGCCGCCGCCGCCGCCTCCTCCTCCTCCTCCTCCTCCTCCTTTCCTAGTGCCATCTGGAAAGACTTCGAAGAATGCAGCGCATCCACCATCTCAAACTTCGCTTACTGCTCCACCACCTCCCCCTCCCCCTCCACCGCCGCCGCCGCCGCCACCTTCACTAATTCCACCATCTGTTGATTCTTTGAAAAGAGGAAGCTCCGAGCTTATGGAAGCTTCTAAACACAAGCTTATAACATCGAATACTAGTGATGGAATACCACCTAATACCCCGACTAAGCAACCAAATGAGCGAGGTGAAATTTCTAGTTCTTGTTCTCCCGATAAGAATAGTAGTCACGGCACACCTACAATGGCGGTTCGGCCAAAAAACAAGCTAAAACAGATGCATTGGGAAAAGATTGATGATATTTATCAAACATTTTGGAATGATATTCACCATGGGAAGCTATCTGATAAGTTGCTAGAGACTGGTATTCTAGGAGAGGTGGAAAAAGTGTTTGCTGCCAAGTCCTCTACTATGAAATGGAAGCCTAAGAATAATAACCATGCTTCGTCATCGAATTCTGAAAAAAGGGTCAATAAAGTGTCATTTTTAACTAGGGATACTGCTCAGCAGTTTGGGATCAATTTGCATATGTTCGCTAATATCCCAGTGATGGATTTAGTTGCGAAGGTATTGCATTGTGACAAGGACATCTTGGAAAATTCTAGCGTCTTAGAGTTTTTCAATAATGATAGTCTTACCGATGTTTCTGATTCGATGGTTAGAAACTTTGAACCATTTTCAATCGATTTTACCTTACCGGAGAAAAAGCCCATAAGAAATCCTGAAGAATTAGAGCGGCCGGACCGTTTATATTTGGAGTTGTGTTTTAACTTGAGGCATTATTGGAAATCTAGATCGAGGGCCATACTCTTAATTCATACGTTTCAAAAGGATTATTCAGATCTAATGCACAAATTGCAAATGGTCGACGCTGCTAATAAAAACTTAAGGAATTCGGAGAGCTTGAAAAATGTACTAGGTATTATAAGATCGGTTGGAAATTTTATGAACGATGCTTCAAAACAAGCGATGGGTTTTAAATTAGATACATTACAGAGACTCAAGTTCATGAAAGACGATAAGAATTCAATGAATTTCTTAAATTATATTGAGAAAATTGTTAGAAACACATTTCCTGAATATGGCTCTTTCGTGGATGAACTCAATCCTTTAAGTGTCATCAAGAATTTATCCATAGAGCAATTGGAAAAAGATTGCAATGATTTCGAAAAATCCATTACTAATACTTTGAGCTCAATGTCCAAAGGTAATTTAAGTGATCAGTCATTATTCCATCCAGAAGATAAAGTTTTATCTGTCATCTCTGGCCCATTGGAAAATGCAAGGCTGAAAAACTCCTTATTAAAGTCTCATCTCTCTAGGACTCTAGAAGAATTTGAACAATTGATGGTATATTACGGTGAAAATCCTAGGGATTCGAATAGCAGAAACTATTTCTTTAGCAAATTCGTGGCCTTCATTAACGAGTTCAAAAAATCACATATAGAAAATGTTCAAAAAGAGGAGGAGCAGAGAGCATATGAAGCCCGAAAAAGGGCTGTGGAAAATGCCAAAGAGCCACAGGAACGTAGAACTAAAAAGAAACCGCTGAAATTATTAGGTGAACAAAAAGGGACTGCAAAATCGAAAGAAGGCGTCGATGTTGAAGACGAGAATAATTCGAACGATGATGAAGAAATAGACATCTCTCAGATCCTGGATAGTGACAATTCGAATGCCATGATAGACAGTCTTCTTCAACGACTCAAAGCTAGGGCGCCACTTTCGTCATCCTCGGGATCTTCTCGAGAGTCTCGAAGTAGAAGCAAGTTCAACAAATATTCATCTGATTATTCGTCAAAGTCTTTTGACGACTTACTTCTCACAAATAAGGGGCCACCTTTAGGAGAGGCTAAACATGAATATCAAAGTATCACTCTGCTAAAAAGAAGATTAACCACAAGAAGAAAGTCTACAGATCTTGGAAATATGCTTCCAAAGACTGATCAAGTCATGTTACGCGCACATGCTATGTTGACTCAACTAAGGAGCGAAGATTCTCAGAAAGAGGAAACTCAAACCCTAGAATATTCTGATAGTCAAAATGATTCGAGGGCCAGAGTAAATCAGGGATCCCAATGCCAGGATTCTGAATCCAACTACTTATTCCCGGCATCAACTTCTATTTCTGTGCCAGAGTAAGCACATGAAGGGCCGCGCGATCAAAACTTCCTTCTTTTGGTAACATCTTGACTCCGGTCCGTGACCTCGACAGCAGAGTCAGATTTGAGCGATGCCACTGCCATGCTATCATCGTAAATTACTGCAAAATAACAATTCAGCGAGTCACCACCAAACATACTTGCTGTCCTTAATTTATATGTTAGCCAAATCAAGCTTCAGCATTATGTTCAATTGTTCCCATAGCAATATCATCTTGGAGACGAATCACAAGGCGTTCATCGAAAAATTTTTCAACGTCTAATCTTTCATGATCCTGCATTTAACACTGAACTTGATGAGTCTTTTCTTTTTCAGTTCACAATAAATATTTAAATAGTCAATATAAAATTTCTATACTGTTGACATTTGTTAGGTTATACGTATCTCAGTCAAAGACACGTTCTTTAGAAGGCTGCAAGACGTAGAAAGAAGGAAAAAAAAAAGGGAAGAAGTCTAAATTTTTAGGGAAGAGGTCATTTGGATTCCATCTTTTTGCCATAATAACTGAACATATATTAGCGACTGATTTTAAACATGTTCAAAACGCTTTCGTCGGCTAGTCAAATAGCTTTATCAAGGAACAGTTTCAGAGCATTACATGTTTCAGCCGTGAGCAGGTCTGCAACTGTGGTATCCGGTACGAAATTAGCGCAGTCAGTCAGAAAGAACATAGCAGAGAAGGTCATAAAGCATAATAGAGAAAAGTTTGGAGACCTTAAGAGCACTTCCTTCGATGACTTGAAGTTCAAGCCTTCTCTAACTATTGTTCAAGTTGGAAATCGGCCGGATTCTTCTGCTTATGTGAGATCTAAGCTTAGAGCTGCGGAATCTTCCAATATCTCTTCGAGATTGATAAAATTAGACGATAATGTGACAGAAGAGGCTCTATTGGAAGAAATAACACGGTTAAATAATGACCCTAAGGTAAATGGTATTTTGGTTCAATTGCCGTTACCTAAGAGTATCAATGAAACTACCATCACAAATGCCGTTTCCCATTTAAAAGATGTAGATGGGTTTGGCCGTTTCAATATTGGTGAACTATCTAAGAGAGGGGGCAACCCCCTCTTTATGCCTTGTACCCCTAATGGAGTAATTGAATTGATCAAAACAACGGGAATTGACTTGAGAGGAAAGAACGCCGCTGTCATTGGTCGGTCAGATATAGTTGGAACTCCCGTTGCCTCAATGCTTAAAAACTTGGATTGTACAGTGACTGTTTGTCACAGTCGTACCAAGGATTTACCTAAAGTTCTCATTGATTCTGATATCGTCATCGCTGCTGCTGGGATTCCTGAATACGTTAAGGGTGACTGGATCAAAGACGGCGCGATCGTGATTGATGTGGGAATCAACTATAAGGACGATCCTAATGCCAAGAATGGTAGAAAACTAGTAGGCGATGTCGACTGGGAGAGCGTATCAAAGAAAGCGGGTTATGTTACTCCGGTACCTGGCGGTGTTGGTCCTATGACGGTTGCAATGTTATGTTCGAACGTGTTTGATGCCGCAATCTTGCAAGAGCAAAAGGCTCATGAAAAGTCATTCAAGCCTTTACCTCTAGAAGTCAAAAATCCGGTACCATCTGACATTGAAATTTCTAGATCTCAGAAACCGAAAAAGATCACCAAACTTGCGGAAGAACTTGGATTGCTTGAGATTGAATTAGAGCCATATGGTCATTTCAAAGCAAAAGTAGATCCAAAACTCGTCATTGATCGTTTAGATGAACAATCGGAGGGTTCGAGTTCAGAAAAAGGATATTATGTATTAGTAGCTGGTATCACTCCGACACCCTTAGGAGAAGGTAAATCTACGACTACTATGGGCTTGACGCAAGCCTTAGGAGCTGAATTGGGATTTAATTCAATTGCTAATGTCAGACAACCTTCTATGGGTCCAACTTTTGGTGTCAAAGGTGGTGCAGCTGGAGGTGGTTACTCTCAAGTTATTCCTATGGATGAGTTTAATATGCATTTAACAGGGGATATTCATGCAATCTCTGCTGCTCAGAATCTCTTATGTGCTGCAGTTGACACTCGAATGTTTCATGAGCACACATCTAAGACTACCAAGGGCTTCTTCAAAAGATTGGTACCAGTCAAGAAAGGTAAAAGATCATTCACCCCTTCAATGTTGAGAAGATTGCAAAAGCTAGGCATTACTTCAACCAATCCTGATGAATTGACTGACGAGGAAATTGAAAAATTTGCCATGTTGAAAATTGACCCGTCATCCATAACTATCAAAAGGGTGGTAGATTGCAATGATAGATTTGTTCGTGAGATCACGATTGGAGAAGGTAAAAATGAGGCCAGTAAATTTCCACCGAGAAAAACTGGAATGGATATCACGGTTGCATGCGAATTAATGGCTATCTTGGCTTTGTCTAATTCTTTGAAGGACTTAAGAGAAAGAGTAGGAAAAATTGTTGTGGGAACCCAATTAGGAACTGGAGAAGCTATAACCGCAGATGATATTGGTGTAGCAGGGGCTATAACTGCTTTGTTGAAAGATGCAATTAAACCTAACTTGATGCAAACTTTACAGGGAACACCTGTATTTGTGCACGCTGGTCCTTTTGCTAATATCTCAATTGGTGCTTCATCAATCTTAGCTGATAAGTTAGCCTTAAAATTAACTTCACCATCAAATCCTATTAACAATGGGACCAGAGGTTATGTTGTTACTGAAGGTGGTTTTGATTTCACCATGGGTGGTGAAAGATTCTTTAACATAAAGTGCAGAGCTTCTGGTTTAAAGCCAAATGCCGTTGTCTTAGTCGCTACCTCAAGAGCATTGAAGTTGCACGGTGGCGCATCAGATGTCAAACCTGGACAGCCATTACCCAAAGAGTATGTAACTGAAAACTTGGGTTTCTTAAAGACAGGATGTGCTAACTTGGCCAAACAAATCTCAAATATAAAAGCATATGGTGCTCCAGTTGTTGTAGCGATCAATAAATTTGATACTGATACTCAGGCAGAGATTCAACTCATTCAGGAAGAAGCTTTGAAAGCTGGTGCTGACTTTGCAATTCCTTCAAGCCACTGGGCTGAAGGTGGTAAAGGAGCTATAGAATTGGCTAGGGCTGTAACTAAAGCTGTCAAGCTATCTGATGATCAAGAGCAAAAGTTCTTATACGATGTGAATGATTCGGTTGAACAGAAAATTTTGACTATTGCTCAAAAGATGTATGGTGCAGCAGACATCGAATTGTCGCCGTTGGCTAAGCAGCAAATAGCTACTTATACCGAGCAAGGATTTGATAAGTTGCCCATTTGTATTGCTAAGACTCAGTATTCGTTATCTCATGACCCATCGCTAAAGGGAGTGCCTACAGGGTTTACTGTTCCAATTAGGGAAGTCAGATGCTCGGCTGGTGCTGGGTATCTTTATGCCTTAGCAGCAGAAATAATGACTATACCTGGTCTTCCAACACACGCCGGTTTCATGAATGTTGAAGTCAACGATGATGGTGAGATTGAGGGATTATTTTAGAAAATAGATTGTACAATCATAGATTATGTATATAGATTCATATGTTTATTTATTCCATAGAGTCAAGAGAAATTAAGGTGAATTGTAACAAAAACACCTTGTATCTTTCCTTCAATCAAACGTACTAGGGTCATTAATATCAAGCTCTCCATTGGTAAAATCGAAGCTCTTTCCAAAAGTTCGAGGGTTGTTCAACACTTTGCGAATAACAGTTGCAACGTCTTCCCTATCAATTGAACCAACAGGGGAATTAATGTCAGAAAGGAAATTGATCTTGCCACTTCCAGGGCCATCCTTCAAAGTAGGTGGCCTCAATATTGTATAATCCAACTTATTAGAGAATTCATCAACCAAAATACGATCTGCATAGTGCTTTGCTATAAAGTATTGTTTTATAGGAGAGTTTTCGAAAAATTCTCTGCTGTTGGCATGAATTGCACTAAGAAGCACATATCTAAGAGCATTAGCTGCAAAAGCTGCTTCAAATGTCTTGACAGCACCATCTAGATCAACTTCCAAAAGATTTTTACCTCCAGAGCCAGCAGTAAATATAACGGCATCATTTCCCTTTATGGCATCAGTTAGTTCCTGGATTGATACTTCATCAAGAGTAAGTTTTTCACTTTTAAAATCGGAGGAATTTGAAGTAATCTTAGCAATTTGCTTTGCTTGATCAGCATTTCGCACCACAGCTGTGATTTTGTAAGATTCATTGGCTTCTGAAAACTGGCGAATTAACCTTTGACCAACTTTCCCATGAGCTCCAAATACAATTATGTTTCTAATTGGCATTTTACTTATTTGCTATAATGATTAAAGGTGTAAAGAACAGACTACTAGAATTTTATACCCTTACTTTAAGCTGTGGAGTTGAAGAGCAGCAATGTGGCTTATATAAGCAATGATAATGTTCCGTAATAGATTAAAGCCATACACAGTGCATTACCTATCCACATGCAGTCATAGGCATAAAATCAAAAGATCTTCCTTTTTATTACCACTGAGCAACTTACGGTAAGAATTGGCAAAGAATTTGTATAATGAGATCTTTAGATATGATCTTATGTGATCTTATGTGCATTTATATATATACTTTATGCATGAACTATAATACAATAGATGATAGTGAGTGAACGAATGAATGAATCAAGCATAAATAATATAGCTCGTCTAGAGCGTTTTATCACTTTGATGACTTTCCTGTATCAATACTGTTGGTAGTGGGAGCACTAGCGGGACTATTTGAGGGACTCATATTATTCTGCATGTTGTTATTGTACAATTGAGACGCTGAGTGCAGTTTCACATGGCTTCCTTTAGGAATTGCGTTTTGATTTCCACCAGGGGTTTGAGATGCTAACAAGGGAGAGCTTCCGGTTGTTCTCGGTTGCGAACTGTTCGACATCTTAGAATTAGAACTAGAAGATCTTGTTAGGCTACCAGTTGAATTAGGAGTCGCTCTCGCTTTATTTGAATATAACGTAGAATTTGCGCCAACAGTAGGAGAATGTTGCTGCTGTTGCTCAGGATTTTGCTGTCTTTGTTGTTGTGCTTGTTGTTGTTGTTGCTTGTTAGCGATCTGTTGTATTTGGAGTGCTCTCATTCTAGCTTGCTGGATATAAGCCTGCTGTTTTTGATGAACTGACTCTCTTAATAAATCGTATGATTTTGCTAATAACATAGACCCAAATCTAATTGACTGAGTACTACTACTGATACAGTTTAACTTTGATGGGTCTAAACTGAAAGGATTTTGTAAGCCAATTTCAAAGTCAGTTAAATCATCATCGAATTTCCAGTTTGAGCTGAGTCTCTTCGCTGCATCTACTTCCGAGTTATAAACGTTTTTGTTATGAGCAGAGTAATCGACGCTTGTATTGTTATCCACTTCTTTGTGTTCAGAACCCGTGTCAGCTTTATCATTCAATAGATCACCTTCATCATTAAGGCCGGTAGTCAAATAATGGTCAAGATCATCAATATTGTTCGGCCGTTTTATCAAACCTCTTCTATCAATAAAAGCCCGATTACCTCTTCCTATTCTTCTTCTTAGTCTAAAAATCGGGTCCGAGAGATCAGTCGTCACTTGACTATGATGGCGGCGTTGCTGATATCCATACCCGTGGCTATAAGCACCAAAATTATTCGTTTTGATATTATTTAATAGCTGCGCGACATAGCTGGAGGAATCAGATTCGCGCTCTTCGTTGCTATTCAGTAATAAGGACAGCAAATGAGGAAAAGGCTTAGAAGGAATAAGTTCTCCATTAGCTCCTCTAAATGTTTTCATTCCCGGAAGAGGTTTCTTTCCTTCTTTCAATATCTCTTTCAAATGTTTGCTTATATAGTTGGAAGTATTGATTTCATGATAATTAGTTGCAGCGATAGAAGAATAAGGGATGTGACTCAATTCTTTCGCGTTATTGTTGGTTGATATATTGAAATATGGCTCATATGGGTCATCGGTGACATTTGTAAAGCCCTTGTCCTGTTCGCATCTTTTTCGTAATTTCTCAAGAACAGCTCTTCTAATTGTTTCGTTCTTTTCTTTCAATACCAATGAAACAGTAACCAAATCCATGTCTGGAATTTTAGAAGGTGGTAACTTAACATAAGGTTGAGTAGAGGATGAAGCTGTTTCCTGTTGCAGATGTTGATGACTGAATCTATCTCTATGAACACCGTTTGTACGAATAGATCCACCATGTGCTGACGAGACTGACGCTTCACGAGATTCAAGTTTCCTTTTCTCGATACGTCTAGCTTTCGCCATTTCTTCATCGTCTTCCTTAACTTTGACAATCTTCTTCTTCTTGTGAGGATAGAAAAGCCCTTCATCTCCTTTATATCCAATCGATCTCTTCAATGACTTAGCTTCACATCTAGCTTTAAATACATTGTGTTCTGCTTCCAAAAAATTCAATTTTAAGATCTCTCTCCGTGCAACCGACAAAACTAAGTCTCTAGCTCTATGTAATGATTTTTGTAGTAGCCTTATTCTCTCCGACCCTAATGCATCCGCTCTTCTTGTCTTACGTGCCTGTCGAAATTCACGACGGCGGAAACATATATAAGGATCATTATCGTTATCTTTTTCTGTCGCATTAGGATCTTCGAATTTTAGGACCGGGTGAATTTGTTTTCCACGTCTAGCAATCTTTCTTCCCTTCCAGTGGTCGTATATAGGTTCTCCAAAAAGCTCAATAAGTTTTGGGATTGGTCTGCTTTGGACAGTTGAGGACTGATCATTGGGATTCTTATCAAAGAGAGTAACGAAAGGCTCAAGTTTTAGCTCCTTCGATAATTTTTCTTTTAAATCAGTTGTAGGAATATATTTGATTGTAGAACCTGCTTGAACATAAGGCTTATTAGGATTAACGTTTTTGAATTCTTCCAATATTTGAGATGACAACTCTTTATAACTCAAAATGTTCGATGGATCCATAGAGAGAAAAGGCTGTCTTTCATCAATAGTCTTCTCTAATTTATCGCATACTATTTCGAACTCCAACTCTGTGCAAGTAGTTTCGTCTTTCTTTTTGGGATAATTCTTCTTCAATTTGGTTTCAAAGAATTCGAAGTCAATCTCATCTATACAATATTCAACACCGACCGTATCTTCCACCGTCGCACTGAATTTTATGTACGATTCTGGTTCCTTGAAAGTATGATCATTATAATACGTAGGGGCCTCTGGCCAGATTCTAGAAGCATCGGGCGTGGGAATATATACGCTTTCTTTATTCTCAGGTTCTTTCTTTGATCCTCTCTCTGATCCTAACAAAGCTCTTTGCGCAGCATTGATGACTTGTTGAAGATGAACTTCATCCTCTTCATTCTTATCCACACCAGTATCCACAGCATGTAAATCTCTCAGTTGCTGGGCAGAGTTGGAGCTCAAATGATGGATTTGACTTGGTTCTAGTTCATTGTTGATATCTAAAGTCGGCAAGTCCTTTTGTTTGTAAATGGCTAACGGCTGTTTAACAGAAATTTTCCTCTGTCTAAACCTCGCTCCACCTGCGCCACCCAGCTTTGCGTTGGCCGTATTCTTGGACGGTAATACCGCCATTCTGTCACAGGTCCTCTACAATGAGCTTGTCTATGCTCTTACCACTGCTGTCGTTGTTGTACTGCTGTCTCTTCCACCGTTGCTAAGCTCAAGGTTGTTATGCTATAAACCGGTGGGAAGCGATGGTCCGGAACTATCTTAAGTACGGGTGTAAGGATCCAAAAAGGGTGCTTATGTATGGGTGTATGGCTTTATTCGCAAACCAAAATTTTTCAATCTTTGGTCGACGTCGCCCACTTTGTGTGCAGTATCACTCACGAAATTGCCTTCCAACCCCCTTTAAACACACTATTGATGTTATTTGATTACGTAGATCACGTATTCTGCACTTTAGATGTCCAGTTGTCTCTATGGTGTCTCTGATGGTCCTTGGGAACCAAACCGACCCCTTTTTCTTGATTGATTAATAGCTTTAGTTAAGCTTCCAACAAACGTGTGTTCCTCCCTTGTTGTTGCTCTTTAAAATTTCTCTATGGACGTCTAGATAAACAAGCCCGACGTGGCAAAAAGCGAGCGGAAGAAACTTTTGGTCACATGATATGAAGCGTGCCCGTGTATCACATGACTCATGATACACATATATAGCGTTATTGCATCTTTAGGTGGCATCAGGTTTCATTCGTTCTTGACTATCTGAAGATTGCAAGTTCAAAGAAAGATTCTTGTGTATACAAGCACTCTTTCGACTGCGTTAGTATGAAGCCATTTGGTCAAGTTCAGGTTGCACCGTCATTGCAAAATGAAGGCACGTTCGTATGCTCCTTCATCTCCCAAGCCCTTTCAATTTCGATGAAGTAAAATGTAAGCCTTTCGTTTTGTCGAATGCTGGGATATGTCAGCTATGACGAAGTTCAAAGCAACTTATCGTAAAACTGCATTTTTATTGGTTGTTATAAAGTTCAATAATAGGAGATAGCCGAAACTCCTATTCATTCTAGTATGTTTTCTAAAGATCTACTCATAACTTGAAGTTGACTTCAGGTAATCAAAATACAATTCTGCTCTAAATATGCTTTTTTTTTTTCACCTCAAGTTCATCTTTTTGCCTTTTTCCTGACAGTATGATTTTTTTTTCAACTGGTTCACACTATCCCGTCTGTACAGGACCCCTCGCACCTTTCCCATACTAGGACTGCGATATCCTATAAACGACAACTGAGCCATTAAGTAATCTCCTTAAGACGAAAAAAGAGGAACGAACGTTAAAAAGGAAGCTTGCTTGGTTATCATGACGCTGATTGAAGTGAGGCCAGATAAGCTACCTTCGTTAGCTCCATTTTTAAGTCAGGTGTGCCCCGGTTTTTCATTTTTAGATTATAATGTTCATTATTCTTTGAAAAATGAAAAGGCACATGAAATGACAGTAGACTGGCCACTCATGATGGCACACAAAGCACAGTTAGAGGAGCAGTACCTCAATATTTCTCGTCCGCCATTGAACCTTTCATCAAATGAATCAACGACGTATGTGTCGTTGCCATATCATGTCACCAGTCTATTCAAAAAGATTGTAAATCATCGAGACAAACATCAGCAAGGAGAAATGCAAATTGGAGCCAATGTGAATGCTTTATCTAAAGATCCCTTCAATTACGTTCAATTGAACCCAGGGTGTCTTTCTACTATCGTCGATTTAGGTCAACTAGATAAGGCTGTAACGGGGTCATACCATGAGAATGGTAAGAATCCTTTTGCGAAATTGACTAACAATTTCAATAGATTTTTGAAAATGTCATCTAATGGCCTGAGCGGTGGTAATTATCATCATCTCATTGCGAGTCTAAAGCCCCATCCAACTTCAAAGTCACATTTGGTCGAAAAGGTGTTGGAATATAACCCAGACACTTATACAAATGATTTGACTTCTTCGTCAAAACTTTTGATTTCGTCACATGTCAACATTTTCAATGTAATAGCCATTGATTCAAACTCAAATTGGAGGAAAACTACTGAAATCTGTACTGATAGGCCTATTTACCCCTACGAGGAATCTACTGCTGCGACTTCTTCGGCTGTGAACCATAAAAAAGTAATTGAAAATACATTATTGAGGTTGCAATTCAGATCTAACTCTATAATTACCAGCATTAAAGCATTTGTTAACTTAACTGGTGAAACAATTGCTATACTTGGTCTCGATTCAGGAGAAATATTCATGATAAATTTAACGCATTTAACATATATAAGCTTTGATGACTTTGGCCTAATCGAAATGAAAGATAACTCTTCATCAACTTCGTCAATTTCAAATTCAAGTAGCTCTGGTAATGTTCCTGTCACAGCTATTGACGTTATAAGAGATCCGAAGTTTGATTTTTTGATACTTGCTGGTTTAGCCAACGGTGAAGTAGTGATTTTAAATCCTTATCCAACTCTAAATGAGGAGAAAAGTAAATCTAGATATGTGAAGAAAGTTGTTGCCAAAGATGCCTATATAACATATTTTAAAAAGTTTGACTTAAGCTATCACAGCAAGAACCCAACAGAAGATGCTAAGGATTTTCCTACCTATTTAATCGGGCATTTCAAAATATCACATAAACCAATTACCTCAATTACAACCACAATACCTTATAGAACGACAGTTACATCCACCCAGCTGAATCCTATGTTAGTTGCTATCGCTTCACAAGATGGCTTTGTGAAGTTTTTAGATTTAATGGCGACTGCAAAGTTTGAGTATGGCAACCCTGAAAATCCATTAAATAAGTCGATAGTGACCGATATCATATCAAATTATTTTAATGATGGAGTCTCTCATGTGGAGTTTTCTCCTGATTTTAGATTCTTAAGTGTTGCCGGTAAGGGTGACTTGATCGAAATATTTAAGATGTCCTATTACAATGTTAGTGGACTCTTGATCAAAAATTCAGGTAATAATTATCAGTCCAGCACTAATCTTAGTGGCCTTACAAGAAGATCATTTAGTGAAACAGGGAATAGTTCTAATTTCAATCAGTTTCTATCTCCATCAAGTACTTCGATGTCCAATCACCACTCGGCTTTGAATAACTTAGGAAGTGGTTTTAATAAGAATGGGAGCAGTTCTAACTGCAATTTGGACAACGACAATGAACTTGGTAATGATACCAATTATGGTAACCCTTATCCGTTAATTATCAAGGATATCAAGATTGTAGGTAGGTTTAAAGGACATACCAACACCGTCCACAAAGTATCCTTTATAGCAGATGAAAAAAATAAAAATTCAACCGGAAATCTAGTCTATAAGCTAATGAGCTGTGGTTTCGATGGTAAAATTATCATCTGGGAATTTGATTATAAGGCATTACCAAAAGTTAAAAAGTTACTTCCGAATAAGAAGAAGACTGAGTCAGCGACACACATCAAAAAAACAAGCATTAGCTTATCACCGAACTCTAATTCTATAAGCTCACCGAAAAGGACATTGAGTCCTAGTCCGAATATAACCCTGATCCAAAATGTTCATAGTCGAGGGTTATCTATAAGCAATGATGATGTCACTCCGAATCTTTCAAGTTTTGCAAATTCCAATTCGTTGAACAACAATGGGAGCATGAATATGACTACTATTTTAAACTCCATGTCTGGCAATAATTTCAAGAACTCTGTGAATGAAGAAATGGAGCATATGAAAGTTGTGGATTCATTGTATAAATCATTGTACGATTTAAGAATTAGGAAACAGTTTGCGGCAACTGGAAGAAAGTTCGACGCTGTCATACATCCAGTAGTGAATGATAAGTTAGTACCATCAATTGAGATACCCCTATTAAGTTTGGATCTATCTTGCTTAGTAAGAGATGGAAAAATCGAAGGTTTTTATTTCGATAATCTCAGCTTCTGGTGTTTTTCCAAAAGTGGAGATATATTTAAATATCATATTAAAAAACTATCTCCCCATGATTAACGACTAATAGTATACAAGTATTTATGCTAAGGAAAATCTATAAATGCAATTGAGGCTCTTTATTATAACGAACATGTCATTTTTCTGTATCATTTTCTGTATTAATTTTATCACTCTCCACTTTCAGAAAATCATATTTCCTCCCACTCCGAAAAGACTTTTGTCACCAAATCTTTCGAGCAATGACTTGAGTTATATACTTTGAAAGAGACCATTACCATCTAAGCCAAAACTAAGTTCTTCTTCCAATCTGAACAACCCCAGAATGTCATCTGAATTCAACCCATTATCTTGATGCCCTCGATTCAACATGGTAAATTCATCAAGTTCCTGGGGTTTCGGAATTGACAGATAATATTGCATATCATGGTCCTCATTATTTCCATTCTTATTCCCAATAGTATTCCTCTGATTATTGTTACTCTCCTGATGAAACGAATTATCTTGCCCTAATGAGAAGGAAGAGAGATTACTCAAAGATTCCGCAATTTGCTTCTCTTGCTGCTCTCTCTCATTTTGCTCAACTTGTAATTGTAGCTGTAGCTGGATTTGTTGTTGCTCTTGAATGGGTCTCCTCACAAATTCTCTGAAACTCTTAACCTCCTTGACTATTATTTTTTTCATGGTCTCAATATCGTCAATTGTTTCGAATGATTTGAAATCAAACTTCACCTTGCATTCGGGTTCATCCAAAGGATCATGCCAAACAGACAAATAAGGATGTTTTAAAGCGTCATCGATTGTAATTCTTTCGTATGGATCTAATGATAGCATCTTTTCTAGCAAATCTAAGGCCAACGGATTAGCATTTGGAAAAAGTTGAGAATATGGGACTTTCTTCATGAAAGGTAAGGATCTTACGTAGTTCTGAGCTCTCACGGACCCAATTTTAGTCAACGTATCTTCCTTTGGAGTACCTAAGATCAATAGGATCTGATTCAATTGATCGACATAGTCCTTCCCCCTAAACAATGGCTTGCCACCTAAAAGCTCTGCTAGGATACAACCTACTGACCAAATGTCAATAGCTTTAGTATAATTAGTGAAGCTTAACATTATTTCAGGTGCTCGATACCATCTTGTGGCTACATACTCTGTCATAAAACCTGCATTTTGCTCTGGATTTTCAGAGAACCCTCTTGCTAATCCGAAATCACATATCTTCAACTCACAGTCAGCATTTACTAGTAAATTTCCTGGTTTTAAATCTCTATGCAACACGTCAGCAGAATGAATATACTTCAAACCACATAAAACTTGATATATGAAAGATTGGTAGTGCAGATCTGTTAAAGGTTGACCAGATCGAATAATCTGATGCATATCACACTCCATCAACTCCTCGTACAAATATATTTCATTAAACTCTCCAGAAACCGGATCCGGTACTATATCCAAATCATATAAGCAAGTTATATTTTTGTGTCCTCGAAAGAATTGCAACAACTTAAGTTCCCTTAAAGATCTTTTGCAGAGAATCTTCTTACTGAAAATATTTGTGATCTTCTTTATGGCCACCAGAGAACTTTCTGGATCATCTTCATCTTGGTATTTGGCAGAACATACGATACCATATGCTCCATGCCCTATTTCTTTCATAATCTTGAACCTTTTATCAATTATAAAATCCTGATTGAAAACCTTGTTGACCGTTCGCCCTACGAACGTGTCCTGTACCATATCTTTTTAAGTAAATCGAAACAAAGACTATTCTTCCTTAAGAAACCACCTATAAGTTCTTTATAGCTGTTCTATTTAATTCAAGTGTTACAAGTGTTACAACTAACGAGTCAGTTAATTTTTTCTTTTTGAAGTTACCTGATTGTTAATCAACTAATTCCAATTTATAATCCACGCGTTGTTCTCAAACGGCTATTGATTTCTAATAATAATCTGGATAAGATTTCGACGTGCCGTTCACTTGTACAAATTATGAATGTTTGTGTGGTTGCTATAAATATTAGGTCTGCTTATTTGTGAGTGATCCAGTTTATAATTTGGTGTCCTTTAGTCAGCTAAATTCAGGATTGTTCTCACCAACAAAAGAAAAAAAAAAAGTTCAGAAATTGTTTACCTACTATTCTAAAAATAAACGCTTTGTGGTCCGGAAAGCTACAATAAAGTTTACAGTTGCCGTGGATCATATTTAGACGACCTTTGAAATCAAGATAAACCTTCTTTCGGCAACTTTTACAATTATGAGTCAGGAGAAACGCAGGGTGGAAGAGATCCCCCTGCGCCGGTAGTGGCTAACGAATACACTGTCACTTACGCTAACGAAATTTGACAAATCGGAAGGTAAATAGTCCGGAAAAAAGTAGCAAAGGGCTCTAGTTGACAGTATTTGAAGTGAGCCATCATGGTTTTAATAGGGGACTCGTCAAGTGTCGCACCATTATTCAATTCTAGGTATACACTAAGTTGTTACGGATTCTTTGGCTCTCTGGGGAAACGAATTTCACCGTGGGGTGATGACTAATGAATACCACATATGCACAGAGTAGTTAATCTACGGCGTAATTGCATCTTTTAAGGCATGTAGCAAGATAGTAGATAGGAAACACCACTGAGTAGTTGGATGCCGTAAAAAGATCCAAGTTTGGAGCTCGTTACTTTTGCCGTGCTAAACGTTTTTGTCATAGTGGCTCACCTCATGTTGTGTACCACACGATATTTCTTTGCCGCGACTTTCCTTTCTCTGTTCCTTTACCGTGTATAAAATACGAGATAATCTGAATAAAGAATTTGTGGCAAAGTGCTGCAATATTTACGGTTAGTAGAGGCTGAGAGATGTAAGTCTTCTCGTAAAGCCATATCCATTCGTCTATTTATGTTCCGTATGAGTGCAAACTCATATTGTATTATAGAATGTCTTTTGTGTCACGTGGTCTTCTTCGGTTATCTCTTTGCTCCGCTTTCTTGCCCACAACAATAACTAGTTTATACAGTAATCAAATTTAAAAGGGTCCATAATTTGGGAAAAGGTTAATCTTGAACGAGGAATCTATCACTGCTTGTGGAATAGTGTATAATATTATGGACGGGAGTGATAGGCTCGAAGATTTTACGTCCCTTTTTCTTCCTGATTTATTGAATCCTTCTACAGCGAATGAAGACAAAGTTAGGTCAGATGGGGGCATCAAGCAAGAACAAATCGATGAAGAGGTATACTTCAATGCAAAAATACGAAAGCAGCTTGCTGAAAATGTGGGATACGATAGTAATATAGGGAGTGTAGTAGGAGGTGAAAATGGAAGTATTCATTCAGGATCACTTAGTGGGCATCACATTAGCCATTACGCTCCCTTTGTTCCTATAGAAGCATCATCAATGCAACAACACTATCAGCAACCAATGTTTCATATGAATCCGCAAATGCAACAATATATTCTGCAAATGAATGATTCACCTCTCATGGGAGGCAGTGTTACTAGCAGTGGGTTGGAGTCATTTTCGATGAATAGCGGTACTCCACACACAGATAGGACATATACTCCTGCATTCTTACAACTTCAGCCCTCTGCTAGCTTTATTTCAAGGAAGGGTACACCTTTGCCTATCCCAGGAAGCTCTGACACACACATGCAGGGCACTTCGAATGAGAAAACAATAAAAGATAGAAAACGCAAGAAATCGAACCGAAAGCCATTCAAAACTATTGAGTCACATATAGAATACAAGCCAAGCAAACTCACTAAGTTATTAGATTTCAAGCCTTCTGTACAGTTGGATAAGGTGCTCCTTGATGGTGATGACAATGTTATTTATGTTGATTTTCGAGCCTTCTTAAAAGGAAAGTTTATTACAAATGATGCGGAGAATAAACATTATCTTTCGACTATGAGCAATGGTAATGATATAGTTGATCAAAAAGATCCTAAGGTTATATCGTGCTATAGAAGAAATTACATTCAAATTCCAATTAATATGAATCTTTCTGGTTTTGTTTCCAACAATAAAATCTTAAAACTCCAGACCACAGAATATGGCTATCAAGTGAAAAGGGTTATCAAATGGTTTAAGATCGAAATTCTTGCAAATTCTAACATATCAAATAATGTTCCATTTGACATTAAGAGTGATCCGAATGATAAAGACTACAGAATAGAAAGTGGCGGTCAAACGTGTAAACCCACTTGCATATCATCTAGCAAACATGTTATCACTTTAAATGATTCGACAATTTTTAACAATGAGATAGATAACTTTTTTATTATAAAGAAACTACAATTTAAAAATGCAACGCCTCATAATGGTAGCTCTACATTTCAAACTTACTACCATATAAAGTTACGATTAAGTGCTGTTGTTGCAGACTTATACTACGATGATTATATTGATGATGATGAAATTTCGTCTGGTGGTCATGATACCAATGAGGTAACGTTGTGTGAATTGGTAAGTGAACCTATAGTGGTGAGAGGAAGAACTCCTAACTTCTACAATGATAGAATGGATTATTTGATTAAAAACAGATCAGCTTATCTGAAGAATAGCTTTATTGAGATTGGGCATGAAAATAATAATGGTGAGGATGATGAGCTGAGGCAACAAGCTGGAGGGAAAACTTTCGAGAGCCAGAAAAATCAAGATATTGCCGTAGAAGATGACCGAGAGGAAGACGAAGAAGGAGATGGTGAGCCAGAACATGCAACTTCTTCAGCTGATGAAACGGATCTTTTGAAAAATAAACAAGAAGCAACTTCCATTAGTCAATCCAGCCATGCGCCAATTGATTTAAAATCAATTAAACGGTATAATTACTTTCCAATCTCAAGTGTTTACTATTTACCTCCCATAAATGTTGTCTATTTCCCCCATGGTGCACATCAACAGCAAAGTGAAACACTGCAATCAAGAACTGATGGAGCAAATGAACCGAGGCTGCTGAGAAGTGGCTCTAACGTGTATTTCAAGTAGCATAAATAAGAGAATTTGTACAATAATGTAAATATTTTACTTATAAATCATCACTAATTTTTTGGAATTCATTAACGATATACGTTGTACATAATAGTACATAAATAATAGAATGATTTACTTTACTCCTTAACTAAGATGGAAGCAGCACCCATACCTGTACCGATACACATAGAAGTCAAACCAATCTCACCTTTCTTTAACAATCTCAAGATCGTGGCATACTGCCTAGCACCAGTAGCACCTAATGGGTGACCAAGAGCGATGGCACCACCATTAATATTCAACTTTTCTTCTGGGATGTTGCAAGCTCTAGCAGAGTATAAGCATTGAGCAGCAAAAGCTTCGTTAATTTCAAAAATGGAAATGTCGTTAACGGTCAAGCCAGTTTTCTTCAAAACAGATGGAATGGCCACGGCTGGTCCAATACCCATGATTTCAGGAGGAACCCCGACAGAAGAACATAAAACATATTTAGCTTCAATTGGATAACCCTTTTTCTCAGCCAAAGACCTTCTCATCAATAATACGACAGCAGCACCATCTGAGACTTGGGATGCGTTACCTGCATGAGTGGAGCCATCAGATTTAAAAGCAGGCTTCAACTTACCCAATGATTGAGCGGTAACGCCCTTTCTTGGACCTTCATCTGTGTCAACTGTCACAGTCTTGTAAGTTACGTTGTCATCGTCATCTTCTTCAGCAATTATTGATTCAATAGGTAAAATTTCATCCTTGAATTTACCTCCTGTAACTGCATTCTCAGCTTTGTTATATGATTTGGCAGCAAATTCATCTTGATCTGATCTCGGAATGCTATACTTGGCGGCAACGTTTTCATTTGTTATACCCATTGGAATCAAACACTTAGCCATTTCCTTATTTTCTTGCAAATGTTGATCAACCTTCGGAATTGATTGAGGACCATAATTGACAGACATAGACTCTACTCCACATGCTAATCCACAGTCTATTTCACCCGTCTTAATCTTGTTGGCAATGTCAGAAACAGCCATCAAGCCAGAAGAACATTGCCTGTTGATAGCGACAAATGCAGCTGTATTTGGAATACCAGCAGCCAAGCAAGCTCCCCTGTGTTCTGAAGCACCTGCAGCTCTGTTTAAAACATTACCACAAGCAACATCTTCAATCAAGTTCACGTCAACCTTGGTCTTTGCAATAAAGGCTTGCAAGAGTTTATCCAAAAGGTAATCTGATCCGACATCCTTGAAGGAACCTTTACCTCCTTTTGTCAATGCCGTTCTGTAAGCAGCAACGATTACAACATCATCAGGATTCTTCTCCAACACAGCTTGCTTTGATGATGGGCTTAATTGGCCACCTAATTGGTTAAGTCTTTCCATTTCTTCTTGTATAATAAGTTATGCTTATAAAAAAGACTAGGTAAATATATATATATCACTAGTGGTTTCACAGTTGTCCCCAGATTTTATAAGTAATGGCAAAATTGATTACTTATATAGATTACTGTCACAAGCGATAGTGTCTCCGCATTCTTTATTAAAATATGATCCGAGGTAAAGTCATCCGAGGCAGCATGATTTTAATTTTTATTTTGTGCGAATTAATTAAAATAGCGAGCAATTTGGATTGTGGTAGTGACCTTACCGCGATTTTTTGCCCCTAGTCCATAAATCGATTAGGATATAGTTCGCATTCTAATGAAGCTCGGCTCGAGAGTCTCCGTAAGAATATGGCATTTAAGAGCCGAGTTTCGTAAAATGTGTAATATATTTAGCTTGTCGACAGTTCTAAAATCTATTTGGTAAAATAGGACTGATTTATTGTATATTTCATAACATATTCAGCGCGTATCTTATGCTAGTATTAAAATACTAAATAGTCAATTATAGTGCCAAAGCTACTAGGCGCCCTCAAGCACTAGCAATGTCATCAATGAATGGGCGGATAAGAAGCTGACCAATAAGATTGAAAATTAATGGCTAGATCTAGATCACTATGACTGATAGTTAAAATAAGATCGGACTGTTTAACTAATGCGTCTACGGTGAGTCAAAGGCTCGATTACAATTTCGAGGTTTCTATTATGGTGACTGACTATTGAATGTCTATAAGAATCAAATTTTACAATTTTAAAGTTTTTACTATAGTGGATTGGCTTTTTTGTGCTTCTAAGAACCAAAGCTAACCGTGCATTTAGCCATGTAGTTAATTCTGTGAAAAAGTATCACTCCAATTATAATAGGATGCTACTTCCCTTCCCAACGTGTTTAAGAAATGATGTGAAATCTGCTTCAAGTGTGCGTCAGCTCTCGTTGTTGGCATTCAAGGTAATGATATACTGAACTTATTCCGACATGAAATATAATAGTTCACATTGTTGTTCTAGGTCTATTGGCTATCATTTAGACCGGAGCTAGTATCTTCCCCTTCAAATGAGAATATACCAATAAAGGGCTGTATTTTTTCTGGCCTTCCTTCAGGGCACTTCCCCATGAAGATTAAGGCTGGAACTTCATCGTCGTCCTTGTCATTAGACGTATCGAATTTTCCACTTCCCGTACTATCAAGTATAATTTTGGTAAAATCTATTCTCAACATATCCTCAGGATCTACCGTCACGTAAAGCTTATATTCTCGATTTATCAAATCTCTTGAGTCATTATAATGTATTCGTCCTCTAGTTGAACCTGTTATTATTCCCAAAGTGGACCCAATTCCACGAACATCGGTACCACTAATTTTGATATACAAACCACTCAATCCAAAGGGTGAGCAATGAATCTCTAACTCGCACTCGTTGGCGTATTGAAAGGTTATTTGATCGTTCATACCATAACCAAATTATTTAACACGATTAAGTATGGTCATTCGTGTTTATTTATATATATATTTTTTTTTGCTATTCAAGACGCTTTTATGCGAAGCCCCAAAATGCTCAAGCAAAGAGGACGCATATATACGAGCCGAAAAAGAAAAGAACTTAGAATTTACTTATCGATCACTAATGATTGATAAGACATTACAAGACAGTCTCAAGAGCTAGTTAAATACTTCATATTACTCTTCCAAGTATGAAACTGATTTTGCGTGAGACAAAAAGCCCAGAAATTGTTGATGAAAAAATTCAATCTGTGTAGCAAGTTATCAGACCCGAACTCGTAATTCAGAAAATTAGTAGACACACTTAGTTCAGTCTCTTTAAGAGTAGATAAATTGAGATCAGAATCACTTCTGAAAAGGATATTTTTACTGAAGCTCTCTGGTATAGATAGTTTGCATTCATTTTTGGGATAGTCGATCGGTATGGTCAAGAATACGTCAATCGTCTGACGCATTCGCCAAATTTCTGGAATGCTTGAGTCATTACTTCGAATAGGAAGCTGAAGTTTGTAAACACTTTGGTGAGAGTTCTTTTTGAATAGCTTCAAGCTAATCTTTCTATCAATAACCTCGTTTATAAGCCTCTGTCTATATCCTATTTCAGTGGTTGATGGAAGCAGATTAAAGATTACTTTAGAAGACACTGATTTCCCATTTTTCAGATGTGTTTGTTTGCTCCCTAATGTTTCATTATATTGCACTTGTCTCTTGCTCTTCGGTTTAACAAAAGTAACAGTTGGCCTACTCTTTTGCTTTAAAAAGAATTCTAAATAGCGATTTAAAGTTTGGATCTGTGAAAGAAGTCCGCGTCCATTCACTAGTTTGATATCCTCATCCTCTGCTCCCAATGCTATATTAGCTATTCTCTCAAATCCTTTTTCAACATTGGCGGCAAAACCCCTTGGGATGTCGTCGTTCAAAACAACTATATGAGGTTTTTCGTTCTTGTATGGATAAGTTGTGGGAATGCATAGGGTAATTTGAAGAAAGGGTAAATCATAGGGAAAGTCTGGGTCTAAATTCTCGATTACAAAGCTCAAGTAAAGTGGCGAGCTCGGGTGCCTTACAAAAAAGTCTTCCAAGCTGCTGCTTATGAGTGAAACATTTGTAGACCTCTTGCGATTCTTCGATGAGCTGGGGAAGGGCTCCGTTGGATCATGCTGCTTTGAGCTCTGTAGGGATTTTTGAGCCTGTTCAAGTATCGCATCAGTACGGACACCATTTATGGTCACTGGTTGAATACTCTTTACTAGTTTGACAACTTCTAAGTATTTATAATCGTTCTTTATTTCCTTCGGTTTATCTCTAGAGCTCTTCTCATTCTCAAATCTTCGATTTCTATTCAATTTTCCTCTCCTTTTACTAGCATGACTAGTTTGCTTTCTTGACTTTGCCTTCGGCTTATTCGTTGATTCCTGAGAGGACTGGTCTGCAGTCATCTCATTAATTTACGATAGGATAATTTTGGTGAAAGATTTTGTACACTTTAATATGCATCTCAATTTATCAATAATATTAGAAATTTTTGTACAAATAATTATATAAACAAATTATGGCAATAAAAAATATAGACATAATATGTCAAAATTCAAGATACGTTGTCCTTAATAAACCATCTGGTGTTTTATGCAATGGGTATACTCCTGCCTGTGTCTTGCCACAGATTACCCTAGCATTTAAAAAATGGAATCCAGATAGAAAACTCAATCCTAAGCAATTTCAGCTAGTGCAGAGGCTAGATAGATACGTCTCTGGCGGAATGATTGTTTCTCGTAATAAAAAATTTACAAAGAAGCTTAATCAGTCGTTGAAGGGGGAAGATGACTCAATTACATTTACAAGAAGGTATGTGGGATTAATCAAGTGCAATGGTTTGAAGAACCATCTCAAGAAAATCGATAGCTCGAAAAGTAGCCTTAGCATCGATCCGACTCTCTCATTTGGTGTTATAAGTCTAGGAATTACAAAGCATTTGTCCCCTAAAGCTCGACCGTCAAGCACAAAATTTAAAATACTTTACGATCATCTGAAATATGTACTGAACGATAAATATCCCGAACTTTTCAACTCCTATATCTATCCAGTAATATTTGAGTTGAAAACAGGTAGAAAAAATCAAATCAGGGACCATTGCTTGGCTGCATTTGGTTTACCGCTCTTGAATGATGATAAGTTTCTCCATCTCAAACATCGTCAAGAAAATCCAAATAGTTTGCTTTTCAGATCAAACCAGATAGGCTTGCATAGTGGTTTTATCCGCATCAAAGATGAAGAGTACCAGTTCCCGATTTTCTTCGAGCCAGATAGGGAACTTTGGCAGGGATTCGTAGATGAACTGGGAAATTTTACAGAAGGTATTCAAAACGAGTTGGCTAAACCTCAATCGCTTCTTTGAACATATTTGTATATATTTGTAAGTCTTTTGTATGCCCAGCATATTGTAGTCACTATAGCCTAATATTTGGTATGTGGCAGTTTGCAACAGTCTGTTGTAAAACATTTACAAATAGCACGTGACACTCTCGATCTTATCACTAAAACACGTTAAATGCCACTTTATAGCGGGATAGTCACCACTAAAAAGTAAAAGCTCCAATCAATCCACGAATGATGTCCAAAACTATTGATAGCAATACATCGCGGCCTGGATCACCGTCGCTACTTGTCAAACAACAATCATTGAAAAAATTGTTTAATTCTCACCTGTCGATTTATAATGCACTTACCAACCCCGACTTAGATGTTGGCGACGGCGCCTTCTCTAGGATGTCACCGGAAAGGAGGCTCACACCTGAAATGAGAGTTCAGGTTGAAAGAGGAATGTCCCCAGAGTTGAAAGAGTCTCAGTTCTCTATCACATCATGGCAATCGATAAGCAATGAGTCCGTCCTTCAGCAGATAAAACCAACTTCTTCAATTTTATCTGTAACTTCAGATGAAGATGATGCACCAGTTCTAGTAAACTATATGCAACTGCCGCTGCGTCCTAGTCATGTGTTAGTTTTCGAGACAGATGAAGAAGACGATGACGTGACACCGAGTTCCTTTATAATGCCAAAATTGCCGGTATCAAATTCACTAACGACAAGCAAAAAGATTGAAGTCACAGTATTGAGTTCATGTAACAATTTCAATTTTGAAACTAATCAATTAATCAATAAAATTGAAAGAGAAGTCAATTTCAATCTGATAAGCATTAGACACCTAAATTTAAATTCTAAGATCCTGAAATTTGACGAAATGATAACTAAAAACTCGGACCTAATCTTTATTGTTAATGACGGTTCGTTAATTTTTGTCGATTTTCTTTCAAGTATTAACTTTGACGAATCTTGTTTACCCAAGCTAACAATCATCAACATGATTACGAATAATTACTTCATAAATTTATTCGATTTGATTAATCGTTTGAAACCTTATCAAATCTGGAAAGCATCTTCTTTAAAGCAAGAAAATCTATTTGATAAGTTCAAAAGTTTTATTGAAATAGAGATAAACCAGTTTGATGATCAATTTAGCATGACGCAGACATCTGCCAATCCTACAAAAAAGAGGTGTCAGAGTCTATCGATTACTAATAGCTATTCAATGGACTTAGTGCCAAAGAGTAAAACAGACTATAAATTGATTGAAAAGCGCTTCAAAACTGATTTGAAAGATTCCACAAATTTGAATGATCCATTACAACTATCCTCAAGATTTTTTCGCTTTAATATTTTGATATCAATTTTTAACAAATGCTTTGCTTCAGCTAATAGATATTGGCTCGCATGCTGCTTTGGAATTGGTATGGGTATTGGGATTACAAGTGGATTAGCATTCGTAAAGTTTTATTTGACGGAGAGCAACAGCAGGATATTCGATCCGCTCTTGGCTGGGGGCAATTCCATGGCAGAATTTTCAGAGCCTGATTTTTCTCGCCTATTCGATGCAGAATTTTTCAAGAAATTAGGTGGTATTTTTGAATCATATGTCAACGAATTGAAATTTTTCAGTTCTTTTATTTTTGATTGTGTTAGGGGGGGTTTCGCTAAGGCAATAGGTTTATTTTGCAATTAGTTTTCATTTGTGCTACAAGAATTCAGGCTTTCTATTAAGACTGGTTGAATTTTTATTTTTGGTTTCTTTATTTTCTTTGCTTTGGCTTTATATATCTAATTTGAAGGGTTTGTATAGCTACTGGATATAGCAAGGTTTATTTAGTTTGTTTTTGGGTGCCCGTTATATTACACTATAGCTAATATAATTTGACTATTACGTTGGGTTTTTTTTCTTTTGTATTTAGATGAATGGACTAAAATTACTGACCATCGAACTGTTCGAACATAGGACACTTTTTTGGCTGTCGTTATACCCAAATCTTCCCAACTCTAGGAAGTTGTTAAATTTATCCTCTGTTCCATAGCAATCAGCCCTAAGTTAGTAAAAGCACTTTTGCCTACGTCAAAATCTCAGTCTTAATCACATTATCCTGTACCTTTGGCTTCAAAACAGGCAAGCGTCTTCAATTTATTTACGCAAACTCTTACTAATACTACTTAGGTCCATGTAGTCACCAAAAAATTCTATAAATTTGATAGCAGAGACTGGTAATAGAAGACCAATATTTCGTAACTAGGCAAAAATCCGGACCCTATTTAAAAATAAAGTGGAGGCTCTCTATGGGCATAACTGTGGATAATTGATCTGACCTGAGATCCTTAAGCATATTTAAATAGTTACTTGGCACATTAATCTGACTTTTAACATGAAAAGGTCACCTGAGAAGCCATACAGCAGTATCAATCATCTGCCATACTTAATAATCAACCATACATTTAGTATGCCTTAGTCGAGTTGAAGCTCAGCTTTTCTAAGATCAGCGTACGATAAGGTGTCTGGGCTGAAATCACATCTTCTCCACGTACACGACGTCTCAATAACAACCTCGTTTGCTGATAAGATACATAGACTTTCTTTCCAAGTACTGCTCAAGCTTATTTAAATGATCTATATAGATTGCCCTAGCGCCTTGCGACATAAATCACGGCATGGAAGCAGGACCCAAAGCTAAAAAAGTTTCCAAAAAAAAAACGAATATAAGATTCTCACATTTCTGCGAAGGGAAACGACGGGCCAAGAACGCCTGTGATAACTGCCGTCGAAAAAAGTAAGTTCAAAGATATAGAGCGATATTCTTTCTAGAGACTAATGAATCATTTTTAGGAAAAGGTGTGATGGTGTAAAGCCAATTTGTGGAAATTGTAGCGTTCCCGACACTTGTTGGAATAAAGAGAAGGAAACACTGGCAATGAAAGATGTACCTCTGGATGTTGTGTATCAAAATGTTACTATTGATCCTCAATTAGGTAGTATTCGAAAACTGGGGTTATTGAAGTTACTAGATTCTGAATCAGAGAATCTGAATCAATTCTCAAAGTCATGCGTCAAAAGTATTAGAGAAGGTAGCACTTTAGACAATAGTTTTGTGAACTTGGTAAACGTTAGAAGCGAATATGGTACTCGTGTGAGTACTCCATACCTAAGTTTTGAGCAGCCACATGCTTTTATTAGCATCCCGCTGTCTTTGCCGTATGGTACCATTCAGTTGGTTGGCCAAGGATCTCAATTTTTGAAGTATTTTCGATTTAATGTATCTAGACTTATTACTATTGGACCTCTGTCGTCCAATTATCTATTGAAGACTTTCTTGCCCATGGCTGCTTCTAATGTTCCCCTTCAATATGCCTTAGCAAGCTGGGGTGGGTTGTTTATCGATGGAAAGCTAAATTTTAAAAACTATCAACAATTTATGTTAAAAGCATCAAAACTCCTTTTGGGAGCTTACGATATACATGGTGAGCTTGATAAGCATGACTTCATGATTGTTTTTACATTTTTTCTTATCGGAACCTCGGTAGAAATATGCTCTGGAGATGTTAAACATTGGAGACTACTTTTCAGACAATGTCAGGAACTCATCAAACGACAAGGTGGTATAATTAAAGTTCTTGAAAAATACAACTTTAGTAACGACATCAAGTGGATGTTGTCTAATCTTCAATTCCATGATTTATTGAGTTCAGATACTTTCGTCAATGGTAGCGACTTTCTCAAAGACTACAAATCTGTTTTTAAAGGTGCAAAGCTACTAGAATTGGATGATTATGGAGTGGACCCCTTTCAAGGCATTTGTCAACCAATATACATGATACTTGGAGACTTAATCAATATGAACGTTCTTTTTAAAAAGAGGTGGCTGGAAATCTGCGATGATGACATTGACATCTTAGGTTCAGGCGATTCAAATATTTCTTCTCGAACTAAGTTCCTGCAATTGAGATCTGATTACTTCTCTTTTGTTGACAAATCTGTCGCAGATTTAAGAGGTGCTATTAATAAATGCGAGCCACCAAATTTGAGATCTTTTTGCAATTTGAATGGCGACGAATTAAACTCTCATCTTTCGTTATTTCAATTGATGAAGCATGTTTGTAATTTGTATCTCAACCACATAGAGAAAATTCCTCCGTGCTCCTTCAAACTGCAATCGACTCTACTTTGTTCTTTACAAGAAGTCGAGAAGCTCATGTACTCAGAAATGGTACCGTGCCTAGGATTTCCTCTTCTTATTTGCGGTATGACAGCTGTGACTGTAGAAGATAGGCAATTTATTCTTGAAACCATCAAAAAACTAATATGCAGATATCCTGTTGGAGGTATAACAAAGGTATTGAACTTGATAGAGGAGATTTGGGAACGAAATCCAGATGGGCTATTATGCATCGAATGGGCGTCAATAGCTTGTGAGAGAGGATGGCTGCTTTTTTCTTGCTAGATAATAAGACTACATTTTCGTGCACTATACAAATCATGCACGATGATAATTTCATTTTCAAGTGGATTGTCGGGAATACCGCATTGGTAAAACTTTGCGATCCCTTATACCAATTACATATATTCCGATGTTTTCTATGATAGCGGCGGCTTTGCCTACCATGGTATGTCTACTTTAAAAACCGCTCGCTGGTGGGTAATAAATTTTAGAAGCTTAAATACCAGACAAAATATCTAAGCAAATATCAAAGCAAATCACGGTTTTGAGATCTGAGATACGAAAGAATGCTCGAAAAACACTTTTTACATATAGTGGAGACATATAAGCACCATCCTTTATTTTCAAGTAGTGCACTTTTAGGCGCTATTTTATTTTACTACCTTGTTGCTGTGCCGTTCTTTCTCTCTCCCTTGAGAAAGATTCCAGGTCCATACTGGAACCGTGTTAGTAAATGGCCATCACTTAATGGACAAAGGACAAATGAATGGATTGGGAAAGTAAACAGTCTTCATCATAAATATGGAGATGTAGTAGTTTTATCACCGTCTGAGATCTCGGTCAATGGCTCTCCCGACATGATCAATGACATATATGTCAAAAATTTTTCCAAGGGCTGCTTTTATGAAAACTTTCGGAACCATGGAAATCGAGTGAACCCATTTTCAGAGCTGAACAATGAGTGTCATTTGAAGTATAAAAAAATTTTGATGACCATGTATCTGAAGACTGCCATCTTTTCAACACTGAATCCAACTAGAAAACATTTGGTAAAAATAGCAGGCAAATTGGTTAAAAGAGTGCGTACTGACATGAGTGCATCAAAGGCAAATAACGAAGGAGCAGTTGAAGTTTTTTCACTTTTCTCTTGCTTGGCAATGGACGTTATTCTGGCATTTGAGTTAGGACCTTCTTGTGGTACCGATCTTATTGAGAATCTAGAGGAGAGAGAAATCGTCAAATTGTATAGGGTCAGGGATAGTGTTGCCTTTTGGACAACTTTTTTCCCTCGTATTTTTCGGTTTATCGCAACGAATGATGTCAAGAACGCTTTTAAAAAAATCGAAAGCTGGCACTTTTCATTATATTCGAAAGCTGAGGAAAAGAGTGAATCACCTAGTATTCGTGCATTGAATGGAAAAGGCTTTTTTGGAAAGGATGCATATAGTTTCATAACTGATAATATTTTTGCCGGTCATCGAACCACAGCTACTCAGCTTACTTACTTTTGCTATGAGTTATCTCGGCCAGTAAACAATGTTTGGCACAGAAGACTTAAAGAGGAACTATATGGACACTTTGGGGTTCCAAAAAGTGAAGATAGCGTCATTGATGATCTCGAAGCAATCGATAAGCTTATTGTATTAGATGCACTATTGCAAGAAAATTTGCGTGTACATTCTTCCATTCCTGGAGCTGAACCAAGAGTCGTCGATCGATCATATGAAGTAGAAATCCCGGATTGTGATACTATGAAAAGAATTCTAGTTCCAAAAGGTACGGTAATATCTTGTCTTCCTTTTTCTATGCATAGACAAGAAAGCGTCTTTCCTTCTCCGGGGAAATTCTCTCCTGAGAGGTGGTTAAAAAGTCAAAACGAAAGCGAAGAAGAGTTCAAGTCTCGAGTCTCCGGACAACAACGTTTTATGATGCCGTTTGGTAAAGGCATACGTCTGTGTTTGGGGAAAAATTTAGCCCTCATTGAAATCAAAATAGCACTTGCAAACTTGTATTGGCACTTTTCTTCCATGATAAGTGATCAATGGTGCTACGTGGAATCTAGGAAGCCATCCGATATTCTCATGGGTCTTAAAAATAGAGGTCTGAACAAAACGGATGAAGAAAAAATGGTGATGGTTGATTCTTACACCACACATCCTTTGAATGGAGAATGTTGGTTGAGTTGGCTCTCTTGAAGATGTACCTGAGAAGTTTTCCACCTCCTGTGACTTCGCTCATTGATATGGCATTCTATTCTCGTTAATTGAGAATCAATTTTATACATGGAGCATGACAAATTTTATAGAGTTCTATAACTTTATACATAGAGTAGATAAAAGTATAATTGTACAAAATTTTCTTTTTTTTACGAATGAAATATTTGAATAAATTTTATGAAAAATTTGCCTGTTTTCACTATAGCCAAATCACCTATATTACTAGATCTATGGGACGCTCTCTTCCACAACTACTAGTGGCAGTTCCGAGCTTGATCAATTCAAAAGTTCTGAAAAAGAGTTCTGAAAAAGAGGTTAATAGATTAAATCCTGCAGAGCTTCGGGAATTCTATTTTGGGTTATGCCGAACGTTGGTGCATTATCAATTAATACTGCATGGGTTTAGATAGGCTGCGATAGCACAATAATCAAGTAAGATATGAATGGGCCGCAATATTCGCTGATGATCTGTCAGAGCTTGCATTATAAAAGAACGATATATCATAAATCAGTTGGGATTTTCCTCTTTTGATGATAGCTACCGGTTACAATATCAAATTCTTCAGTTGAGATATGACTAAAGTCGAGCTAACTGAATCCAAGAGAGGGCATTTTATTGATTATGAAAATGAAATTGTTGAAGTTGAAAATGGTAGTACTAACCGAGTTGTTCTTGAGGAGCGATTCAATCTTTTATCATCTATCGCAACAGGTATTGTAACAGGTAATACTTGGACCGCGTTAGGTGGTGCCATCATTGCTTCATTGTACAATGGTGGCCCACCTGGTATCATATATGAATTCATCGCTGTGTCTGTTTTTTATTGGTTGATTGCAGCATCTATTGCGGAGCTTGCATCTTCAATTCCTGCTTCTGGTGGCGTCTACCATTGGGCGGCTGCCACTGCAGGAAAAAGCTACGGTCGAATATGTTCATGGTTTGCTGGATGGCTTAATTATTTTGCTTGGACCTTTGCAGTCTCAGCGAACTGTGCAATACTTGGCCAAATTACTGTCTACAGCTATCAAATGTTTCATCCTGACATTGAAGTTACAAGATGGCAAGTCTTCATCGTTTACCTAATTGTTTGTTGGTTATGCTGCTCTATCGTGATGTTCGCTACATGTGCTCTCCCGATCATCAACAGAATTGGTGGATTTCTAATGCTTGGTGGTTGGATTGTGACTGTTTTGGTGTGTGCTATAATGCCGAGCCACAATGCTTCTGGATATGCATCCAATGAGTTTGTGTGGGCGGAGTGGCAGAATGATACTGGTTATTCTAGTAATGGTTTTGTTTTCTTAGCAGGAATGTTGAATGGTGCTTTTGCCGTAGGTGCTCCTGATTGTGTTACTCATATGGCTGAAGAAATCCCCAATGCTGGTAGAAATCTTCCCAAAGTATTACTTTGGCAAGTCGTTGTTGGATTTATAACTGCAGTTTGCTACATGATTTCCATGTTCTACTCCATCAACGATTTTCAAGCAATCTTTATTGCAGATTCAATATTCCCACTTGGTGACATATATCATCAGGCTACTGGCACCAAGGGAGGTGCATTGGGCTTATTGATCATCATAGCATCACCACTTTTCTGTGCTACAATCGGATGCTACATCACAGCAGGGAGAACTCTCTACGTCCTAGCAAGAGATGACGCTGCGCCATTTTCTAATCATATTGGAGCTGTCAGCAGAAGATTTGAAAGCCCACTCTGGGCTACTTTCGCTTGTGGATGTGTCTCTACTTGTATGGGAGCGATTTACGTTGGTTCACTTGCCGCTTTTAATGCTTTTGTTGGGTCTTTCGTTCTTTTGACTACGGTGTCTTTCCTCTTGGCAATTGGTCCACACGTTCTTAACAAGCGCAGGGGAATAGCTCCTGGACCATTTTGGCTCGGAAAGTATGGCTATTTCATCAACATAATCTCTTGCCTATACATAATAGTGTTTTTCGTTATCTATTGCTTTCCTTATGCTTTGCCAACATCAGCCGATGAGATGAACTATACAAGTGTTATTACTATTGGATTAGCATTGTTAGTCTCAATTTGGTGGTTTGTACACGGGCGAAAACACTTCAAGGGCCCATCTTACAATTAGATAAAGTATTATCTTCTGAGATTTGTTTTCTTTATGATTCTGGAATCGAATTGAAATTCTTAAGCTGCCAATTCCTTGACTTAGACTTAAATTATTTCGGCCAAATTTATTTGATTATGATTCCAAATAAGCAATGCTTTCTTCTTTTTTTGCATCCATTTAATTCAACATTTGATACAACTTCAGTATATTGGCCCTTAACGGAAAGACGGTCGGAATGTATTTTTGAGTAAGCGAATAAGAACCCATGACTTCGCTTGTTAACTAATAGTGTGTTCTATATCGGTATTTTGTACCTTGAACTCATAAAAAAATTGGCCCAACTTGAACAATACCGAGCGAATGCTTGAATAATTCAGTGTTCCAAAGTCCCAAACTTTTTCTTTGCGTAATAAAAAATCTTGAGCCTTTTTCTCTTTAGGTAAATCATTATCTTACTTAGGCCTTGAAGGCTCCCTGTTGCCAAATTCATGGTGATTTACTCTTGAAACCAATTCAGCACATATCTTTCAGAGAAGTTCAAGCTTAGTTCCCTGCAAAGATTCTCAAATACCTTTCTAGATAAATGAACGTTGAACCTATAATAATAATTTCAAGATAACATATCTTTAATTCATATTAAGGAATCGTAATATATTACTGAATATTTGCAACAAGGCTGATCGCAGTCTCGCTATCATGCTTTTTGTGTGTATACCTTTCTTCACAGAGATCTAATTTATCGGCAGTGAGGTTTTATGGAGAAATACAATACATTCACGTTCTTGTTCTTTATTCTGCTTTCCACTGGAATCATATATTGCTTCTCTAATAAAGTTTAATATGGATTGTATAAAGAAGACTTTAAAAGTTAGTGTCACAATGTCCAATAATGGCTTTCCTATTTTTATAGCTGCTTCAATATGTTTTGTTGAGTTTGGTGCAATTGGGAGAAATGGGTGCGAAAGCTTTATTTTCAATCACACACGTGATTAAAACTTTTAAAGTTATCGATTGCCAGAGAAAGGTGTCGCCAAGGCTAGTGAGGTTTATCTTGTAATTAGATTTCATTTATGCTACATATGCTTATGCCGTTTAGACAAGGGATTGGGTTTTTTTTGCTGGCTTCATATGTCTAATTTGAAAAGTTTTGTATAGTTACTGGATATAGCAAGGTTTATAGTTTGCAGTCGCCACTTACATTTATACTATAGTTTAATTATTTACATTGGGAGGTTTTTACTTCTGTATTTACATGAATGAACTAAAATTAACTGACCATGAAACTTACGTTCTTGTAGAAATTCAACATAGGATTTTCCCCTTTTTTGGTAGTTGTTATGTCCAAATCCGCCCACTGGGTCAAGAACTCTTTATGAGATTCGACTCTAGCTAGTTTTTTTGTGACTTTCGCGTATAATTCGCTAGCAATGTCAAAATCTGTAGGAAACATTATGTCAAAGTGGCCTTGGTAGCACATGTATGTGCTGACATCAATCATTCTGTTCTGGAGCATGGTCTGCACAACTGGACCATTAAAATAGCCTTTAATACTATTTGGAAGGTAATTAAAGTCTGAGCATATTAATGAATGGTTTGGAAACCTGTAAGCCAACACTTGAAAAAAATGTAACAAGCTTGTTGGTATAAACTCTCCAGGTGTTAGACCATCTTTGAATGGGAGAATACTATTTTTTACGCTTAGAAATGAGGATGAATGTAATAATGGGTGAATGTTGTCCTTGTTTAATAGTGGAATAACACTCTTCAAAGTTTCATACTTTCCTTGCAATGTACTGGACTGATTTAAAACAGAATGCTTGCTGTTTTCTCGCAACTGCAAATAAGCATTAGAATAATAGCTCAACTCAGGTGTGAAAAATTCAAAAAGGTCCCCATTATCATTAATCAAGACTTTTCCTTCATAAGGCTGGCCAGTTATGTTATCATATCTAATTAAGTGATGAGGAAAATTATCAAACACCTCAAGTGCTATGAAAACACAGGGATCTTCGACAACGGTATTCCACTTGAAAATAGATTTATTGATTATTGTCACCTTTTCAGGATCTATACCGCTTTCAAAAAGTTTTGATTTATATAAACTTTGCGTCTGTTTTGCTGCCAATTGATCCGAAATTTCTATAATATTGTAGTGAGTTCTCAAATAGATATCTGGTGCGTTTTCCTTAATATAGTTTAGTATATTACACATTAAGGTTCCATTTCCACCACCCATCTCGTAGATTACCAAATCGTGATATGGGAAGTTGCCATTCAATTTATAGTTTACTAGGATATACCTCGCCAAAGCTTCACCATAGTATGGTTGGAAGAGCTCAGTAGGAGTGTGCCATAATTGCGGTCTCATTGATTTCGACGAGGTACTTCCTGTCAGCATAAGCTCTTCTCTTTGAAGACTTTTCGCTCGTCTAGCATATTTAGCATCTGAATTTTTCGGAGCAAGCACCTTGACCATATCTTTAGTATCATTGAGCTGCAATTCTAACGGTTCTTCATACTTTTTGTAAGATTTTTGCCAGGCATCCAAAAATTCGTCGACATCCTCAATTTGATTGTACTTGAAAGGCTCATCAGGATGAAAAATTTCAACTTCCTTTGAAAAGTAGCCATAATTGGGATTATATAATGAATCTTCTATGAAGTCAGATACTGACATCTTTGTTTTCTTTGGTTTATCCTTTTGTCTTGCTAATTTGGGGGCAGTTGTGAGCGGATATTCATTATAAACATCCTGGGGCGATTTCTTGTCAAAAGGATAATTGGTGGAGTTTCTATATATAAAATCTAAGGGACTGAACCCTTTGGAGTCTGCTAGTCGTTGCAAGGGGTGTGTCGTCACTTTTTTGGGCACTTGTTTCACTTTATTTAGGGATGAAACGGAGTCTTGGGACGAAACTTTAAAAGCAAATGTGTCCGGCTTGATTGAGTATTCATGATGAAAGCTTGCATCTTTTTCTGTTTTAAATGTCAATCCAGACTTGACTTTTTTGAAGAGATGCCGCTTCTGAGGATTATATTTTGAGATTGGGCCCCTTAACAAGGGTGTAAGTCTAAAAATCATGACTTTACTTGACAGTAAACCAGGTAATCTTTTTTTTCCCTCTTTTTTATCGCTTTAGGTTTAAACGAAGAATTATTTACACAAAGATATTGAAAATTAAACTAGTTTTCAAGGTTTAAATTATTACTTACTAACTATAAATCATCAAATATTATATCCTCCTTACCATCAAAGTCGTCAATGCATTCTATGATCGCTTTTAAATTCTCAATAACGGTACTTATGGCCACTCTTATGACCCTATCACTCACACCAGAGAACTTACATACCAAGGTGTTCTCATCACATTCATAGCTGACTTTCAACTCATTAATTCGAATTATAGGATCAGGCGAGAGCGAATTTTTGGCTATCTGGCTTTGTCTCTCATTTTCAAATGGCACTCTCAAAGTGAGTTGATGCGAGAATCCCATTATATGGTCAAAATTGTCAACTTGAATAGATGTTGGCTCCGAACCTAGCACTAAATCCTTTTGTCTTTCAAAATTCAATAGATGTACTTTCAAGGCTTCCTTCCTTTTTTTTGTTTAAGGATAAAATATGACTGTTGATTCAAGATATGTGAAGACATCGAGAAATTATGATAATTTTTTGACACGACTATTATTTATCAGTCGATTTCCTTGACATTCACTAACTTAACAAAAGTGTAGACAGAGAAGTAACTCTCCCGAAATGTTGTCAACTCTCACTTAAGTTACAATATTTCATATCCTCTCTCCTGTCGGATATATTCGATGATCCAAATACAACCGAATAGGGAATATCAAGTAGAATGTCTTCAAAATGTTTCTTCGAAGGATCATTATACTCTCCTCCTCTCTTAAAGAGACGGGAATCATTTCAGTTTCAAAGCTACATCTTAATTAGCTCCATGGTATGTTATTGTCTCTAGTATCATTGAAAAGGATGACTTTAAGGATGACCTTAAGGGCAATTAGACGCTCAAAAATAAACTGACGTTAAGCCTGGCTAGCTCAATGGCTAGAGCGTTTGACTTTTAATCAAAAGGTTGCGGGTTCGACCCCCGCGTCGGGCTTATAAGAGATTTTTTTTATTTTATTTTTTTCCTCTTTTCTGTAATTTGGTTGTCTGACTAGACTTACTTACGAGAGACGCTGTATTGACCGTTATGTCACCCCAAGGACTTCTATAATCCGTTGCACATACCTTTCATTGTAATCAAATCATTTATGGCGTGTCTTTAATCACAAGATTATTTTCTATTCTCCGAGAATCGAAGGTGGTGATCTCACATGCAAATTATAAAAACCTGTTTAAAAAACTACAAACTAACCATGATTCTATGAGTTAAACTTAGTAAAAATGGCTTTTCGTTTTGAAGTTGTACTTTCCAACGGAAAGAAGAAATTCACTGCTATCAGTAATCTCTCAGAGGCAAAGATATTTTGCGCTAGAAACGAAAGGAAATGGACCAGGATTATTTTACTACTTCATGGTTTTCCAGATAACAACACTTCATTCAACGAAGTTGTTCCGATCATTTCTAATTCTTTCAAGGAAGATAATGAAACTTTGCTTCTAAGTCCAGCAATGAGGGGATATGAACCATCTAGTCAAGGTAAGTTTGATGAATATAGTTCTACTGACCTAGCAAATGACGTCAAAGCTTGGCTTGACTCCATAGACCCAGGTGATATCCCAATTCATCTTGTTGGCCATGATTGGGGAGCTATTGCAGCTTTCAAAGCTGCTAGCTTATATCCCGACTTGATTTCGTCAATGGTTTGCTTGGCTATCCCATATATTCACAATATTAGAATCTGGGAGTTGTTATGGTATGTCCCAGAACAAATATTCCTTTCGTCTTATATGATTACCATGCAATTTGCTAGCCTATATCGCCCTAAGCTTTCTCAAACAGACAACAGCAGTTATTTGGATCAATTATGGAGCTATTGGTCCCCTACTTGGAATTACGATAGGAGCGATATTGAAAGAGTCAGAAAAACCCTATTGGGCCCTGGAGTTATCGATGCTGCTACGGCTTACTATAGATGTATTGCTTCTCCATTGAATTTTTCTGGTAGACGATGGGAAGTTGATTTTGAAAAAGTTCCCACATTGTTGCTTGGCGGAGAGAAAGACCGGTGTATGAGCAAGAAATTATATGAATTGGAAATTAAGAAATTGCACCACAATAAAAAGGCTGACGTGAAAATCCTTTCAAACTTAGGCCACTTTTTGCATCGTGAAGACCCTCTGAAAGTTGGAGAGTTGATTGCAGATTGGTTCAAAAAATATTCGTAAAGCAAAATTTTTTAGATAACTCTATACATTTTCATTTTCGGTGGTATAAGTTAGTACTTGAAATCGAAATACGAAGCCTTATAGTAAAGTTTCCAAAATACAATACCTATTTGGTATCATCATCACCTTTATGAAAAGCTAGATTGTTTTTGCTTCATCCTCGTGGTCTACTTTTCAATTTCGACTTCTTCCTTTTGTTGTATTCATATCAGTAAGTTAATGCTTCCCTCACCTAATAGAGAAAATACTCGCACCCACCTCATCTTTAATAACTGAGCTCAGGTTTATGTCGATTCTATTAAAAACATCTGGGCCAAGCTGGGGCAACTGAAAACTTACTCCAAATAGCTCTGAATCGCTAAGAGGCTACCCAAAGTGCTAGAGCAAATATATTCTTGCAGTCTTTTTTTCATTCTAACATCACCGAAGATTCAGTAAACTCAAATTGGGTGAAAACGCTTGTGATCTCCGTTTTGACATATGACCATGATACTTTTCACAGGATCTTTGCATCTAAGAAATTAATTATTTTCGAGATCTGCTCTGCTTTCTCCGCTAATCAAAACTTTAAGACTTGCAGCGAGTGGGTGAAGCCAATGAAATTTCACTCAATTAAATTAAGTTATATCAGTCACCTCCAATTACTTTATTGACACACTGTCACATATATATGGTTCGCCAAACACTTAAGCTCACTGCTCTTCAATTGTAGGTGAAGTAGCGATAAAATCGAACAAAAGAGGTTGGATGTTTGCTCTTTTTCTTGCTATGAGCCCTAAATGAAATCTAATTGCATCACCGTTTATTTCCTAAAAAGGTAATTTTAGATCTTGAAATCGAAAATGTTTACTGAAAGAGGAGATTTGCAGCTCACCAGTAGCCCGTATCAACCTCAATAAAGAGCCGTTAACTAAGGAGTAGGTGCATACTCACTTTCAAACGAACAATAGTAAATGTTTAGCGTAAATGATACTTTGGGACTTTTTGTAAAGAAGAGGGTTTGTATATCCCAAACGAGTTAATTAGCTCGCAGAAGCAAGAAGATGGGGTTTACCCATATTTTCAAAGTGGGAATGGTGTATAAATACTACTATATCTTTTCTAAATTGTATATCATGTTACTTTATTTCGAAAGATAACAGTATATCTATAATAAATTATAACGAACATGAAGTTAACAACGTTATTTCTTTCGATATTCACATTAATTTCAGTTAGTCTCTGTGTTCCGGTTGATTCAAACAATGAAATACAGTTAGCTGGTAGAGACTCCCTTGATGGGCTAGTTTATTTACAAGAAAAAGACTTTCTTCCTTCTGTTGATCAGGTAGGAACATCTAATATAGAGAAAAGAGACTATGCTATTTTAACAGAATTTTTCACTGCGTTAAATAAGACAGGGTTAGTACCAAAATTGGTCAAGATTTTGGCAACGAATAAAATAACAGAACCATTGTTAGTAACAGGAATTGTTGGATTTTTGAAGATAAGCAATTTGGATGATTTGCTTACATCCGTGGATAAGTCTGGTCTCACGGTAGACATACTCGTTGCAGCGCTCACTAACGCTGATTTCCTTCCTGGGGCATACGAAATAATAAATGGATTGAGAACTGGAGCAACTACTACACCATCTAGCTCAACTTTAAATATTGTTTCATTGACTACTGACATGACCTCTGTGGCTAAAGTCTATAAGCTGTACAGTGGTTTGAGCTCAGTTTTCAGCGAAATAGGCCTGAGTCTCAAAATTGGCCAGTCGAGTAGTGGAATATTCTCTATTTTGAATCCGATTTTAGTTGCTGTTGGTATTAAGGGAGGAAGCACTAGTGCGGCATCTTCGTCTCTTGCCAAATTAGGTTACTCTACAACTGCAGCCTCTGCTCAGAGTACTGCTACGGGTGAAGCTACGATTACATCTGCTGATATAACCGGAACTACAGATGCTGCAGTGACTACGGGAGCTACTAAGACTTCCGTAACCTCAACTTCAGCTAGCACCACTACCCTGTCAGCTTCGACTTCGACTTCAACATCTTCGAGCTCTTCAAGCACAAGTTTATGGGATCGTATCAAGAGTATATTCAAGAAGCGTGACATGAAAGAAATTGCAAAGAGAGAAGTCTCTATTGAAAAAAGGGACAACGAGGTCCTCGATAACTTGGTTGAATCTTTAGAAAAGTCAGGGCTTGCAATGTCAATTGTAAATTTGATAATACTTGACGACACAATGTATCCATTCGCTAGGGATTTGATCAAGAAGATTGTCACTGACAAAGCTATCACACTTAATGAGTTGTCCTCCGCTTTGAACAGTACAAACTTATTAAATGATGGCATCATTGATACTTTGTCCAGTGGTCGCCTTGGCATAACCTTCTGATATCCTCTCTTGTTAACTTTTCATATTAGTTTAAAACAAAAGAATAAAACATAAGAATCTGTAGCCTGTACTTCAAACACCTATAAAAAGTTATGACGATCTGAAAGGTACCAGAAGAAAGGTGAAATATGTCCTTATAAGAAGTTCAACAGAGAATTAAATTATCGAACTGCACCATAATACGTTCAAAAAGATTATTCTTGAATTCTTCAATTGCAGTTGTACATGGATGTCCCAAAAACCAAATCCCCTCCTTTGGTTACGAATACTTTGCTCTCACTTCTTATTTTCGTATTCGTACGTTAAGAAATAGTGGTCACTTGTCTTCATATTTGAGGGGAAAGCTTATCTTATAAACGATAAGGACGACAATTATGTTTCAAATTTCACTTTCTTTCATTCGTCAAGTTTACGAATATAACTAAAAAGACACTTCGATTTAGTTTTGCGATTTCAAGATTCGCTATGTAATTGTGAAATTATGAATAATGTGATTATTCACTAAAATCGGATTAATTACATATTAAACCTTAATTTTTCGTGTCAGTGAGGTCTATTTTGTAGAACTCAAACGTTCTACGAGAAAAATTCCGTGGGAGTATCTCTTAGGCTTATGGATAGTATAATGATAATGCTTGGGATCCATTTTCAGTATATTTCATCTGTATATAAAATAAAATCAAGTGAGACTTCAAATTCTTCCTTTTCATTACCTTACTAGCAAGTACTTAAATGCAGCACCTTTATTTGAATTATTCAAAAGAGACGTAACTTTACCTTCTGAAAATTAATTCTATACATCCGATGAAGGATACGAGTAACTGCAAAATGGAGCAATCTTAAAATGCAGAAAGGTAGTTGGATCAGAAATTTTTAAGTTTTAGCAGCTCTCTGTGAGTCATGATGTTAGTTAAGCTTCAAATTTTGTTCGTGTCAGCTCTGTCTATGAATTTAAATCCAGCAGACTACAACTCTTCTAGTTATTATTTTTCTTTTCCTTTGTTTGTTTTAAGCTAAATGATGTAAAGTTAATACAAAACGTTTTTTTCCTTCCCTTTTTTTTTTTGAAAATAAGTAATCGATCTCTATTGTCTCTGGATCTTGGATAAAAATAGAAGATAATAAAATAATCTTAAACTTTGTCCCAAGAAAATCATCTGGAGCTATTGGCTCCTCAGGGAGAATTATGAGAGCCAAAAGTCGTCCCATTTAATAATAAAATTCTCATTTGGTACTACTATCCTACAGGAACGTCGGATCGAAAATTGATATGTCACAAAATTTATCTATAATAAGCAAGTATAAGAATGTAGTAAAATAACCCATTGAACTAATGTAAGAAGAAAATAAATAATAATAACATGAAGAAGAAACAAATTTTGAAGTCAAATAAATGCGAAAACAATTACACCAATCATAAATCGCTTAAGTAAGGGTACCTTGGTCGAACCGGCACCTTCATATGGTGTGATAACGGAAGTGGCTTGAGCAAAGGTTGAGCCTGATGAAACTTCGGAAGATGATGTTGCGGATTCTGAAATAGTTTGTTGTACCATAGTTGACACAGTATGGCTATTTTGACTACCAATATCATTAGACTGGCTCTCGATACTTAACGTGGCGCTAGAGCCATTACTAGCAGCGTCATATCCACTACTGTCACTTCGGGTATTATCGCTATGGTCAGCTCCGCCAACAGAAGCACTTGGTGTTTCACGCGAATTAGTCCCTTGGCTATATATATCAGTTCTGCTAACTGATGGTATCTTGGAAATATCACTCTCTGTGGCTCCAGATGGAAAAGCATGGGTAGTCAGACTCACTATGCTATACACCGACTGAGCTTGCTGGGGGGGTGTGGAATTCACTGATGAAGTAGCTTCACTTCCTTTCGTTTTCGGGTTTTCGATTGTCGAAGATGGAATTATAGAGGACTTATTGTTCTGATTTGGAGACTCAGAAGTCGTTGCATCCCTAGTTCCGCTTTGTGTGGTCTTGGAGTTGTCGATAGTCGAAGATGGAATTATAGAGGACTCATTGTTTAGACTTAGAGTCTCAGAAGTCGTTGCATCCGTTGTTCCGCTTTGTGTGGTCTTGGAGTTGTCGACGGTGGAAGATGGAATTATAAAGGATTCAGTGCTCTGACTTGGAGTTTCAGCTGTTGTCTCAGTTGCTCCATTGGTTAAAGATTGGTAACCTTCGTCACTTATTTGAGAACTTAAGGACGTAACAATTTGAGTTCCCAAGGATGAAGAGTCAAAAGTACTCAGGGCAATGAAGTCAGGAATTGAAGATGAGGTGCTTCCAAGCTCAGATGAAGAAATAGGAGTCACATAGGATGTAGCCGACGCAAGAGAGGAGCCAAAGGAATTCAGTTCTGTTGTTGCGTCGCCTCCGGAATTGGCTCCTGTTTGACTTGATATTATATTATTTCCAGAAGTTCCGTCGACAAATACTGAAGACTCTGAAGATAATGCATAGCCATCAGAGGTGAAAGGTATCGAGGATGTAACTGAAGAATTGTAATAGTGAGGGCCCGATGAAGATGGTAATATAGGAGGAATATCAACTTCAATTGTTCCTGTG